AAAAATTATATGGACGTCAACACATTTCTGGATGTCTTTTAGAATACTGGCTTGCCGGATTCGGATATTGGTGTAGTTTGATATAGTAGTACCGCCAGCGATCATTGAAAGACAAACTTTGGATCATTATCGCAGTCGCGTCGTCAAGCGAGAACGTGCGGCAGCTGCTGGCTATGCCGCTACAGAAGGGGCGCCATCACGTCCTTTATACACGTACGTATAAGCATACTTTAGACTCTAGGACGTGCGTATTTGCACATTATCAAGTGCATCGTACTTGTTGCATTAATATACATTAAGTGGAACTACCCGACGGTTTTTAATTGACCTTCCTTTCTTGCGAGCGGGTTTTCACTTGTCTGACGACGTCGATAAATAAGGTATTCATCGTCATTTATTTGGGTTTCCTTTTGATCCTTATGGTACTCTTCAGTACACCGACCATTGTCTATGCATGGAGAATCAGGATTAGTAGGGTCGAAAGGAAAATGCACCATGTGTCGCTCGGCAGTTGCCCGCGCTATCAAATACTGAATTGGGGAATATAGCCGCAAAGATATTGTCGCAATTGGCAAAAGTCCCCCCTCTCCAAGTATGAGTTGGACATGCGCATGTGGAAGACCACGTTTCTGAAATTCAACAATATACACGTGACCAATATTGCGCCCAAGAGTTATACGCTTTGTCAAATTATTCATAAGCTGAATTATCAATCAAGCATCTACAATAGGACAGTTGCGTGCTATACGGGCCATATGCAAAATTCAGAAACGAATGGACTGACCCAATGCATCATTACTTTCAAAACCTCCAGGTACCGTTAAGCAAAGTAATACGGTTATGGGCCTGACGATGCTGAACGGAATGCTCTGCATCATACAAATAGATATGAGCAAAGAATGGTCGAGCGTTTCCGGCAGGAACCAATGATCCGATATTGTGATGGTTAATGTCGCAGATACGGAGATATTAAGTGCCCCCACCTCCCTCTGAAAATTGGCCACAGAGTGGTCCTTGCGAGTACCAGGGAAGTGAAGCTTGCAGCACAGTTATAGGACCGAATATTATCTCAAAGTATACAGCATCAACATCGCTCCAACGCAACAAACCGGAAAGTTCAGTAGGTGTTGGAGGAAGTAGGGAAAGGGGAATGCTTCTTGAAGCTAGAGTGTATAGCGTCAGCAGTGTAACCTGTTTCTGTACTTGGGATATAGTTTTGTAGGCTGAATATTATTATATGAAGACGTAATGCAATAACTGAAGATATGTGGATGGCGAAGAATAATATAAGTGTATATGTAGCATAAGGTATGGTTGGGAGGGACAAAAGTAGGGTTAATGGTGTTGCTGTTTTGGATTAGTTGGTGTTTTTAGTAGATTCAGTGCTTCTTCTGGAGCTAGTTCGCCGTTGTTGTCGTCCTGATAGCTGTCAACAGGGTGACTAAATCGGTCTATACTTCTTTACTCTTTTTTCTGCCTCAAGCCCTTTCCATCCTTTGCTATAAGCATCGATTTATCCCCACAATTTTCGCTCAAACTTTCTAATAAGCTCGAGCGCTACGCTGTGGAGATTTGATTCGCTGTTTGCTTTAAACGATGCAAAGGAATAGTCACATTTTAGGCGTGCAGTTCGCTTGGCAGCTCCCCAATACAGTATCGCTCTATATAATTGCATTCACAATGAAATTTTGGGTACATTTCAAAGATGTGACCACTCTCAAGGACTGCCTCTTCAATTGCTGATTGCTGCTCCTGGAAATCTTGTTGTGCATTGAGCAAGTGTCGGGCACAACACCGGTAGTCTTTTGCTTCAGTGGCCTTGCAATCAAGCTTGAGACTATCATCCCAGAGGCGTCGCTCTTGTAGAATCTAGGTTTTCTAATCTAAACAAACGTTCTGCAATCAGCGCAATATGATATCTACTTTACCTTTTTTATCCCTTTAAAGTGCTGGACAAGTTTCTTGACCTTCTTCTTCTTTTAATTCTCTTTTACTTCGACCTCGACCTCCTTTATCAAATACATTGACTGAGGAAAAGACACCTTGTCATCCTTGAACTGGGGCCTATAGCACCAGCCGAGCTTAAACCAGTCCTGTGGATCTGCTTCATACACTTTCTCATTCAGCATCATTTTACTGACGAGAAGAGCATTCTTTCCGAAAGCATTGTGATTGTTACTTTATTCAAAGATGCAGACCGCTATATAAATAATGTTTGAGGCATGAAACAGTAAGTAAAAACACATAATCATGTTCGCAGCAATTCAAAAATACTGTATGCACATGCCTTTAAAGTTTTCATGCAATGCTTCAAAAATCGGTATAGCCCTCTCTTTGAGCTGCTTGATCATGCCATTGCTTCCCCAATAACCATCACGATTGTTGCCCGGATGGATGATGACCCTAGCCTCTTTGTATAATGGGTCACGGTAGTTTTTGTAATGTTTGCCAATCTTAAGTCGACCATGACATGGGCAAAGGAAATCAGAAACCATGATCGATGCACCCATGGACTTCTTTTGAAGGACCGTTTCCCCTTGCTGGAAGCCAGGCTGAGCGTACGCCATCATTGGCATAAAAAGTCGACTCATCATGCGTTACCCAGACAAGCTCCTGCTCATTCTCCCTAAGGGTGGGTGGGAGGAACAGCGATTTCCATATGCTCGCCTTCATAAGAGGTCATCTTTTCCGAATACTCTAACATACGCTTGACCCAATGTCGACGGTACTCCACAACATCATCGCGCTCATGGCCATTATAGTAGACCTATACAGCAAGTATATACATGTAAGAACCAAGTAAGCCAATACTACTAATCAATAGCAGCCATACCCCTTTTGTTTTGCGTCGAAAAGTATAGCCCCATTCATTCATATAACGCTGGACTGTGCGTAACGAGATGGTAAGTCGAGTACCAAAGCACTTGGGCAAAATTTCTTGCTCCAAATGCTCCTTCAGCTGCATTGGATCGCGAGCATCGGGTTTGTTTCCACGGATCCAGATTCGGGCTTTTTCTTTCACATCCTCGTCATCCAACAAGGACAGCCGTTTGGAATGCTTCCCTTGTCTGGAAACAGGTAGGACTCCCTCAGTAACATATGTCTTTGCCCAGTTACGGATAGACAATCGGTCAATTTGGTTTTGCATAAAAGGCGGGCCACTTCTTCTGATGCTTCCATCTTTTTCTTGCCATCTAAGAGTAGACTGATATAAGCGTGAACGCAGCTGCGTTGGTAAGCATCGTAAGATGATTCAGCACCATATACTGTTCGTTGGTTTTTTGCTGCATCACGTTGATCTTCGAGTACTTTTCTTCGACGCTTAAGGAGCTGCTTATATGCCTCTTTGGCTTCCTCTTTTGTCACATCTTTTGGTGCAGGCAAAGTTTGTTTCGTCGCAGTCGATAAAAAAAAGTTATCGAGCCTACCATACCCAACAGCAACCGAATTTTCTCTGGCACGAACCATCGCGTTGTGCCGCTTCTGTGATCGTTTCGAAAAACCTGATATAATGACCTCTTTAATTGTGTAATCTATTTTGACCAACATCTTTATTATGCCGTACCAGTGTATAAAACACTACGCAGATGTGCATCTGCACCATCTTTCCATAGTAATGCATTTTCACGCATTGTTTCTTCATCTAAGCCAAGACGCTCCCAGTCTTCTTCAATATCGTGATCATTATGCGACTCTTGATCATCACTTTCATAATTCGATAATGATATTGTTGCGCAGAGGAATAGCAGAATCATCTGGCATACGTATAACGATCTGAACATTAGGTTCCTCGAAAACACCATTAGCAGTACGGGCTCTTTGGCTGGCTGCACGCTTTTTTGCTGATTGACATCCCATATTGATGGATGGCAAAGGAAAGAAGGAAAGCTGCGCAAAGTTAAGGCACAGCCCAAGAGCCAGGCATGCGCCAAAATCTAGAAAAACTCCGCAATTACATATGAATCTTGCCTGAACCGACCAACTTTGAGCCCTTATTCCACAATTGTTATCATGGAAGAAAGAAAACTAATCCATAACATTTGTTTTTAATATGTTAAAGAGCAAACGTTATGGATTGAATTGATCTATAAGATTTAGATCAGGAGAACCAAGCTCTCAGGAATAGGTAAAAAATTTCGATCCTTGCTGACGCGCACCATATACGTTCTTCGCATTGCACTTTGTTTTAGCCTAGGTAAGACTAAATAGAAAGAAGGTGTACGCTTAGTGCTTTACCGTATCAAGGTCGCTTGTTATTTCACATGGGGACCGACGAAGAGCGATCCAGAATGATGTATTCTCATGACGAAGAGGTCGGCGTAGCAGAAAATGCACTATGTATATATCGCTGCAGTTGATTTCATAAACAACAGTAAGATTAAAATTCTTACAACGTCGAGCAAATAAAAGATATTACAGTACCCGCTCGTTAAACCGATCACCTCTGTTTTTCGAGAAAGTGATCGTTTTAACGAATGATCGGTTTAAAGATTGAGGGTCCACTATATGACATACATACTGCTTACCAAGCTGATATTTTGGGGAAGTTTAACGAAATATCGGTTTAGAGGTGATCGGTTTAACGAGCGGGTACTGTACATACACATGGAAACGATATTTCCAATATTCTGTTGGTGATGCATAATTATTTTCGTTTACTGCTGCTGAGTAACATTCCTTGTGTGGTGATATTACCGATGTTGTTGAACTAAAAGAAGCTCCAGTTTAAAAATGCAGCAGTTACTGTATTCTTCTTGATGTGTGTCAACTAATATACAATAATAAGAAAGAGGATGCGATCTCTCTCTTCTCATATTCAATGCAAATAAATACTATCTCGAGAATTCTCGGAAGAAAACTCGAACTGAGGTGGTCTAATATATTATGAGGCAATGTTTATCTGTTTGTCAGGGAAAATATTAGATTTTGTTTGTTGATCATCTGATTGTGTACGACACTAACACCAAGTGCAAGATCATAGTTACAGTAGTACAGTGCGCCAGAAAGAGAGTGTTGCCCTTTTTGTGGATGTTTCAAACTCTTTTTTTGTACTGTTGTTTGTTGTGTTCCCGGCTTTCCACACACAGAGACAAACCCAACAATTGCTGCTGATCTCTGCAAGGTTTCAGAGAGAAAAATCCAGGGTTAGTCACTCGACAACAACAACAAACATGGTGCCCAATCCAGTCAATGCATCTGCACAGCAATCGCTGCTCTTGTTGAAACAGAGCCTTTCATTACTCGGGTTCTGGGTTCTTATGTAGCTCACACTAATCAGCTAAATTGATGTAATTGTCAACTCGTCATATGATATTGTTTGTTTATAAAAACATAATCCAAAATTTACATGAACATCGGCCTGGAATCGCTCTCCCTGAGTGATTGTCGTAAACTGTAGATGAAGGAGTGTTGAGTATAAAAGGAAGGAAAGCAAGGTTAGTTTAAAAACCCATGATTTTGTTGCTCCTTTCCACATTACTTTTACAAGTTTACATGTAGAACTAATTGAGATTGGATCGTCATCATACAATGTCATTAGTATGTAGGTTTTTTTGTAAATTAACTATTGGTGTTTCATCGATACGTTACCCGTACTATAAGAAGTTTAATCACTTCGCACGCTCCCATCACACATACCGTTTCACAGGCTCCTTGTAATTTTTTAATATATGTGTGTTAATATCTTATGGTCACCAGCTTTTTATGGACATTTTGCTCTTATCAAGAAATAAAAAAAATCAAAAAAGCCGGCATTATGCTTACGTTATAAGGTTATTGGTGTGGATACAAAGCTAGTAAAGTATTACAGTACCTTTTAACGATGCGTCGATGTTTTCAAATTTAGAGCGTGAGCAACTTTCACAAAGGAGAAGTTGTAGCGGTAATAGCAGTAGCGGAAACAGTAGTGCATACTAATCATCATAATGATAGCAGAGCAAGGAATGAAGGCAAAATTGTTAAATCTACACAGCTGCAACAGGAATAGCGAAATATGTGACTTTGCCGAATAATACTTCCAAATTTTCTATGCAGAGATAATGTGATGTTGATCCTATTTCTTCTGCGCGATGCATGATGATGGTAGCTCGGACATGGGCATATTTGAGAGGATGGAGATACTGATTGACTAGGTTTGTTTTGGCAGCTTTACTGATAATTTAACACGCGAGTATATGCATGGAAAACAGGAATTGTTTCATCCGCTTTTGAGGGAAACCCCAGCCTGCAGCAGCAAGCAAGCAAGTCACGTGTTGGACAGATCCAGCCCCAGTGCACGAACTACAATGCCGCGGGACTCAGATTCCCTCGTCTTATTTTGTATTGCACATAGTTGGTTACGATCGCGCGGTCGTAAATTTTAAAAATGGTAAAAAGAAATCTACTGAATCTTGCTTCAAGACAATTCGCTCCAACCACTGTAAATCTCTAATTTGCTTTACAATTGTCAATGGTTTTAGTTGTTCTACTCTTTTTTCAAAACATTGGTCGATCAGAAAGTGACCGTCGAACTTAAGAACGATCTCGCCATCACGGGTACCCTAAAATCCGTGGATCAGTTCTTAAACATTAAGCTCGATGACATTACGGTGATCGATGAAGAAAGATACCCACACATGGTAAATAAAAGCTGGGATCATTGTCGACGGATGTGTTATTACTCTAGGGTGGGGGTTGGGGAAAACGAGATAAAGGAACGAAACTCACAAGATACGTCATCCGTTGTATCATGTCAACATGGCATTGGATTGTATGTAGAGCTCTGTCAAAAACTGCTTCATTCGAGGATCGGTTGTGCGTTATGTTCAACTGCCACCGCAAGCAGTAGATACGGCCTTGTTACAAGATGCGGCTCGACGAGAGGCCGCGCAACCGACAGCGGCACAACAAAGCAATGTGAGAGTCAAATAAATTAAAACAAGGAAAGAGTTGCGGGAAAAGGGTCTTCTCCACTCAGAAAGTATTGCCACACTACACACACACACACACACACACCTTGGATGCGTTTGCTTTTCACACGTGTGCATCTCCATTTATATAAAAACACAAAACTTGGCCTTTCCTTCTTCTGTTTTCTTCTCCTTTTCTCTTCTTTTGCTCTTGCCACCCGCTCTCTTCACCTCTCTCTACTTGTCTCTCGTTGCTCGCTGTACTTCTCGTTTCGTCTTTTTCTAAAAAACAAAGACACCATCTACGCAAAATACACATTCTTTCAAATGATGCCATCGTTTTTTGGATTTCGGAAACCTAAAGGGCTATCAATCAAAAGTGCCATCCTGTTCCCCATGCGAAAGAAGAAAAAGAAAGAGCGGCGACATACTGCAACCTCCATCATCTCCCATCAAACATCCGCAACAGCACCACCTGCTGTTGCCACGACTGGCGGGATCAACACCGCCGCAACTACAACTACTGCAAAGGACGATGTTAGCCCCTTTGCGCGTGCATATGACCACGATCTGGCTACAAAATTCAGCGACAGTGTCGTCAACGATCTGGAGTTACTCCTGTCCATGGAGACACAAGCTCGGATGGATGCATTGGAAGCACGTCAGCGACAGGAGGAGGAAGCCGCAGCCACAAACGCCGTAAAGTCAAGAAGGCTTACATTTGAACTGCCTGCCCGACCCGATACCAAAACGCCACCCAACACCAGTAATACCACTAATAGCAGTAACATCAATAACAACAGCAACAATAAGTTGAGCCTCCTGCCATCCAAAAACCGTCGTGGCAGTTTGGGTAGCATCTATAGCTCTGAAGATGACGGCGACGAAGGCTATGATAATGACAGCATGTGCGAGTCTGGGCCAACAAACGACGACGATGACTTTATACCCCCACCAGTCCACATGAACGCCCGCGTCCGGCTGATCCGTCGTCCCTTACCAACATATGGCTCTGTTCGCTTCATCGGCCAGGTTGACTTTGCCCCCGGCCAGGAATGGATTGGTGTCGAGTTGGATAGCAGGGGTAGGTTCCATATATAAATAACAAGAACTACAACAACCACAACCACAACCACAACTACAGTTACTAAACAACGGTCTTTTGTAGTTGGCAAAAATGACGGTTCTGTCAAAGGCAAACGTTATTTCACGACGGATCGTGATCGCGGTATATTCGTTCTCAGAGAAAACCTGTCTGTCGTTGTTTAACTTGCATTATCTCCTTCACCCCCTATTCTTACCATGTACTTCATATTAGTTTGTTATTTTTGTTACGGCCCCACCCGCTCTAATCCTTCTTTCTTTTTTTGTCATTGGTTATCCCCACATTCAGTTATATCTTCTTCCCACGTGGTGAGACCAGATCAAATACCAACAATATACATAGATAGGCATAAAATAATGTAATGCAAATCAGGTTTCGATCATGGTTCTTTTTTTTCTTCTTTTTGTGTAATTAAATTGTTTTTGGCTTTACGAAATTGATTGTGACGATAAAGACGATGATGGCAATGAAGATGATTGTGATGAAGATGATGATGAGGCGGTAGCAGTAGTAGTGCTGCTGCTGCTAGTAGTGATGGTGCTAATCAACGTGGGTGCAATCCGCCGTTTCTTTTGCGTATTACTTGTGACTTGCATGCTCCTTTTTTCCGCTGGCTTGATTAAGCTAGTCAAGATATTTACTGGCCGTGGCTGTTTCTCCGGAGGAGAGGTAATATCCATCATTTCAATATCATGTTCCTCGGAAGGACCACCAGCAGTCATGGTCGACGTCGTTGTGGTAGCAGTGGTTGCAGCAGCAATATCCATAGTTGGTTTTCGTGCATTTGCCTTGCCAAGTTCATTCTCGTCAAAAACAACTGCCGAGCAATAACCATCTGCAGATGAAAAAACAAGTATGCTTCCGTCATGAGACCTACACCCACGTTGTTGTTGTTGTCGTAGTAGTAGTGGTAGATAAACAACAGTGTGAATTTAGTGCGCGTGCCAAAAGAATGAATGTTTCCCGAGAATAGTAAATTACCATGCAATGTCTGTGATAGGTGCAAAATGCATGCCCGAAATGACACACAGCGGTATTGCTTGTTGGGTATCGTAGATATACACGGCATCTTGGCTTGCAACAGCATAGATCAATCGATACGGCAATCCGAACATGCTTCGCTTGGCAGACGAGCGGAGCTCATATGTATCACTACACCATCGGATTGCGATCGACGGTTTGTTGTGGTTACTTGTGTACGCCATTGGGTGTCTGTTTTATCATGATCCGTGATTTTTTTTTCACACACAAGGTCAATTTATCTGCCTTTTGTCATACAAACAGCATGCCCCCCATACTCTAATTTCTGTAACCCAGAACAGCATCGATTTCACTTACTTTAGCAGTGTATTCCGAGGGTATAAGTAGGCGCAGTTTGCAAGATCATCCCCTTCCTCTTCATTGCTATTGCCATTTGTTGTTGTTGCTGTTGTAGTAATATTAGTAGTAGTAATAGCAGAGTCGCTGGTAGTAGTAGTATTATTATTGTTAGTGGTTGTGGTAGCTATCGCAGTATCCAAGCTCTTGCACAATCCTGCAGGTGTGACCAGAAATGCTCCATCAGGACTGAATGAGAGGCGCCGGAAGAAAGTCACTAGATTTTCATCGTGGTACATGCGAAACGATGGCACTGTGGTTGCAGTAGAAGAAGCAGTTGGAGCTGCTGTTATAGTAGTTGTTGTTGGTGCCACATCTTCGTTCATAGCTGCAGCTGGTTTAGGTTTGTTCATGCGATGATGTCGTTTTGAGCAGCCGCTCAGTTTTAACCGATTCGGTCCTTCCTTGCGATATTTGTATATAGCCACAGATCTAAACCAGAAGCTTTTTCAATATCGCTTTTCTTTAGGCTTTTTCCTTTTCTTTCCCCTTTATTGTACCTATCACTACTTTGCGTTGCAACATATTGTCCCATTGGATCCCAAGTTACGCCTTGTACATAATGGGTGTGGTCTGTAAGAACGTGAATGGCGCTCCCTATGTGTATTATACAATAATTATTAGCCTTCAGCTTCTTTACGCTTTCCATATACAAACACAAAATCAGGAGAAACGATATACTTACGCGTACTAATACTCCATATGCGTGCTGTATTGTCAATAGATGCTGTAATGAAGAATTGACTGCACGGGGACCACGCTAAATCATAGATTTCTTTGCTGTGTCCACTAACAATACCGACGACTGCATTAATTTCTCTGATCCATACATGCATAGTTTCACTATCCATTCGTAATAATCCACTTACTGAAACAATTGCACTACAGACCAGGTTTCCTTTTCAAATTCGGCATATTCTCTTCCAAAAGCTGACTCTTGTGTCAACGCCTTTTTCCATAAAATCACACATGAATCTTTCAATGTACAAGGAAAAGAGGAAACCGTTAATGTGTGTACAATACAGCCCTTTGATGCTCTATCTTTGTCCCGTAACAGTAGTCGATTTAGCATTATATCGAAGCCCCATTCCCTCCAAACTTACCGTCCCCTGCTGAAGCAAGATATTCTCCTGACGGCGAAAACCGAACCACGTTGACGGGAGCAGCATGACGTTTCAATTCAGACAAGAAATCTATATGTACTGGAAATGACTCGATCTTCTTCTCAAAGCTTTTCTTGTTGCTATTATCTAGTTTGACTTCGGGTCGTCTCTTCATGCTCCACAACTGTTTTGGTTCATTCAACGAAATTGACCACATGTAAGTCTGTTGTTCTTTTCTTCCCGATATACGTTTTGTAGCGCGGCTTTTTGTTTCGCCATCGTTTGGGTTTTTGTGTTTTACTTACCCGAACAGAAGTGTCTGCGCCTGCGCTGGCCATTCGTGTTCCGTCAGAAGAGAAATCGACAGAGTAGATGGCTTGTCCATCGTGCCAGTTGATTTCCAACGTCTTTTTATTTTTCGTAAAGTGTTTTTTAGCATGTACGCCGATAAAAGTCTTTTACTTCTCTCATGGGTGTATTTCGTATCGATTTGTCAAATTACCTTGGCTCGCATTACTGTGTGTTTATTATGTTTTAGCGTGTGCCTGTGTAGAAAAGGGAAGAAAATAACGCGTATAAATAAGGAAACGACGCGGCGACGATTTGAAAATGGTCGGAGGACGCGTCACAGCCGACACCAAATCGTGTATCTCGTCTTATAACAGTATCAGATTCTTTTTGAGCATCAGATCATCAACCTGCATGGTGTTTCTTTCATAGTGTTTAACACCCTCGCATTCTTCATAATAACTGGGCAGTAGTTGCAGTGGTCACTCATCCGAGATATTTTGTGTATGCGTGAGTATTATCGCCTATCTAACCGCGTTTAGCCAAATGTCTTAATGGCTATTAATATGTAAATGCGTTTTTTATGTGCAAGTATATACTTTTATTTTAATGCTTATCCACAGATACAAGCTGTTGTTTAAGGTAATATAGATAATAAATAGATGGTGGTAAAAACATAAGTTACTTTTACATATATAAAGAAAGAAAACACTTTAACAATTAAAAAAAATTCATCGTATTTCTCTTAGTCATAATCATGCAAAGTTGCTGAAATCCGTCTTCAAGTGGATCGTGGGCTGTTTGGTATCTTCACTACGCTGCAATTCTTCTTGCCGTCGTTGCTTTTGCTGTTGTTGCTGCTGCTGTTGCTCTTGATTCGACATGACACTTTGTCGAACTGATGTTTCCAATCTGATACGGACATGATCAGGCAATTCTGAGACGGTATCTTTGAACGCCAATGGCGTGCTAGTGGCCAATGTCAAAATCTGAGCCACAACTGTACGATGGACAGGCGTTGTTTCTGACGCAGACGGATCCATCAAGACAGTCAATGTCGGTAATACGATGCTTAGTAATAATGATCCTATAAGAAAGTTACATCAGTTTATACCTGGTTGTTTCTTTTACATGCTTATTCTCCATGTCGTTATCCCGTGAATACACTTACGTTCTTTATCATCAGCAGCAGCTGTTGGCAGTGTTACCAATGTCTTGACATCTTCATTCAACAGCACCAACTGCTCGTCCGAAACACTGGATAGCTTTTGGAAGGAAAGCAAATGTTGAACAATGGTCGGTATCAGTGCACTCAACAGGGATTTGCCTAGTGATACGGAAGTAGGCGAATCGGATTTCTTTTCCGGCAACATGATCAGCATACGCATACACTGATGTGCTGTTAAGGCAACCTAAGTACACATTTATCTACTAGTCAGTAAAACGATACAAAAAGTGTTGAAGAAAATACGTCCGATCGAATATATATGTACACCATACCTCTTTGTTTTCACTCTGCAAGGCATGTCTCATTATATCGACAAACACGCCTCGGCCTTCGGTGTCATGGATGCTTGCCTCAGGGCAGCCCGTGATAATCAACACCGATGCTAGCAGTTTGTTCTTGAGCATATTTTCATTGACTTGGGTTCCCCTAAAAAAGACAATTTTGGAAAGTTAGTAAGATTAATTACATTTGCATATAATGGCTACAATGTGACACTTACTCGTTAAAGAGGTTATCCAAGAGTGAATGCAGCATGGCACAAGTAACACGCGACAGAGTTCGCTTTTCGGCAGATTCAAGTGATGACTCAAGTTGGGGTAATGTCGACTTGAGCGAGACAAGAACGCGTGGTGCTAACAATGTTTCCAATTTGCTATCTCGCAAAATTTCTAATAAAAAAGAGCATGGTTGGTTTCTCCGTTAAAGCTTCCATAGTTAAATGAAGAAAAGCATCCAGGATCATGGATTCTTCATTTGTCTTGGGTCCTGCACAAAAAACCCTCATTAAGTATGGTACCTGAGAAAATGTAAAAAGAAATAGCCAATAAATCGATCTTGTAGCTCGCGGGAGCGATGTTTACAAGCATGCCTAGCTCATCTAAGCAAGGGCCCAATAAAATCGCGACTTGTTCTTGGTTTGCGCCTGCCAATCCTAAAGAATAGTCGGTTTATATCAAATCTCCCGATTTCAATCCTTTTCTCTCCATTGAATATTAAAGAAAAACTTACTAGATGAAGATCGTTTGGTGGTGGTCAGACTTGGTAACGTTTGCAGAAATACGTTGATCAATAAGCGTAAAACATAGTAAAGTTTAGCCGTTGAAGGGAATGCACCAGGCTCCAATGCTCGGTCAACATCCATATCATCACTTTCACCGTTGAGGTCATCACACAAGTATTGAGCGCCATAGTTATTGGTCAAGCGTTGGATAAGTTCAATAATGATGAGCTGAATGCGATAGCCTTCTGTCTGGATCAGTCTATCAAAGACATTCATCAATTCCAAAAAGATGGCTTTCGGTAAGAAGTGTTGTCCCGCCAAAGAGGGTTGAATGAATGTCCTAAGGGCTTTCAAGCAAATTGCCATTGTTGATACATCAGACCGGCCGCTGCTCGAGCTGGATATCCGTGACAAACTTTCGATACAAAGACCAAACAGAACGCTAAACAGATTGGAGGGCTTGTCTAGTTCGGTTTGTTCAGCATCTGGGTTCTTGGCTAATGCATCCAGCATCGAAGGAGCACTGCTTTCGATCAAGCTGGCGACCGCTTCCATGATCTTGAGCCACGACTTGCGGTAGTACTGTATTCAAGAGGTTGTTGTTAGTCATGTAAACGCAATACCCGACATCTTTTGTATATACGAGAAAAAAGAACGAAGACATACTGGTAGCACGACCTGCTTGGTCGCAGCCGAATACATTGACTCAATACCACCGCTAGACGAAGTCTGGATACCTTCAGCGCTACTCGTCAGTGCGACGATATCTGACTCTAGCCGAATGCGAGCATAATCTTGAAGCGAGCGCAGCCATAATGGACTCAATGCTGACAGATTGCTATCATTATGGCATTGTAATTATATCACTGTCAGCTTTCAAAGCCATGAATATATCTTTTAAAACGTTGAACGCTCTTACGGTTGAAGAATCTGTCGCAAATAATCTTGTCGGTGGCTAGACACCTGAAGCTCGGCCCAGGCATTCAAAACCGACAACTTCACCATGACTGAAGCATGGGGACTCAGATCCTTGACTTCGCCCACTCCTGTCAATTCGCTCTCGCTCTTGACTTTATCCAAAGACGACACCAGTAGTTTCAATACTCTTCCGAGCTGATATAAATCCTTGACAATACCACTACCAACATAGATGGCACATACACGGACAGCGGCACTAACAATTTCCGAAGATGAATCGGCCCCAAAAGCAGGTGTCAATGCAGCACCGATCTGAGCTGCATATTGCTCAAGCAGCAATGTTCCTTCCAAATCTGGATCAGCAGTGGCAGCAAATTTCTATATCATCCATTCGTTCAGTTATTTGGGCAACACGAGCGAACACAGATTTGCAACAGAAAACCCCTTCTTCTCTTACCTCGATCACCATCCTCAAAAGAGAAATACCCGCCAAACGAAGCTCATCGACATGAGCAGTGGCAGCAGTGAAAGAAAGTTTGATCAAATCAGGCACTCGGAACACCAAGTAATCACCAAAACCAGCTTGCTGGCGTCGTGCACGCGCATAAATCAGGTCAAAGTGTTCTCGCGTGCCGCTGGAGGAGATCATCTCGATAGTCTTTTGCAAACATTGTAAAGCAAACAACTGCGTACGCCAACGAGGCGGGATCTCGACATTGACTGTCAGTCTGGATGTCATACCCGATGCGTCTGCAACCGTTGTAGTGATATCCACTTGCCCTTCGTCACCAAATCCAGCGCCGTCATCATCCCCGAATCCGTCATCATCGAAATCATCCTCGTTGTCATTGAGGCCAGCTGGACCATCAAAGCTACCACCACGGCCGGGGTCCACCGGTGGATCCAATTCTGATGCTGCGCCTGCACCTGGCTTGGTCTTATCCGGTTTGTTTGTACCCGACATAATACGCTTGGTAATATTGACCCACACGGATGGTTCGTGCAATGCGGTTTCCTTGAGCCAGCTACGAATCACATTTTTGACGTCCGATAACCCTGGATCCGTGTCGAGCATCTTGAACAATTCGGTATCGAGGCCTGGCTGCGCAGCCTTGAACACAAGCTCGGCATCTCGCTGCACCAACTGGTACAGACAGGTGACAGCGGCCTTTTTTAGTGGCAAATGCAAGCTCACAATCTGGCTCTGTAGGTATGGAACAAGTTCTTGGGTATTGAGATGCTGTGGCGCGAACATAAGAAAATGCTGAATACATCGGATGGCTTCCACATTAACGCGCTCGTCAGGCTCCAGCTTCAGTTCTTCGACCATGTTCAAGCAAAGTTCCCGGATCTTGAATGAGGCTTGCAGCTCAGGACCCAATGTGCCGATCAGTTCGTAGATAATCCGGCCAAACTCTTGGTATGCAGAGAAGCCAACGCTCATACCAGCATTGGAAACGGCAACAGATCCGCTACCAGGTTCGTGCGTCTCACTCAGGTACAATTTGGCGACCATGCCGAGGGTACTGTTGACATATGTAGAAAACATCAATCCAGCCGCACTGACGGTCATAGCAATCGCTTCAAGGGCCCAGGCATGGACCACCGGGTGTGGATCGCTGCTCAAAGAGACAAGGATACCAAAGAGTGTTTTCAAATGTGGTGCAGCAGCCATGCCGCCGACATGAGTATAGATGTAGCCAATGGCGAGTGCACAGCCGGCACGGACATCCGGATCACGGTTGCTGACAACAAGATCAACAAGCTGTTGCATTTGTGCGGCGACAAAGGAACCGCCCAGGATCGCAGTGAGTCTTCCAATCGTTTCACTTGCAGCATTACGCAGATACGGGTCTGGATGCACAATTGCTTCCATCAAAATTTCTTGGACTAGTTGCGTGGCACGACCACTTGCAATGCCGTGTGTCGTTTTTTTGTTCGCTGAAGACATCATGTTCTTGAACGCACCCAGTAAAGCCACTGTCACATTGACCAGCACTGCGGCGCGTTTGGGCGAATTCTTTTCCAATCTGGCATCCTTAACCACACTGGCGATATGTTCGAACGTTGATTCTTGTACGGGAGGAGGCTGGCTTGGAAACAAGGTGGCAAACAACTCAATGCTGGTATCGATATAGCCGGTAGATGGCGCAACGGGACGTGGCAAGACTAACGCTTCGCCCCCGTCAGCTGCCGTGGAAGCGAATGTGGTATAGATATAGATCGGATCCAGCTCTACCGAACCGATAATGGGTCGCTCTAGTAGTTCTTCGATGCGCTGGAAACGATCTTTGGTCACCCATTCTTTGCTATGATTGCCAAGACTATCCCCGCCATCTTCCCCAAGATCATCCTCGTTCTCCATGGCAACATCAACCCTGTATCCTTGCATTTTGCTTGTAACGCCGTAACCATGGCCATCCGCAGAGCTCCATACGCTGACAAATTGACCCGGAACCGATGCGGTGACTTGCGCGTGAGCACCCGATGACGGATGGACTTTATCAGATTCAATAAATACGTTCAGAGAGTTACGCAGCAAACTAGTCAGCGACGACTCGTACGTGGATAGGAGTGGTCGTATCGTGACAAAGCATTGGAAGATGCGTCGACGAAGCATATAATATTGATCAATCAGCTTGGTTTGATGTGGAACACATGGTGACATGGTAGTAGTCGAGAAAGTGTTGGGTGCAGTGGCAAGGAAAGCAAGTGTGTTGTTGAGAAGAGCTGCAATGCGTTTAGCAACATCGAGCGTGACAAGAGTGTTGCTGTTGTGCACAAGGAAGCTGTAGATAGAGCTGATGGCACACTCGCGAACATGGAACAAAAAGGACCACTCTGCTTCAGCGCGAATCGCATTGGCTTCCTTTCCCGTTGGCTTTGGCAGGGCACTTTTCCATAAGAGCAATAGTTGGGGCAAATGTAGCTTGACCAGGTTTGGACCGAGACACATCAAAGAACCAACAAGGATCCATGCTACTTGGCTTTGAATGCTGGCAATATGAGCCGACTTACTCGGGTTCTTTAGTAGTTGTGTGGCGAGTGACATGGCGCGTGCGCTCAGTTCAAAGGATGTGTAGATGGGTCGTGCTGGAAATACGCTCATGATTGCACCGAGGGTATATGCATAAGCAATCGTTCGACGTAGAAGCTCGGGGGTTGTGCTGGGGTTGGACATATTGGATAGATCCTTTTCGAGCGAGTTGAGTGCGCGCGGTAATAGGTACGGAAGGTTAGACGGGACGGAGTAGCATACGCATCGAATGCACCAAGCAGCTGCCGTTTGTACGGCGAAGCTCGGGTGAGTTAGCAGGACAAAAAGCGGATCGACCACAATATCCTGTCACATGAAAGACATTTAATAAGGGAGGGAAGACACATAAGCACATCCCCACTTCTCATGTCTATACCTTAACAGCATTGGCACCACCACCAAGCTCGCACACAAGTGCTGATATCAAATTGGTTGCACAGATCAATGCATGTTTGTTGGGAGGCAACTGGTTGCGTTTCAACGGCGGCCAGCTCTTGACCCACTCTGCAACGAGATGCCGAATCGCCATCGCCTGGCCTTGTTCACTAAGCAGTCTTTTGCCGATTGTGCTGTGCAGCAAAAAGAATACCTGTGCACGCGCAAATGATCCGTCCGATGATGCAAGGCTTTGCTTTGTTCCATCCAGCAATTCCTTCAGGATATGGCGTGCAATCACAGCATAGTTGTTTTCGACAAATTCTGTGCCTAGCAGCACAAACAAAGTTGCGTAGGTCTCGATAATGCCGATCTTAAATTCGCGTGACACGTTCGGTCGGTTATAGTTTGTTGACAGCAAGTTCAGCATTTCATCCACGGTCATAAGCGTGCTGTTTGGCTGAATATCGGCAGCACCGCGAGCATTGTTTGCTTCTTCGCCAGTCGTAGCGTGTTTGATGTTGGGTTTGTTTGGATCAGTTGTTGCAGTCGTCTGTGTGAAAGCGAGTAGCGTGGCACAAAGTGATGATACGGCCCGACGAACTGGGAATGTGGAGCTTTCAAAGGCCTTGAGGAAGAGCTGCAGTAGGTTTTCGACGTCATGTTGTGTAAAGGTTTGTTTTGCGTGTTGGATGACAGCTTGCATGCACTAATTGTGTGTATCCAATAAGCCCTTTGCTTTAATCACTTTTTCTGTATTCCATATCATAACGCGGCACTAATAGCGTAATGAACCCTTCTTTTATTCCTTATTTCTTACCTGTGCACAAGCAACACGCATAACAAGTGCTTTGTCCACCAATCCGTGTTTAAGATGCTTTGTCAACTCCTTTAATATTGGCTCCGTTGCTGCTTTTCCTGCACCCTTCAGCAATAACGTAAATGCATTGACAGCCTCTAATCGTAATAATAACGGATTCTATGGTATGAAAATAACACCTTTTTAGTAACAGATTCAATCCATCTGGTATCCTCTCTTTACACTCTTACGTTGCTTGTTTTGATGACTTTGTTTAAGTGAGCAGCCGTTTCAGCGAATAGTGATAGCACCTGGAGATATAAGATCCAATTGGTCAGGACTCCATAGTAATTCTTGCTTTCTTATCCCGTGATTTCTGTAACGCATATAAGGAAAATTGGTTTTTTACCTTGCTTCCTGTGGCGCCCATAATAGCACCAGTCGTTGATACCGCCGCTCTAAAAATAATCATCAGCCATTTCTGCATAAGCAAGACGATCCGATTATCCTCTCATTCGCTTCTTACATCCTTGCTTCCTTGTCTATATTCTTGCTCGCATTTATCAAACTATGCAGCGCAGTGACTGTATCGAACAGTTGGCGCGTCTCGCCTCGCGTATACAGTAATACAAAACATCGTCCAATTAGAAATCGGATAGGCCTCCGAGGTTTTGCCGTTGCAAGTGAAATGAGTCGAAGCAGCGTCTTTTCCAACTGAGGCTGTGTTCGTTTTAAGGTTTCCTACGGTAATTACACGGTAAATGTTATCATTGACGGAACCGAGGGGCGTTCAAAGTGTGCCACATGTTATTAAAGAGGAGTTGGTGTTTTGCGGAATGGAAAATAGCTTACGGGATCAATGGTCTTGCACTCGCGTTCGACCTGTGCAAGCCATTGTAGTAAGTAAAGCTCTTGCTTGTCCGAGCTCTCTGCGCTTTGTAATTTCTGTTCATCGAGAACAAAGACGTCCGAACTGGATTGCGTCGTCGATGTCATATTTTTTTGTTACGTTTCCTCTCCTTTTTTCTCGATGTGAAAATTAAGTAGAGGATCGGAACGGAAGTAAGTAAGGGCTTTCTTGTCTAAAAAGCGGGGCTGAGGGGCTTCTTTGCCCGCCGAACAGTGCGTTGAAGAGTACGTTACACACTCCGCATACGGAATTCATCATACTTCTGTGGGTCAAGTGATGATGGATAAGATAGCTCGTTTATTTCCTACAAAGAATACAGAGATATAAAAATAGGGCATAATAATCTGCCCATCCTAATACAGATAGCTCTTGCTGCGACGGGTATCATTGGTATTAAAACGGCTACCGTTTGCACCAACACTATTAGCAAGAAAGTGTTCTTCAGTGCTAATAGCACGACGGATCCAACTTTGACAGGTAAACGCGGAGATGGTAACCGCAGCCGTGTTCATACATTCGGTAAATGTTTCCTCTGGGTACAAGGCCTGCGATCGACAAACTTGCGAAACTCTGCAAAGAAGCTTTCGAGAGGATTCATACGCGTTGGTGTCACCGAAATATGCTACTACCACGCTTGTTATACTCGTGCGAGCTGCTGGTGTTAATGACAATCTGGATTTGAACACTAGCTGTACAAGTTTTGTCAAGCACTGGAAAGACGGCGGACCCGGTGGCGCTTTGACTGCTCCACACCATGTCTTACAGTTATTGCAGCACACATAATAAAGTTTCTTTCCCGCTGCAAGCGAGGAACGCAGTAAGTGGGTTCATCCTTACTTACAGGACTGTTTTTGCTTCTCCTTTTCAGTAGCGGTAACCAACAAAACCCTGATTATAAATGACGTTGCGATCATACGAAAGTCAAGCTTGTTCCCGATTCAGAAGCGGTCGCCTTTTTTTACTCTTGATTAGTTCGTGATACGTTGAAACTTGTAAACAGCGTGTTTTCCAGCATTGAACCTAATATCGAGAGATTTTGCCACGGTCGTCCTCTTGCCACGGTCGTCCTCTTGCCACGGTGGAGGATTTGGTTTACGAGCGTTTCAGTCCTTCTCGGACATCCTCGATGTGCTCGCTTTGACCTCGTTTTTCTCCTATTTATTATGGCGCCATCGGTAGACCTTTATGCTCTTCTGGCTGTCGTCGTCTTTGACATACTTGACGAGATGCATCTGCTCCTTGAGGTCACTAGTTGCTGGAGTAGCTCTTTTTTTTTAACTGGAGAGGTGCTACTAGATTTCGACCGATATTGATGTGGGCAGTATCACTAGCGTTGCTGTCGTTGCAACAGGGATCATCTCTTGTTGTCGGTATCTTTGGATGCTAATGTGGGAAAAAGAAAGTATAATCTTCAACTGGGCGCAATGTCCTTGATTTTTAAGGCACAAACAAAGACTGTCTGGCTTTTTTTGAGCTTCGCCCATTACGTATTTTTTTTAAAGCTGAAAAGCAAACACGTATGCTTGTAAAATCGCTTTTTTTTTTTTTTGTAGGGGAAGCCCCCGATCGGGGTCCAGTTTATTAAAGTGTGCAATTATCAGTAACTGCCAATAACGTTAAAGATACATAGTGTACAGGATGAAGTGACTAAGACACACCGATGTGTTTTAACTACGGACCAATCAAGAGCACCAGTGAGGACCATGCATATCTTGTCATAGCGATTTCCACGAAGTGACGACCCACATCAGGACAGCAGCGAGGACAACAAGCAGCCGGATTCGAACCGACAACCTCTTGGACAGAAGTTACCCGCCTTGAACGAGTCAACCAGGGCCTGCGCCCCATAAAATCGCTTTTTATTTAAAAAAGAAAGAAAGATAATATATAGTCAAGCGGGGAAATAACAGTAGCCGAATAGATACACTTTTGTGCTACCGTATAGAGCCATCAAAGCGATATTCATCGCTACCACCAGACAATTTCGCTTCATTGTTTATGGGTGTACTAATGGATCGGAGACACGATTGGCAGATATTCTTTGGTATGCATTGCGCGGCCTTTTCCATGCGTTCTGTAAATGTTTCGAGTTTTCCTAAAGGTCCACGATCGAGATATTTGCAAAACTCGGTAAAGAACTTGTCCAGAGGATTTGAGCACTCTGTAGATAAAAGTAATGAGGATGATGATGGTACCCGCGACTCGTTTACAGCATGACTGGTAAAAACCGGTGTTGATGATGCCCCTGGTAGTTTTTCAAGGAGCTCTTGTTCTTGCGCCAAATCCGATGATACGATTATTTTCGTGAAGGGCGATTTTGTTTTAGTTACATGGTCTACAAGTTTTACTAATGGGTTGATGGACGATGGACCCATGGTTGCCTCGAAAGCATCTACTCCTCCGGTAGTAGAAATAGCGGCATACATAGTAAAGACTCGTTTCCATTGTTTTTTAGGAACGCAATACCCAGGTCGTCTGTTGCCTAGATGAGGTGTGTTCTTGCAAGCCACCTTGTACAGAATGTATGTCGCATTTCCAATAAAAACGTAGTCGTCAATGCTATCATTGATTTCTTGGCTATGGTGATCAATGGAACTCATCACAGAAGAGGAAAGGGAAGACAAGCCGACATCGTCAAAATCATCCACTTCTTTTTCGTCTCCACCCCGATCTTCTTCTTCGTCGACGAGTCTTTCCACGGTGAATGTCAAGTTATCGGCCATATAGTCTTGGAGTTTCTTCATTGACATCGGATGTAGCTGCGGAAATCGACTAAGGAGCTTTTCCTTGAGAGTGACGATCGTATGCGTTCTGTCCGTGTCAATTTGATCGCGGAGAAAAGCCGCTTGCTCGGTATCCAGCGTCGCCTTTATCCGCCGTAGTTTTTTCAGAGGACCACACGGCCTGTAACCTTGAAATTCATTCAGTAACTCATAGGCATAGCTACTGCTGATACCGAGAGAATCAGAAACGTCGTGGACAGATTTACCACGGTTGATCACCTGGTCGGCAAGTACTCCTTGAAGTTGCTCTTTGGTTGCTGTTGTTGCTGCTATTTTTGCGATAGCTTTTCATCATTATAAGTCGGTAATTCTTTTTACATATGTCACATCCAAACCGCTGCTTCTGTTCCCCTTCTACGCGAATACTTACCATCGTCTTCAGTGTCACTGCCTGTTCCTTTATACGCCATAGCGTACTTTCTTTTGGATGAGACAGATCCCGCTAGTTCCATTTCACCTTTGATATGGCTATTAATACCACCACCAGCATAATTACCAGCAGTGGTAGCCACCGTCGTCGTTGTACCCGTCATTGCTGTTGCTGTTGTTGTTGTGTTGTTGTTGTTTAGGTGAGAAAGAAGTGAAAAAAACCAACTTGCGCCCCCACATGCATGAAACTTGAAAACATTTGTTGCACCTTCCAAATCCAGCATTGTTTATGTTGTTTTTGTTGCGCTTCAGACGACATTTAGCAGCTTACAGGTTTTCTCTCCAGTGTATACAGTATAGTATAATAGTGACCCTCGTTACTGCTGCTATTTACTAGTTTATTTACCCGCTGCTCGCACATTGTTGTTCCCTTTTCCCACAGAATCGTCGTGAGCAAACGAAGACGAGTATTTTCAGTAGACACCATTTGCACAATAGAGTATTGAAAGCTATTATGAATACCACTACAAATGTCAAAGTCGAAACTCCAAAAGTGCCGCATTTTGTACAGTTTCCGCACACAGCTATCAAGAATGAAACAAAAGGATCTGCCGCTTAACATAAAATTGCACATTAACAGCATCTTAACAAACGCAATTGCTATACTTGTGTAGAAGAAAGAAGCAAGTTCTATCCTATTGTCATTAACAGCGAGCAAAGCCAAGAAAAACCAAACACAACCTTCCGCCTCTGCAATAATCAAGTTCTCCAAGCCCTGGACGAGATAAACATCAAGTGAAGCATGATTTACTTACTCAACTTCCAAGCACCCTTCAAATTTGCTTAACATGTCTATGGTGATAAGTACAATGAAAGGTAAGAATAAAGTGGACGCATAATTGGGAGAAAAGGTTGGTAAGACTTTTTACTAAAAGGATCTACGAGACCGCTGCAAGTAGCAGTAGTATTAGCAATGGCAACACCAGGATCTATCGAGATGATGATACTGACGCTAATAAATACAGCGCATCCCTCCACATTCACCCAAAGACCATCAAGCACTAACCGCTTTCATCTTTTCAGTGAATTCGACGTTTCGCAAAACTTTTGTTATCTTAAAGAGATGTCAATTCCAGGCAACTGTATGCTTTCATGGAAAGCAACGTCCATCATATCTTGTATGGTCCCCATTTGTTTTGTGAACATATTGTATCCAAATGATTCCTAACCGTTTTATTTCTTTAACTAATTATATATTTTAATCGTCCATTCGATGATGAACATGCGCGTATATCATACATGATGATTCACATATCTACTATAGCTGTTGAAGTAGCTAAATATCAATTCAGTTTTACCATAACACTGCTTAAAGCTTTACGAAAAATGAGTGCAATACACCCTTGAATAAGGCAGAGTTACACTCCATGAAAAGAAATGGCACGGACAAATCAAGGAGCACCATGGTCGCGTCAGAGGATAGAATCAAACAGATATGACCTTCTTGACAAACTGTGTAGTTTTTGATGAAACGTCATTTCAGACGTCAGTCAGAAAGGACCTTGTGCTGTTCCTACTGCATCGTAACAAGAGCGAAAATTACATCAATATTGGATGCTGTGTCTGCTTCAAGATTAATCAAAGTCAGTGTGAAAATACCTAAACGCCTATCAAGGAGAAAATGGCTAGTCAAGAATCTGAAGTTCTGAGCATTGGATCGGTGTACCGTCACTATATCGGTTTATTGGGAAAAAATGCTGGATCAGATCGATAAGTATATTTACAATGAAAGGATGTTAAATGTTCTATGTAATGCTCCTATACACGCATCCAACGATATTGTTAAACAAATTGATTGCCGTGGATACCGACGCGTGTATCTTCCTCCATACTTACCTGAGCTTGATCCATTAGAGCAGTTCTTGTCCGTTACAAAAAGCAAGATCAAATGGTTATCGACGAGAATTCCTGAAGCTCGTAGCGATGTACAGCCTACTGACTCCGTGCGTTTTGTTACACATTCGTACAATTGCTTAAGTAAGTGTCGTAGAAGAGAAGAGTCGTAAAATCCGGTGCAGCGACAGCTTTAAATAGATACAGTAGGTGAGCAACATAGGTAAGCATTGATTTCTTTATCTCTTACTATAGCTCACTTCTCATAACAAAATGATCTTCAAGCGTGGTGGTTTGTTAGACGCAATAGTTGTCCTAGAAATAACCACATTTATTTTCAGCAATGCGACATAGAGACATTTGCATATTATCATAGAAAAACCTAATACTAGTAATTTATTATTGTGGACATGCGATATACGTGACATATATTTTAGCTGCAAGCGACGTTCATAGGCTTGCAGCATTAATTTTCATTGGGTGCGACATTAAAATGGAGATACTGCAAAGCTGACTTTTCTTGGAGCAACAGCTTCCTATTGTCAAATATGAACGATCCCGAGATATTAAGCACAGACGACGAATTGTTCCGCGAAACACATTACGCACGCTACGGTTTTGAGAGAACGTAAATTCACCACAATAATAGGAAGTGAATTGTAAATGGTTTTCAGCATTTCTCATTCGATTTGTATTTCTCTGTTGAAAGGAACATTTATGGCTTAACGGTGCTGGATTCACGACAAGCAACGTGTCTCGAGCGCCAACCTGAATTTCCCTCTCACCGATTCAACACTTTTTCTATACGAGATCAAAAAATAGAAGACTCACCTGCGAGTAATAGTGCCCGTCAAGAACCACGTAAAGTATTCCTTTCTAGTTTACTACTATGAAATTCAGAAAAGGAGGAACGACAGGCATATCTCATAAACCAACCTCTATAATTGTGACATTCATGCATATGCAATCCAAACAATATAACAGTGAAAAATCCAGTACGGCATTTATTATCGGCTTCCGCATCCGAGATTGTCGCGTTTATATCGCGCGATGGATACTGGAACTCGTTGAATATTGCTTTAGGGTTGGAACCAGGCAAGAGTGAAATAATCTCTATGGATGCTGCTGAAGTTAAAGAGAAGATTTATCTCGCGATTGCCGTTGCTGAGGTATATAATGATTTTCTACGAGTATATTGTATGCAGTTCTAATACTTGAATTCGTAATGGGATACCCACTTTCTGACGTATATTTAAGAAAAAAGCCAATGACGAGTTTCAATACACTTTACGTATATTCGAAGGATCTGCGCCTTTTCTGGAACAAACGCTATTAAGCATTAAAGGTAACATTTACTTAATCTTTAATTATTGGAGCTGTGATCCTTACATTTACGTATATGTAGATACCAGCCAAATAATTTCAATACCCAGCGCACCTATGCAAATAAGCCATATCCAGTAAGAGCAAGATGATGAATGAAAGAAGTATGGTAAAAGAAGTAGGTCAGCTCTATTTTGCTAATTCGACTTGTTGTCACTATTGTAGAAAAGATAACCACGAGCTACTGTTTTTAATGACAGCAATGGATGGGCATGTTCACACTTACGCGCAACATAATGGACAATTTGTAGAATCTTCTGATTTAGCAGCACAATTTCCAGTCTTAGGCGAAATTAACGATCGTCGTATCCGGTAGGTACACCCTTTCCCTTTTTGTTTGTTTGCGGGAAAAGTACATATTTGTTTTGCCTCTAATATTGAACTTTTGTGAATCGCAAATATTACATTTATGTGCAGGATTTTGTATATGCATATATATGATCAACCCAATGGTGAAAGGGTGATATGTGCGGGTGGTCAGGACGGAGATATCATTCTAGCGTTTTACGATAATGGTAATTACGATGAATATAAAGAAATAGCTAAAATAAGGCAAGACACATGATACAATTGGGCTAATTGAAAACGCAATAAACTGGCTGCGATTTATATAGATGGCAATGAAGTCAATAGTTATAGTACACGCATCTTTAGTCCGATCACATCCGTGCTGATATTTCAACCTCGGGTATCGAAAAAAGGTAATGATGAAAAAGTTTTTATGAGTATGTACTAGCTGATAATATACTGATGTATGGATGTATTTAGTAAACGAAGATGATGTACTGCACCTTATCGTGACGTGTGCAATTGAACTTGCTATTGTCTACAAGTAAGAAAAAATAAAGTGGTCATGATCTCACATGTTATTGGGTAGGGATTGGCAGGGAAAAGTGTACAGCTTACATCGACAGCTATCTAAATGTAACTACGTGTTGTGTAGATGTATCAAGAGGAACGGTCTAGCGAAAAGCCGTGTATTACCCCAATCCGATCACTACGATAGTGTATTATGTTCGCATGTGATGGATGTAGACTGGGATGGAGAGCACGAGATCCTTATAGGCACGTATGGTCGTCAAGTGCTCATTTACAAACAAGGTAAAGGAAAACTGTGCTCAAAATATATCAGTAGCAAGCTTGATCTAAAAAATGGACATCGCTTACATAATATGGCTCTCAATGCTAGTGGCAGGAACACAAGATTACAATATACTATGGCGGCGTCAATTCGCTTATCCAATATATCGAATATCGCACCTTGATTTAAATCGTGATGGTCTGGATGAACTTATCGTTACAACAATGTATGGTGTCCATGTTCTGCAGGTATGAAGCAAAATAAGAAGTACTATTGCTAGGTCATCGATACTGTGCAAGCATGGCAACTAACAAATTTTTGGCATTTCTCTATTAATAAATAGCCAAACATGAAGAAGGCGCGTGTACGTTTGCTCGAAGTATTGCAACATGTGGATGCAAGAAAACGCCACATGTATGAGCTGATGCTGGAATGGAAACATCAGAAGGAGTTAGAAAAGGCAATCATTTTCGAGTCATGAAATAAATCGTGTACCTTATTTGCGTTTAAAAGCTAATAGCATACCAAATAACTTTGTGCTCAAGAAGTGGCCAGTGCTGGGATCCTGCTCTGCCGTCTTAGTAGTACAACACAAGGTGTATCTCTTATAGCTCCGGTTCACTTGCTTGATTCTGGCTGTATCTGTACACAGTAATCGAAATATCCCTCAACGCTTTCACTGGCTGATATTGATGGTTTTAAGAGATGATATTTGAAAAGCGAAGATATCAAATTACCCGAACTCTGTTGCTGAATATACATTGTCATTATTGGATTGTACTTCTTGGTTTTATTTAGTACCTGAGGCGGTCTACGGAATATCCACGGAACGTCCAAGGTATACCGGTTTCCAAAACGCAGGTATGTGTAGCTTCGCGAAAGATACAATATAGAGTACTACTGCAATAATTCTTAGAATTATTTCGATGTTATAAGCAACTCTATAGAAAGTGGCAGAGACTAAAGCCCAGCAATTAAAACACACAAGCAACATATGATATAGTAAGTTAACGCTATGATCAGCTTCTCGTTTGGTAGTAGTTCCCTATTCTATAACTATCAGATATGATACTCAAAAGCGTTGAACTTCATGGGTATTGAAGTTACCGTAATGCTCCATATTTGAGTACTATGTTAGAACGCCAATTTCGATGATACTAAATCCTTTGCAAAAAGTGAGGGTTAACGAATTCGGATGTTTCAGGTATGGGGACCAATTTTGCTAAGCACAACATCCGGAAGAGCTTAGTCATGTAGAACTTGAATCCAACGGACAGTGAAATAAAAGCATCACCAATCGTGCGACCAGAGCACAGAGATGCATGTAACGATCCGCCTCGATTCACAGTAATTGTACAGGATGCTTTCAATGAACTGCACGGGTGATTATTCAACTTCGCAGTCAAATTATGTATATTTTGTATTATAAAGAACTCCTCTAGAATATCAACGGCGCCTATCATCAATAGCAATCCTGTACGCTGCAGCGGCAAGTCACACATTAAACTTTGCTTTTATGCAGGTGTACATAGGTGTTTCACAAAAAGCGTGGGGTAACGGAAATATGTTTATTCGTATTCCGAGCAAGGACTCGGAAACTTGCTACTGTACAATGATATGCTTCTGCGTACGATACACCAATTACGTTGAATGTTCGGGACCACTACTACGCTTCCTATCAACGTCGCTAGTATGACTGAGAGTACTAGCACTAGTACTGTAAATAATGGTATGTACATTGTCGTTAAGATTAACGAGAGCTGCTTGTCTATATGTTACTACACGTTGGTACAAATATCTTACTTTAGAGCGCTTATCTTTACGGAATACTGTATTGGACTGGTTTTAATGCTACCACTTTGTTAGATCTGTTTTATCGTGCTTTATCGAAAGATAAGCGAGCGTATTCTTTTTCTTTATTCGTTACGCTGAAACTTCTGTTTGTAAATCGCCCAAACATTTTTCTGTGGACTAGATTACAAAGCAGTACTTCCGTCTAAATATACCAATGATAATCATGGTTGTCCATTATGCATGTAGTAACAATATACTCTGTTCAGATGCAAGAAAAGAGTTTAATATATTATCGTGCTGAGCATAATCCCGCTGTTGTATGACCTGTCTCCACTGCCTCCATCATCACGCCACTTTCTAGGCAAACAATTTGTTCAAAGTCGCTGCCGGATTTTACAAGGTATCTTACTGATCTATTTATGTTTACAAGTTGGCGTATGTGCATATATTACCTTATGTTACAGAATGAGTACGACGTACATATTGAAGCAACACGGCAGAGTTCTACTTTGAGGAAGTCAATCCTACACTATGTATACCGTAAGAATAATTGGTGGTCAAACAAAACACAACGGGAGGCGGAACGTACTTTGCTTTGCATTTACTAACTGTCAACAATCTAGAGGAATGATTAAAATTACAACATTGCTCTCATTTGACCCTGTTTATGCATGTATTAACATAATCAATGTAGTTCTCGGTTTTTTAGTGCTCCTCAATTTGACATAACCGTAGTTTTGAGGTCTACTATTGTAAACAATTGACGTGTATCAAATCAAGATTAAATACTGTGGGCGTCACCATGGACATGGTATAATAGAGTCGAAGTTTATAGAGTATACATATCGAAATATCAAACCCGGAGCTATCGATAGGCGACCGGGTACATTCAGAAGATACCATATATATGATTTTAATAAATTGATTGCTTAGATTAGCAATAGTATAGCGAGAGTAGCTCTTCGTTGAGTAGCATTACGAATGCCACGCTGTCAAGGCATATGATGCGTACTAGCGACATGATTCAATGTCTTGCATACTTCACCGACGTAAGGAACCAGCTATATGAATACACCAAATCCTATAAGATAAATAGTGCTATTATAACTCTTGTTCTAATTGTATGTATTAATTGACAACTGCACACTGTGACGTGTATCGTTTCCTTCCCCTCTCCTTCCCACATTAAAATCTAACTGAGATTTCTGAAAGAAAAAAAAAGCAACCCAGGTTAGATTGTTAAGTGTGTATACACCCTATCACTGATCCCAAAAATACATATCACGAAGGGTGGGAAACAGTGAAATCAAGGAAGCTGCCGGGGCAGAACGAAATTCACCTTTTTTGGGTTAGCTTTTAGAAATACACTAGAGAAAAAGGTGGACAGCAGATAGAAGCAGACCTAGCAGGAGCAACGACTAGCACGTATTCGATTTTGGATTCCCGTTACACCTTTTTATTCATAAGCACCTATGAGAATAACATGATGCTGTTAAACAAGAGGCAGGATTTGTCATTGACTCGCTTTCTCTTTTATAGTCGGAAATACTATGACTACAGCTTGGAAATAAAGAAATTGACCGGATCAAGAATATGTAGTTCTTGTTAAGGAAAATACATTTCAATTGCATGAAGACAGACACAATGTGTTCACGTATTTTATTACGCAAAAAAGACATTGGAGCATTTCGAAGCTACAGGAGCGATACTCCTCATTGTAAAAGCACTACAGTAATCTTATAATACGCACTGGTGTATTTTTCTTTATCTTGCTTTGATACGTACACTAATCGGCGTCAGTTTTTTGGTACACAAAGTTTCCTTTCGGCCTCCCCCGCGCCTTTTGTTATGTGATTTATAAGGTCTCGGAAGTGCGACAACAGAGAAAAACTTTATTTTCAGGTGCCTGTTAGTAAAGCCGGGCCTGAGAAACGGCTGATGCAACCGATAAAAGTTTGTATGATGTTTTTAATTGTAAAGCAGTGTTGTGTTTTTGTTGATAGTTTATAGAATTGATCCACTATCTTGTTCCATACGGGTATTATCTTTTTTGTTCGCTCCGAGGACAAAAGCAGTATATATCGCTGTTTAGGGCTGTGCACGGTTCTCAGCATATCGTTTATCTCATAAAAAGGATTTGTGTGAAAAATTCATTGGGTTTGTGTGTAGAAAGTGGCAACAAGAGGGGCTCTATTATCCATTTCGGGTAAAGTTTGAGAAACACTCTTATTCCTTCTTTTGGAGCTTTTTTTTCTTTTGCAACACACACACTGCATGCAAATCTCTGATCTCGTGTCACCAATACTAGGCGGATTGTATAAAGCGTGACCACATTGGTTTTCATTTCTTGTTATTCTACTTTCTTTTACGCTCACAAGCATATTACACTTTCTCTATCCATGTCGAGGGACCAGCAAGACGTTGAGGCGGCCACTGCGGCTGCTACCGAGGCCTATACCTCCTCTGCTTTCCAGCAGCAGTTAGCAACAGGGGCTGAGACACAACAGCATCAAGCCCAGCAGGTGGACGACAGTTCCAACGTGGTGGCTGTACCAGCTACGGGAAAACGCTCCGGCAAGCTAAAACACCATTTCAAGGAGATCTTCGGCACGATTATCGTGAAGCCAGAAGGCAGACCACCGAGCATGTGGAAGATTCTGATATCTCTAAACAACACGCAACGGCTCACGTTTACTGCTGGTACGATGATATCATCTAGCGTGATGCTTTGCTGATAGCCATTACCCATTAATCATCTCAAACTGACTGGTTGTCACGGTATATAGCTTTCCTTGGTTGGTTATGCGATGCTTACGATTTTTTCTGCGTCTCGTTGGCCGCTACATATATCGGTAAAGAAAACTGGGAAAGCTTTATTTGATTTCAAGCTCAACGTAATGCATGGAATGTATTGCTAAAAATTGTTATTCAGCCGAAGACTTTGGTGTGGAAGTATCCGCCGTTACCTGTAAGTTTCTTGCTGTGGGGTGGAAATTTAAGACACTCGCCTAAAACTAATATGTGTTTTCTCTATACAGCTGCTATTACAACTACTCTTGTAAGCTTTAAACTTGATGTGTTCTTGGTGTTGGAGTTGATTTCACAATGATTGAGTGAGGTGCATGCGCTTGCGTAAAAAAAATTCTTATATACGAATGTTTATATCCTTTTCTTCCCTTATAGATGCTGAGATCGATCGGAGCTTTGTTGTTCGGGTAAGTAGACAGAGAAACTAGACAATCTGCCGTTATTTATATGTTGACATGACAATACTTTGTCTTTTTCCTTTAGTATGGCTGCAGATAAGTGGGGACGACGATGGCCTTTGATGATTGATATCGTCTTGTTCTCCATAATCAACATGGCAAGCGGCTTTGCTCCAAACCTGGAGACATTTATTGGTTTGAGAGGTAAGTACTGCACAACAATGAAGTTACTAGATGACTGTCGTCTGATAAGAGCTGTTGACATTAACGACGATGGACTGACGATGGTTCTATTTTTAAGCTGTGTTTGGTATTGCTATGGGTGGTGAATGGGTAAATAATTCCGTTCCGCATGTTATGATGGCGGTAAACATGTATATTGATCTGTTGCATATCATCCATGATCTAAAATGTAGGGTCTAGGTGCTAGTTTGGCTTTGGAGTCTCTACCAGTTGAAGCCAGAGGATTATTCTCTGGTATATATCAAGAAGGTAAAAAGGATTCTCTTAACTGCAAGGATGTGGATGAGAGAAAGGTTGAATTTTTCTTTCCATATACAATGTTTATTCACGTATGTATGATGCGAATCTTTTGGTACAAAAAAAGGTTATGCAGCTGGTTACTTGGTGGCGACGTTAGTTAACTATGCAGTACAGAGCACTGGTTCATCGTGGCGCATCATGTTCTGGGCCGGTGCAGCCTTTGCCTTGCTCGCAGTTGCTATTCGATTCGTTGTGCCTGAATCCGAAACCTTTGAAAAGACTCAAGAGGCTCGTAAGCTCATGTCTCGCTCGTTCTTTAAGGATATTTGGATCATGATTAAGAGTCATTACCTCCGCGTTATCTACATGGTCATTCTGATGGCCTTTTTCAATGTAAGTTTATTATTGCTATGATATTTGGAATATGGCGAGCAACTCCGAGCAAGATGATGATAAAATGAGACACGGAATAGAAGATGATTTGTTTGTAAATTTTTTATGATGGACAATAATAATATCATCAGTTCTTCTCCCATGGTTCGCAAGATTTGTATCCAACCTTTTTGCTCAAACAGCTCAACTACACGACCGCGGATCAAACAATAACTAGCGTAGTCTACAATATTGGTGCCATTGTAAGTATTATTCTTTTTTTGTTGTTATCAGTAGTTTATGGCGAGTTTACTAAAATCTGTCTTGCTATCTGTAGGTCGGAGGTAAAATAACCAGGCCCGTGTGCTGTTCATGGTTGCACATTCACTATTCTTACTCAATATTCTTGAAAAGGTACCATCATCGGCTTTTACTCAAACTATTTCGGAAGAAAGATCTCAATTATGGTATCCTGCGTGTTTGTTGGTGCTTTTATCCCGCTCTGGATTTACGGCGGGAATCCTGCATTGATAAGACTCGGTTCATTCATCCTGCAGTTCTTTGTTCAGGTATACAAGTTATCTAGACTATCTATAAACTTACACTACTGATCCCTGAAACTAGTCCTTCGTTACCTCTTTCATTGCTGACTCGATTTTTTGTTACTTTCACTATCTGTAGGGTGCATGGGGTATGTACAGTATAACTTATTTTTATCTTTTGACAAAAGTTAATTTGTTTGTCTGCAGCAAGATGCAGCAAAAACAGTAACTGTGAACTCATCATGCATTAACCCCAGGTGTTGTCCCTGCACATTTAAATGAACTTGCACCTCCTGCATTTAGAGGTCTCATGCCAGGTAATATAGCCTCCTGCTCTTTCTACTCTCTAAAAACCCCAGTGTATAGAAATGTGAAAAGCCGTACTCATTGCAAAAACTATTGTGCCCATCCTCTCCTTATTCCAGGTCTGGCTTATCAGCTCGGTAATCTAGTAAGTTTCTTCGGAAAGCAAAAACTTTAAAACAAGCTCTTAGTAGAGAGAGCTTAGGTTGTACTTACCGTGTCGTCATTATCATTATCATTATCATCCTAAATAGATCAGTGCAGCATCAAGTCAAATCCAGGCCACAATCGGTGAGAAATACCCACTTCGAAACGACGATGGCAGTCTGCTTATCCGAGAAGGCGAGCCTGTTCCAAATTATGGTTTAACCCAAGCTATTTTTATGGGCTGCGTCGCGGGTTGTCTCTTAATTTGCAGTATGTCCTCTTTGTTCTTGTTAGCCAATTACATGATGTTCTATAGATACTTACTATACTTTTCCTTTGAATCAATTTAGCCATGGTTGGCAAGGAAGAGCGCAACAAAGACTTTATGGACAATCTTCTTGAAGACGAGCATGGTAATGCTATCGGTGCCAACGACATTGATGATTATCGTATGGAGCACGGTGAAGCCTCTAGTGAACGTATCAAAAATGACAAGGCCATTCAAGAAAAGGTGCATGTTGAACATGCCGAGCAAATCCAGAGTCAGCAACAAGAAAAATAACCTGCTTGTATTTTTATACTTATTATTGACTACCTTTTTCCTTGTATTCACTTTTGTATTTTTTCAGTATATATCCCACAAATCATAAAATGTTTTCACCTGCCACTTCACCCCACAGGTATCATTTACATATAACGACAGAACCTTTTTTATTTATATTGGATTATATAACATATGTAAAGAATAGAGGAGCTAGCCTTCTTACCGTATTCTTCACGCACTGTAACAAACTGGGTACTTATCAGCTGTTTTCTATATCAAGGCAACGACAGACACGGTCAGAACAGTAAAAACAAAGTCGCCGATGCCAATTTGCACTCCCTATTATGCTATTAATGCAAACCAGTAATAGTTCACTTTGTCAAGGTGAAATTTATAATTGTCACCCGAAAGGTCAAAGAGGGAAATAGAGGGAGGAATTCCATATGCCTTCGTTAGCCTTTCCAACTGTATCAACTGTGCCAACTGTATATTACTGAGTATTACTATGATAGTGTGATCTTGTTGGAAATAAAGAAAGGTTCGACGATTAATACAATAGATATCATACTTTCTAGCTTTGATCGTTATGCGGATCTACACATCGACAAAATAAGTATATTTTACTTGTGTCGATATGACTAGAGGAGAATTTACTACCATAACGGCCTCAAGATTTAAAAGCGTTTTTCTAAAAAGAGTTTGATGATACCATTTACACTTAAGCGCGGTATGATATAGCTGATCCTAAATTTTACCGAGAATAGACAAGCATTCGTGATACAATGCTACAAGTGTACCATGACCTCAAACTTTGCAATGTCGCATCCAATTGCTTTTTTATTTCGTGTGTGAATTATCTAAAGTAAAACGGGCCTATAGCTTTCCCATATCGTGTCATCGTAAAAGCTATCCCTAGTTGGATCCAGGTAAAAGGGTTATCAATTGTTCGAAACTCTTAGGCATTACTGCGAGGATAGCAAATCTAGCGAACTGTACGAGATTATATAACGAGTGGGTAACGTTTGTATGCTTCATCTGCTTTTTCTCTATCCTGCACGTGCAGCATCCAACGCGATGAAAAATATAATAGCAGCAACAACAGCAGTAGCAGAAAAGACAGCTCAGTTGTTCGGAGAACACATTGCCAGTAGCACTTCTTCAGCTTCTTCATATTCTAACAAACATAGTGCTGACAAGCAGATGCTGGTATTTACTTTACAATTAAAAAATAATTTCAGAGTTACTACCACTACTGATAATGGAAGAACCATAGCATATCTCGGATGGACTTTTGATGCGTGATTTCTTTTGCGTATCCTTGACAGTCAGAAGTATTGGCAAACAATGCTGCAGCAGTATTTAAAAGAAACATGAAATACTTAATTACTCTTGTAAATTTCTAATAATAACAGCCGCAGACTTTGGGGTACAACCATCCGACGTCACTTCAGCAATCACAACTACGTTGATGCTGCGCCCAATTAATGCATTGTTGTTTGGGTATAAAAATAAGCTAATAATACGTATTTAGAAAGTTATGGTACGTGGAAAGATCATGGTTTACGTACCAATCATTTCGGGCGTTAAACGACCACCATCATCGTATAAATTGGCAGCGAATCGATGGGGAAGGCGGTGGCCCTTAATGGTTGATGCTGTTTTGTTTTCAATCATCAATTTGGCAAGTGGATTTGCGCCAAATTTGGAGACATTTATCGGTTTGAGAGGTAAAGGCTGCAGATAAGTTACGATCTGGCTGATATCGCTGGCATTAACGATGAACGATATGATGGTGATGGCTTCTGAACTTTTAGCCGTGTTCGGTATTGCTATGGGTGGTGAATGGGTAAGCGGTAAAAACTTTGATTTATGCCGCTTAAAATGTTCCTGGACAATATTGAACCGATGAGTCATTTAGGATATTGACGCAAGTCTGGCTTTGGAGACACTGTCAGTGGAAGCGCGTGGTCTGTTTTTTTGTAATCTATCGTAAAGGTAAGTATACAGATATACTTTCTTTCAATCCACGGTGCGCGAACCGTCATCAGTATTACAACCTTCGACATTGTCTGGGACAATGGTTACAAAGGTTATGCTCTTGGTTATTTGCTATCAACCTTGGCTAACTATGCTATCGAGGCGACTGGATCTTCCTGGCGCATTTTATTCTGGTTGGCGCTGCTTTTGCTCTAGTAGCTGTGTTTTTCGTATTTTTGCTCCGAAATCGCCAACCTTTGAAAAAACAAAGGAAGCACGTAATCTCATGGCTCGTTCTTACATTATGGACGTGTGGATCATGTTGAAAAACCACTATTTACGGTAAGTATCATATGATATGTTCGCGTTTCCTTCATCAGTATACACTTGTGGATAATGTTTTTCTCATGCAAAAAAAAAGTACGATCTACATGATCATTTTGATGGCTTTCTTTTGCTTTTTAGCACATGTTACTCAGGTAGAACAAAAGCTAGCAGAAGTAATAGTTGTGGATCATTGGGGAGGGTTGTTGTTGAACTTAATGAATACCCATGCTATCAATGGTACGTAGGATTTATATCCAACATTTCTAGAGTCCCAGCTCGGACATTCTACAATGGAGCAGACCGTAACCAGCGTCGTATATAACATTGGAGCTATCATTGGTGGTATTCTGGTAGTTCATTACTCTTCAGATGTTAGCCGCAAACTTTGCATTCTCGTGTGCGCGGTGCTGGTTGGTGCTTACATTCCTTTATGGATATACGCTCACAATATACAACATTCGCTTCGTTTTGGTGCTTTTGTACTGCAGTTTTTCGTTCAAGGCTCATTTGGTATGTCAGATACTACATTGAGATGAAACGTAAAATGTGTGATTAATAGAAACGATTATGTATGAATAGGTGTTGTTCCTGCACATTTGAACGAGTTATCGCCGCCTGGCTTTAGAGGTAATACGTCTGGTAAGCAATAAAACAAAGGCGCTATGACCGTTGCTAAGAATGATTGTTCGAAATTAACGCTTGTTGCAATGTTTAAATACCATTGATGATAAACGCTAGGTTTATCATATCAGCTCGGAAATATGGTATGCTTTTCAATGGGGATATATTGTCTATAAATACATGCTCATTGTTTTTGAATTACACATAATTTTTTAGATTAGTGCGGCCCAGTTCGCAGATCCAGGCTAAAAGTGGCGAAAGTATCCCAGTGAAGAATGCAGATGGTAGTCTTTAGCTTCGCGAAGGAACGTCCATTGCTGATTTTGGCCGGGTGCAAGCTAAATTTACTAATGTGGTTGTTGCATGTCCGTAGCTAGTAAGATCAGCACTACTGATGTAATGATTATTGAGGAAAATTACAGATCACTTGATTCCTATATAACTGTGTGTTACCTTAGCGTTGACTGGAAAAGAAGAGCGCAACAAGGACTTTATGAAGAATATTTCTGAAGATGCACATGGAGGTGTGCTCGGATCGGATGATTTGGATGATTTGCAGCAGGAGCAGGGCACAGCTGATCATACGTCTCAACAGGAGGAAGAACTGTAGGAAAATCAGAAAGAGATCACACATGTTGAGATACTAAAAACTACCAGCAACCAGTAGTAGTAATTTTAGCCATAAATGCCTAAAAGCTACATATATAACGAAAGCAGTAGTAATAGCAGAAGTATTTATCAACTTTGTAAAATTCTTTGAAAATACATACATAACATCTGGTAAAACGAGTACAAGTTCGGTAAATGCCTTTAACTGTACGTTCTCTTAAATAATCAGAAACACTATTATTGGTGACTTATCAAAGTAATTGGCCCCCTCACTTACACTTCTCTATTTAGGCTACAAGATTTTTGATTGGTGTTTTGGCGCGTAACATTAACAAGATATATCAATTATTACTTAGAACAGGGTAAGAAAATGAAGAATAAGAAGGCTTAGTCCAGTAAAGTCAATAACATGGATTCTGCCACGTATTCAATAATGTTGGCGAGAAAATAAATTAAGAAGGTTAGGGCACAGAGATGCTGTCTATCGTTTACTATATGGGTAGATGTCATTGTTGTGCAACAACGGAGAAAAAGGACGAATGCAGAAATGGAGGTGGTGTGGCGATTACCTCTTTTGGCTTGTCCTTTCCATACAGTAAAGCGTAGTATAGCCTTGGTCGAAAATGGAGATCGACATTGTGAAAGAAAATCAAAGGTGGAAAGGACAGCAAGCTCTTGTACATACGAAAACATATATAATAAGGTGATGTATGGTTGTGTGTGGCAATAATTTATAACAGAAAAGTAAATAGCTCGATGCTATTAATCCTGGCGCAGCATCGCCGCCACAATAAACACAGAAACCTCATGTTCCACAGGAAAGAGACGTGCATGTCAGGTCATTATTGCGCAATTGTTGGAACTCGTCAACCACGGGGTTTCTCTCAGATAACACTAACAGCTACCACGTGCTTATTGCTTTTTTGAAGGAACAGGAGCCAGTAGGTGCTTGGCAGGACGAAATTATGCGATAAGATGTATCTGTTTATTGAGTTACGAGTTAGCTTCTGTAACTCACCAAAAAGGAAACTCAGCCCTTTCCATGTAATTCCACCCGCACACGGAGAGTGACAGAGAGAAAGCAAGTACTTACGCAAAGTATTCCCTGAATTCACAGGGAACCACCAGCGCACTTTTGACCCGTGACTGGGGTAAACGGTGAAGACAGGACTTACGGCCGAAGGCTGCCTGTGGTAGGGAGTATGCCGTTCGCATGAGGCGATACAACATCCGAAGTGGACATGGAACAGCGGCTACTAGGCGATACAGATGTGCAAGGGAGAGAGAGCGGGAGAGGGTATAAACAACAATACTAAAAACACAGAAGAAGAAAAGATATATATAAGAGCGCAAGGAAGAAGATGAGGCTTTTAACGACTTCCTCAGGTCCAAGACAAAGCAAAAAGCACACGCAACCGTCGAGATGGATGGATAGCTCTTGACCACAGCCGATGGACTACGTGACAGGTCAGCTTCTAGCAGCGGCAGCGATGTGGAGCGAGATGACAGTAGAGCATCAATCTAGACCAACATGAAGGTGTCTGTGCACTATAGCCATTCAGAGAAACAAAAGAGACGAACAGATACTGGGAAACTGTTAAACCGCGCACACATACAAGATCCTATCGTGCTACACTTACCCATACTTCTACGATGAGGCAAAGGAAAGCCGAACACACGGCCAGATCAGAGAATCGCAGCCAAGACAAAAACACTTCATCTAGGTGGAAAAAAGAAAGATCATTAGAAGGCTGCACAGTCTGTGCTATCTTTATTTTTGACATGGCATGGTTATCCTCCTCCATCCCAAGCCGGTTCCAGCTATACTTACATTTGCTTGCCGTTTCAAAGAAAAGATAAAGACAGAGAGAGGTTGGTCTAAACCAATTTATATCCAAATAGATCACCGCAGAGACTGCCTCTATTAGAAAAAAAAACTTCTATGAGCAGCTGCGTACACGACATGTACACTTTTGGACATGTCATGGCAGACATCTTCCTGGTTTTTCAAACACGCAAAGACAAACACAAGCACAAGATCCTTTCCAGCTATACTTACTGTTATGGCATCCTTGGGTTGGAGGAAGAGAGCCTTGAGTTAGAGAGAGGAAAAGCAAGAAGGGCACGACCAATTCTGGAAACAGATAATAGAAGAAAGGGGAGAGACCGCCATACTGCACACCTTTAACACGTCATCCCCAGCACCCAGGCCATCCTACTCACCTACCAATGTTCAAGTCCCTTTTTGCTTGTCCGCCGGACACGATTAACCCAGCCAGCATAAAGCGGAACCTGAAGTAGAAAGAAAGGAAGAAAGACCATAAACAGGCTGTTCTGAAGATGCAGCTACTTTTGACACATCATGACATCAGCACCCCTAACAGACACTCGACTTGTCTCCAGTTCATATTCCAATTCCTTTTCCTACCGTACTTACAGTTGCTGCTTGTGCTTAAAGGTGAGGTGCAAACGCCAAGCCGAGCCAACCGTATCAAAATGTCAGAACTCCTACAGTAGTAACAGAGAAGAGAGGAGCTCATTTCAAATCCTTCATCATCTGAGAAGTGTGATTCCTTGAAACACGCTGAATACAAGTATCAACGTATTAACTATGTATACAGGAGTATCCAAAATCTTTATGAGACATGACGATCCCGCGCTTGCCGATGTTTCATTTGGTGGAAAAATCATGGTCTTTAGTGGTGACTTTCGCCAGGTATTCAACATTGTATCCTCTCTTCTACTTTGCATTCTTTTACTATGAGTGGTAGTACTTATGTACAGTAAAGTAACTGCAACAACCTGATAATCGGTCCTTTATGTGATAACAAATGCGTCGCACTCGCAAATTGTACAGCACTGCTTAAATCACTCATCGATTTGGCCCAGCGTCATCATCCACCACCTTGAAACCTACATGCGCGTCCAACAAGCTGCAAAGACCAATGACGCAAACGAGCTTTCGCGAGTTTGCACAATATTTACTTCGCATTGGTGATGGTGCTTAGCTGTTGGTGCCAGCCACTGATGACAGAGTCCGGCTCCCAGATCAAATGCTCATACCGCATTACAACATATACGAGCTCATACAAGTCATTTACGGCAACCTCAACGCACCACACGTCGATCGTGATTACCTCATTAATCGCTCTACCTTGACTCCAAGAATGTCGACGTTACAGCAATCAACGATTTCGTGCTCGGTCATTTTCCAGGTACCATACATGAATTCCAGAGCGCTGATACAGTGGATGATGCAGAAGATCAAATCACATACCCACCGGAGCTTCTAAATATATAATGAATCCATCCGACCTTCCACCACACTCGCTGAAACTTAAAGTCGGTTGCCCAGTCATGCTTGTGTGGAACTTGCACACCCAAAGTGATATCTGCAACGGGACACGGCTGATTGTACGCTCTTTCCAACGATTTGTACTTGAAGCTGGAATAGCTACTGGACCTCATGCCGGCAACATCGTCTTAATCCCTCGCATAATACTAACACCATCACAAACACGCTCCCTCTATCAGTTTAATGGCATACAGTTCCCTGTCCGCCTGGCATTTGCAATGACCATCAATAAGGCACAGGGTCAAGCTTTCAACACTATTGACCCTCTACTTGTCTGAACCTCCTTTCATCCATGGTCTACTCTATGTAGCCATGTCACGCGTCCGCACCCCTTCACCCATCAGAATGGTGTTAGATCCTGTTGACTCAAGGAACTCGGGTCAGCAAGGCCAAAACACCCGAAATGTTGTTTTCCATGAAGTCCTTCTATTGATCGTCTAATCTCTTTTACCTTATTATCAATATCACTACATACATCATCTTTTTCAACACTTCATTTCGCATACCGTTTAAAATTAAAGATGGTTAAGTATCAAACTTTGACGACATCCTATGATAGACTATACACTGCACAATGATCTTGCTTTTGTTTTTGAAAACAGACAATAAGCATTTGATAGCGAAATACTGATCCAACCTCGCTCCACCGGGGGAGGGGAGGGTAAACCCCCTTGCGATGCGTTTCCGTTGAATGACACGGAGCGAAGCGAGGAAGGACCGAGGTTTGATAACGACGGCGAGAAGGAGTTAAATCATAAAAAAAGAAGGTTCAAACTACATATATGCATTCAACGATCTCCGTTAATGCAGCTTAGAATCACATTTAGAAACTTGGAATTGATTCTTTTGTTACAGTAGCTTTTGTTGAGAGATTATCATTAAATACAAAAAAAGCAGAAATGCTCTATACACATCAAAAGTGCTTTTCATCTCGTACAGCCTTACTGCTCTTTAGTATATGTTAAAGTGAATGTATTATTGTTAAGTAGTAGTTAGTAGTGTATAGCAGCAGTATCTGCAGCAAGATTGCCAGCCCATCATTCAGCCAATACTTTCATGCATGTCATCTATTTTTTAATACAGCAGTTAAAGTTGGTTGGTCCATGTGCTACTTGTATTAGCGAGATGTCAAAAAGTCAGCCATCGTCCGAAGTCGTACGAAAAAGCTGGCCTTCTTATTTCCTAAATGAGATATAGAGAATAATGGAAAGGGCCGCAAGATTTAACAAGAAACGATCCGTCGCCAAGAATTTTGCTTTAATGTCTTGGACAACTTTGTGAGAGGATAAAAAAAGCGGCCAAAAGGACTTGATTTGGGCACCTATCAACATCTCACATAAATTGGTTTCTATTATCCTACTGTTATTCTTCATCGAATGCTTGGATGCCTTTTTCTTTGGCAACTGGTCAAAACGGGTTAGAAGATTTCCGGTTAAACTTTAGAGTCAGATATGGTTTCTGCCTGTGCGTAAGAATATTCTTTTCCTATGAGCAAGCAATACTTTGACCTTCTCGGAAGAACGACATCAGTATTTTACAGCGTGACACTCCCCCCTCCCCTAACGAACGTGCTGTCCAATAGCCATACAGCCAAGAGAATAAGCTCTAGCAGTGGACTGAATGATGTCATAACAGCAAACCAACTGTAAAACCATCTATATGATAGCCTTTCTCTCAGTATAACACCGGAATTTCTCACGAAACAAGGGCAAGAAGGTTAATATATCTACTAGAAGTATTTACTGCCCACCTGATAAAGTTATGGCACATTATGCGGGTCATCATGTATGTGTTGTACGATTGTGACCTCAGAAACCTATTCCGTTATGGCGGGGTAAGGACATATTAAGCAACGTTCCATGCCTAGAAAGAAAGAGAACTGTGATACGAAACTGGAGGTAGCGGTGTCTTTCTGGGACACATGATGTTTTTGTACGATAATGTGTTCGTGCACTTAATCGATGAAACATCCAGCATTAAACATATTACTGCTACTGGTACTACCACTAAGTGAGATATCAGAACGGTATATGTATGCGCATTAGTTTCTTTGTGCAAGCACGAGCCTTGTCCTCGAGAATGGCACAGAACAACGCGGTCGATCGGTTGCACAGGAGCCCATGTTCGAAAACGAGCAAGAAGGCAGCTTATACATTGGCAGTATCAGTGCGCAGAAACGATTTGATCTCGGTCTTTAACCTTATAAAGAAAAAGCTGCACCGGTTTATTGCACACTCGATTAAAAGAAAAACGCCTTTCCTACGACATAGCAGCATATGTCCCAATTGCCAAAGTACACATTAGAGTGTTATTGTTGTTTTGTCACGCGGATCGAGTCGTGTAATCCAAACAATGATCCAGTAATCTGCAAGTTTCTTTCTCTTAGCTTCTTGCCTCTATTGTGTCACTTGGGTAAGCAGCAAAAGCATGAACAAGCAGCGCAGGAACAGAAGAGACATACCCGTTTCGTGCGTTGGAGTCAAAAAGCCGGTCATTTCGGTGGTACAATTTGCCTCGGGCTGCGCGCGGGCAGCCCCCAAGTGGGGGGGGACAGGTTAGGGCTGGGCTTGGTGACACCGAGTGAAAGCTTGTCTTTGGGCTACTGCGATTGGAGATGTTTCAAATCGCAAGGTTCGACGAGGATGCGTGTTCAATGGAGTTCCCATTACCAAAACGACGGATGGTTGGGTGGTCTATGTCAACCCTCTCTCTCTCTCTCTCCCTCCCTCCCTTTTTCTCCTCTCCTCCTTTTTTTCTTTTACTTGACTCTTTGTTCATGTCCGACCATTGAAAGCCTGCTTTTGCACCCTTCAGAAAACGCTATCGTGCCCATATAAACTGTCCCATCAAAGCACACCTACATACCCTCCCTCCCTCCCTTCCCCCCCAACAATCCCCAGGAGCACAGCAGCACAGCAGTAGCAGCAGTAGCAGCAGCACGCTCATCACCCATACAAGAACGAGCCATTTAAGCCTAAACTGTGGTGGGCTGACTGAATAAGACATAGAACTTGTAGTGTGTATTGTCAAAATGGTGTTGTCCTCCTCCCCCCCAAGCTACGACTCCCCCACACGCACTGCTTCTTTGGATTAATGCCTTTTCATGTCTCTTTTCTTGACAGGACAACGAGAGTGACAGAGCCAGAGAAAGGCCAACAAGCACGCTGACAGTCATAGCCCGTAGAGACACCATTATCTGCGCTTAGACAAAGCAGCAGCGACCTTCAATCAAAGACACGCGGTGGTAACGAGTTGACCTGCCAAGCCATAAATAAGATACCTAGAATACGTCCGTAAAGAATAGCATCGTTTCGCCAGTCTCTCTAGCCCTCGCATACAAAGACGACACTTGTTCTCTATACCATTAACTCGACAACCTTTTTTTCAAATGTCAAACGAATCAGCGGGATCAGTACCCGAATTAACGACTACGGCAGCAGCAGCAGATAACAACGACGACAGCAGCAGCAGACGAGGACCCTTCAGCGACCCTTCAGACGGACTGGTAAGAGAGGCAAAAGAAAAGAATTAGAAAAGAAGCTATGTTTTGCCAACTGCTGCTCACTCTCTGTTTTTTATAGCTCGTGCCCTTCTACGAACAACTGTTGAGACTTTCTTTCCCAGACAGTGTAACAGCAATCGAACACTGCCGTGATCTTTGCGCCCAGTTTGGCTTCACTGTCAAGCAAGAAGCAAGCACGCATCGAGTAAGTCAAACCTTATTCTTCGCGTGCTTCATGTCAACCTGTGTTGGTTAATAAAAAGATGCTGCTCAATATGATACTAGAACATCTATGTCTATTGTTCAAGAGAAGGTCTTCCTGACTCACTACGAAATCCAAAGTCGAACCCAAAGCGTAAACGACCGTCCAAACGTTGCGATTGCCGATGGCGCGTCGTCTTATACCAACAGCAGGGAAATTGGGTGTTTCGAAAGTCTTTGAATCCCGAAGCAGCAAAACACAATCATGAACTGATGCGGCCGGAAGAAATCGATCGCAATTGGCCAAAGAAGGTCATTGACTTCATTTATGAGCTGGCGCGCACCAATTTGCCGACGGCTGATATTCGATCCAAGGTACAAGCCGAGTTTCCCGAGCTCAGCTGGAACGAGCGACGTTTTTATAATCGATTGACAGAGGAAAGACAAAAGATCAAACATCGTGAAGCCGTAACGCGGGCACGACGCTTAACCGACATGTGGGAACGTGTTTGCGTGGCAGCAGCGGGTAACGAAGAGATGTCGGGTTACATCGAAAGCGAGCTCGCAAGGCTGTTTTCTGTAACCTGTCAAATGACAAAGCTGGATCCACAAACTCTGCATCCTCCTTTGATCGCCGGCGAAGAGGAGGACCACCAGCAAGAGCAGCAAATGGAACAACAACAACAACAACAGGCACAGACAGATGAATCGAACGCTATAGGCACTTCATCGATGTCGTCGTCGTCGTCAAGTTTACCTTCGGTTTTAAGTTCGCCTGGACAGGTAAGATCTTGGCAATTACAATAGAAGCGCATTATACTAAATATGGGATATTTCTTGTGCAGAACCAAGAATCGGGAAGCAGCGTCACATCCCCAAGTAGCTGGCCACCATCTGTTGGGGCCACATCAACAAGTGCACCCATACCTTTCCCACCGAAAAGATATAAAAAACCACTCCGTCCTGCAGGAAAGGAGCCGGCTAGCAATAAGCAGGCTGAGCCACCGAAAGGCTTCGCAACTGTAGTTATCCCAGAAACCACGTTTTATGTCAAGATACATGGTCAACGGGTCGCCAATGAAATCCAGCTTTCTCGTAATCCTCGACGGAACCGACCGACACCAGCTCAGCCCCAAGAGGCTGTAGAAGACAATGGCCCGACGCGCAAGACAGCGAGACGAGCACCACGCCCACTACAACCTGCCCCATTACAGCAAGGACAGCACCCGCATTCATCCATGCAATCTTCTGTACAGCAACAGCATACGGAACAACGGCAACAGCAACAACAACAAAGATTATCCATGTTAGATCCACAGCAACAACAGCATACTCCTCCTACCACTACTACGGCTACTACTAACTTTGTATATCATACGGGATATGACCATCAGGGCTTGCCTCTACATTCAACGATTCCCGGTTACGATTTCCAGCGATTCCATCCACAGCAGCAGTACAGTATATCACCTTCAGGATCGACAGGGTTCGCACCCCCTCCTTCGGCGCCCGTTGCGACTGACAACATGTCACCACTCCAGCCTTTTGATCCGTCCACCTCGGTCGTCCGAACTACTAACGAGCCGACAATTCATCCCGCGCTCCAATCCAACCCAGTGGCGCACAGGCCACCTCCTGCCACAATCAGGAGAGATTCCGCGCCTACCATGTACCCTTTGGCCTCTACTGCGCCCGGTGTTTATCAACTGGCGGCCGCCGCTGCTGTTGTGACGTCGCGTGAAGAAGAAATACGCGCTGCTGCAGCACATCATCAGCAACAATCGCAATCGCAGCCACACCCATCACCGCAGCAACAGCAACAGCAACCTCCTCAACCACAACAACCAGAGAGTAGCGAGCGTAATCTCTTTATGCCTCAGCAACATGAACAACAACAACATCATCATCACCATCACGGCATCATACCGTCATATCAAACCGACCATCCACCCGATACACCCATGCCTGGACGGAACCATCATGATGCTGAACCCCAATAGTGTGCAGTAGATGGTCTCCTAAATTTTGTTGTTCTTTCTTTTAGTTTAATCCAAATTCTAAAGAATCGCGACCATCTACTATGTTCAAAACAAAGAAGAAGAAGGAAAAAGGGTGTGAGGGAGTAATTGCTCGTAGAAAAAGATTAGATGGATGGAAGGAAGGAGTTGCTACTATGATTATTTGGATTTATGCTATAATATGTTTTTTAATTCTTTGGAATACTGGAGTAGAAAAAGAGAACGGAAGGGGTTTATGAAAATGAACATCAACTTATTAAAACAAGTCTACTACATCATCAATTGTTATTCTTGGCCTGTTGTGCTTGTCATCCATAGCCTATAAACACTGCCCTTATTAAACCACGTCGTACATTGTCACCCCGAACACACAGTTGACATATAGCAACATCATTAGCCTGCTAATATGTACAAAGTATGCTTGCTACCATTACTGCTACAACTAAACCAAACGCTATAGGTACAGTAATGGGTATGGATCATATCTGCATTAAGTGCTAGCAGTCGTCCGCATAGGTTACAGCACCCAGTTAATGAGCAGTACCGTTATCTGAATAAAGCCATTCATCTCAGCTACATATAAAAAGCGTAGCACTCGAAAAGCCACTGCGTTATACACAAAAATCATGCAACCAAAAAAGGCAGTCGGTGACATGGATAAACCAAGCCATATACCTTTCATCGTGATTAAGTAATGTACACTCTGCATCTCTTTTTCTATTGACCGCAAAGATGCGTGCAGGTCAAGATGATACAATGTACACATGACTTTATTCAGATGAATACTAACAGGTTGTAGCATTCTCCGGCTTGTGTATCGGTTAGACAACTCCTTTCGCCATGTTTGCATTACAGTACTGAGGCGATGGAGCACTATGTAGTGGTGACTTTTGTAGACAACTGCTGTAACCGTCAGCTTTTACATTACAGGTCATCTACGCAATTGTATATAAGGCTACATATAGTAATTGTTTTTAAGTTAAACATATATTAGAGTATCAATCCGCTATATATATTATGTATGCACTTCTTTCCTTCGTATAGTCAAAAAGCATCGCTGGATGATGAAGATTGTCAAGAGAGCAGCTCTAACATTGCCATCCGAACAGCTTATTCTAGCCAATAAGGGAATTTTCTCCTCTCCACAAACATCTCCAGCGATTACAAAGTCCAAATAGTCTAATTTTGGGATGATTTTATTTTTGATGCGTAAATTAACACGTTTGTCAATAAGAGAGTCACGATGCCTTTCAAAGTAAAAGAAAAAGTAGCCTGTTGCATTCAAACTTCGATAATAGGTATGCTATGATATACAAAGACGCATGGTACAGTTATACACCAGTTTTCGCAACCCCTTGATTTGCAATAGCTCATATACCTGCAACTTTTCTTCTGAAAGATCAATAATTCGCGCACTAGCAACCGGTATATGGTTTATACGAGTTGCACGTTATCGCGGTAAAAAACGATTTCAGTCTTTTTACAATATTAGCTGACAGAAGTATGCTTTGCATCTCATCGATGAATAAAGTGACCTGGTTGGTGCAATATAATATCTAAGAAATTGTTTATCATCGATGAGATTATTTTTACGGAACATATCGTACGTCGTCTCTGACAGATAAACAACAAATTAGCGTTATTTGACTTATTCAGTGTTTATTTCTGACAATTAAGCAAGTAAGAATTGAAGATCAGTGGTTGTAGCTGTATCATGCAGCGTATGCAGTGGGTTGAACCTGCGTAATAAAGAAATCCCACGGTTCCTGGCATGTGCGGACCGTCAAATTACGTGGGGTTGTCCTGTTGGGAGTGGAAGGGGAAGTTTCATTTGCACTGGTTTGTGTGACCATGGAAACTTAAAAAATGTCAGGGCACGTACCTCGCTGTCTGGGCAGATCTGAGTTATCCAAATTTATGGAGACACACACACATACTAGCAGAATTGCACAAGCAGAAGCTCCCCAACGAAACAAATTACGCACATGCCTTCTCGAAGGGTGTCAGGAGCATTATAGCCAAATTAGCAAACTTTCAACGAAAAAACAATCGGATGATTTCCAGCTCAACAGCTCCATAGCTGCTACTGCCTTGCTGCTGTTTCCAAATCAAGTATAAATAACATTATGTCTGTCCAACCCGCAACTTTGGAGTAGCCCATATATTAAAAAGAGAACCAGTGTAAAAGAGGGCAAGTACACGCCCTCGGGTCTCTTTTTTCTCTTCTTCCTACTTCTTCTACTCACTCGACTTGGTTAACCAACAACATCATCAACTTCAACCATGGCAGCATCAATTGATCCGAACCGAAAACTTGTGGCTCCAGAATTCGATTTGAATGAAGATCAGCTCGCTGTCTTTACTGCAACCATGGACACATTTATTGCAAAGCTGAATGACAAGGAAGTCCAAGAACTGACCGAGCAACTTTGTGGCCAACCCAACAGTATTCACACGGCCGAGGAAATTAAGGAATTTGCCCAGCACTCCAACTCGTCGCTCAACAACTGGCCGATTGTGAAAGCCTTTTTAAACCGTGCCCTGGCAGCCGACAAACGTCAAGAATTGGCCATGATATTGACTCTGTTGTCCTTGCGCCCCGGTTCGTTCTTGCTGACCGGCCACTACCAACGTTTCCAGGACTTGACGCGCCAAGAACGCGAGCAGGTCGTCTTGAAGTGGAAGAACTCGTACATTCCTCAGCTTCGTTTATTGTACAAGATGTTCTTTTCAACCACTTGCCATCCAACCTATGGTGCCAGGGACAGCGGCTTGCATCGGGGCATGCAGTATCCAGGCACAGGCGTCGCCGAGCCCGAGGATAAACCTGCTCCCAAGGAACGCTTCTCATTGCTCAACTATGACGATTTGGTGCCCCAAGTCAAATTTGATGCTATCGTCATTGGCAGCGGTGCTGGCGGTGGTAAGTGTTGTCTTTGTAATTAGGAATGTTGGATGTGAGAAAGTATAAGCTCATGGAAACACAAACTTGGGTTTGTCATAGGTGTCACCGCTTCTGAGCTTGCCAAAGCGGGTAAATCTGTCTTGGTTATTGACAAGGGCAAGTACTACCACGAGGACGACATGGAGTTGCTCGAGTCCACTGGATTTGCAAATATGTACGAGTACGGAGGGTTCTTCTCTTCCTATGAAGGCTCTATGAATATCTTGGCCGGTAGTGTGTTTGGCGGTGGTACCACGGTCAACTGGTCGGCTTCTCTCAAGGTAATATAATAAGGGCTACGTCAAGTGTGTGACAAATACAAATAGATGGTGCTTACAAAGTGAGTCTTGTTTTGCTCAGCTTCAACATTTTGTCCGCGAGGAATGGGCCAGACAAGGCTTGACGCATTTCATTTCCCCAAAGGTAACAAGAACACCACGCCAAGCAATTCTTAAGCTTGAAATAAACTCACAAATGCATACGAAATTGTTTAGTTCGCACGTGATTTGGATCGTGTCTTTGAGCGTATCGGTGCAAGCACGGCTGGTATCAAGCACAATGGAGCCAACTCACTCCTTATTAAAGGATGCCAGTAAGTTATAACTCATCTATTTTGTTGTTCTTCCCCCTCATCCCACGCCCATGGTAATAACCAAAAGATCATTCACTTAGGGAACTTGGTTATCATTCTGCTGACTTGCACCAAAACACTGACGGCAAATCTCACGAATGCAACTTTTGCTTTACTGGATGCAAGGATGGTATCAAGAACGGCACAATGAACTCGTGGCTCCGCGATGCCAAGGATCATGGCGCCAAATTTTTGGATCGCTCCAAGGTCACACGCGTTCTGATCGAGAAGGGACGCGCTGTGGGAGTTGAAGTCATTGTCCACTATGACAAGAAGGTCACCATCCGCGCCGACCAGGTCGTTGTCGCCGCCAGCTCGCTGCACACACCTGGCATTTTGCAGCGCTCTGGCTTGACCAACAAGAACATTGGCCAGAACTTGCGTCTGCATCCATGCAGCATTTCGTTTGGTTTCTTTGACGAAAACGTCGACTGCTTTAAAGGTTCAATCATGACAGCTGTCAGCAATGTTGCCGAAAATGTCGATAGTGAAGGCTACGGTGCCAAGATTGAAGTACCTTGCCTGCATCCTGGCAGTTACTCGACCGTCCTGCCCTGGCGCGGTGCTGCTCACCACAAGTCATTGATGCTGCGCTACCGCAAGTGCGCACCCATGTTGATCTTGTCGCGTGACAAAGACTCCAAGGGCGTGGTTCGCTCCGACGCGAACGGCAACATGGTCGTCGACTTTGAACTCTCGAATCATGACCGTCAGTCGATTCTGGAAGGCATCGAGCGATCGCTCAAGATCTTGTGCGCCGCTGGTGCACGTGAACTGCACACGGGACAGTTTGGCGTCGATCCTTTCGCGTTTCAGGCTGGCGAAGAATCGCGTGTCGACAACCCGCGGTTCGTGGAATGGCTGGACAAGGTGCGCAAGTACGGTTTGCCTCAGGATGGTGCAGGTATCTTTTGCGCTCACCAAATGGGTACGTGTCGCATGGGGGTGTCGCCCAAGATGTCTGTCGTTAAGCCCACGGGCGAAACGTGGGAAGTCAAGAACCTCTTTGTTTCTGACGCTTCCTTGTTCCCCACCGCCTCCGGTGTCAACCCCATGGTGACCACTGAAGCTTTGGCTCTTCATGTTGCCGACAGCATCATCAAACAGTCTGCTGGCACATCGGCATCCAAGCTCTAGATTAGAACCATAATAAGTATTAATCATGCATACCCCTACTTGTTCCCGACCCTTTCGCTTCCTTGTTCCAATGCTTGTACTATTATATCACATACTACTGATACACCCCCCCCCCTTTGCTTTTTTGTGCACGTGTTTTCTTGCTGTTATTATGATATGAAAATGCTAGGTTCGACTAAGAAAGATAGAGAGAAAAAGAAGAAACATACACAACGTAAGAGAGAAAAAGAAAGAGGGTGGGGAAAGGGGAAATGAAGAGGGCGGTACGGACAGAGAGATAAGAATGAATTATGGACAAGAAAAGAAAAGAGACGGGGGGGCGTTGGTCATAAGTGAGGAATCGGGCGATGAAAATATAAGGAGGCAGGGAGGGAAGAGCGTCAACTTATTCACTCATCCGCCTTTAACTTTTTGTTGCTGCCACCCATGTTCTCCTCGTTCCCTTTTCGCTTCTCGTAAGCCCTCGCAGGTGGGGGCACATACGCATTTCTGTTACGACCAAGCTTGGGTGGGATCTTCCAGAAGTACTGCTTGTCTTGCAGAGTGCATTTACGAGCGCTGCGGCCCACATGCGTGTACTCAGCACGACGCCACTCGACCGGATCCTCTTGACTGTTGTAATAGTACAGGTTCTCTTTGGGCGATCCATCTGCCGTTTTGCCCTTGCGCACAATTTCGCCAAAGAAAGGCTTCTCCTTGAGCGTCTGCTGGATTCGTTCGATCCAAATTTCGCGTCGTTGTGTTTTGTACGTAGGGTTGGTGCTCATGATACGTGAGCAAATGTCGCTGACTGGCATGGATGACTTGCGTGAAAAGACTAAATTGAAAGTGTTTTTAGAGACATCGAGTATAAAGATTATTCTAGTGTGCATTTGTGGTGTCTTCTTTGATCGATCTTTCTTTACCTAAAGCATCGATAATGACTTCGGCGTAATCCACATCGAGTTCCAACGGCTTTTGCTGTTTTTCCTCTTCCTTCAGTTCAATTTGATCTTTGGGTTCAGGCGAAAGTGGTATTTCCTGTGAATCCAAAACGAAATCATCCTCTTCTTCTTCCTGTTTTGGCTCTTTAGTTGGTTCGTCGATCTGTACTTTATCTTCTTCGATGCTAGGCAGCTGCACTGCTGGCTCTTCGAATGGTTGCTCCACGAGTGCTGGTGCCGGCTCTTCTTCAAGCTGCTTTGGTGATGCTTCTGGTTCCTCTTTAAATAGCTGTTGTTGCTGTTGTTTTCGTTCTGGTTGCTGTTCGTCTATTTCCTCCTTTTCTCCTACTGGCAGTGGTGAATCGACCACTACTTCATCATCCACAACGACTTCCGGCTCGAGTTGTGGCGAAGGAGGAGTAACAGGCTGTTGTTGATTGCGTCGATGCATAGGTGGCATAACTGAATCATCAGGGCACATAAAGGTAATCTTGGAACCCAAGATATCAATCATTGCGTCGTCCTTGAGTAAGATGCGATCGTGCTGACGATACAAAATATTATCCACCATGGCACCGTTCAAGCCGAGAACTTTGAGAAAATGTTGATGTGTCTCTGCTTCGTATTCGATACGTGCGTGAATACGACTGATTTGACGGTTTCGTTTGCCAATCTTGATGGTAGCATTGCCACCTCGACCAATCGTAATATCTTCACAACCACCAACAAGTAAGATGGGTTGCTTGACAGGTCGTGAAACATAGACGAAATCAACAGCTTCACTGTTTTTGTTGTTGTTGTTGTTGGTGGTGGTGGGCTTAATTTCAGATGTGTTAATTAAGTCGTCGGAATGCACATGCGATTTTTCTGGTGGTGATTGGGGTACATAACGTATTTCTTGCAAAGGTGAACGCGAAGATTGTTGCTGATGAAGCTTCTCGGGTGGTGACGAAAGCCACTCTGACTGATGACCAACGGCTATTTATCATAATTTTTTAAACAAAAATTAAATAAATAATAATAAAAAGAGAAGTTAATGATTAAATATAACTTTACCTTGGTTTTCCATGGTCTAGAGTACGTGTGTGACAAAAGAAAAAGAGAAAAGGAAAGGGCTGACCCTCAAAGATTTTTTTTTACTCACCACGACAGCTGCGTGCTTCTGCTCGATGACGCGTTCCCACCAATCAAAACGTTCTATTTCGCGTTTGCCCTAGAAAGATCTTGCAGGAACGGCTTTACTATGACCACCGTATGGTAGACATGACCAATTCAACTGGTCGATGTCACTTTGAGAACAGCAGATCACTCGCATTAGACGTTTTTGAGCTGCTTTTTTTGCAACATTACTGCCTCTCATCTATACTAAAATCTTTGATTAAGTGTTGAGTTCTAATATAATGATTGTTGTAGCCCTCTCTTCCACCGTCTACAGTTCTCTAAGCATAAAGAAGCAACTTTAGTTGTACTCGCTTCAACATAAGATGATCCAAAATCTAGATATTAATGCTGATACATGAGATGCTTCTTGATCTTATCTTAAAAGTAACGTATGCTCATCACATCAGAATGCATCATACCATTCAAAGGAAAGTTTTCTATCTTTTTTTTTAATCCCTCTTTGTAAATTCTGATTAAGGTCAATGCCAACTACGTGTACCATATGAGACAGTGCGTTTGAATATATAGGGTAGAAAAGGCCTAATGATTTTGACGTTTGACCCTATATTAAATCAAAACGATCACAACCGCGCGAGGCAGAAGGTGAACATATATAAGTGGTCTGTGTGGCTAGATATGGCAATAATCATCATAATCCAGACCATATAAAGTAGTCAAAGCGATTTATAATGGTGATAAAGCGAGAAGTATGTTTATTGCGCAAAAGGTCGGGTAACTCCATAAAGATAGAAATGGGGTAAGCTATATAGATTATACAAATGATAGGATGATAAAAAAAGCAAAAAATAGAAAAAGTAAAAAGCAACATTTCACCAATTCAAGATACTTCCTTAAACGCCATCTTACTGTTGTTTATATTGTCGCCGTTGTTGTTGCTGCTGATTACAGTAATCATTTTCTCCCACTGCATTTGGTACCGTTATCAAAATAACCACCATCCCCTTCTTCCTCGACATGTGGACTACGGCCATTAACCATGATACCTCCGTGGCTGCTGCTGCTGCCACCATTCTTGTTGCCTTTCTCATCTTTCTCCTGGTGCGCTTTTTGAACAGTTTTCGATTCCATTGTCATGCGGCGGATGTTTCTGTTTCTGTTCGTGTCTTTACGGTGGGTGTCAAAACTAGCCACATCCTCTTCAAGAACTAAAGATCGTCGATAATCAATGTCACGTCCAGCAAATTCCGGCACGCAATTTTGACTACAGTAACGAGCAAACGCATCATAGTTATTGATCGTGCCTTCGCGAACCCATCGTTTATACGCGTTGAGATGGGTTGTGCGCGATCTTTTATGGTTTGCGAGCCAGTACGTCAGTTGCCGGGACGTAATACCCGTCTTGGTTTGAACTATTTTTCGTTCCTTTTTGGTGGGACGACGTCCGTTTCCAAATGCTTCGAAAAACAATACGTTCAGCTCGTAAGTGGTTCGTATATCGTATGGTTTTCTTGTCACTGGTTTTCGATGATGATGCTGGACATAGTCGTGCTTCTTTTTTTGCTGCTGACTACTAGCGGTAGCGACGTCGAAATTGTTGGTGATGCCACTACTACTACTAGCAGTAGTGGTTGATGCTACCACTTTATGAATGCTCTCGCTAACGTTAGTGGTGGTAGTAGTACTAGTACTATCGTCACTACTTCCAACAACGGCGGTGGTGTTTGTACCGAGTTGCATCGCTTGATGGATGTGGCTGTCGGAACCGTTGGTGATTCTGCCGCTATCGCTGCAATTACTGTTGCTGGCGCAGTCGTTGCTGCTGCTGCTCGCAACAAGAGGAGCTGGTGCTTGTTGGCTATGACAGACATTGTTGATTGTGGCAGATACTTGTTGGGTAGCTGCACTACCACTATAAACACGCCTCAAACCACTATCGTTATGGGTGGTAGCAGCTGGTAATGCCGAGGACGATGGGAAAGTATTATTGCTGCTGGCGCCGTCAGTCGTTGCTAATCGTGCTATCGTATTGGCCATCAAAGACATTATGTGCAAAATTTCCGCAACTTCTTCCTCTTGCAGGTAGACCATGTTGTAATCGCTCTTGTTGTTGTTGTTGCGAAGAGGGAGCGGGAGCAAAAAAAAAAGAATTAAAGTGTGAAGAGATCAAATTATGCAAAACTTCTTAATATTACGTTCGCTCATCGTCACTTGTTCACTGGCCACTCAAAAAAGCAAGAAAGTTTATGCTGTGGCCAAATACAGAATATATTTGATATATCATCAAATTCTTTTCCATGTTATTCTGATAACACATAGGGTGTGCTCATATAAATGAGCCGTTTACTGGTAATATGGTCTGTATCTTGCCAAACATGTACGATTGTTAAAATATTCTGAGGGAGTAGAAGATAACCATACATAATGATGCGAACTTTCTTTCAACGAACGCTATGCAGAAGGAGTCCGATATACATAATTTAGAAACAGTATAATTCGGTCACAAGTGCTATAGATTAACGAACAGCAAAAGAAAAGGAAGACACACGCTTGTACTACAAATCTAATTTTATAGGACTACGATTTAGGGGTTTCTCTAGTTATACATCAATTGTCATTATCACTGTTACTACTGCTGTTTAATGGTTTTGAAAGCTTAAAACTACGACTTCTCCAGCAGCATTGGTGCTGTCGTCATCTATCATGCTGCTATCATCACTATTCTTGTTATGGCTGTTGCTCTTGTCAATTTTGTAGTCGTCACGGTGGCTGCCAAAATCGTCGTCTTGCTGCTCTTGTTCAAGCTCATCAAAGCTTTCCTCTGGTTCTTGAGGCAACAAGGGTCTGTTGTGCAAACTACAATATTCGACGAACGCATCATAACTATCGATCAGGCCCGCTTGAGTGAGTCGCTTGTATTCTTCAAGCTGGGTTTCATATCGACGCTTATGATTCGAGAGCCAATAGGTCAATTGTCGCGAACTGATGCCCGTCTTGTTTATGATGGCGCGTCGTTCTTCCTTTGTGGGTTTCCGGTCTCTTGATCCATATGACTCGAAAAACAATACGGTAAGTTGATAGCTGACATTGTCAGCATACGGCTGTCTTCCTCGACGTCTTGGCGTGTGCAGATAATGCATGTATCGGTTACGGAGTTGTTGCTCTGATTGTCTTGGGCTGCTAGAACTAGTGCGGTTGTTATTGCTAGTGTCGTCATTGATGTTGTCATTGCTAGTGCTGTTGTTGGTCACACCACCTATTGCATCAGAGCGAATGCTAGAACTTCTGCTGCTGCTGCTGCTGCTGCTACTGCTGCCAACAAAGTTACTAAACGTTAATTTTTTTCCCCCTTCTTCTATCTTCTCCTTGACAGTAGTGATGTCGCTAGTGCAAGCAGTGGTTGTCGCGTCACCTCCTGTTGCTTGCTGTGTTATATTAGGAGTAGTCGAAGAGGGCTCTTCATTTGTTTGCTGTTTCACTTGTATATATTGCGCTGTAGTTTCTTGGTGATTGCCATTATCGTTGTTGTTGGTGCTGTGCTTGGCAGATCTAATTACTCGCCGACGGATGTTGTTGTTGTTGTTGCTATCGTCATGTTCATCTTTTACGGTTCGATACCACACGACCCTCTTGCGTTTTTTGTTACAGATGCTGCTATTGTTGTCAATGGATGTGGCAGTGGTGCTCGTGGTGGGGTCAATGACGTCTGCAGATGCAGTGGTAAGATGTGTCGCAGTGGCACCATTGTTACCAGCGGTAGCATTAGCAGCATTCGAAGCATCGCTGTCACTTTCAAAGCTACTGGTTAAGCGGCATATGGTGGTTGCCATCAAAGAAAGAAAGAGCAAAAGCTCTGCTTCTTGAAGCCGTTGCGGATGGGCCATTGTTCTTTGTAAGTAAAAAGAAAATACCGAATGCAAAGGAAGAACGAAGGATTGAGTTGAAAATTGGCTTTGGTATCCTAATATACTTTTCCGTGCAATATGTGGAAAGGTCACAAAAACTAGCCAACAACAACAATGTAATGAGTAGCTGTTGTCAAATAAAAGCATCGTTACGAATTTTCTTATTCTTTCTAATAACGAGAACAAACGAGTTGTATACATGAATGTAAACACTGCATTCGTATGTAGTTATTCGTATTCCTTTCTAGTATATGCACCATCCTTACATTACAATACATACATATCTTCTTATCTCTTTCATTGTTTGATGTACGCACATTAAAATGTGTATTTTTAGTATATATAGACAGCGACAATGAGTAATACATTGGTGTTGACGCTGTTTCAAGGTTCAAACTACTTTTTCTGAGATGGCCGTTTGCTGTCGTCAATTGCATAGATGCTCATATTTAATACAGTAAGGTATGAGGAACATCAAATGAGAATCTGCATAGTGTGTGGGAACTGTAAACAGCAGCAGGGACTAGTCGCGATTATGTAAGGAAAGTCAGAAACGGATCGGAATCTTGTGTTCATGTGGTCTGGACATAGAGCTGATCCGAAGAGCACGGCACGTAAAGGGCGCAAGCATCGATGACGAGCCATGGAATAAGTGGCTTAAGCGTCGCGCCTGACCTCTCGGAACCCAGGATTTGGAATGATGTCAACCCGTTCCGATCTTAAAGGGAACCTATCTGCACGCTTATTCTATGGGCCACGGAAAGGTTTCTATCCCCGAAGGCTTACTGTAGTATAGGGATTTACGGTTCCCACGATTCCGCGGACCCTATTCTTCTCACTTCGGATCAACATTAAATACAAACAGGTTAACAAAGGTCAAAGTGCGTAACTAAGGCTTTGAAGCTGTATCCAGTAAGTCGTTTCTCCTTAGCATTATGCATCAGCAATGAATACCTGCTATATTACTCATGCATGTTGTTGACGGATAGATGTCAACACTTTACTACCAGCATTCCCCCCCCCTCCCAAAAGAAGTTAGTTACCAAACCGCGGGGGATAAAGTATACCTTTTTTTTTCTGTCTTCACCATCTACACCGTAAGCTGCATATACCATGTACCCTTGTATGCACTTTTTACTGCATGTGGCAAGCGGAAGAAGGGGCTGAAGAGACCATTCCAAGTGTGTACGTTCTAGAGTCCATTTCTCTCTGTTAACGCATAAGCACCGTTCAAGCGGCAGACCAAAATGGGAAAAAACCGTTGTCAAAGAAGAAAAAAAAAAGATATACCCTGCTTATATAACAACCGTTTCTTCTCTCTCCTCCAGTGACTGTCCCAGCTGTTTCCCGGCTGCTATATATATATATATATATATTCTTGCCGCTAGCTGACTCATTCCCTATATAACACTCTCTAACTTTTATACAAACCCGACACCTGTTTCTTGATTCTGTTAAACATGGCATCATTACCCGGAGCTGATTCCGGTCATTATCCGGAAGATTTGGAACTTACGTAAGAGCTTATTTTTGTATTGAAAACACGATTCTGTTGTTTGCTCGTACTTTTAAAAGAAAGCAAACTGACCTACTTCTTTCGCGTGCACGTTTGTATCCTTTTTTTTATATTACATAGTCTTTTGCAAGTAGTTCATCGACATGGTAAAGTAATATGGAGTTGTTTTGTCCTTCGCAAGTGAAATTCTTGTTCACAAAGGAAAATCAAAAACTCATAAGAATATGCGACACACTAGGCGAACGAACACCCGTGAGAAAGCGTTTAGAGAAGCTATTTCCAACTGTTTGGAAAATGTGTGATGCCAATGCCCACATGTTTGCTACTATTGTTTCGCTGGATCCCAGCGCACAAAAGCAGTTTGTTCCTTTACAACGATTGGTGGACGAGGATGCCATCATTAAGAAGCCTCACGTGCATTCACCAGGCGCTTGGTAAGCAAAAGAGGGAAGACCAAAAAAAAGAGAAAGAAAAACTGGGAAAGGAAAAAGCTGAGCCCTATCTTTTATTGGACTAGTTACTATGGCCAATTGACCAACCTTGGCCGCCACAGTATGGCTACATTGGGCGCACGCTTGAGAGAAATTTACGTTGACAGGTTTGTTCTCTCTCCTTTTTTTCTTTCACGTGTTTCTCTCTTTTATTTTCTGTAAATACTGAAAATTGAGTGCCATTTTCCATATGCAGACTCAAGTTCTTGCCTGACATATATGACCAGAGCATGGTGACGATCCGTAGCACGGATTATCAACGTACCCAAGAATCAGTACAGCAGTTGGTTGCAGGTGGTTTATATCCAGCCGACAAGCGCGGCGACGATTTCGTTCTTCAGATTGCCACTCGGTATGTCCCAAAGCGACTCTAGTTGCATAGAGTGCTTGTGAATGACGATACTGATTGGCTGTACACTTTAGTGATCCAGTAGTAGAAAATATGTTCCCCAATCCAAACTGCTACAGACTGCGCCAACTGGCCAAAGAGTTTAAAAAGGAAGTCGATGAGAAATGCAAGGACAAATTCGAATCACTCACGGAACGACTCAAGAATCATGTTGACTCGGTGTCTTTGGATAGCCATCCTTCTGCGAACGGCATATTAGGTAAAGGATGTGTTTTGTGAAAATTAAGAGATGGTTGCACACAAGAGAGAGAAAAGGTTGTATTAGGTAAGTCAAGGACTAACATACGATTATTGCCATGACTGTGATTATTCTTAGATACACTCGTTGCTGCACGAGCCCATGGATTCGAACTCCCTGTAGACATTGATGACGGTGTGATACGCGATCTTGAGGATGTGGTTGTACTAGAATGGTTCCATGGTGTGATGCGGTCGGACGAGGCTCGACGCCTCTCTACGGGAAGAATAGTGGGAGAGATCCGTGATCGTATGGCTGAAAAGGCTATCGGAGTCAATGACCGAAAGCTCCATGTCTATTCTGGTCATGATACGTAAGTATCTTTTTTTTTATATGAAAGCCACATTTATTGACGGGGGGGGGGAAAGGGGAACCTTTAATAATGAGTGTGTAATTAACGCATATTTTAATACTAGTACCGTTGGACCGTTGTTGATTTCGTTGGGCGGCTTTGACAATCGGTAAGTTCAGACTGACTTTTGTGCAAGTGTTGAAACTTTAATGACCAGATTTTCACGTGTTAATAATGTGCAAATTCTGAAATGTGTTGCGCCGCGTGCACAGATGGCCACCGTTCAGTAGCTCCGTCATTTTCGAATTATTTAAACAAAAGGGAGCTAGTCCAAGTTGGACATCGCGACTGTTTGGAGGACAGGAAAAAGGGCCTCATTTCGTTCGTGTACGTTACAACGACAAGATCCTTGAGCTGCCTGGCTGCCAAGCAGCCGGCGACCATCATGAAAGTGGCGACAAGTCGCTGTGTACCTTTGAAGCATTCCAAAAGATTGTCAAAGATCAAGTTCCTGACAACTGGAAAGAAGAATGCGCATACCGTTCATAAAAAACGTACTGGCTGTTTATTAGAATATCTTTATTATTTCTTGTTGGTAATAAATATGAATACTGCCGTATTCGTCGTTACAGTGACCAGATCTAATTTATTGCTGCCAAGTTGAATGTTTGTATACCACCTCCTCCCGCACGGGTTTTGGATTATCCACTGCATGGCACATCCCCCATTTAGACTACACCACTTGTATATCCGTTGTTGGCGTTGTCTTGGTCATTGGACTTCTTGTTGGTTGTTCCGTTCTCTTGTTTCGGCTAATTGGAAATCAAAGAAACACTGGAAGGAACCTATCGGGAAACCTGCCTGTGAAATGACAGGAACAGGAACATGGATGGTAGCTACTTGTCACTCTTGGAACGCCATTGGAGTCTTGCAACAGCCACGCTGACACGGGAACACGAGTCTTCTTTTGTGGAGGGAAAGAAGGAAGAGCTGATCGTGTAACCATGGCCGCTGAAAGTGCGCGTGAAAGTGAGAGCCGGTGTTTTATAGTGGGTGGGAAGACAAAGTCTCTTTCTTCGTTTTACCCCGCTATAACCCACACACATATCACATATTCCCTCTCTCTTTCTTTCTCTTTCTTTCTCTTTTCTTCTTCAACCAACAACAACAACAACACACTCTCCTCCCCCCGTCTTCCTTCCCTTTCTTCTTTCTCACCTTTGCTGTTTCAATGAATTACTCACAACCGAATCCTTCGCATGCGTCATCCGTTCCCAGTCAGTCATTACCTCCACAGGAATGGTATACCCAGACAGCTCTCAGTAACAATTATGAGGCACCATTGCAGGAGCCCGTTCCATTCGAGGGTAAGAAACATTCCGAGTTCGAAGCTTAATTTTTTATTTTCTTTGTTTTCGAGCTTGACGTTAATTGCTGTTTTTTCTGTCCCTCTTTTCAATTCTATTTTATCTTGACAAAAAAAAAAAAGAATTCCAATTCACGTTTGGCTTGGGGCCTGACTTTGCCATGCCCGTACCTCTCGATATGCCGCCCATGAGTGACACACCTTTACTTGACGATTCACAGTTCCAAAACTTTGCAGCTGCTGCAGAAGCAGCAGTACCAACGATACCTTCTTCTTCCTCCTCCAATATGCATCAACAACAACAGTTACAAATACCATCCCACCATCACCAACAACAACCACTACTACCACCTCACCATCACCACCATCCGCAACAACCAAAACAGCCATCATCGACCGTTTTAAACGAAGACGATCAAAGAGCATTTTCGCAGTTCCTGGATACCTTTTTCATGGACCAGGACATGCAGGTCGACCCACTGCCGAGTCACATGTCTTCGTTGTATGATGATCAATATCCTGCTCAAAACATGGAAGAACCACAACACCATCATCACCCCGCTCAGCAGCATCAGGACGAAGGCGAAGATGAAGAACGGCGTCGGACATCCATCTTACGGTCTTTGGATGAACAAAAGCGACACCGTCAACGGTTTCTGACCGTCAATAACAATACCATGGACCAAAACAGTCATCCTAATCATCATCATCATCATCATCATGCTGTGGAATCCAATAAGGGTGCAACTTCATCGTCATCATCCTCTTCTTGGACAACTACCCCATCGCCATCTGCGGCATTCCGTCATGATGCCGTTTATTTAAAAAAAAGTGAAACCATTTCGTTTCCGCGACAACAGCAACAACAACAGTCACCACCTCATGTACCCACTATACCAACACAGCAACCACAAGAACAATCCATGTCAACCTCCACAGCATCGTCATCAACACTGTATAAACGACCCAGTACCGATGATCATGATGAAATAGCAATGAACAAAATGGCAAGAAAACGAGCTGATGGAACTGGAGGAGGCGGAGGCGGAGGCCCCACACGTTCCAGAAGCAGACCGCAAAAAGAGTTATTGTCAGAAGCTGAGAAACGGGCCAACCACATTGCTTCTGAACAAAAGCGGAGGACGACGATTCGCACGGGCTTCAAGGATTTGACGGAGATTGTGCCAACGTTGAAAAACATTAATAACAGCAAAAGCACAGTACTCTTCAAAGCGGTGGATTATATTCGGTACCTTGAAAAGCGAACCAGATCACTTAAAGACAAAGTCGGTGCATTGGAGATGCGAGTACAGGTGGAAGGTCGAAAAGAAATCATTCTACAAGACCGTTCCACGTCGTCATCATCGTCTATGGTCGTCGATAGTGCTCCCGATGCTACTACAACGAGTACGAGTAGTACTAGTGGTAGCGGCAGTAATACCAATAACAGCAGTAATAGTCCGCTCAATCATCATCATCATCATCAGCAGCAGCAGCAGCAGCAACAACAACAACATACCAACAGCAGCAAGAGTCATAGCAAGGACGTAGCGGCATGCGCACAAGATGCTTTAGAAAAGCACAAGGAGCATTTGAAGAGTCTGATGCAATTTCAAGAACAACTGCATTTTCAGCAGAAATTGATGGCGCAGCATGAATTTGGTGGCTCACCTCCTCGACCCACCTCCAGAGCCTTCCGGCCCGTGCACGAGGAGAGCGATGCGCGCATGATGGGCTATTCCAATTCAACGACAAGTGCAGCAGCAGCAGCAGCAGCAGCACCTGCATCTTCTCGAACCGATACCACCACCACCACCACCACTGTTACTACTGCTACCACTTCAGCAACTTCAAAGGCCACGGTCTCTGCATGAAACTTGATTTACCCTCCCCTCCCCCCCTCTCTCTCTCCCCAAAGCTCAATCACATATATACACACACACACACACGTTCCCTCTCTTCTTTGCTTGTTTCTTCTCTTCTTCTTTTGTGTAAAATGTCTTTTCTATTACTCTTTCTTGTCTTGCTTGTACATTTTAAAAATACTACTTACATCGTCAATAACAACAGCAACTGTGGAATGGAAAGCGCGTGGAACGCCAAACAACACCGCCGCAACCACGTTTTGTTCCCTTTTATTACGTCGTTTAGACACTGCAATACTACTCCGTACGAACGTTCTAAAAAAAAAATTGTATATTAAACGACACAACAGCAACCTTGGCAAAGAGACTGGAATGCAGACAACATCTCAATCACCAGATACTCTCTTTCTTTCTGAGTGTCTCATATAAAAAAGAGAGAGAGGGCATATCCTCCTTTCTTCCTTTTCCTGTTTCACCGTATATAACTTTCCGTTACTTGCAAAGAAAAAGAAACGATGATGATCGCTGGAACTATCCTCAAATCCTTGGTTGTTGTGCTGATGTTTGTCTGCATGATCCATGCCGCTGGCACTGGTGCGAAGAACGACAAGGGCCTTCTCGACTGCTCCAGCAAGGAACAATTGAAGGCTGCAAGCAACATGTGCATGTCGCACAGCAAGCCTAGCAACCACATTGCCTGTGTCTGCCAAGAAAGCATGCCCGTCTGCCTTGCTGCTGATATGACTGGTGCCATCACGCCGTCCGTTTGCAGCGACAAGACCTATGAAGCCTGTGTCAGTGCTTGTGCCACTTCCGTCATTGCCGTCAAGTGTGAAGGCAACAAGGCCAGCAAGTGTGTTTCCGCGGATGCTAAGGCCAAGAAGCACCTTTTGAGCCAAATCTAAGTGAATGATCATATGTATCCCCTCCCCACCCCCACCCCTCTCAACCCCAAATTCTCACTCCCATCCTATTCAACACCCCGCTCCTCACAAAAAGGACAATCTCGTCGTTTAACTTATTTTTTGTTGTTGTTGTTGTTGTTGGTGAATATATACGGGTTACATCATATGTATGAGTTGTTTGGAATGTGTGGATCAGAACAGGGTGTATGGAGCGATAACAATGGCGATGATGGTACATAGTCTCTTTTATAATGGGTATAGTGGTTGTGTCTACGAATCGCAGTGGGATCATGACGAGCTGGTGGTAACAAAACTCGGTGATCGAGCGTACTTTTTCAATAGCTCTTTGCGTCGACTCAGCCATGTTTCTCGTTTCTTTTGTTGTACACTGCGGTCTTCCTCTTCTTCTTCTTCTTCTTCGTCGTCGTCGGTGTGTTGCTGACCATATTGATGCTGTGGCTGTTGTTGTTGCTGGTTTTGTATTGATAAGGAAGACGACGACGGAGAAGGTGGCGCTGGTCGGTTCCACTGATAAAACGTTGAGGTCCGTTTTAAATAGCGTGAGCGAAATGACGAGGATAGCAATGGAGAACGTTCATCTCCTTCTTCCAACAGGCGATCAGGGGTTTCTTGTTGCTGTTGGCGTCGGACACACTTGTTCCAGCAACAGCAGTACAGGATGAAAGACGTAGTGACGAGTGCACTGACACCGAGAACACTCAAGGCGAGAATCGTCATGGTGTTGTCCATGGAGGTGCTCCACATTATAAATAAATTGTGTTTGTAGTCTGAAGAAGAAAGAAAGAAAGGAAAAGAGTAAACAAAAGAATGCAAATAGCGATGCGTGTGACCCCACTCACTCACTCACTTTTACTTTTTTGCATAAGTGTGTGAGAGGGACTGACTTGTAGCGTGCTATAAGAGGGTGATGCCCGCTGGTTTAGGCAATGGTTGGGAGCGGTGTGTGTGTGAATGAGCTGCTGATTGCGCGTGCCAGATTGCTATATCCTTGACCAGACCAGCAACAACCGTCAGAGCAGTGTGTCACATGCCATGGTTTTTGGGCTCAGTGCTGCTAGTCTCTCTCATTTATCTTTTTCTTCTTCACTCGCTCTCGCTCTCACTCCCACTTTCTCTTTCTTTTACTCTCTCTCTCTCTCTCTCTCTCTCTCTCTTTCTCTCCTTCAGTGACACACCTACCTGCCAATATGAGTAGCATCATGGATACTGCAGTACGCAAGGCAACGCGTCTTGACTACCAGCCTCCGAAGCAAAAGCATTTGAACAGTAAGACAACCCTTTTCTCTCCTTTTCTTTCTTGTCAAGACATTCTCTTCCTATATATGCTGAATCATGATGATTTCTGCTTTGTGTCGTTAGCTTTAAACGCATTGACCTTTCAGTATCCAGCCAGCGTCGGTGACATCGTCGATTTGCTCGAACGACGACTGCGAGAGAACTCTTGGATTGTAAAATATCGAACCATCTAAATATGTGTTGTACGGCAAAAAGAAAAAGAAGAGATATACACTCACACACACGCTAAAATTAACCGCTTGAAAAATCTAGGTCACTTTTAAAGTGTTAATCATTCTGCATACACTGATGAGAGAAGGCAATGGCGACAAGGTCATTGCGTGCATTGACAGTCGACCATCTGCATTGGATACCACAAGAGTGCGAGAAAAGTCCTCTGGTAAAGCTATATGGAGAACAGAAAGGGGAGAGGGTGGGTGGGGGTGGTGGGGCGAGGAGAAAATACAAGGCAGACAAAAAATAGATTTTCATGCTAAAATTGCCCATGTGTATATTATATGCACGAAACTAGGAACACTGCAAATCCAAAACATTTACCTGTACTCACATTATCTTCAGCAGAAAGTACACGTTTTCCGGCAACTAGGGATGGATCACGTCAAATACACAATGGCGCACAAAACGGGCAAGTTGCGACACTTGTCTGTTGCCAACGGATTATTGAAGGAAACCACCGTCGTACAGAAATTGATCGGCGCCTTGTTGAAGTGCAGTGTAAGTTTTTTTTTTATTTTTTTACATCTAGATCGCTCTATTGGAACCAGTTCTCAGACTTTTTTTTTTGCAATACACAGTTTCAATTTGATGACGGCGATAATGGGATTGGACTCAATGCGTTCCGGCTACTTGTGGAGGATCTCTTTGTGTTGTTCCAGACCGTCAATGAAGCGATCGTCAACATTCTTGGTATGTGCAAAAAGAAAAAAAAAATTGTGAACAGAAAGAAAGGAGGTTGACCAAGTAAAGTTGCCTTTCTCTATGGATTTCAATAAAAACAGAGCATTATTTCGCCATGCCAAAGCCAGAAGCACGGCTGTCACTAGAAGTGTATAAAAGGTTTTCGAAACAGACCGAGCATGTTGTGGCCTATCTGAACCGTGCAAGGATTTTGGAGAACGAGCTGGGAATCACTATTCCGGAAGCACGCCACGCTCCACTGTCATTAGCCACCGCTCTAGCTGAATACCTTAATGATGCTGAATCTTCTACTTCATCTCCGAAACCGAAGCAGCAGCCCAAACAATCACGTAAGGCCCTCCCCTTTAACCCTTCCGTACGATCTCACAGTAGGAAAAAACAAAGTTATTGACAAAACATCTATACAGCATCTAATACTACGCCTCTTACAACCAATGCAGCATCACAGCAACAACAACAACAGCAACAGCCTAAAGAGTTGATTGATTTCTTTGCTAGTCTGGAAAATGAGCAAACTGCGGTGCTAGCAACGCAACCGACTGGTATGGCAGCAGCATATAATCCATTCCGGACTACACCAGCACCAGTAGTAGCCGCTACACAGCCATCACCTTCAGCATCTTTATCCACAGCCGCACATAACCCTTTTCGAAGCACTGTAACACCTCAACAAAGCATATCTACACCTACTTTCAATACCACATCCACTACTGCTACTACTATTACAACTCAACCTACTAATAATAATGCATCTTTCGCCGACCTATCATTCTTTACTCAACCTATCACTCATCAATCCCAACTACAAATACCACAATCACAGCAGCCAATGATGATGATGATGACGATGCCTAACACTCTAATGCAGCAACAACAACAACAACAACAACAACCTACTACTACTTCAAACAACAAATTCAACCCGTTCGCTAGCCCTAATCCTTCTACTCCTGCTGCAACCCCAACAACACCGTTTCAACAACCCATGATGACATCTTCGCTGTCTACGACGGCAATGGGAGGACCCGTAGGAGTCGCTATGAACAGTAATCCGTTCTTCAGCCATCAGCAACGACAGCAACAACCGCAACCTGCACAACAGCAAGCAATGTGGTTCTGAGATTCAAAAAAGAGGGAACTGGAGGGGGTGGTGTGGTAGCAAAAAGTAAAAAGTAAGAAAAAAAAAAAAGCACTCTTTATTTTTAGTCCACACACATAATAATAAAACCATGTTCCTGGTGAACGCAACTCGTCAATCGGTCGTAACGAATGCTCGTCGTACATATGCCACGTCTGCTAAGCCAAAGCGACGTGTTGGTGCTGTCAGCGGCGGGTAAACAACAAAAAAATAATTAAAATACTTGTAAATACCAACAATTAATGAGTAGTGACATTGGTAGTAAAATTATGATTGTGTATATGCAGTGTCCTCGGTTTTATTGCTGGCGTCGGTGCTGCATTGGCCGTTTCAGATAGTTTCCATTTCCAGGACGAATATGTAAAGTCGACGCGTCAATTAGCAGCATCGGTGGACGAGTTGCGCACTTCGACAGAAAAGGTAAATCACCTCGCAACTCGATATTTTCCCTTGTCAGGTCAAGGGGCAAAAAAAAACAAGCTAAATCAGTTCAACTAAACTTTGGAATTATAAGGTACGCGAATATGCCGATAGTGTCGAACGTGTTGATCGCGATTTCGCTCAAGTGAAAGCCCAGTCTGTCAGCGCAAAGGATCTGGAACAACTTAAGCGCGATATCTACAAATTACACGTACGTTTGTATACTAGCGAGCGTAAGAGTGGCGCGCGGCGTTGGTGTGCTTTATACGATCGTTGTAGGATGATTTATACTCAATGTTTGATCTATTTAAATAGGATACCATGAGCCATGACCATGTTGAGTTGAAAGCACGCGTTTGGAAGATGGGTAAATATCCATATACGGCGTAAGGAGAGAGGGGTTGAAAAAAGTCAAAGTGAGAATGGGAAGCTAACTACTTGCTTTATATACGAAACGTAGAGCACCGATCTTAGAAAAATGAATCTTTCGTTTGACAGTATAGTATAAAAAAGGCCTTGTTGGATTAGATATTGCTTTTGCCTTTCTTTGTAGTTTGCAATATATACATAACGATGTAAATCATGTACAAAACGACGAATCAGTGGAGCCCCATGTCTTATTTATGGTGATCATTTGTTGGCCTGGGTAACCTCTCCATTATTATCATCACTGTTATCAGGAGAAAAAAAAAAGTTGTATACATAGTATAGTAAAACCTGTTTCCATAAATCATACACGATCAAACATGGCACCCCATCGATCTTGGGATATCCTCGTTGCCCCGCTTTTTAAACCCAAGTCTTGTCCTCTAGTCACAATACCGTAGTTTCAGCAGGAGCTATCATCTTTGGTAGGGGTTGCTAGCAATGAAGTAGTGCAGGGTTTGCGATAGGCGCAGAGCACTTTTTATATGTCGATTATGAAATGTCCCTCAATTGGATAACCTTGGAAATTGTCGATCTGTGTACAGTAGATGAAAACAGGTCATCATCCAATGCTTTCCAGACACAAATAAAGAGTGCTACGTTTTGGCTCCTCCATGTGCTCCAGTGTATCGGTCTTGTTGTACATGTGCTAGGTAGGACGAGTGACAAGAATGTAAAACTACCTTGTCTTTCCTCTGTATCTTGACATGTCTTTGTTGTTGTTGTATTATGATAATGTTATTATGATTATGATGGATGCTGATGATTTAAAAATATAGGAGATAAGGAGTGGAGAGAATACTTTGATACATTCGGGAGCGAGAAGCACCGTTTACGCATAGGATGGAGAGAATGGTTTTGTTGTGTAAGGTGAGTGTTTAGAGGGAAGGGGAGGAGGGTAATCACATTAAAGCACAGGCGCATTCACCCACAGGCTCTGCGAATGGATCAGGACTTCGACTGCCCCAGACCGACGGCACCATCATGTCTGGATTCGTTTGACAATAATCGATCAGCCTAAATTCAATAACTTGGAGCAGGTGCTCCCGTGACGTTTAATATAAACATTCTCCATTGTTGTTGTTGCTGCTGCTGCTGCTGCTGCTGCATCGGTTGTTGTATTGTTCAAAAAGATTGAAAGAGAAAAACTTACGATCGACTGGCTTCAGAAACAGGAATACGTGGAATTTCAAGCTGTTCTTTCAACTTGTCGTTCAGCTCAAGGATCTTTCGGAGTTTGGCTTCGGATACTGTTTGTCGAACCATGGTTGCAGTTGTGTTATGTTTTGTTGTGCGTCACGGTTCGTGTATGGCGGTGTGAGAGTGGGTAAGCGTTGGCGTGCGTGTAAATACGGTGGTGGCAGGAAAGAAGAGAAGGACAGAAAGGCAGAGAGAGAGAGAGAGAGAGAGAGAGGGAGAAAGAGAGAAGGAAAAAAAGGAAAAGGAAGCAAAAAAAAAAAAAAAAAAAGAAGGAGTAAGGAGCTTGAACGATGATGGAAGGGGGGTAAAGGACTGGTTAATGAGGGGAGTATGGGGTCCACTTGGCATGTTAATGAAAAAAAAAAAAAAAAAACATAGCTCATCCTAAATGGCTGTCGTGCAACCACCGCCCTTTTTATGTCGTTCTCACTCTCTCCAAGTGCTACTACTACTTATTTACATCACTAGAGCATTATCTACTATAGTTGTCCCTCTACTGCCTGTTGGCCTATTGTGGCTGTTGACCAGCTCGGTGGTGGATGAATTGATGCAGTTTCCTTGCTGGCTCTTCGCCAATCAGCTTCTTCAGATCCTCCACAGAAAGCCTAAACAGCTGCTGTAAGTTTTCGACAGCGTTCATCAAGATCTTGTAGTTCTTGGACGTTACACCAGGCAGACTGCGCAGTATATCCTGCATACATATATTTAATTTACATCGAGTTCTTTGGTGTGTGTGTGTGTGTGTGACCTAAGAATCCTTGCATTCTCTTACCTGGGGTGTCATGTTGTAGGCACTGTTCACATCGTCGGTGCTCTCTGCCCCGACCAAAACTGCCTTTTCTACTTCGGGTTCCTCTTCACTTTTCTATCATAAAGCTTAGTGCATTGCACTCTCCCTCTCCCTCTCTCTCTCTCTCTCTCTCTCTCTCTCTCTCTTACCTCCACTACTCTATAAGAATATATATACTCACTTTGAGCTCATCAAACACAGCGGCTGTTTCATGTGGACTTGAAGACCAGATGACCTTCACTTTGGGAAACGTCAATGTCAACAAGACCAGCTTGGATGACAAGTCGGTGATTGATACGCTGGACTTCATTTCCGACAAGCTTTGTAAGGAAAAGGACTTGTTCTCGTCAAACTCGATCAATACGATGGGCGTTTCATAGTGAAGACACATGTTTTCGCATTGAGTATATCTATTCGCCCCATTTTCAGTTTAAACGGGAGGCCCTTCTTTGTTTTACCGTCCCCTTTCATCCCTCGTACACACCCTTCCCTTCATACGTATTACATATGACTAGTCTAGTGTTACGTGTATGGGATCATGATGTTGCACTTTGACACTTACAGTCTGCCTGAGTTGAGCGAGGAAATAAGATCTGGGATTGACTTGCGTTCCACACACATGGTAGGGCTTAGAATGTAATCACCCACTTGCAGGGTGCATGGTATAATTTTCAGTCCTTCAGCATAAAGTATAGGAGGCAAGGAGCTTCGAAACTCACGCATGTCCACAATAACCTACATCCATCATTGTGTTATATTACTGCTCTCGTAATTTCTCAAGAGAAAAGGGGTGACAAGTGCAGGGCGGAAAAACATGAGCTCTTTCCTCTGTTTTTATTTTAAAAGGAGGGTGAACGAGCAAGAGGAAGAGACTTACCACAGGAGGTCCTTTGGTGCGAAGCTGACCTCCAGCAACACGCGTGCTAACCGCACGCGCAAAAGCGTCTTGCTGAGGTGTTCCCCTTTGTGGCATAGGGATGGCCATGATCTATATATGTGTTTTTGTACGTTAGGCGCAAGTTTCTAGCTCACACGTATCTTTGTCAATAAGGGAGAATATAAGGTTAGAAGGACACTTGCAGACTTTTCGCGAATAAGCCGTTCAAATGCTTCCTTTTCTTTACGGATCATGCTCAAATAATTTTGCTCTTCGACAGAATTTTCGTAGATCATGAAATAGACTCGAACATCAAGTTCCGGATGCATTGCTCGATAAACCTACAGTTACGTACATGTTCCCATGTAAGTTCAGCAAGGAATACGACAGAGAGAGAAAAGAAAGGTTTACCTCGACACGACGCACAAAAGTGGGATTCGGATCATACATTATGATAAACCTTGGCTGCAAGTCCTCCAAAAGGTCCTCGTCTACATCATTGTCGTAAGTTTGTATAGATATAATGGATCCAGGAGTGACTTCCTGAAACTCTGGCAAAATGTCATCTTCTCCCATGGTCACTTTTTCCATTGCCTCGCTCTCCGTTTTTTCTTGTGGTCCTGGATCATTCAATCTGGACTGTTCAATCAATATCTGTTTTGTTTCGGCAACCATTTTAGCTGGACACCAACCCCTGCGCCCGAAAAACGGGATACTCACAAGTCCACTGTCTCCTGTACTATGTTTGTCTGTAATGCTTCCACGATAGAGCGTGATCGAGAAGACGGACTCGACGCTGCAGCTGCAGATCCACCACGAACGCGTCGACGTTTGTTTGCTGGTGCTGACCCACGTTGTACAGGCTGCGACGTTCTGTTTGAGGATGGACCAGATGATGACAGTGATTGTGTATTTGTTGCGGAGGTTCCACTCGTTGTTGTTGTGGTGGTGGATGCTGATGAATCTTCTTGTTGGATCTGGTACATACTTTTTTGCAAGCTGAAGAACCACTGGATCAATCGACTCAATATGGGCATTGGCTCATCACCCTCTGTCGGTTTTTTCATTCCACTAATATATTGTCGTAGTTGTGAGCATGTTCTCGTCCCGTTCACCATAATCAATACAGGTGCATCTTCTAAGTATCATAACATATTCAGTAAAGTAATTTTATTACTGACAATGCCTGTCCCTCTTCTTTCACTTGTATGTTTTTTCAAGACTTACTTTGAGGCATATCCTGCTCTATCTCTTGTAAAATGTCATGCAGCAAATTCCATTTTGGTAATTCTTCAGGCACAAGTCGTATCTGTGCACTTCCATCGGATACGATGGGCCCTTCAGCGGTAGCATATTCTGTATCATTCTTCTTTAAATAGACACGCTTTCGAGCAGTCTACATCAGAAGAAGATATGATGCATGCTTAGTCACTTTTTCCTTTTTGGCCACCACCTAATAGATAGAAAGCCTTACACTGATAGCCTTATCCGCAGCGTCTAAAAATAGCCATTGCGATTGTGATTGTCGAGTGGGTGCACCGTCTTTAGCACTGTTACTTGTAATCACCACTTGTAATTGATAAAAAAACGATACCGGATCGTATGCAGTCAGGTAACTGATTCAAAAGATAAAGGTCATTGGAATCTGCACAAGATAACAATTATAGACCCTCGCTCGCTCAATCACTTACGATAGCAGCCTTCGAAGCGTATTTAAATCCCCCACTAGCTGTTTGGTAGCTGGACTTATCCGGTGCCAAATTGGATCCAATTGTCGTCGAATAATCATGTCAAATGATCTGAAAAAGGAGTTTTCGATAGTAAATTCTTGAACATCAACCTAGAATTTTGATCGATTTTAGTCTTCTACGAACTATACGTCCATATTCCTTTTCTTCCCTCCATCCTTGTATTGGTAATTACCATGGTATTTTGCCGTCGCACTTCAGACAAGGTGGCCTCCATACATTCAACCAATGCCTTTTGGATTGTATCCATCTTGTCTGTCATGGGCTGACGTAGTTCTACAACATCCACGCTTGCTTGTGCCAAATTATCTGATACAAGTACCTGGAATCTATATATATATATATATATGTGTGTGTGTGTGTGATTTAATCATTTTGATCCAAAGCACCATTTCCTCCCTTCTCCCAAGGCTTACCGCGGCCACAGGTGTACTTTACGCAGTTGAAGTGTCTTTAGTGTGTTTTCTAGCGGTGCGAATCCAGTTGTGAATTGTTCCGGCTGATCAGAAAACGCCTTGATAAACCCTTGGTCGTTTTTCTTTCGGTAGATCCGTAATATTAGTTCTTCCATCGAATTTGGCCGCACACTATGTATACGTATCCCAAATAGATCAATAAAACCATAAAGTTGTGCGGAAATTAAGTGGATCCAGCTCGCCTAAACCTTCTCTTTATAAAAAAAAAACTTACCGGTGAGCATTATACATAACAATACCAGAGATCATAGCTGTAGCTACACGGTCCAGTAACAGATCCACTGCCAAAATTCGCGAAGTTACAGAAAATACACCGCCTTTGCGATACATGGCGCTCCTATTTAATTGCGTTAAAAGCTACATAACATACGTAGCAATGCAGTTATAGATTATATTACCTGCTTTCCGACGTAGTTTCATTATCCACAATTTGCAATCGATCGCTTGGTGGTAAGCCCATCGCTGCTTGTTTCTCAACGATTGCTGCGTCTTGTGCTTGACTGGTGTTTAAGACCAATACAAAGTGATTGCCCTTGGTGTGTAATTCAATAAATGAGGTGAGGACCTTGAACAGACCCAAACCAGGCGACATTATCAGTAATGCATCTTCGTCAACAAGATCGGCAAGAATCTGTTTGTGAAATTCAAGCATTGGAAGTGTCATGGTCTATATATATCAAGTTGCTGGACGTGTAATGACTGCAAAAGCACGAGAAGTAAAGGTTATATATGCAAAGAATCGCGAAAATAAGGGTGCGTGCTGCGCGAAATTTTATTGAAGATAAATTTATGCTTATTCTTGCGTTTCTACAACCTCCTCTTCCTCTTCGGGTTGTACTACATCCTCCGAATCAGCTTCAGCATCCACAGTTTCTTCTTCTCCTTCGTTTTCTTCGGCCGCATCGCCTTCGGCCTCCAGTATTTCATCCGAGGATCCTGAAGCGTCGTTGGTATCTCCTTCTTCGGATTGTTGTGCTTCTTCAACTTGCTCTTCTTCTTGTTGATTATCTGCTGGTGCTGCCGCCATTTGTATTACTTCTTCTTCTTCATCATCTTCTTCATTACTAGCTCCTTCATCATTCTGTTCCTCCCCTCCAACAATGAGCGCTTCAGTCTCCATGGTATTCACTGTTCCACCGATCGAATTCAACTCGATGCCCATTTCTGTTGCTTCAGTGTCTTCAGGCACTGCGTCTCCATCTGCATAGAGGCCTTCTGCATTTTTAGGGAACGCAATATCCGGTTCGGGCTGATCTGGACTAGCATGCTTGAATTGTTCGAGTTGAGCATCGGACAAGTGCAAGATAGGTAACGGTTGAGCTACATCACTGCCGGCAGCCATAGGCGCTATTACATCCAAAGAGTACATTTTTAAAAAAAAAATTGATTTCGAAAAAAGGTGGGTGTGCATTTATGCAAATCATTGCTTACCTGCGTCAGCCATGTGGTAAGCCAAAGTAGAGAGCACAGCACTAAGCAAAAACTTGGAATGAACCATTATTGTAATTTCTTGCTTTGCTCGTAAATACAATGAAAGGTAACGTTAACGACAACGGACGAAGTGTCATGATGAAAGTTGCCCTAATTTATAGGCTCGGCATTGAAATTTCATCCGCCGAGGAACATAAAATGAACTTGACAACAAGTAGATTTGGTATACGTACTCATTACGCAAAAGCTGTCGAAAACATTTGCGAAAGAGTTTTTGATGAATTTTACGATGGTCAAATAACGATTGTTTATACCGTTCCCTATCTTTTTTTCAACCTTCATTCGATTACGGCAAAAATCTTCATAGTAAGAAATTTGTTGATATATATATTTGCATGTAATGGCACATATTAAAAAGTTCAATTTACTCGCACACGCATGTTTTTTATTTGTTTGTCTATTGGCAATGTAAAAGAATACTTGCAAATATTAGTACAGTATTGATGAGCCATTGACATGACCAAAGAGGGCTACATACTAACGATCACAAATACAAACTGAACGTTGATGAAATAGTTGTCAAGTCCAGAAGACGATAGGTTAAACGAGAGAAGGGAATGATACACAATATTTTCCAGACAACAGACCCAGACCCCACAAGATCCTGGTATTTCATCATGTGCGATGAAAACAAAATAGTAAGCTAACTATCATATTCAGGATGACCACACTTGAAAGTATTCTGTCCACAGACTCCCCAACATAAGCTTGTTGATAAAAACATTCGAGCAAGAATATTTTACATTGGTTCGAGCGAGTTGCCATCTGCTGTTGTTATAACTGTTATATCATAACTGAAACGCTGGATGCATTTTATTTGTCTGTTCCGTCCACCCTGGCATTACACCTCTGTATTAATCATACTGACACGCCTCAGAAAAAGAGCAAGATCAATGTCGATTACATCCCCATCAACGCACTCATGGGCTACGTCGAGATATATACCTAGAAAGCTTATTATAGCAGGGCTTCTTCAGAAGTCTGATTATCTTTACTGTATAATAAAGAGAGTCATGGCAATGTATTGTATTCCGCTAGGAAGTTATCAATATACATAGAGCGTTACAAATGAAAGTCTTAGAAGATCTCCTTCTCTTGTCGCGTGTGTTAGTTGTCACTGCACCATTTTAATATCCTTTTATTCTTTTAAACTATTCTTTTTTGTCCCTATATTTCTTGCTCTTCTTCATTCTTCTTGTTACGACTATCTTCCTCTTTTCTTCTCTCAGACTGCGCCATTATCTTCTATCATCAGTTGGCTTGCTCTCGTCTTCTCCTCTAACCTCTCTTTTTTAAATCTATGATAGTTGCGTCTTAAAGTGGTCTCCCTCTTTATACAGTCGTTGCGTTTATTAAGATTTTGGTTGCCACCTAGTTTGGCGGATGGCCGGGCGGCTCATTAATGTAATGGTATCGCACTTGGTTTTAGTAGCTTTGTTGTCTGTCATTGTTATTCCTGCTTGTGGTAGACAACGTTTGATAGAATCACCGCGATGTCTTACTTCAGTGCAACGTCGCGCACCCCGTCTGCTACTTTTATTTGGGATAAGCATGGTGGTGACTTCTTTCAGACAGGATGCATCTTTATATTCACAGTCGCGTTTGCGTTTTTCGGGGTCATATCTTATCTTAATTGGTAAGAGGATAATATAGGCAACTTTTCTGACGATGTTATAGCTGTACTTGTTTTCAAAGTTAATTTCATCATTTGACGATAGCCATAGAGGGTCGCTTTGGCTACTGACATTGTGTACATGCGCTAGCTACGCGTTATGGTATGTCGTGCTATCAGGAAGCCATCTACAAGCTGTGCACTGAAGTACATACCATACTATATAAAGTAGATAAACGTGCTTTTAGAGATTCAGTGCCGATATTTAATTTCATGCACATAATGTTGACGTGGCTTTTCAATTGGCGCATTTTTTTCTTCTAAAGCTACTGATCATGTCAACCAAACCCGATGACAAGGCGCAGATTGCCGAAAAGCGCGCACGCGAAGACTCTTACGATACAAATGTTGCAAAAAAGCAAAAATCAACTGGCACCATTCCCATTAGCCGCGGTCGATTCAAGCAGCGGTTTTTAGCAAAGCATTCCAGCTTGTTGAAACGAAGCGACAGTGCTAGTGGCATCATGGTATCCTGTACAGTCGGTTCAGAAACACGTGCACTCGTATGTTGGCGTTTATCCTTCTAGCTGCTCGTAATCATTGCAAAGAAAGACTTACAATATGTTTTTTAGGGTCAAGTGAAAAACTTTCTAGATGCCACCGTACACACTCTTTTCCCTGAACACGAATTGACTTGGGAACGATTCGAGGGAGACCTCGATGTACCCGAACTCGTCAAGAACAGCGGGGACGGAAAAGAAGAAGCAGAGGAGAAGGATGACAACAATGAGAAAACCAACGAAGCAAATGGAAAGGAAGAGCCAGACGCGGAACCTAGTAGCAAAAAAGACAAGCGGTTCCAGGGGGTGGATAGTGCATGTTCCGGCCTGCTCTTTTTCCGATTCCGTGTCAATGTGAAGCCCACAGACTTTATGTCCAAACTGATTGAGCAAAAGGACCTGATCGATGCCAACAAAATCAAATATTGTTCGGTAAGAATATCAGTGTTATATGTTTGTACAGTGAGGTATGCAGAAGAAGAAAACTTACACGCACTTTAGAGATTTGTTCCTATCGATTATATTTGCCCGGCTACAACGGATCGTATGACGAAATGTTTTGAACGGTTACGAGAGCAAGAGCTGGATCCCATCAAGACTGATACCAAGGTTGCAATTGTGACAGAGATACGAAACAACATTTCGCTGAAAAAGCCTGACATCATACAGCTGATTGCACCGATGATTCCAAAAGAGCATTTTACGTAAGCATGCATACATTGACAATGTAGATATTGCTGTGGTTGCAGGATGTGTATAGCTAACCACCCACCCTCGAAAACTATGAACTATATTAGGGTCGATCTCACCAAACCAGACATAGTAATCTTCTGCACCGTATTCAAAAGTGTATGTGGTATGAGTGTGCTTCGTGATTATTATCCAAGAAAAAAGTACAACTTGATCGCTTTGCTCGAAGACAAGTAATTTTGTATGATAAGTCATTATGATTAAGATATATAGAGGATAGAGAGAGAAAGAGAGTAAGGATGAAAAGGGGTGAAAAGAAAAGGTATTCATACACTAGTACGTACACAAAATTAATAATAATAATAAAAAAAGAGGGAAACAATATAGCTGTGATGGTAAAAGCATATCCGGCAGCTTATAATAAGGAGGAAAGGAATGACTTTTACATTCGAAAGCCCGGTAAACTTGGTTAAGAAGAAAGAAAAGAAGGTAGTAAAGGTAGAGAAATCAATTCAAATCAAAAACTACAAAGAACAGATGTCAGTTCAAAATGCTAACAAGCACAAATTAATGAACAAGAGATGTATACCTTATATCTTGAAAGGCCACAGCAAACTACCTAAACCGCCGCTGCTGTCATCAGATGATGGAGAAGACTCGGCGGTAGTAGCATCGCTTGATGACGAAGAGTCATCACTGCTGCTGCTGCTGTCATCGCTTGATGAGGAGGAGTCATCACTGCTGCTGCTATCATCGCTGCTGCTACTGTTGGTGCTATCATTACTGCTGTCATCACTGCTGCTTGTGGATGGTTCTGGCGCGGTCGTTGCTTGAGCTTCCTCGGAAGAGCTGTCGTCGGCTGAGGCAGCAGGGCTTGAAGCGGCTGAAGGGGCAGCAGAAGACGAAGGAGCCGCGATACCAAGACTACTGAGTACGGAGTCGGGGAGCTGTGACATGACGGTGTCGGTAGCATTTCCTGTGGCTCCTCTAGACAACCCTAAGAAATCCGCGTTGATTGTGCACGGCACCTGGTTCTGGTAGTAATACAACTCGCCGGCGAAACCATCGGCTCCGCCCACCATGATGGTGACGTTCTGGGCGATATCAATCTTGACGTCAGGAGCGAGCAAAAGGTTCACAAGTTGCAAAAGATCAGCCATGACAGTAACAGGCCAGTTAGGCGATTGAGCTGATTCCTTGGCGCCAACGGTCATTGGCGATTCCAAAACGTAATCGATTTTGCCAACTTGGAAGTACTCGTCGTTATTTTCAGTGTGAATATCAGCAACAACCTTGAGTAAGGTGAAAGGCGTATCCAATGGGTTGTACAAAGTGACTTGAGTCTCAGCCTTTTGTTCGAGAACCGCTTCCAAACCGGCGTTGACAACGGCGTCGACAACAAGCTTGTCGGTGATACCGGTCATGCTAGTCGCAAGGTTGACAGTGGACAAGCCATCCTTGAGCGATTCAATATCGGTTGAACCGTCAAAGCCTCTGACGGTCAATGGTACAGTAGCAGCAGTCATGTAGTTGCTCAAAAGCTGGCTGAGTGCCTGTAAGTTGGTGCTGAACATGTGCATCTCGGCCTCCAAGGTGTTGTTGCCAGGTTTGATCGTAACGTCCTTGAGAGAGACATCACCAACTTGGGCATCGAACTCGTTCATAAAGACATTGAGCTTCATGTTGCCGAGGGTGATAGTAATCTGCGACGGGTTGCTCATAGAAATGGTCAAAGAAACAATGATGTATTCACTGGTGGCACCGGTAACTGCCAAGCTCAAAATGTCGGCCTTGCCGTTGAAATTGTTGAAGCCTTAATAATAAAAAACAAATACACCAATTTAAATAAACATTAAACAAACATTGATGCAACATGAAATAATATAGAGAAAACTCTTACCGGCCAAGCTTGTATCGACGTCAAAGTTGATGTTTTCAAGCTTGAGGCTACCAATGGCGGTGGACGTAACAGCGTTGCTGCTACCCGACAATTCAAATGTGACGTTGGATTGCGAAGTCAATAGCATGACGAAAGCGTCGAACAGGCTGTGCTGATCGTCATAGACAGCGAATGGAACATTTGAGAATTGCGTCGTGACCAACCCGGATTCGCTTGTCGAAGCCTCTTCATCGGGAATCGCGAGCTCGGCAATGCCAGTGCCTTCATAACCAGCAATGACATCCATGTTGAGTTGGGTGACACCGAGAGGGAAACCGAATGGATTCTTGAGCTGAGCTTCGACCTGGGTGGAACCAGCAATGGGTGCATAAGCGCCCTTGGTGAAGTCCATCTGCATGTTTCTCATGGTGATGCTTGGAATCAACTCGGGGGCCGTGTCAGGACCAGGCATGATCACATCCTCGATCTTGATCGTCTTGAAACCAGCGGTCAGCCACCCGACTTCGCCGTTTGGACCAGAACCGGAAACACCGGTAACATCAATTAAAGTATCCTTGGCGGCAAGGTAGTTCTTGAACACCTCGGTGACGGCATCCAAGCCCTCTTGTGTATCTTGAGGAATCAGGCGACCCTTCATCTTGATGTTGGAAGTAGCCTTGGGAGCAAAGTTGGCTGCACCATCTGAAGCCAATGGACCAAGAAGGATATCCTTGTAGATGGCATTGAAGCTGGCACTCGACAAGCTGAAACCGACTTGACTTGGGTTGCTGATCGAAGTATCGGCATTCAGTGTGATACCACCGGCGGGATCGTTTGAGGGCAAGTCGAACGAATTGATAACTACAGCATCCTTGAAGCCGTTGGCGCCAAGCAGTGTCACATATTTGTCCATGGTGATACCAGTAAATTGGAAGCCAAGAGCAGTAACTGCGACAGCGCCAGCTTGAATGTTCCATTGGAAATCAGCGTTGTTGATCATGAAGCTGGCAAAGCTACCCATAGTGTCTTGATTTGACACGGTGAAATCACCAGAGACGTCAAACGATGCACCAACATCTGCCTTGGATTGAATCGTGGGCATGTTGACCTTGCCAAGTTCCGCGCCTTGCCAGTAGACAACGAGCGGTTCAGGGAAGGCAATCTCAGCATCCATTGGGCCAGCATTGCTGATACTACCCACCATCTGGACCTTAAAGCTTGAATCAGTGGGCGACGACAGGATGATGGTCTCGAAAGCAAGGTCGGCACCGTCGACGATTTGCTGCACGATAGGTTGACCAACGATCGGGATCAAAAGAGTGACATCAGGACCTGTTTGGACGCTAACGCCGTCTTGCGAGAAAGCCAAGTCATTCTCGTATTCACCGATGGTCAATGTCGACGACAGCTGGAGATCGGCCTTGAGAACCTGCATAGCATCCATGACAAATTGTGAAATGTTGAAGCCTTGGAACAAGTTCGAGTTGGGAGAAACATCCTCTTGACCAGCAATCGAAAAACCGCCCATGCCCAGCATAGCATCCAGTGCGCGAGTATCCATGCTGGCATCAACAGCCAAGGTGCGGAGCAACAAGGCGACAGCAGCAGGCTCAATATTCATGGTCATCTGAAGCGGGTTGGACTCGGCTGTGGTATGGCCTCCCACGACGAAAGGCTGGCCGCTGATGTCCTGATTGATGTTACCGACGGGCATGCCCTTGTATGTAACGGACGAGAGAACCTTGGTGATGGTCAATCCAGCCGTGAAGGGGTTGGCGAGAGATACTTGGACACCGACGATACCAGTCGTGGGCGAATCCTCGTTGACAGTCAACTTGGAGCCTTGCACCAACTTGGAAGTTAAACCAGGCAAACTGGTGGTGATGGTAATTGCACCCAAGGCACCGGCAAGCGAATCGATCGGGGTTGAGCCGTCGAAACCGGAAATGGCAACGTCATTGTTCTGTCCCATGACAAAGGTGCTCAATAGGTTTTGGCCAACGTTCGAACTCTTGGGATCAAAGGTCGAGCTGGCAGTGACGTCGTTCGCACCACGGTTCAACTTCAAGTTGCTGAGCTGGACGTTGCCGAGCTGTTCGCTGCTGGCCAAGAAAGCAAAGTTGACATCGCCAGTAGCAATGCTAAAGTCGGATGGGTTGTTCATGGAAACATTGATGGACAACAACAAATTCTCGGGTGTACCGCCAGTGACATCGACACCATTGATGGTGGTTGCTGTGGCGTTGAGGAACTGCAAGCCGCGGAGAGCAGTGGGAACCTCGAAGGAAATGCCCGACAAGGTAATGTTGCCAATAGGAGTCGACGTCTTGGTGCTGGCATTACCGCCAACCTGGAAAGAATAAAGGTCCGACGCAGTCAACTGGTATGTGAAGTCATTGAACTGCTGTTCCTTGCCCGAGATGCCTTGAATAGTGACGTTGTTCATTGCGAACTGCAGCTTGCCAGCATCTTGGTCGCTTTGTGAAGGGACATATGGAACCGAGAGGGTCGCAAAGTCGCCAGTGTCGTTGGTACCCATCTTGAGCTCTTGCGAGACTTCAGTGATGCTCAACGAGAAGCCAAATGGAATCGAAAAGTCGGCAACGACGGCTGGTGCAGAGGTGACAGGTGCATAGGGTGCGTTTGAGTTAAATTCCAGATCGAGGTAGCCCATGCTAACGCCTTTGATGATGCTCAGCGGTTGCTCGACACCCAAATCAACGTTGAGCTGGACGGACTGGAAACCTTCAGAGAGCCAACCGATCGCGTTCGTGCCATCGGGAGCAGCAGAGACGCCAGTGGCAGTGGTTTGCGACATTATACCGGCGATGTAGTTGGAGAACAAAACGCCAACCTTCTCCAAGTCGGCGGCCTCGGTTTGTGGCTGGAGGACACCGCTAAGCACCAAATCGTTCGGGCCTTGCTTCAAAGTAACACCTTCGGTGGTGACTTGACCGAGATTGACACCGTCGTAACCAATCTGCAAGGCAATCGTACCCAGCTGGACACCAATAGGTGATGGACTGTTCAATTGTGTGCCTAGAGAGACCTGGATACCGCCTTCAGGTGCATCGCCGGGAAGCTCGAACGAAGTGATCTTGACTTCAGGGAAGCCATTCATACCTAAAAAGGTAAAAATTGAAGGGGCTGCGGTAAGTCTCGTGAACAGTTATTGTTTACATTAGATGTCAAATTTTCTATTTCGGAAAGTCAAAGTAGCTCCAAATTAAGCATCAGCAAACAGAAGGGGTCCCGAGAAGTCGGGCCTACTGCTGCTGCTACTGCTGCTTTTGTTGGTAAGGACCGATGTTGTCTTTTTCAAACTTGCCTTGGAGATAAATTTCTTTATCCAGGTCTACAGTTGCAGTTCTGTTATAATTGTTAGCATTTCTTGCCTCTAATTTATGTTCAAAGTGGTATTAGTAAACGAATAAGTTAATCTAAAATACACACCTGCTTAATGCGGTGATATCGAGTTTGCCTTTCATTCGCCAGATGAACGTTTCTTTTGCAAGCATCTCCTTGGCGAATAGGGAAAAGTAGTCCGTATCTTCGATCAAGAACGGAGTAGTTGCCTCGAGCGTACCACTGCCGCCGGAGACGTGTGTGTCAGGTAAGGTGATTGTGCCCAGCAGGGTATCGTTGTAGTAAACATTCATAGGGTTGTGGAATGAGATGTCCGCTGAGAACGGGCCGGTGTGCGACAGTTTGCTGGTCATCTTCATATAGAATGTGCTGTTCATGTCATACGTCTGTTCCTGGCGGCGTGCTAGGTTGTCGTCTGGCGTGAAAGAAATTTCTGCTTCTGGGACTTCTATGCCAGCCTTGTTCATGATCGACTGAGCAATCATTGGGAAGAATACAAAGACGATCAGCAGGACAACTACTACGACGATGATAACGGTGATAATGGAGCAGATGATCCAGTATTTCTTTTGCTTGTAGAATCGTCGTCGTGGTGGTGGTGGCGGCTTCTCCGAGTATTCTTCCATGATGCCTTCGTCGACGCTGCGATTGCTGCCCTGGGTGCTGCGGTCGAGGTACTGAGTGTCGTCAGCAGCAGTGGTGGCAAGCGGCATGCGACCATCCTGATAGTCTGTCGCGTGTGTTGCCATATGTTGTTGTTATTCTGTTGCTGTTGATATGTTGCTTAGTTATCGATGATGTTGTATCGAAGTTGGGAGAGGTTGAAAAAGAATGGAGAAATCAGTATCGGTTTTTCGTGGGAATCGAAAAGGAAAGAAGGGAGAAAAGTGGAAAAAAAACGTTAAAAGGTGATGGATATATAATTTATTTGTCTTTTGCGTGAACGGCCTATAAATGGCACTGGTCGTCATACAAAAAGAAGTGATTCCCAGAGATACACTAAAAGAAAAAAGAAGGAAGCAAGAAAAAGAGATGTTCTTTTGAAAAGCGTCCACGAAGCTTTATAATGCAGTTCCGCTTAATGAATCTTGTTCAACCTCCCGCCAGTTACCCCGAAAAGCGCACGACTTGTAGACGGTGCACAAGGTTGATTTTTCGTTCCAAAGCATCCTTTTCGTGGTCCAAGCAGAACCTCCATGTGAATTACCCATGAAAGGTGCTCGAGAAAAAAATTATTTTTGATCTCGTTTGCTGTAATAAGCAAGAAATGCTGCCATGCCGCTTATGATATCCGTCTTTTACAGCTCTCGCTGTACATACTGCGTTAATTAGCGTCCAGAACTGAAAGAGAAACCTTTTCAATGACATTTTGCTAAAAAAGCAATATTTACTATTTCTTTTTTCGCTGTCAACTCTGCAAGTACTACGATGAAGGCAGCGAATTCATAGCCTGACTTGTTTACAAAAAGTTTTATTACACACGCGCGCACTCAGCAATGATGGCAAAGAAGGATTTGAAAAAATATTTGGTGATTCAAAACGTTGTCACACAAAACGGTATCTGGAGGACACCATTAGGTGTACAATGCAAAACTTAGCTCTATTGTTGCACACTCTTTGTTTCCACCACTGAACAGCAGCAACAAACAAGATAGCAGGGGTACAGTATATAGACAGCGGCTCTCACAAAGAATACTACAAGTCCCTGCATAAATTACACTGGCGTTTTGATCGAATGCTTGCTTGCATGCATATATTGATCTGTCTGCAACCGAGCAAGAATTTATTAAAAAAGATCGGCGTTCCTCTTCTCCCTGCCCTGCGTACTTGTATTCATTTAGAAACACACAAAAGCTGCACATATAGCTCGTTTTTGGGGAGTGCGAAGGACTTATGATCGAAAAAGTGGTTGTAACCTTTTTTTAGCATCAAATCTAACCGAGGTTTACCGTACAACCACCACTGTTCAATAAGGGCTTTTGATCCAAGAATCAATACTGTCCCCCCCAAATAATAAAGCGGCGCCCGAATGTTGCATATGGTGCACATAGCAGGGTAGCTGGCGAGCGACTTGACAACGACCGCACCATCACGAACTTCTATAAACTTCTTGGGTATCAGGCGTGGCACTGCCAACGTTATGCTTGCTTCGGATTCCATATGAAAGCTGACATGTGGAATTCTTTGACTTATTAAGCATATATATTGGCAATGTTTCCCATGAACTCAGTGTTAACAAACGGGGCCAGGTAAGAAATTTGACTGATGACGTACAATTCGAGCATAGTTCAAACGTAGCATGTAGTAGCGGTGAGTTGAAAGCTGTAGTGGTAGTTTTATGCCGAGATTATGATGATAATATCGGTGCCGGTTCGTAAATAGCTTTTTTCACTGGTTCTGCCACTCCGTTCATATGCTGACGCGTCTGCGCTACTGTGGAGTACGGTTCTTTTCTTACGTCTCTTTTCCGGCTGATGAAACGCGTTTTCAGATATTCGGCCCTGAGAAAAAAGTATGCGCAGTGGTAAGTCTGGACAAAACACTCGTTCGATAACTTCCACCACCCCCAAAAACTTAATACAAATACAGGTATTTCGTATGATGACATTTGCAATCGATCCAATTTGGTATAATAGCCGTGCGCATACGCCATTGAAGCGTAATTTTTTATGAGCCACGCATGATACATTCTGCTGAAGAGCCATTGTTTTTTTGCTTGCGCTTTTTCGTTCTTTCTTCTTGATTAATGCGATGCGGAGGAGAAGATTACAATGAACAAATCACTATCATTGGCCACTAATGCACACTGACTCGCCTGATCATCGTTACCATTGACTAAACGGCCTCTTTGCCTACTACATCTTGTTTAGATATCACTTTCTTTGCTGTTAAAGTAATTCACGTTGTGTTATTGGATGTCTCTTATGATGTGTGAAATTCAACTGTGCTGTGTGGGCTGTGTATTGTGCGCGGCCAGAAAGATTTATAGAAATTCCATCAGACGTCTTGTTAGCAACTGATGCATGGGGGAGATGTTCTACGGTGTAGAGATAAAGGCAATTGTCAAGATGTTTGATTACCCACTTTGGTAAGGGCAGCATGAGGTGTTTTATGGCCGTTTTATCACGATGGCTATCTTGTGTTGCCATCTGAGCTCTACGTAAACGTAAATGCGCATTGAGACTCAATGCTCTTCTTTTTTTTTTACCCCGCGCATTGCCCGGAGCGCAGAGGCCACATTGATGGAATATGTGTGCCAAGCTTTTTTTTGGTACTTGATGGTACGTATCGCGCTTCCTGCAAGTTGATGGAAAGTGTGATCTGTCAATAAGTAAAAAAAGATAGACGATATCAGCAAAGTATGGTTTAGCTCCTAATTCTATATTAAAAATTGTGCCTCGCGCTATATATTATTGGTACGTCCCATGGGAAAAAGTATACTGCTTTTTGTGTTGTTTCCCATAGTACGTTATGTATTTAAAAACCCACAAAACGCTTGTGGTGACACGAATTCAAGAGCGGCACAAAGCTTTTCCTTTTCTGAATCAAGTCCACTTTGGTTACGCGCGTTAACTTGGATCTGCACTGGGATCGAAACTAACACATTGAGCCAATTACAAAATGAATGTTAAAGAACTGTTGTTACTGCGCGTTTTAAAAAGTTTTCGCTAGTTAGGTGCACGTTGAACAAACGGGATAAATGATATAATAAGGGAAGAAGCCAACGAAAGGCGCGTTGTAATAAATGACGAACTGTCTGATCCAGCTAGTATGACAATCATCGCTTTATACGATGGATTATACATACTTTCTTGGGTTACACATGCTGTTACCTTCCCAACAATTGGTTTTTTAGGCGTCTTAGTCGAGTGCCATCCATAGAACATGACGAAAAAGCTCTAACAAGCGTTATTGAATGCCTGTGTTTTTTATGTGGAGTGTCGTACGAACAGTTATTACCACCGCAGTTTCGTATCCGACAGGTACCAGTGAGCTCTTAATCTTGACTTCTATTAACACACTGAACATCAGCTATCACACCATCATCTATTTCCGTCGGCTTCAGCATGCTGTACCCACGCATCTTTATTCTGGTATCAGTTGTTGATGATAGTAGCCGAAGGAATCTCCGTTCACAGCTGCATTTATAACCACGCTGTCGATTATAAGTACACAGCACATGTGCCTCATCGTCCGAATATCATATAGAAACGATACTGTTTTTCTTTCTCGATCCAAGATATATTACTCAACTCATTTTGTGTAACCACGCTCTTTTCTTTTTTTCCTCCAAGAAAGGTGAGAGAATAACGACAGTGAGAGATGTCGGCCAATCGGTCGATTGATGAGGCTTTTTCTTTCTTACCGTTCGATGAATAGCACGTCCACTGTTGCATATATTAATATTTATTACCTTAGGAAGCTTCTACTTTTACAGTTTTTTTAATATTGAAAATCAATAAATTATGCATGAGAGACATATAGAGAAAAAGAAAGGACAACTTTTTATTTCCATTTGAGCCCTTGTACTTCCGAATTTGGCTTAAATTAGCTTTTTCTTCCTCGAAAAGGTTTCTCCCGGTAGATTGTGTATTGACAACTGGAAAGTAGTAGTTAATTTTGGAAGACGTCGGGAAAACACAACCTTATATCCGTGCGTTTCTACATTTACGTGATCATGTAATCTGCATTAATGAGAAAAGAGTAAAACGCAAAGTCGTATGTATATGAACAAAACGAGTGAGATTACGTGTTTTTGTATATTACCGCTATTGGTGTCATAATCATCCCACTTTGCATCAAGCGGCATACTAACAAGTGTGTACAAAGCAGAGAACAGCTAGCTGCAGTTGCACTAGGACCACATAATAGCAATGAAGGGAGCCCAAGTTCAACAATTTTTGAGGACTTATTCTGTAGTACTCGCCAACGATTAACCACAATGGTGGGTATAAAGCCTGAAAAAACGATAGGGCTACCATGTAGCATCTTATCAGAAGAACATTCTGACACTAAAACATCCCATAGTGTTCTCGTTGTTCTACATTAAGCAATTAGTAAAGACATTTAGTACGACTTACAGATGCAAAGTTTCTTACTTCCGCCATTGTGTATATAACGATTGTCACGTTTCTTACCCAAGAAATTACTACACTACCTCTCTAATTTCTCTAAGTGGACGTTGGTATTACGTCCGGGGTTTTTAGTCATCAGATCCATCGTCGTCCGTCAGCGTTGCTGATGCTACTCGTAACACCGACTTTGGTATATCATATATGTCCATATGAGACAATTTATGCTTTTCTTCATACGTAAATTCTAGGGGCGTATCATGATAATGAAAATAGACATAGCCAGGTTAACACATATGAAAAAACAGCACAAAAATAGTATCAGCACTTATTATGGTAATTCTCTTGCGCGGACGAATACTTTGCCGTCTTTTGGTGCTGGCTTACACAAAGGTTCCCATATTCTTTTTGCTTCAACCCAGTACAGTGGCAGCAATGAGTAATAGATCATATAAACTACATAATTTACAACTAGGAAGGAGAACTTCATATTCACATGAATGGTGGCCTTGCGCTTGTGGAAATTTAAATACGCTACCACTGACCTTAATCGACCCACACAGTATAATCAATGATAATATACAGTATACACATATGGGAAAGATATTTCAAACCTTTTCTTCAACGTTGCAGATGGTCCCCTTTCTAATAAAAATAATTGGAAACTGGGCTCCGACTAAAGTAAGCTGAAAACATATGTATACATTTATCGCAGAAACTGTCATCATCGTCATTCAGCCTTAATGCGACAAATCCATACAGTTCTTATTCTTGAACAAGACGAAGTCGAGAGCATTGCGCGATCAACATCTGGGAATCATGGTCCTGCAAAATGACAACAATGCGATTACATATACGTAATAATAATTAAGCACGCATTTGATCTATCATAGTAGTAATTATAATGTTGATTTTCTAACCGCTTTTCTATGTAACACCCCCCTCTTCATCAAAGCGTTGCTCAGCCTTCCAAAACCTGAGAGATTTTTGTCTCAATCTATAGTGATGAGTAACCGATGATCCGATAGGTAACATAATATACTACTACTGTGTTGAGCTACAGTTTAATACTACCCTAAGATATTGAAATAAAAGATTCGGTAAGACATTTAGCACACATGAATATATTTGAAACGGTAACCTGCTAGACAGACCTTTGTCATGAGAAAATTCTGTAAACTCGGATGATATGATACAGTTTTATAACCTGGACAAAGGGTTATTAAAAGATAGTGCGGCCGCACACCTACTCAGACTAACGCCGTTTTCAAGAAGTATTTGTAAATTATACGCAGCTTCTGATATGTCCTTGAATAGATCGTCATAATTCATAGTTAATGCACAAGCCGAAAGTTTAGATAGACATTGCCGCCATTATATATATTATAGTTTGACTTATTGCTGTAACAAAAAACATCATCTCAAACATACTTTATCTGTCCCATGTCTACTTTGTATACAGTATAATCAGCCTCCCCTGATATCGCAGCTGCCATAAGCTACTTCGCAGCTCAAGAAGGATTGCACCACATAAGTCAGTAAATTGAGTTCTTTATCTCGCTCATCGACATGAATCACCGACCGGGATCATTCTGTACATTACTTTGAATCACACTTAATTTATTTGGTAGCCTGTGCACTCGTACAGCATACATGTTGGTACTTAAGGATACGGAAATTAAACACAGAAACAGATTAGCACCGGAAAACGCTAATTGATTTAGCTTATATCCTCTTCTATATATTATATGAAGGAGACTATTCTAAAGCTGTCGAATTGTGTCTCTTCTAAATACGAAAAATGCGCTAATACATATTACTGCTCCGTATCATGTATCTGTCACATACAAAGATATGATCGATAAAACCATGGACGCCATAGCAACGCATTTGAAATTCGTGATTGCCTTTTTAAGTTTTAGCTCAAACAACTGTTTGAATGCTTTCAAGACAGGAAACGTTTGGCGTTTTAAGATGCACAAATTCCTCCCCAACAAACGCGCTTCGTAAAACCAACTGCTGAAGGAATTTGAACCTTCTTAGATCGTCACTGGTCTGAAAAACGTCTTGTGCACTAGGACCACCATCCATCTTCTCCAGCTTTGCGTTTGACGTTTGGTGCAACTGCTCAATAGGATTCGAGTCTGCAGTGACGCTGGCGCTCACAGCAAAACAACTGTACCTTTTTTTATCAATCCTTATTTAATGCTTTTACATATAATATTAAGTCCATTAAATGGATTTTGGATCCATGCAAAGCCATATTCCAAGTCGACGCATGACATCCACAAACACTGCTATTATTGTTGCTCTTAACTAGCTTATCCTTAAAAATCCAGTAAACTTGAACCAAAAAGCAACAAATAACAGCAGTAATGACAACGGTGGTCGGATCTCGATCGCACCGTAGCTGGTGGCACTTCCAACCATATCCACGCCGGTCACAAGATCTACATCACCATGATGGCACTTTTGTTAATGAAGAGTATTGTACTATGGCCGTCAATGGTAACTGTATATATTATATAGCTAGAGCCAATATACATTTTGTTAGTGCATATGACTGAAGATATGTTTGTATCGATAAGTGGCTAGTGTTCGTATCAAAATACACCGCGAATTTGTTGCATCAACCGAAATTCGAATTGAAAATGCAAAGCAGTTCCTGCATGTTTTCCGTCGCGCTATCGAATGCGTTGTCGTGCCAAATTCAGACTCATACGGGCCGACGATCAACGTACCAACACTCCAGGCATTAGTAATATCCAAGGAAAGAGCAACGCTGTTAACCTGGAACGTGCAAAGCAAAACTATTCTAGTTAGCATTAAGAACTTTTGTTATATCCTCAAATAATGTTTTGGTGTATGGACAGGATATAAGTATTTTAGAAATTGGCTCGACACATCAACGAGAGTATAATCAGTCAACAAAAAGAGTGTTTCTGGAACCTTGATAATCACGCACCAAAACCAGCTGTAACCCTTCTCTTATGATATACAGCCTTTGCTTCTGTGATCTCTGTAAGCACCTAGTGCTGTATAGAAATGTCACCCTGTCACCTAAAAAAAGCCACGAGCATCTAAAATAAGAGAACTAAATATGACGAAATCCACATGGAGCCGCTTAAAGTGACTCCGCCCGCTTGCAAAAAAAAATTGATATACTGTAGCATCATTGTCAGTGATTTGAAAACGTCTTTCTAATCAACAATGATTACTGCTATTATTATAGAGCAAACGAGATCGGAAAGTCGAGCAAAAGGCGAAATATGCACCTAAAATGTTTATTCTACCTTATAAGTCATCAAATACAACAATAACATCTGCATAGTGAATCAGAAATATAGGATGTCGCATGGAACCGGCTGATGCGAGAGTAACAAGCGCTACGCGGCACCATTAGAGAGCGGTGCTTGATTATTGGTGAACTTTAAAAATCACATAAATAACCGCTTTCACGCATAAACTTTACGAGATCTATCATTGACCGGTGCTACTTCTAACCATACTACCCCACAACCACCTACAACAACAGTAAGAATAAGAGCGTTCCAATTGCCTGCTTTAGCTAATACGATTGTAGTAGAACGTACAGTTCAGTCAACGACCTCTCCCTCCAACTTTGAAAATTACCGAGGTAATTAGAAAAGTTTCGCAGAAGAATATGTACACCACAACAATTCAGTCCTGATGGATAATGGCCATTAAGAAAAATATAAAAAAGCTGCTGCCCTCACCTCCGCCACCACAGTTTTAGTTTCAATTGCATCAGACAATCGACAGGCTGAATTACTAAATCGATCAATGGCTTCCGATCCGTCCAATCTACCAAGATCACTGCCACCACCATTGCCACAGACACAGCCAAAGCCGCCTTGTAACGCAGCTACAGGAAAGGCAGCTACATCAACAAGATATACTGAATTAGCTAGACAGTCACCCAATGTCACAAGTACTGTATCTTTTAGTTATTCACAGTTTAATTTATGCAAAAGTATAATTGTAAGCTGATATGCATTTTGCTGGGGGGAAAAAACCAGGTACAAAACCGCGACAGCCGCCACCCCCATCTCCACTACAACCACAACCATCCTCATCCCCATCATCATCCAACCAAAAAACAACAGAGAAAGCAGCACGAAAGACGCCAAAAGACAAAATGTTTAAGTTAAAAAGACAGGTTGCATCGATTGCAATATGCTTAGCAACTCAAGTTGCAACCCAACCAAGTAAAAATCGAGTGAGGAGGAGGGATGTTCTTTGGTGTGGTAATTGATAAAATAGTACCAGAATTCAATAACTTTGGATATATAGACAAATATCGCTGTCCTTATGAAAGGTGCAATTACGCTGCAGATTACTGCAGTCTCGTATACCTCCATATCCAAACGGACCATTTCCCTGACCTACCTGTATTGCTATACGCCGATCAGCTTCAGAAACCTAACTGTGTTCCCAAAGATGTTCCTCCAGATGAATACATCGTACTTGATTTGGGTAAATAATTCATCATATAATTTTTTTGATGGAACAGAAAGAAGCAGAGGGCCTATAAAATTAGCAATAACGGAAAAACGTATGATCCAAGATGAAAAACATCGTTCAGGGGCACGCGCACCATTACCACCACAACGACCACGAATGCTACAACCGCCACTCCCATCCTCGGTAACGACAGCTCCACGGCCTTCTGTTACGAATACCAGAGTTAAGGAGGGGACCGACGGGAAACAGGAGATCGACGAATTATTTCAGTGTCCTTACAAAGGATGTCGCTATGGTGCACTTACATGTGATGACGGCTTATCCCACATTCAACAGCAACATTTCAAGAACTTGTCAAGGACAACGCTACATTATGCAAACGCCTTTTTTGTGAATAAATGGGGTCGAAAGATTGCTTGTGATTGTAAGCGAACATAGGGATTGTCTTTCTTATACCTGGGAAGAGCTGATGGTAATTGGAGCTTACTGATAAGTGATTATGTAGCCAGTTCGCTTGATTTTCTTGAGGAAGGAGATGACTTCTTTGTAATATATTCAGATGTACCGAAAGGCAAGTTATTATTTTGGCTTTTGAATGTGTGCTTGCGTACTTGCAATATTCTTACCAAAAGCTCATATAAAGAATAAGAGAAACGATTTTGGTGATGATGACGATAGCTAATATACGCAACCGAATCTAATGTATTAGGTAGCAAGCCACCTAGAGCGTGGTGTCCATACTCCCACTGTAGGAGAAACTTCAACACTCCATCAAAATTACAGGCACATATCCGACTTCAACACGACAGGTCATTCCGTATACCACAACCTGATCATCCAGAGTCAATTGTTACTGTCCTGAGAAATAACTCTGGAAGACAGATTTATTTGGATGGTAAGTCTTGTGCTTTTATGAAACTACGCATTTTCAGTCAAGTATATCAGGAAAGTGAGAAGTATCTTAAAATTGAATTGTTCATTTGTATATCATAATGGGTGTGCGCTCATGCTCGCATCGAAAAATAGAGTTTTCAAGAGAAGCAGTCAAAACCGGCACTCAAATAACCATAACACAGTTGCCATTTACGACAAGCTAGTAATGATCTACATAGTATTTTCTAATGCAAATGATATTTAGCTACTTACACTATCATTATTATTAATAAACAAAGAAGCAAAGAACTGTCAGCATATATGATACCTCTTTACATAATTTTTTTTGCTTATACTGTATATTAGATCTTTTGAAACAAAGGGCAGTTATCCTGGATCCAGGAACATGTAGCTGAATATTTACAAATAACGGATTCTTGATATCATAGACTGACGTTATCTCTAGAGTTTCAAGCTCCTGAGAGACTCCATAACGGTAAAGAGACTTTGAGTTCACAAGAGCGCGATGGAGATGATAACGGCAATAAATTATACAGAAAAGAAATTTACCAGCAGCATTAAAAATATGTAGTATGTAGAATATGTCATCGCTGTTTTACCACTACATATGGTCTATGATATGATAGTTTCTATTTTTGCATGGTCCGTCAGAACGTTAATGGCTGGGTGGTAGTATCCTAATACTAGCTATTTCTGAAATAGTTTTTCCATACATGGTGATGAGATGCAAGATCTGGGTACCGCGTACAGACGTTAACGGATCCGTGCGCCTTCGTTCTATGAATGCGCTGTTTGCATAATGAGAATTGGTTTACGAACGTAGCGAGAAAGATAATAGTGATTTCTCCTGTCTGATCATCAAGAAGTGTATATGTGCGATTGCGCACCACAAGCTTCTTATACAGTGCTGTTAAGCATTATTCATGTTAGTACTACGATGCCAACAAAAATTATTTGTTTTCTTATAGATAAACGACGTGATCAGAGTTACTTTATATTTTCGGTCACATACCATAATAGGAAAGCGTAGAATCATACTTCCCTATTTCTACATGATGGTAACACATGCAAAACCAGACATCGACAGAAGAGGTCCTACAATTGCAGAAAGTACTAATTGATAGGCCATATATTGGACAGGTGGTGATTATGCAGGATGATGTGCTCTCCCAATTGGTGTCTCGTAATAGCAGCTTGGGTTACTGAGAATGAAGGTAAACAATCTTTTCATTTATAGCCATCGTCTCCATCTCGGTCCGGGGTTCCCCATTTTTCCGTGTGATCTTTTAGCGGCCGCGCCATTAGCCTGCTCAGCGGGCGTGGTGTGTACGACCACTCCTTTAAATCATCACAGCGTATGTAGTGCTTGCTGGTGGCAAAAACAAAACGGTAATTACCGTTCGTCTTATGCACATCAATACGTCTGACGACAGAATTTAGATGTTTGTTAATGAAAGCACGATCCTACAACAATACAGTAATTCATTCGGCGCAAAAGAAAAGTTATTGGGCGTTGTTTGTTGTCGTGCTTCGCCATGTCACTATCATATAAAAGCAACATGCACTACCTCCTATACAGAAGTACACGATGCAGCAAAGTAGTCCAGCATTAAAAAGCAGTATAGTAAGTATATGATATCCGCCAAACAGACACTTCGACGCCAGCCCTCTCAACCTTTTTTCTCCAGGTATAAGCATAAGCTATATATAGGACGGCTTTGCAATAAAAAAAAGGCACTCCCCTTTCAAACTTCTTCTTTCTACTCTTCTTTACTTTAGAAAAACAAATATGCACCATTTGTTATTATCTCTTATCATCAACGCTATTGCTTTAATATGTTGTGTACACTCAGCACCACTGGCAGACTTTTTGCAATTGAGCAAACGAGCGGCAGCTGTACCATGCGCAAACCAAATTGATACACTGTAAGTTGTTGTCGTTGTCGTTCACAGCAGTTGCTCATCATTTTTAAATTGCTAATCTATCTGCCATTTTTCCCCTGTTTAAAAAACATACATCCCTTGACTACCTGATCTTAAACGTAAAACGTATAGATTTGTCTTTGGAGACTCATACAGTGCAGTCAATGGAGAGAAAGGAAGTCGAAAAACATGGACCCTTTTTGAATCTCCTGATTCTGTTACGAACAACCCAGTTATACGCGATGGAGTAAGCAACGTGCTTTTCTTCTTCTTCTATTCTAAATACCTTTAGAATACCTGTGAAGAGGAGTTAAGTGGGTGTCAGGGTGGATTAAACATGGAGAGATAAGAAACATAATAGCAGTAATCGGAGAGAGAAAAAAGAAGATTATCGTTTTCAAGGGATATGCGTTTATGGCTATTTGGAAGATGTAGGAGTAGAACTGCATGATGTTCTAGGCTGTGGTGGTTGCTGGTGTAAATACACAGAGTATATTAACTCATTAAACATAAAAATTGGGTGATAGACAACGGCGGGAGCACCCAATTGGAACCAATACCTCACGGAATGCTATGAAGGAATTCCACAAAACTGCCCTGCACATTTATTCAATGTCGCATACAACGGCGCAACAGTCGACACCAACTTAGTCCAGCCCCGAACGCCAGATGTTTCTGATTTCATCGCCCAAGTGCAAGGATGGCAAAAGCATGTCAAGCCTCAAGTCGAGTATCAAAAGGCATTGGCAGCCATTTGGTTTGGGTTAGTACAACCCCTTATTCACAACACTAACCACCAAAAACTAATGGGCAGTTGAGCGGGAGTACTAAACCATATTCGTTTTCATGCAGCATCAACGATGTAGGGCACTCTCTTGATACAAGCGATGTAAGTGAGAAGAAAAAAACCATCCTATTGCTATTATGTCCAATTTTCTGACAACTTATGCTTTCTAGGCAGATATTTCAGCGCTACTTGGCAAAGATGTCGACGAATACTTTGACCAACTGGTAAGAGTCATGTTTTCTGTTTACTTGAGCGAAGAAAACAATACTGATGGTCAGTCATTATGTATGCAAAACAACAACAAAAACAACAATAGGAACTTTTGTATAGCGGTGGTTTACGGACATTCATGATCATCAACGTCCCACCATTTGAACGAACGCCGAAATTTTCTCCTCAAGCAGATATACTAGTTCCACGAATCATGCAGTACAACGAATTGATTGACAACCATATCACGGCTTTTACAACCAAGCATCAAGACGTTGCAGTGATCAAGATTGATGCTCATGAGCGATTCACATATTACTTGGACCATGCTAGTCAGTATGGCGTACAGGATACGACAAGTTCGTGCAAAGAAAAAGAAGGCGATGAAGCCACCGACTGTGGACAGTAAGTAGTTTCTCTCACCTCACTCTGTGGTGGCCAGTAGTATCGGTAGCTACCATAATTTAAAAGAAAATGCATTAATTTCTTTCTTTTTGTTGTCTGTAGGTATTTTTACAAAGGTAAATAACACGGTTTTATGAGAAGGGAGGATGGTGATGGTATGATAGTACGATATGCTCACATGTAGGTCACTATTATATAGATGCGCTTCATCCCACTTATCCTGTCCACAAAGCATTTGCAGCGGATATCGGAACCACTTTACATAATGAACAATTTTGTATATAAGTAAAATTTACATACATCCTGGATGAGGGGGAGTCCTAGTTATTAATAATAGCCCCCGTAGTAGTAAAGATAATACATAGTAATTTAATGGTAAATACCCTGTTTCCCACAACACCCAGAGAAAAATAAATAATCGCAGCCTTGGATGTCTCGGAAACGGGGTGAATGTGTGTGAGAGGCTGAACAAGAACTGGGGGCGTGTGTCACACAATTGTGATGCGGACCAGACGGAGAGGCGGTGTGTATCGCGCGTGTGCTATTTTGTGTGATATGAGAGGAAGCTCCCTCACACACAGCCCTTGGCACACAAAAATGTGAGAGAGCCCCTCACTCACATAGCAGGCACAACACAAACATACACTTGCTCATACACACACACACACACACACACACACACACACAGCAAAGCGGATTAATGCTGTCGGTTTCCTTTTGGCCAAGCAAGGATAACAACAAAACAACAAAAACAATATAACCCGCTGCTGCTCCGTTTTTGACTGCTGAGTCTTATTGCCGAGGACCCCTCGCCTTATTTGCAACAAATAACACAGAGTGTACAGTGCACACACACACACACACCATGAATAGAATACACACAGAATAAGGGCAACATTGTCAGCAGGCGCAGGGCGCACGCTTTTCACTCTCTATGATGCTTTCAGAGGGCTAAAAGAGTGGAAATACACAAGCACTGGACCCAACAAGTTTTTTTTTCTTTCACCCCCTTATATGAGCTTTGTGTGTGAGAGTGAGAGAGAGAGTGAGAGAGAGAAGGGGGCTCTCTCTTTTTTTCCTTCACTCGCGCACCATACACACACAGCACACGCACAGCACGCACATCACACACACACACACACACACACACGCACCATTAACACAAACAGCGCTGCCTTTTTTTCTTCTTTCTCTTTTTTCTCTTTCTCTCATATTTTTACTCCACTCACTGCAACCCATTTCTTCCATTCTCTTTCCTCTTTTCCTCTCTACTTGTACTCTATCAAAAGGTAAGGCGCGTTAGTCTCTTTCTGCTTATGGTTCCGTTGATAGTCGGTACTGAATATACGCGCGATGTCTATGCAGCTACGCGTAAAAACAGCAAGCAATCATGCCAAAAGAATCCAAGACAGGCGACGCAAAGACCTCCAAGCGAGCGGGTGCTGGCGAGAAGAAGAAGCGAAGCAAGAAGGATCCGAATGCACCAAAGCGCGGCTTGTCAGCATACATGTTCTTTTCGCAAGAAAACCGGACGCAGATCCAACAAGAGAATCCAGATGCTGCATTTGGTATGGCCTTCTCCTCTGTATTTACCTCATACACAACTAGCATAGAGTGCCATGGTGCTGTTGACAGAGAAACTAATACGTCCCTTACAGGCCAGATCGGCAAGTTACTTGGTGAAAAGTGGAAGAGCATGGATGACGATCAGAAGCAGGTAGGTTTAGAGAGAGGCGAGAGAGGGAGAGAGAGAGGATGTTGTCTGTCCACATGTATATCAATGTGCCGCACACACAGGTTTACTAAATGAGAAACCTATACTTATACCATATAGCCCTACAAAGACAAGGCAGAGGCAGATCGGAAGCGCTATGAAGCTGAGAAGAGACAGATGGTACGTTTTTCCTATGGAGAATCATCCGAAAACACGTTAAGTAGTAGTAGTAGTAGTAGTGCTAACTAGTGAACTATGCTGTGATTTTATTTCATAGAACGGCGGCGATGAATAATGAAATTAACCACACACTCATATCACACGCACACCCCCCCCCTTTTTTTTTCTGGGCGAACCCCACCTAACCCAAACTCACCTGCTCGCTTCCCCTTTCGCTGTGTAATTTTTTTTTTCGCGTTGCAGTTTCTCTCTATTCACTCACCCACCCACTCGCTCACAACAACAAAAGTTAATATCATTCTCTCTGTCTATCAATGGCTCATACTACCCACACATTTGCTCTATTAAATCAGACGGTCTGAAGCAAAATCATTTTCTGGGTGTGTCTCAATATTAGAGCGCTTGAGCGAATAATGTGCATTGGAATAGCTACATGGTGTTTTTAAAGAAGTCGTCGTGGTCCTCGTTCTGCGTGCTCCTGGTTTCTCTGCCTCTGATACACGGTGGGGGGGGAAGAGCGGGCGAGTGTGTGCGCCTACTATGCAATGATATAAAGTTTGCTAGCCAATAAAATTTTTGTTTAGGTTCACACATCTGCGGCCTCCGCCAAAATGAATGGCGGTGGTTGGGGAGACTGAAGACAAGACTAATTAGGCAAGACAATGCTAAATCCACAAAAAATTAGGGGATGTGGAAGAAGGCATAGAGGGCTTACTTTATTTTTTTGAAAAGTGAAGTTAAGGTGGTTAATGCAAAAAGATACTTTCTTCCTGGTGGTGGAAGCTTGTGAGTGGAACTATCATACTGCTTTGGAAACGGTATCAGAAGACGCAAGGACTTGTAGATAATCCTCAAGAACTTGGGACCAGACCCTCCGTTTGATCGAGCAAGCAAGCAAGAATTGAGCGACCGATTCCAGCTCGAGACCACCAATAACTTATAGCGGATTGTCAAAGCGAGCAGGTAACATCGTGATGTATCATTGCGTGGAACGACAGCATACTTTGTTGTGAAGAGCACGTCACCAAGCCGTGCAAGCGCCAGGGAGAGGAGAGTGCAGATTGGTAGAAGAGAAAAACAACGTGTGAAACCGGTGTGTGCCTTGACCAACGACGAAAAAGAGCAGGTGCTCCAAGTCTTGAATAGAGAGGGACTACATACCCCTACAGCAGCATCTTGCACGGGAGAATCATGTCTATAATACAGATAAAAGCGCCACTAACCAAGGCATCATAAGTAGAAGACCAACCAAGTATAATAACCAATGTATTAAGGGAGAAGTTTTGTAAGCTATGAAACAATGAAGCAAAACCATCAGCGCTGTCACACTCCCTTAGATCGCCGCCAAAGCCATCATCATACCGTCTCCAACACCAAGAGCTGAAGCACATACTCACCGTCATTCCTCATTCCTTATACCAGCTGTGAGCCACTGAAGACCGATTATACGCGAGACATTTAAAGCATCACTCGAGATTAACGTAAAGAGAAGATAGACCCACTTGATGACAGCTACCCCCGGCCCCGTGTGTAATTGCCACCGTCTTTCTAGTTATACATCCTCCTCCTCTTTCTAGCTCACGCCATCCTTTGATGAGAACTTGTCAGTAAAACTTGCATAATGACTCATATGAGTACGAATGGGAGTACGTGCCACAGAGCAGAATAGATCAGCTAGCCTTTAAAAAATGATGAAAGAAAAGGAATATAAGGCAATCAGAAAAGTAGAGTCGAGAGAAAGGATTTAGGGGTGAAGGGTCAGTATGAGGGAAGCAAGTGTATTGATGCATGCTTTCTAGTATCATATAATGACGCCACAGCACGCCATGGCTGTAGCTGGAGATAAACTTGACAGTAACAGGAGCAACAAGAAGAATGTCTGTGATGGACTTGGCCATGCGAAACAGCAGCTTGGTCTAGATTACATCAACAGCAGACTCTCTTTTCGGCATCAAGGATGGTTGTCCTGCTTGACAACCATCAGAACAAAGATGAACTGCCGTGCAAATGAATGGATGGTGGATACACCTTGACACCAAAGTACTTGGTGTATCGAAACCAGCGACGACCAAGTAAAGACGCAGTATGTTATACTTTGGTTGACTAAGAGGTAACGCCATGGATGGGCTACCTAGACCACTGAGATCAAGACAACATCAGACTCGTACTTGGTCGGTATAATTTGAACCACCGGTCACGCCGTCTGCAGCAAGAACATGGTTATGGAGTGACAGCAGGGAGGCAACAGATGGCTCTTTACAAACTTGGCAACCTAGTCTCTGTGGCACTAGTATAAGGAGAGAAAGAAGGGCATCAGTAGCGGATAACGTCGCGTCATCGGTCACAAATAATCATCAACACACATCTTCGGACTCTTGATGTACCGAACGATCGCTGTCAAACTACATGTATTACTCTTCACCTTGTTTCTTTCTTGACTATAACTTCCTGACCAAATATGTACTTTTTTCTTGCCCCCAAGCTAATACTTTGTCTCTCAAACTCCAGACAATACGAGCACGCCATTGCAAAAAAAAAACTATTTCTCTTGTAGGGGGCTGCTATGTAATACACTATCACACATAATATGTACCCAGATTAACATTCCCATGTGCGTTTATTATCCCGGGGATTATACATACAAGCCGTTCGACGGAATAGTCGAATACTACTGTATATAGTGGATCATCCAATACAGTATTACGCGTTGATATGTGTAAACCTGATCGTTTTACTCCATGAAGAAATGAGGAAATATTTAATATACAAATGGGTGAGCGCTGGTAGTAAGACTTTCTTTTGAGAAATTATGTACATTGGATTGTTTGGAAAGAAGTTGGTTATTGGAAAGGTGTCTGAAGACCATGAGGACATCAAAGATGATATAGAGACCGTAAAGATAACGAGGGGCTTAATGTGTGAATGTGATAGGGATCTCTTGTCCAGTTTCCTTTGGCAGGTTGACCTTCAATACCCCATTCTCGTACTTGACGCTGGCATTCCGAATGTCCACCATATGTTTCAACGCAATGATGCTTTCAAAACAGTCAGATGGACACTGTCTAGTACTTGTAATCAGGTGTTCAGGCATGCAAGGTCCACAACTACCGGAAATCTTAACAGATAATGGCGGCGCCGACGCACTTTTGATATCCTTAAAGTCAACTCCAGGCAAATTAAGATGAAATGTCAACGACTCTTCCGTTTCAAACTTGTCATATCATATGGCGGTGTGTAGGTGTATGCTTCCACGTTAAAAAGATTCGCGATGTTGGATGATACAATCACGCTGTCGTCGTCTTCGTCCGAGTAATCCATGTCTTTAATAGCCTTCTTGCAATACTTGATGTGCTTATCATCCTCGTCTTTGATGTCTTGTAGAACTCGGTCAACCTCATCTTGGTCGAGTTCAATCGAGTTATTTCGTTGTTGAGCTGTAGAGGAGATTGTGACCTGTCGATGATGGCAAGTTCGGACATACCTCGTTGGATTGTTTGCAAGATACAGTGTATTTCAGATGACGTAACGCTTCATATCCGTTACTCAAACTATGTTATAGTTTTCAAAAGGAATGAAAGAGATGAATTATGTGGCTTACCTTGAGTGATAAGACGATCATCAGCAGATGGACGAATCCATGGAAGTCAGTGGCCGTTCATGGAAATTAGGTGTTGCATGCTTCGAAGTGGAAGTATGTGTCTTATATTTTTTTTGTGGCGTGGACAATGAGCTTGTTGATAATCCATAATGCGGTGACTGGAGTGAATTCTTCGATAAGCTGGCTGTAAGGCAACTTCTTTTCTAGGACTTTAAATGTAAAGACTTGCAAGTATCTATTCTTCTCTTTGGTATCGACAACGACCTTGTCTGTTGCAGATATTACCTTGTCCACTCTGGCGAGAATAGTCTCATTGTCGTTTATTGATCGAACAGCAACAAAGTCAGTTGAATTATACTTTACTATACATATTTAAAAAAATTTATATAAAATTATTTCTTACATATCCAAATTTTAAAAATTGAATTTTATAATAAATATAAAAATAAATGATGCCAAAGAGAGACCATATAAAGACTTCACCTATTGAAAGAAAAAAAAGAAAATATAAAAATTATAAAAATAAAAGTAAAATAGAAATAAATGACAGCGATCGTTCGGTACATTAAGAGACAAGAAATTGCGCATCCAGAATCCAAAGATATGTATTGATGATCTGTAAAAATCACGCTTCCAGCAATTATCAGTACATATCACCACCTCTCCCAAGCAGCCAAGAAGACAATCGGCGCCAAAATACACTCGAAAGAACAGACGAAAACGGACTTCATTCCACACTGTTCATCATCCCAAAGAAAACAGGGGGCTTACGATCTATCCTGAACCTACGTCTGCTCAACTTGCAGCATCTACAGAAGAACCGTTCATTCACGATGGAGACCATAAGCCACGTTTGCCGTATGATACAGGCCAACGGTCTTCTAGCAAGCATCGACCTCGAGATCGCCACGTCTTAATCCACAAACGACCGCGGCGCTTTCACCAGTCCCGTTGGCAAGATCAGACATACCAATTTCGCGCTCTCCCGTAAGGCCTTCACTTGTCTGGATCAAAGTCCTTCGACCAGTACTCCGATGGGCACGCCGGCGAGGCATTCGCATCTCGGCTTATTTGGACGATATCTTGATCGCCGCCAAATCGTCGGCCCAAGCGTCCCAACACGCTCAACAACCTGAGCACACTGGGCGTCTTGGTGAACAAAGCCAAGTCCCATCCCACACCAACTCAACAAATCGATCATATCAGTTTTCATATCGACACCAAGATCATGCAATTCTCTGTTCCTCCGACGAAACTACGCGACTTACGTCGAGAAGCACGACGGCTACTAAACCGACCCACGACATCAGTACGCCTTCTCTCCTCGTTTATCGGGAAAGCACAAGCCGCCAGATTAGCTGTATTGCCAGCTGGTTTTTACACTCGTCAAGCGATTGCTTGGCGCAACCGGATGCTAGCCAGCGGGTTCACATGGGGTTTGCAGATTCAGCTCTCAGCATCGGTATGTATGGCAGGAGCTTCCATGGTGGGTCGAACATCCACCGCCTTGGAACGGGCAGAGTTTTTTCCCTTCTACTCCCCACATGCAAGTCTTCACGAATTCATTAGATCAGGGATGGGGCCTGATTTTCAACAACAAGTCGATCACCGCGTCTAGGAATCAGCAGCAGCAGCAACACATATACTTCAAAAAGCTCTTGACGATTCAAAAAGCAATACGGCATCCGACACTGCTTGGCAAGTTCTACGTCTTTATCGCGACGACACAACAACGATCGCACATATCAATCCTTTCCGTGGGACCCTATCCCATGCTCTGATGACACGGAAACCCAGAAACCACTTCAAAGTGAAAGAGAGAGGAAGCAGTATGAAACAGAACATTAAAACACATTGGTTATCAAGACGACCTGGATGTTCAGATTATGATACTTGTTGGTAGACAGATGCGCAAACTAGATTTCGAAATCTTAAACAGCGCAAAGCTGATTAGTCTTTTTCTTATCAATATACTATTGGTCCACTCTGTATAATAACGGCTGATACCACAAATCACAATAGTGCATTAGTAATAATTCTCAGCTTAATTTGATGTGGACTGCAAGAACCCATCACTAAGTCGAGATATGAATTAATCAAATATCACTACAGCGAGCAAGCATTATATTAGGGAAAAGAAAAGTAAGAAGTCATGTGGCGTGAACCGCAAGATAAATGTATACTAAAGAGGATAACTGATCATCATTATCGTACAATCAGTTTCAGGAACATCGCTACGAGACCTACAGCTATTTACTACTTACCTCATATTCTTATGCAAGCTCGTACGTAGTATGATATAGCCATCGACTATACGTCTTTTTTATCACGGCAATTACATACATATTGGTCAAGTTTCCGAAAGCCATTGCTCTGTCGGTATGATCGCCTCATTTAGGCATTACTTAACTGCTGTGTAGCTACAGTTGGCTGCCTGGCTTGTACAGATTGTTGCCTTTCTTATAGCATGCTATCATTCGTCTTTCTCCCAAGCTCACCTTGCTATTCAACATACATATAGTAGCAACCTGTATCTAGCGACTACATATTCATCATACGCGTGGTAAGCCAAGTTTTTGTTTTATCCTGTAACAGGGAAAGTGCGTCGATCATGCACCGCTTGATCTAGTCCATCAACGGAATGTCATACCAAAAAGCACATACTTTTACAAAAAGCAAAAGTGATAAGCCAGGTACGAGGAATATTCAGCATATGGAAAGATGCTATCATTTCTCGTGGCACAAGAAGACATAGAACACTGACCCAACCAACTTGGCAACTTTACCCTCTGACCCCGTCATACATAACCCAACAAGTTTTTTGTATTTCTTTTTCTCTTTCTTTTCGATCTGTTTTAACATGAATCTCTACGAATGACTAAAGAAGCAGCAGAAAAAAAAGAGGCTTATGTAACCTTGGTTGCCACTGATTCCTATGTCCCAGGTGCACTTGTGCTCGCTCATCGCTTACGCGATCTCGGCACAGTCAAACACCTCGCGTGTCTGGTCACACCAATCGTGTCCTCACAAGCTCGAGCATTACTAGTACCACGGTTTCATCACCTAATCTCGGTGGACAGTATGCATTCCACGACGCCCGCCAACTTGTTATTGTTGGGTCGTCCAGACTTGGCCGTGACGCTCACAAAACTACACGTGTTTCGGCTGGCCCACTTGTTTACAAAGATCGTCTTTCTTGACGCAGACACGTATCCGGTCAAGTTGATAGACGAGTTGTTCGAGAGACCATCATTTTCGGCTGCTCCAGACGTGGGATGGCCGGATTGTTTCAATTCAGGCGTGTTTGTGGTCCAGCCGTCCGATTCGGTATATGCGGATTTGATACAATTGGCAGCGGAAAAGGGATCGTTTGATGGTACGTTGTTGTCTGGATAAGCAGATAGTTTATGGGTATCTGGGAAGTGAAGTACTCGCATCAACAAACTGTGGATGGGAACGAATCAAAGAACGTTGTTATAACTAGCTGTGATGATGTATCTATGATGTAAAAGCAAAATCATATTTGACCATCGTAATTATACTAGGTGGCGATCAAGGTCTCCTCAACACATACTTTGCTAGTTGGCCAGAAACGTCTGCACATCGATTGCCGTTTACATACAATACGACACCTTCAGCTGCTTACAGGTAAATTAGAAAGCGTTGACAGCTTTTTTCCTCCCGCATGTTACCTGTGTTGTTGTCAATGGAGAGTAATTATCGTTGCTAACAATATGATGCATGAAACACACTTACACAGTTACGCACCTGCCTACATGGAATTCCGGGATAGAATCTCTATAGCTCACTTTATCGGGCGACTGAAACCATGGCATTACCAACGCTTTGCAGACGGAAGTGTATTCCATAACAAAAATAATAACGATCACGTTCAGGCTTGGTGGGATACCTGGGATAAGCACTATGATAAGGTATATACTGTTATCAATTTCTATATGAATTTCAATAGAGAAGACTAAAATAAAGAACAATATGCACCCGGGCTTTCATGTTCCAGACCTCGCCTGCATCCTTACTATCAATGTCACAAGAAAAGCTACAACACCACCAAGGCCAACAAGAATTAAAGTTATCGACACTCTCCAACCCCACCATAACGATGGCTAGAGTGACGAATAATGGAAATAGTGATCTTTCTCAGTCTCCTATCTGGGGTAGAATTGCATCAAGCGCCTATTCGGACAACTTATCCAGTATACGTCTCAAACCCCATCAAGATCCATACCATAACCACCAGAAGCCCAACAAGGTCCCGGAACCTCGCAATCGGGTGACCAACAGTGTAAGCTAAGCTGAAGATATAGAAACATGGCTACAGTCGCTTTTTGCTTCTGTCGCACAGAATGTTTAAACTGGCTTTCTTTGTAATGGACACAGATCCCTGAAGATCACGCACGTTTCACAAGAGCGCCAAATGTTACTCAGACCTATCATCCGGTATACATGACGCCTGTTCCTACTACTATCTCGGCTTCCAATCCTGCTGTAATCACCGATAAAGCTACCTTTAATAATATCACCGAACTATCCGCATCATATTCCAAACAATCCATTCATACCACCAGTCCGTCCTCCCAGAACGTTTATCCACTATCATGCACACTAGCGCCATCTTTAGCGGCACCATCACCACCACCAGTGGCCCCTGATAAGAAGATTTGTGACGATGAAGGTAGCGCTAGTGTTATTCAGCAGACAGCCTCCTCTGACAACAACCACCAACCAAAATCACGACAACGTCTCCTTCCACAAGCAACAGGTGTTGCAGAAGCAACCATGCTTGAGTTTGAACTTGACTACAATGAACGATATCGTTTATAAAAAATATTCAAATCATGTACATGCAAATTTGTTGCTTCCTATATATATTTTTCCAAGTATAATAAAAAAAAGAGACTTTTTCATGACTTTTCTAAAATCTAAAGTTCATCGTGGTTACGATGTTCCTCTTCTTCCTCGGGCGTGGATGGCTTGCTCGAAGAATCTTGCTGCTGCTCCTTTTGTCCTCCAGCAACTGGTTCCTCGTCAGCATCAGTGGAAGGTTCTTCCTTTTCTTCAGCATCTTCCTTCTTTGGCTGCTGTTTCTTCGCCTTGGGCTTCTTTTTGCTCATCAATTTCATCAGTGCTTCATCCAATTGTCGACACTGTTTGTTGACATCAAGAGTCGTAAAGATAGGATCGACGTGGTTTTCGCGTTTTTCTTGAGCAGCAACCTTTTCAAGCTTCCACGATTCAACTCGATTGGCATGGCTCAAGACTCCTTCAAGTTCTTCTTCAGTATGGTATCGGTCTTCTTCAGGAGTCGAGCTACGAATGTTCTCCACAAAGGAGCGCGCAAGTTGAACGCTGGTATCAATACGCTTAATGTTATCGACACGTTGAAGGTATTCTTGACGGCGGAACGTGACAGGTCGTTCGAGCGATCTGTGCAGTTTCGTAAGTATACACTGCGTGGATGTCGCAAATTATACGAGTTTCCGAGAAGAAAAGTTTTACGTAGCAACACTTACTGAAGTTTTCGCAAACGGTCAATGTATTCTTTCGTATCAGCTGTTTCGCCTTCGTCGTACAACCAATCCGAAGTCTCAGAAAGTTGTTCACGTAGGTGCTCTTGTTGCTCTTCGGTCGACACGATGCCGACGGTATCATCATACAGAAAGTCTTGAACACGATAGACAAAGGACTCAAGATTGTTGCGCGATTCTTCACGCAATCGACGCTTGTCATCAAGTGCGTCGAGCTTTTCAATGCTAGTTTGTTTATAAATGTTATTTAGATCAGCTTTACTGTCGCACAAAGGATGCTTACGTGCAGGAGTGTCTCTGTGCGCACAGACCAAGCCGAGCGCATTTTACTTACCGCTGACGGACTGCTGCCTTTTCTTCAGATGACATGGCAACAGGACCAGCAGGGATAAATTCAACATCAAGTGGGATCTTCTTCAAAGAGGGTTCCTTGGGCTTGGATTCCTCTGCAGTCTTTTTCTTGTCGCTCTCCTCACGCTCAGTGTTGTTCTGGTCGGCCTGCACAGTCTGTGTCGATGCAGCAGATATTTTAGTAAATTTCGATAATATTCTCCCGTATAATATGCTCTAGTTACCTCCTTTGCTTCTTCTGCGGATTGAGTTTCTTCTTCCTTCGAACCAAAGAATGACTTGACCTTATCTATTTGCCGTCACCATCACCATTAATGTTAGCCCGGTAAGCATGTATTTATCTACTACGAGTATCCAGCCCCTCCAATGATAAAAAAATATACCAGAGAAAGTAGATCCGGTATCCTTTGATTGGAAACTCAAGCTAGCCTCAGGCACAGAAAGGAGACCCGCGTTGGACAACTCAATGGACACGCGCACCTTGGGTGGCTGCTCAGCCGAGTCGATCTCATCCTTATGCTTCTCCATGGCAGCTGTCAAACCAGTAATTCTGACTTTGGCAATTTGATCAAGTTCACTCTCACTAGTTTAATTAAGCCATCAATATGATTACGTCCCTTTCTCTCCATTTCATTATCAGTGTCCAATTCGATATTTATACAACTTACATATCTTGTTCATCGACTGGTTTTCCATACTTGACATCAAATTCAAAGTCGCTTTCGCGCTTGAACGTCATAATTTTACGGGTACCAATCGATCCAAATTCATTGAACAAAGTGGTGTGGATAGGTTGACGACCTGTATATCAATAAATATAAAAACTTCATCAATATCTTTGCTGCTTGTTGCTCACACGGTGGAATCTTTCTTTCTCTTGGCTCATCCTTCATTAACTAACCTAAATGCTCGTCCTCAGGGTGATAAATAACTTCAATCGGGAAAACAGTGATATCCTTGATCACAATCTGTTTGGTAAGACGGAACTGTTTACTGAGCGATGCACCACGGAATGCAGCACCCAATACAGCTGCTTCATCACCGTTGACATTCTTGGCAATCTTTTGACTGTGTCAATATTAATCTTAGATATGTGAGAAACAGTATATAGGCGGGTAGGAGTTACAGAACCACATCGAGATATGAACACTATACTTACGTTCCCACAACATCAACTAGGCCTTTCTGCACAGCAGGGACACGCACGCTACCCCCAACAAGGACCAGCGACTTGACGTCGTCCTATAAGCAGCGGAAATTATATAAGTAAATTTATAAAACGTATAATCTCGTTGGAAACTTTTGAGCCTTTTGATTACTTACAATTTTCATGTCAGCAGCCTTCAGAGCTGCTTCAATAGGTCCGGGAACACGTTCAAGCAAATCAGCACAAAGTCGCTCAAGTTCAACGCGCGTCACCTTGCTTTTAAAGTCCACATCTTCGTAAAGACTCTCCAACTATTGAAACATAGGATTAGGAAAAAGTCATCTCCAGCGAATAGATGCCTCTGAAGACCTAATCATGCCCCATCCTTCCGCATCATAATATAGCAAACCCACATACCGAAGCGAAGGTTTCTGTGTTGGCGCTAAGGATTTGCTTGACGCGATTAGCTTCCTTGAGCAAACGAGTCATTGCATTTCGAGATTGTCGGATATCCAATGTAGGATGCATTTCATTGAACTTTTCTGCCAACTTGTTTTGCAAGCGAACATCAAACTCGTGACCACCCAAGGTTCGGTCAAATCCAACTGCTTTGACCTCGAGTTGTGGCACCTTACGGGTAGTCGATTTGCCTTCTTTTTGATCTGCAACGGAGAAAGATACAAGCGACGCGACGGTCGATCCAGCGCCCATGTCGTAAAAGATGTGATATTCGGGAGTGCTCGTAAATTCTCTGCTGATCGCATAGTTGAGTGCAACAGCTGTTTCGTCGTGGATTAACGACAAGACATTAAGCCCGGCCAATTCAGCAGCGTCCAAAATTGCTTGACGCTCGTATTGTGTCGCAAAAGGCGCAACCTAGAATTCATACATAAATATACGTATCCAAGATGATCACTCTAAGTATACTGCTGTTCCCGTTTGACTCGTTCTCGTTTCCGTATTAGGGAGCCTCCTTTGTATTTACCGTGATCACAACATCCTTGACATCTTCACCAGCAGTGTTCTTTGCTTGTTCTCGAGCATTCTGAAACTGATATGCGATTAACTCCTCGACAGACAATTCAGTATCTTCGTCATGCTTGAAAAGGATGGCGTTTCGTTCAGGATGAGGCGTCATTTTGGTGGCGAATCGATTGCGGTATTCAACACAGTGTCTATCGTCAAAAGGCTTTGCAATGATGCTCTTAAGGTTCGAATACGTCAAATGAGGGAATCGGCTTGACTATAAACCATTTATATATACAATCATGAGGTATTTATTCACTTAAAACTTCCGTGTCATCCCTCGTCCTTTTGCACACCCTTGTCACACATTCTGCCTATATCTTTCACCCTCTTTTCCTTCCTAAATGATTTACCAATGCAACCGCGTCGGATCCATATAATCGCTCCTCATCACGCAGTGTTACTACGGTTTGTGTCTTTCGCTTAGAGTCCTTATTCAACGCGATGTCGAGAGGAATGCCAGGCTTGATGAGACCGACTTTGAACCATTCGGCGCCGTAATCGATTGACATGACCGCTGCCTGCGCCTGGTCACTGAATAGTGCCAATGCGATGGCGAGGACAAGGCATAGTATTGCTACAATGCGTTGTAACGACGCCATGAAGTTTTGGTGTGAGAAAAAGTGGGAGAAAGAGAGAGAAGGTATATATTTCGTATAGAGAAAAAGGTAGTTCTCAGGGGTTGGTGAAAGTGAAAGGAAAGACGAAGCGCGTGCTCTCTTTTTAATACATGAAATTGCATCGATCCAGGCAAACTTGTTGAGAAATCATTGGCTGAAGGGAATCGGGCCCTTAATGTTGGATTTTGCACAAAGCTGTCAGCCTGCCAGTGTATAATCAAGTACGTTTAAATGTTGCCACGTTGTAAAATGTGCGACAAACATGATCTTTGTTTTATGAGACAGGATATTGCCACGTTGTAGCCAATGGCTCTGACAGCTCTACCAAAGATACTCATGACAGGGTGCTTGTGATGGTAGCATTTTTATGTCAAACCTGTCGATAAAAGCGACAGATATCGTAGCAATAAAGTTGACGATATTGTCATCCAGTAACATGATTATTAAGATGGTGAGATGTATGCTTTCACCCAGTGTCTAGCTTCTTACATTGTGAGTGCTGGTATATGCAAGCAAGATTACGCAAAATGCAACGGACTGCAATATCATTGGCTGGGAGCATTTCCAAAATAAGCAGACTTCTAGGTCAATTACCGCCGTTGACCGCACCTTTTACCTTTTATTCTTTAGGCGATCGCGGCAATGAAAGAGGTGCCCACTGCTGAAGGTGCTGCCATTAACTACTCTAACAATCATGCCAATAAAACAACATGAAGAAAAATATTAATACTCCAGTATAATCATAGATGATTCAAACCTACTTGTTATAATATTGGACACGAATCCATTTGTGTGGGCTGAATCAGCTAAGGCACAAACACCGCTTTCATTGGACGATGCGCTGCGGCAAGTTTTGATCTTTATCAACGCTCACTTGGCGCTCAAATACAATAATAAAGTAGTTGCGATTGCAAGTCATGTGGGCCATAGGTTCGTTTTTGAGATTTAAAAGTTTTCAGGTGCTGTTTTTGGCTTTATACACACGTATGGCTGATAATGCTATAATAGTAAATTTCTTTATCCCATATCAGACGACGAAGCCTCAAAACATCGCGTCAGCGGTCAACGTGACGCCAACATGTATCCGAATTTCCAGTTTGTCACTGATCAGATCGTCGCTAGCTTACAAGAGCTCTTGTCGGATACCGATGCATCTTTCTTGGATAAGGCTAGTGGCACTTCATCCTTGATTACTGGTGCATTTTCTATGGCACTTTGTTGTAAGTAAAGCCGGATGTCTTTTTCTGTTACATCTGTAGATCCTATTACTTGTGCCTAACAAAATCTGGAAAAAAAGACATCCACCGAGTGACGAAAAACGATGAGCTTGGACATATCAAGCCTCGAATCCTGATCCTGTCATTATCGCCAGATTCTGCAGCTCAGTATATTCCTTTGATGAATTGTATTTTCTCGGCACAAAAGGCTGTAAGTTGGGTTTCTGTTGCAATGAAGAAAAGGAGAGAAACTTATGAAAGATTATAATATAGGCGATCCCGGTGGATGTATGTAAGGTGTATGGTGAAGAAACAGCATTTTTACAGCAAGCAGCAAACATTACTGGTGGTATCTATGTCAAGGTTGAGGATGCACAGTCCTTACTACAGTACTTGATGGTAAGTGTTACAATGGGTAACAACTGTTGGGTAACAATGAAGTAATTAACAATTTGGGGGCATCGTACAGTTTGCATTTCTCCCCGAACGATACGCCCGTAAATTTCTCAATCTTCCAAACGAAGACCAAGTGGATTTCCGTGCAGCTTGTTTTTGTCATAAAAGGATTGTGGATATTGGCTATGTGTGTTCCGTATGCTTATCCAGTAAGTAGAGAGTATATTTGCGATCCTGCTAAGCAATGTAAATCAAGGCGTCTACTAACAATTGAAAAAAAAAATAGTTTTCTGCTCTTGGTCACCTGTCTGTTCGACTTGCAAGTAGGTTTGACTGGTTGATTTGTGGGTTATACCCATGTAAGGTTTTAAAGTGCTGATCAGAGTTCATTTTATGATAGGACTAAATTCGCTTTTCGACCCATGGTGCCGCCAAGTGGTCGTGGACGTCCGCTCCCTCCTCCTTCCAACAGAGGTTCACCGTCCTTATCCAACAGCAACAACCCTTCACCATCGCACGCATAATTTGTTTTCTCTCTCTCACACATCCTTTTGCATCATACCATTATTACAAAACTTCTGTTTCCTATAAAAAAAGTCATTATTGGCTATTGTCATAGCAAACACTCGTTTGGCGGCGACAGAAATTTAGAGCGTTTAACGCGCTTTTCGTGGTCGCGTTATTAAAATCGCGTTCCTGTTTTTTTTCAGTCCGTTTCCACACTCTTCAATAGATCATGACCGTCATGCCCCGCCTTTTAGTCAAGCGTCTTTCTGAAAATGCCAAGGTCCCTACACGTGGATCTGCTCTTGCTGCCGGCTACGATCTGTACAGGTACAAACACACTGTTTACCATTTAAAAAGTGGCGATCTAAGAAAGAAATAAAAAGTGTATATAAACGATCGTGGAGATCCAGTAGATTCTAATACTTTGTTCTTTCTCCTTTTCAAGTGCTGCCGACACTGTGATTCCTGCACAGGGAAAAGTGATTGTTCCTACTGACTTGTCGATTGCTGTACCTGAGGGCTGTTATGGTCGCGTGGCACCACGTTCGGGCTTGGCTGCCAAACACTTTTTGGACACAGGCGCAGGTGTGATTGACGCCGACTATCGTGGTCCTGTGGGTGTTGTTATGTTTAACTTTTCCAAGGTCGACTACAAAGGTATATTAACAATCCATACAATGAGCCAACATGATGGTTTTTTTTTCCAAAACTAAACACTACTCTAGTCAAGCAAGGTGATCGCGTTGCACAGCTCGTCTTGGAACGTATTTACACACCCGAGGTGGAGGAAGTTGAGGTAAAAAGAGTTATGCACGTCGGTATGTAATGTCATGTACGATTAACGCGCGTGTAACAACTTTTCTTGTAGGACCTGGACCAGACGGTCCGAGGAGCAGGTGGTTTCGGTTCAACTGGTCAGCAGTAACATTAGCAGCAGCAGCAGCAGCAGCACTTCATTCATTTTATATCTATTACCGACCCTTTTCATTTGTACATAGTCATCTCAGGGCAGAACGTGTCTCCTAATTAACACAAATATTGATAAGTAAACAAGCAAGAAAAGTAGAGCGGTAAAGAACAAAGAAAAAGGAAATCATGGATGATTCGTTAGGATGCCCACATTTTGTGGTGGTACACCAGCCTAACTCTAAAATGACCGCAACATGAACCATGGTCGAGCGGGGGATTGATATGCTGAACCAATAATCAATCACTCATGCGTTATTAGGACTTTGATCTTTCCATGAAAGACTTCTGCATTTGCTACGATACCCACTGTTACTGCTATTCGATGGGGCACCACACTACCACGACGGAGAGGGGTGGGGGCCTAAACCATCCCTCACCTCTTGTTCGCACTCCTGGGAACACTCGAACTCGCCTGCTGCATACAGACTTGTAGTAAGTAACCTTGACTGTGGTGCGCAAACAACAGAGACAACCCTCTGGCAAATGCGGCTATGGTGATTGCCTGTTGTTGCTGTGTGTTATGATGATGAGTGGTGCTGGTGTTGGTGCTGGTGGTGACGCCGATTTGAGCACACACACACACACCCTCACAACTGTTATTTTTTCTACTCCCTTTGGGCCATCTTTTTATTTATTTATTTTTTCCTTGGTACTTTGGAAAAAACAAACCCTTCTTCCCTTTTTCTTTTCTTTCTCTTCCTTTTATTAGCGTGTATTCGTTCACTGAGTAGGAAAAAAAGAGAAACCCCCTTTCTTTTCATTCCTATTGTTTTGTGCCCGCTTAGATTAAGCGCGCAATTCAATAAAACTTCCATATATACACATATATATATATACACATATACACACCCAGCATGACGGCAAATCATCCCCGTCACTCACAGCGGTCCAGTTCAACCGCTGTTACTTCATCCTCGAATGTCGTCGGTGTTCATTATCGAGTCGGTCGTAAGATTGGTGAAGGCAGCTTTGGCATTATTTATGAAGGTACACCACTTTTTACTTTTGCCCTCTCTCTCTCTTGTCCCTTTCCACAACACACCATGATATACTGTGGAACTTTCCGAACACTTATTTGTTCATTGACACGGAAAAACCATGTTCACGTTAAGGCACCAACCTCTTAAACAACCAACAAGTGGCTATCAAGTTTGAACCACGGAAATCAGATGCGCCTCAATTACGTGATGAATATCGAACATACAAGATACTTGCTGGGTTGAGTATGTTACATTATAGGGGCATATTCTTTTTGGAACGACAGTTTGCCGTCAGCCCGGAAGTGTCGGAACGAGTTACCCTGACTGACTGGCGAGCGTTTTTCACTGACTACCTTTTCTCTCTGTTTATACGTGCTTAGCCGGTATACCCACTGCATATTATTTCGGTCAAGAGGGTCTCCATAACATCCTAGTAATAGACATGCTAGGTCCCAGCTTAGAGGATCTATTCGATATGTGCAGTCGACGCTTCAGTGTAAAAACGGTGGCCATGCTCGCAAAACAGATGGTAAAAGAGAGAAAGATTAGGGCTATTGGATGGGATGGGCGAACGCAAGATAGCTAACGCTATAGGATGGCTCTGCTAGATTACACGCGTTCAAAGCATACATGAGAAGAATCTGATCTACAGGGACATCAAGCCAGACAATTTTCTGATTGGACGACCTGGCACCAAACACGCGAACACGATTTACATGATCGATTTTGGTATGGCAAAGCAGTACCGCGACCCAAAGACAAAGCAACACATTCCCTACCGTGAACGCAAGAGTCTGTCGGGCACAGCACGCTATATGAGTATAAATACCCATCTGGGAAGAGGTATGCACAAGAAACTCGGTTTGTATGTTTACTCTTGGTTCCAATATTGACACCTATACGGCTCTTGATTTAGAACAATCACGACGGGATGATCTCGAATCCCTGGGACATGTTTTCATGTATTTTTTACGGGGCGCCTTACCTTGGCAAGGATTAAAAGCAGCAACAAATAAACAAAAATACGAAAAGATTGGTGAAAAGAAGCAGTCCACAGCTGTCAAGGATCTGTGTGAAGGATACCCAGGTAAAGAAACACCACCCATTGTAAAAACGAAAAAAGAGCCTTCGATTGCTGATCCAAGCGGTTACTTTATTAGAGGAATTTGGAATGTACTTGCAGTACTCTCGGAAACTCGGCTTTGAAGAAACACCTGACTATGATTTCTTGCGTGATCTGTTCAACCGTGTTCTCAAGACAATAGGTGAAACTGACGACGGTGTATACGATTGGATGCTATTGAATAATGGCAAGGGATGGGAGGTAAGATCAATTTCACTGTGGAGAAATATCTGAGGATTCGCGCAAAAAAAAAAAAGTACGTATGTGGGCCATTTCTAATCTTTCGATTCTTTTTTCGTGACAGCATCGCTCGTCTTTACATCGCCATCAGTCAGAACGGCATGGTGCGGTGGCTGCACTAAACAATGTAGCAGGAGGGAATGCAGGATGGGCTAACGGTAAACGCGACTCTGGCCATCGCCATTCGAAGCAACGTATGAGCCATCATCACCACAGCAACGCATACCGATCGTCTCAGGGAATGATGATAAATGCCAATCAGCCCGTAACATATCAAAATGTTGATACCAACGCGTTGCATCATTCCGCTGCTGGTCGTGATGCCGAGTCTGTTCGTAAAGGCGGCTTCTGGTACAGTCTGTGTTCCATTGTCACATGCAATGCTTGCACTTAGTAGCAAACCTTTTCTTCTACTGCAAAAATATCCCATCTATCATTATGATTGAACAATAACCATCTAAAGGAACACACAGACACATGCGCCTCTTCTGTTATTTTCTTTTACCCATCTTAACCCATCCGGCCTCTTTTATTTTGACAAAAAAGAAACATATCCTCATTTTTTTAATTCTTTTCTTTGCCGTCTTCTATCCGTCCCTCACCTCTACTTCTTTAGCTTTTCCCCTCATCGAAATCCCCTTTCCCCCTTTTGTTCATATTTCATGTGAAATTAGAACGCTCCCGCTCACACTCTCAACTCACAATGTTCTATTTCTTTTCTCCTTCTTCAACATATCCTATTCTGTAAAGCAAAGCAAATTTACTTGTTAGTATTCTTTTCGAGTCGTGTCAAGTTGTTTTCATTTGCTTGAACATTATTTAACCATAGCTTATAGATCGTACTTTCGCTCTATTAACGACTTGTTATCGAGCGATGTGTGCAGATACACACATCTATCATAGTATGCGGTCCTATTATATACAGAAGACTCAAGGACATCCAATCGAAATGCAATTCATCGATTTAATGACAAGTTAAAACAGGTTTTTACTTGTTTATTTGATTATCCTTTTTTTTCTCTAGAGTATGAAAAGAACTTGCGTAAAGTGTGTTTAGATGCGAAATAATAAAAGAAAGAGCAAAAACAAGTGATATATAGTGAGTGGGGTTTCTTATGTGTAAATGCGAGTAAAAATTTTTAGCTGTGGTGTGAATTTAGTGGTGGTGGTGGTGGTGGTGTGGAGTTGGGTGTGTATGTAGAAAAAATATAACGTATGTACAAGTCTATTATAACGAGGAAGAGGAAGATGCAAAGGTAGCAGAATGTTGCTGTTGTTGGTTATCTCGACGTTCAGCAAAGAATCGCTTGCCAACTTCATAGCTCGAAATCATTATGGCACATGATGGTGCGACTTTGACCACGCGCGGAACAACACCTATTAGCATATACCCAATGTATATTAGCGAATGCGTGTGTAACCCAAAGATATATACATAGTCCAACCACGATATATGTAGAATGAAAATATACCTCGAAAGAAACCACGGTAACCTTCAGCAATCCGGGTTTTTCTGATGAGTCGCATAATCCGTGCGTCGTCACCAGAGTTAACTTGCCGTTGTGTTTTGATCACGTCGAAAGGTGTAGTAACTACGGCTGCAAACTATCCATGTACATCGTGTGCGTTGAGTAAAGCTTCTTTTCCATCCACCCCACATTACATCCGCCTCCATAAAAGAATGACATATTTACCATTCCAGAAGATGCACCCGCAATAAATGAGCTTTGAAAATTAGACAGGGTATCTTGGTTCGAGTTTTTGCTGCTCAAATACTGTTTGATCTGCTCATAACCCATCCAATACAAGCCAGAAAATGGCACATCACGAAGCATTGTTGGCAATAAACCTCGCCATAAAGAAACCATGCCCTCTCGTTGTACCATTTGCATAATTCCACGCCATACAGCTATTGAAAATCCATACAAACAAATCAGCCTTCTCATATATCCCAACTTTTTGGCCAATATTTTTATTCATTACCTGGAAATCCGTCTGCTCCTTCTACGGCCTGCATGCGAGTTCTGAATAATTCGATTGGTGAAATGACCGCAGCAGCAACAGCTAATATGATAATTAAAAAGAACAATGAGAAAATTTCGCCCGTCAAACTCACCACCCACTTGTGCTTAGCGAAACTTACTTCTTGCTACACCTCCAGCCCATAATGGCGAGTAGTCATGTACTGCTGTGTTTCCGAACCGTGATTGTCGAATATGATCGCGAATATAATCGTACCCAACAAAATAAATCACAGTCGAAGGGATCGCCATGACTAATCCTGCAGACAGACCCCGAAATAACGCAAGTGGGCCTTCAATACGCATAATCTTGACCAGTCCGTCCTAAAGTTGTTCCCTCCACTCTATTAGAATATGTTGGTAAAGAGTATATGATGTGTGCTTTATACTTACAGTTGTACCGTTCAAATGTCGGTAACCTGTTGCTTCTTGGCTTTGTAATCTCGTCTTGACCACGTCCAAAGGAGTCACTGGAATAAATATAAATAGTTGTAAGTGAGAGTCGAGCTTTTTTGCAGTTTCCAGTGCCTTCTCCTTTCAGAAAAAATCCATACTGAGTGTAGACGTGACAAGGGCGCCAGCACACGCCGAAAACATTCGCTCAGTCGACGATGCTTGGTTTAAGGTTCCACGCCGGATCTTGACCTGCTCATGTTGAAACGGTGGGGAATTCTCAATGATCTCCAGTTCCGAAGTGTCTGTCATGATACTCTTTTCTTTTTTCTTCGTCAGGTAGTGGTTTTTATACACGTCAACAACGTCTTTCTCCTTTGAGTGAAAATAGACAGAAAAAAGAAATTAAAAAAAGGAAGAATAGAAAAAAATCGAGAATTTTGTGCTGTAATGGAAAAGTCGGGATTCGGGAAAGATGTGATCATCAAGAAAGGATTCCCTTGATTTCTTTGGCTCAGATTTATGCTTATCGTACCTATACCATATATACTACAATCCGCAGTGTGTTGGGCAGCGGGCATTGTACAGTACCGTATCAGATAAACACTTGGATAATATTGATTGACAATCTCTAATTTCGTAAATTATATCATATGAAACAAAGAAAAAAGAAGCTGATATGATCATGTCAACTAGAACAATCTTGAGCAAAAGGATCAATGCGCGGCTTCTCGGTGGTGTAAAATGGTGGTGCTGTCTGGTAGTAAGGTGTGCTGACAAGCTCCAGCAACATATCCTAACCTTAAGAAACCGGTAAATGTTACACTCTGTAATAGAAAATCTTTATCAAAAACATCATGTAAATACAGCCAGAACTTCTTTTCTGTAGCCATTCAAATTACCTGCTGATAATTGCATGCAGTTGATTTCTTACTAATAAGAATTATATTATACTCACCAGCTGGATAGGTGCAGTTCTAGCAATTAATCTGAAGTCGTTTACCATTGGAAAAGAATGAGCAATGAGATAATGTCGTCAATGTTGTATTTTACTCTACCAAGTGAAAGTACAGAGATAGTAGTCCCTGTTAGATATGTCAGTGGAGCACTAATTAGTTTGTGAGCGATATGTATGCAACATGGATTTTAGAAATTTGAGAATAGGGATACTGTGCGTCTTGATGATACTGCACAGGCCTAGGATATATTCAAAATTGAAACATCAAGCAGCTGTGTATTTGTAAGGCTTTTTATTCAATGCGTTGGTTACGTTGATCGTTCACTTCTTACTCCGTGAAGTTTTAGTGCTATTACTCAATCATCTTCCATCAGTGATATACAACACTACGATACAACCGCCATCAAAGATAAACAACTTCTTCTTATTGGCTGGGTGTCTGGTTTTTTCCCTAATACTGGTGAGCGATTATGCTTCTTTGATAAACTTCAACTTTTTTGCTTTTGTTTGCTTTGCTCCATGAGCAATGGCCAGTGTCACATCTTATTACATATAACCAAAAGGAGAAGAGCCAAATGCATCAAGCTTGAGTATGTGTCATACATAACACACCATTGCTCCCTTAAAGCTCTAAGAAACCAAATTTTCGTACTATATCTGAGCTCTGTACTATCGAAGCCTCTGGTTTTGGTATGTAATATTACATCAGCATATTAAAAGTGGAATTGTAACTTCCAGTATTGTATGGATGCCTCCAATATCACAGCTACTAAAGATAAGGGTGTGTCAGCGACTGACAAAGTCGTGGTAGATACAGTACCAAACAGGAAGGTCGTTACAATATCTGAGAGACGTTATTCTAGAAGTTATTGGAAAGTGCATCTTATACCAAAGTGCCGAGTGATTGAGAAAAGTTACTTCATGACATTATCTTTATTTTTAAAAGTTAGCTGAAAAATCCAAAAAAGGAAACTCTCATCCATGTAAATTCACAGACAGAAAAAGAGAAAGTAATTACTTACGCAAAGCATTCCCAAATTCATGGGGACCTCGGCCGCACTTTTTATCCGTGGGCTCGGGGAAATTGTAGATGAAGCAGGACTTACGCCCGGAGGCTGCCTGAGTAAAAAAACAGCCGTTCGCGTGAAACGATGCAACATCCAAAGATGGGTCGAGACAGAGGCTACTAGGAACTGCGAGAGAAAAGCAAAGGGGGAGGAGAAGGGGAGAAGGATAAACTATATAAAGAACGCAATAGACGCTTTTAACGACTTCCTGGGTCAGAGCAAGGGGAAGGGGAGGGGGGGATAAATTATACAAAGAACGCAAAGATGAAGATGAGGCTTTTAAGGACTTCCTCAGGTCCAAGTCAAAGCAAAAAGCACACGCCACCGTCCAGATGGATGGATAGATCTTGACCACTGCCGATGGACTACTTGACAGGTCGGCTTCTAGGATCGGGATGACAGTGGAGCATCAATCTTGACTAGCATGGAGTTGTCTGTGCACTATCGCCATTCCGAGAAACAAAAGAGATGAACAGTTAATGGGAAACTGTTAAACCACACACATACAAGATTCTATCGTGCTATGCTTACCCATACTTCTACAGACACAGGAGAGCCGAGCACACGGCCAGAGCAGAGCAGAGAATCACAGCCAAGACAGAAACACTTCTTCTAGCTGGAAAAAGAAAAGATCATTAGAGGGCTGCACCCACTGTGCTATCTTTACTTTTTACACGGCATTACCATCCTCCTCCATCCCAAGCTGACTTACATTTGTTTTGTCTTTTACAGCAAAGTTATAGACAGAGAGAGATGGGGTCTAAGCCAATCCAAGTCCAAACAGATCACCGCAGAGCCATCCTCTATTAGAAAAAAGAAAACATCTATGAGCAGCTGCATACACTTTTTGACATGTCACGGCAGACATCTTCCTGGTTCTTCAAACACGCAAAGACAAACACAAGCACAGCGATACTTACTATTATGACATCCTTGGCTTGGAGGAAGAGAGCCTTGAGTTAGAGAGAGGAAAAGCAAGAAGGGGATGACCAATTCTGAAAAAAGAATAAGAGAAGAAAGGGGAGGAGAGAAAGAAAACTTTTTTGAGAGACTGCCATATTGCATACGTCATGGTCAGGAGCCCTTTCCCGTCACGCTGCTGTACACACTGCACACCTTTGACGCGTCATCCCCAACACCCATGTCATCCTACTCACCTACCAATGTTCAAGTTCCCTTTTGCTTATACTTACTATCTGTTACTTGTCTGCTGGACACGATTAACCCAACCAGCATAAGGCGGAACCTGAAGTAGAGAAAGATCAAGAGCAGGCTGTTCTAAATATGCAACTATTCCTGACACGTCATGGCATCAACACCTCCAACAGACACTCGACTTCTCTCCAACTCATCCTCACATTTCATTCCCTACCGTACTTACAGTTGTTGCTTATGTTTAAGGGTGGGATGCAAACAACAAACCGAGCCAACCATTTCAAAAAGTCAGAATCCTATAGTAGTAGCAGAGAAGAAAGGAGGATAACATTAGCGACTGTATGCTGTACACACACTTCTTTAGACACGTCGAAATTCATATCTTCTTTCGTATATCACATTCACATGCAAAACCTCTAAGTACACTTCACACTTTTCATATTGTACTTACTCTTGCATCTGCGCTTTGAGTGGAGAAGGACCAGGTTTAGACGAAAGAAAGTCTGTGTCAAAAAAGAAAGAAAGTGAGATAAACGGATCTTAAGAAATCGCTGTATACTCACAACCGGTTGCATACACTCTTCTCACTCACCACCATAAACATACACTCTCCGATCCTCTAATCCGTTCCAATGACACTCACATTGAATAGCTTTGGTTTAGAAAAGTTGACGAAGAGGAAGAAGAGCGGCATGATTGCTGCGGCTGCGCAGTTATATAGTAGTAACGAACACACATGCTACGCGGCATTTGAGCCAGTTCAATCTATCCAATCATATTACTCTCTAACGTTTACGATGCGCCAAGGTGTGTGGCTCCTCCAGATCAGAAATTTATTCTACATGAATGTATGACGATGTGAGTAGACGGGTATCGCATTGAGGAAAGACTCGAGGGGATAACCGTCCTTAACACGATATGAAGTTCACCTCAAATCCTTCATCATCTGAGAAGTGCCATCGCTTTAAACACGCTGAATACAAGTATCATCGTATTCAATACTGTATGTATACAGGAGTATCCAAAATCTCATGAAACATGACGATCCAGCGCTTGCCGATGTTCCGTTTGATAAGAAATCATGGTCTTTGGTGTTGCCTTTCGCCAGGTATACAACATTGTAACCTCTCTTCTACTTTGCATCCTTTTACTATCGAGCGGTAGTACTTACATCAAAGTATCTGCATCAAACCTGTTGATAGGTCCTTCCTATGATATCATACCAAATGCATCGCGCTCGCAAATCGTACAGCAGTATCTAAATCGTTCATTTATTTGGCCCAGTGTCACCGTCCACCGCCTTGAAACCAACATGCGCGTCCAACAACCTGCCAACACCAATGACACAAACGAGCATGGCCAGTTTATGCAATATTTACTTTGCATCGGTGATGGTGCTGAGCTGTCGGTGCCAATCACTGATGACAGAGTCCGGCTACCAGATCGGATGCTCATGCCACATTACAACACGTACGAGCTTATAGAAGCCATTTACGGCGACCTGAACGCGCCACGCGCGGATCTTGATCACCTCATCAGTCGCTCCATCTTGACTCCCAAGATTGTCTATGTTACAGCAATTGATAATTTGGTACTCGACCATTTCCCAGGCACTGTTCACGAATTCCAGAGCGCAGATACCGTGGATGATCCTGAAGAGCAAATAACGTACCCACCAGAGCTGCTCAATTCCATGAATCCATCCGACCTCCCTCCGCATTTGCTAAAACTCAAAGTCGGTTGCCGAGTCATGCTTTTGAGAAACTTGCACACCCAAAGTGGTCTCTGCAATGGGACACGGCTGATTGTACGCTCTTTTCAAAGATATGTACTTGAAGCTGAAATAGCCACTGGACCTCATGCTGGCAACATTGTCTTAATCCCTCGCATAACTCTCACACCTTCACAAACACGTTCCCCCATTCAATTTAAACGCACACAATTCCCTGTTCGCCTGGCATTTGCAATGACCATCAATAAGGCACAGGGTCAAACTTTTAACACTGTTGGCCTCTACTTACCTGAACCTCCGTTCACGCATGGTCTACTCTATGTAGCCATGTCGCGCGTCCGCACCCCTTCATCCATCAGAATCATGTTAGATCCTGAGAACTCACGTATCGCAGGTCAGCAAGGCCAAAGCACAAGAAATGTTGTTTTTCACGAAGTTCTTCTATAATTCTTTTTGTCACCTACTCTATTTTTACATCGCCCATTCTCTTTTTCTACATCGCCTATTCTCTTTTTATCAATATCACTACATCATCTTTGTCAACACTTCTTTTCGCATTGTATTCTAAACTGGAGATAGTTAAGTATCCAACTTTGACGACTTTCTATGATAGGCTACTTCTCACTGCACAATGATCTTGCTTTTGATTTTGAAAACAGACAATAAGCATCTAATACCAAAACATTGATCCAACCTCGCTCGACAGGGGGGTTTGGGGGGCTTGCCCCCCACTTGGGGGTCAAGGGGGGAACCCCCTTGCGACGCGTTTCCGTTGAATGACACGGAGCGAAGCGGAGGGGCTCATTCATCCGAGCGAAGCGAGGAAGGACCGCTTATAAGTTGTAAACTAATTCCAGACACGTGCGACAAAGAAGGTACATAGCACATCCTTCCAATTCAACATATACGTACTAGGCGCGTTTTCCGCTCTTGCCGCATTCTTCTAGTCGTTGTATCGCAATTTTATCCTCGCATCAATATTTCCATTCAACGCTTATTCTGTACCCTAGTCTTTACCGATATCTTTACCAAAATCATTAGCTAACACTTCATCCGACGTATGATAAATATGTCTGACAGTGTGATTGAAGACGAGCCACGATCTCCCTTTATTACGACTCGATAGCTTAAGCAAGACGATTCTCTTGAACTAGACAAGGTTGTCAATATTTTCAAGAAAAGAAGATAAACAATCATATCCAGTATTGCAAGGAAACTTGCGAGAAGCTGGATTATACTACAATCACCATGTACGTAATGTACTCTTTTTACAAATTTTTCTATGGAAAGTATTTTTAACATGTACAAGTAAAGTCTACAGTTCGGTCCGTCGTCCTGCTGTTCGTGTAAATGATGCCAACTGCCACTCTACATCTGCTTCCGTCAGATCCACAGTACCCAATCTGATCTCATATACTACAAAAAAAAGTAAAACCGAAGACTTAATAAACAACTATTCATCCTCATTGAAGACCATACGTATACTACACTCACCTCTCATCTCAAAACGCGGTCCAACTTCTGCCAATTCCACTGTATTGCCCGCTTTCACATATACGTGATGTCTATTTCAGATAACAATTCGTCAGTTTATCCTATCACTGCCAACGTTCTTTTTGGATAAACAGTATACAGGTTGCCAATATTACCTGAAGGAAATAAAATCTTGTTGATTGGCAAATGTCATTACACGCTTAGTGTCTTCTTTTGGTACCGGGAATAAGTATTTCAAGATGTTTGTGACCTAATATACAGATATATACATGTAAGTCGCTATCACTCAAAGTCACCGTTTCTCCCTCTTTAACCCATCTTGTGATGCATCGACACCTATATCATCTCTTCTTCTTCTACCACTACTTACACGTTGGCCCAGTCGTGAATTGAAGTTGTCGAAAATAAGATGAGGGAACGCTTCGGATACTGTGCCTTGGTCTTTGATATCATGTCGAAGAACGACATTATGCAATGAGAAATATGTAGTCGGGCCATAAGGAAAATGACAAACCACCATACCGTCTAGAAAGGGATCCAAACTTCAGCAACATTTCTTTTTTTTTCCATCGTTACATCCCTTTCTCTCCTGCTACTACTTCCTGCTTACCCGGTTTTCCTCGATGTTCGTGTAGAATAATTAAATCTGTTACTTCGTTGTTTCTGCATAGCTCAACAATATCCTTAATAACGTGACCACCACGATTGATACGCTGTGAATTGGGGAAAACGAGACGCATTTCCTGTTCACAGAAAAAGCACCACATGTTAACAACAATCCGTTCCCTTCTTTTCCTTAACCACCTCTGTCTTCAGAAGCCTTACTTTAGAGAATTGCTGTAACCGACTGCTTGGATCTCTTGAAGTTGTGATTACGACTTTGGGATCGAAGACACCAGCACGGGCATATTCGTCATCGGCATGTGTAGTGGGCGCTGTAGTAACAAAAAAGCATTTTATAAACAGTCTGTTTTCCTTTTACAATGTCTCAGGAAAATATTCCAAAATATAGTACCATCTTGTGCCTGATCGAAAGGTAGATCTTGTTTTAGTTCTTTACTCATATTTCGAAGTTCGGTGGGTACGGGTTTTCCATCTACAAAAACAAACATACACCATATTTCCAACAATAATTAGTAAATCAACTACACGGGCACCGCCAAGGGAAATCTATAATATATGCACCTTCGATCGCCTGTTTGATCTGTTCTTTGCGCTCATAGATTGCCCGTTCTTTGCTTTCAAGCGATTTTCGATAAAGGTATTCCCGTCGTAAGCGGGTGTTTCTTCGAATCTATAAAAGTCTCAAACCATTAGTAAGCTGTCAAATACAGCAAAAACCGTGAGGAAGTCGAAGCTCACCATTGTGTAATTTATGCTTTTTTTTCTCAAGTTTTGTCTGGAAAAGGATTTCTTATTAAAGTGTCCCGCACTCCGAGAAAGTTGGGTTGACCATGCGAAAAGCCACACACCTGTCAATGCAAGCAGGAATATTGCTCCGCCGTAATTTTCTATCTCGCAACTCCACGCCCGCAAATCCTGGTATGATGGACTGTGTCGTGCTCGGTGTGACTTGATAGTTAGACCACAACTATACAGAAATCATCCGAAAGGATTTTTTGATACTAGTATCATCACTACCTCATCTGACGCCATTACATCTAAAACCAAATCACAGAAGTATAGAATATACACACCATTCCCCTCTCTTTTTCATATTATTAGTTAGCAGTAAAGCATCATCCATGTATTATCCAACTCTAGAAGAAAGTGACCGGTGTGACGTGAGCTTGTGTCACGACAACACACAAAACGCTGGCGCGTTTCTAATATTAACAGTAGACATTTTTCTTCCTGATTTTTGCTTTGACGTATCCGCTCGTGAGGATTGAGTGTATATTCGGTCTCGTAGACGGCAAGGAAGGAGCTAGCAGCGCATTATCAACTTATTCGGACATCACCACACCACTAGCGACGATTAATTTTCTAGTTGATCCTACCGCTTCTCAAGGACGCAGCTCTCATTGTTATCATTGTTCCGCACATCGACGATTATTCTCACTTGTCGACCCTAGGCGTGATATTCCCCACACACACGTATTGTTGCATCTTCTTTCCTGATATCCGATTGGATCACAACCAGGACCAGTGCTACATCGGACTCGAGTTACTTTATTTTACTGGGTAAGTACACAGCTAATCAGGGCCTGTAAGACATGTCTGGGCTTAATAACAATAATTTTGAATTAAAAAGTAACAACCCATAAAAATACCCAAGAGTACTTACGGCTTTCTACGCACACTGTGACAGGGTACGTCATCCTCACTATATCGGTAATACACAAAGGGTTTAATCGTTGACAAGAAATTGTCGTCGTTCCAGGTGCACTTACCTAAGTGAAGGCGCCGCCGGGCAACGCAGGACTCAACCAGAGCCCTGCTCCTTAATAGTGGGCTATGCAACCGATTATAATAACGAAGGAATTTATCAAAACTGATAAATTCTCACACGAATGACAACTTTTCACATTGCTCTAAAGCATAAAAGCACAACTTACATGACGCTACCATGTGCAGGTCAGTGCCCGAGAGAAAGAGAGAGAGAGAGACACAGAGAGAGAACTTTAAAGAAAAAAATTGAAAAGAATGTTAGACCGTTGTTTGCAAATAAAGAATCACTTGCATCGTGACGATCAAACAGCAACTGCAATGACAGAATGTTAATGAATGCATACGTACAAAAGGCCAAAAAAAAAAAAAGAAATGATGCGGGGCAAGCGCGAAGAAAAGCAGGAAGAAAAGCCAACGTCTTGATGAGTCGTGCAGTATGCTACTTTTATAATCTTTTTGATCATATCAATCACATGATTTCACTAGTGTCGTCAGCAGTGTTATGAACATTCTTCGACCTTTACTAAGTGATCACCCTCAACCTCGATGATCACTTATTAAATCCCCAAGTATCAATATCATCCATCATCATCGTCCGGAATTATCAGCCCTAATACCAATCTTTCCGTTTATTCGCATTATAAAATCATAGTAAAAGATATATTAATAAACACCATAGTCTTTGAAAAATGAAACATCAGTCAGATATCTTGTTTCCTTCCTGTATCTTGTTCCTCGTCTCTTCTCTCATCATCTGGTCTCCTACCTTCGGGTCTCATTCTTGTCTTGCCTTGTTCTTGCTGAAAGCACCTAGCGCATTCTCGACCGGTCTTTCTGTTCTTGTCTTGTCCTGTCCCTGTCCGCACCTTACAAGTAGCTTGTTTCATCAATGACCACTGGTACACTGCTGGTAAATAGAGAATGGATTCCTTTTTATCGCACACAAAGGGATCCTTTTATCTTTAACACTGCTTCTTTTGACAGAGCATACTACTACTTAGTCTACCATCCAAACATTCTACCAGTGATCAAACAAAACGTAAGTGATAAATCGTGTATCAGTTATGCGCAGATCCATTACGCATTTAAAAGGACCTTGTATAAACAAATGGCATTGCATAAAAGTAATGTCCTTGCACCTATGACCCTTTGTAATCCCTGCAATTATTGTCGTTAATTTTATGAATTTTGGCTCTTTCAACTAGAGACACTACAATGGCATATGATGGTGATACGGCGCGATCAAGTTAAAATTACAGCAATGTCATGCACCAGTATTTTGAAGTGTTACACGCAAAAGCTTATTCAGAGTTGTCATTGGCTGCTTTAAGGACTCTTATACAGCCTTCTGATTGGCTAAAATGTAAGCCCAGGAACTTCCGCTGTGCCGCTGCATTCCGCTCATGCAGAGAGTGGCTGGGTGTGCCTGAATAAGCTTCCTACACTTTATTTTAGAAATTTCCTATCATTATGATCTCACAGCTACGTCAAAGGCCTACGTCAAAATCGCAAACGAATAACAACGGACGATGTTTGCGATCAGCCAAGACATCAGACTGCAGCTGCCAAGCGTACAGTTTGCTGGTCAAGCATCTTCTCTACGTGACTTAAAATCATACAAAGAGGGCTATAAGCAAGCATCAGTTGCAGTGGCACTCGAGTCTGTCACCCATGTGATTTTTGGTTACACTCCTGATATGTTTGATACAACACACATTTTATTTTTCATATCGTCTGAAGATAAAAGAAACTGCCCGGAGATTGTGGAGCTTGTGATGACGGAATGTGCATTGACCCTATACAGTATAACAGCAGACACACTAAAAGGCAATAGTCCTGTCCAAGCTTCCGTGAACTAATACTATATTATTGTTAGTGGTTTTACCAACTGTCCGAAGTTTAGTCAACCATGGTATGTTGCATATCACAACGATCATCAAAATGAGTAAACTAGGGGAAGCATATCTGTGGACTCAATATCATTAGAGTTCACTTTTGCTAAGCGTTCTATCCGACACTCTCTTTGTCCCAAAAGCATATATAGACGCGTGAAAATGTTCGCAATCGACATTCTATATGGTGCGTTCGCCTTATAACCGTCAATTTTTTAGCTCAGCTTTACTCCCTTATAACGTCCCCAAAAAGCAATTACACAGTCTAACGTGCTTCAAAATACCTTTTTTGACTCGTTTGCTTTCGTTATTGAAGAATAAAAAAATAATTATGTTTGTAAAAACAATTATGGGAAGCCAAAAGTTGCCGGTTTTTCCCAATTTAGAAGGGCCGGCAGAAGTTTGAAGCAACTCATGTACCGGAAACAAGAATGAGTAAACAACTCCTGTACGTATATATACTCGCCTATCGCCTACGTCCTACACGTCTTTTCTTTTTACCTTCATTTAAAAGATGCCGCCATTAAGACGAAAGCAGAAGGCCACCCGAAAAAGGACGCGTGCGCCTGACGGAAGAATCACTGCCCAGTTTCATGGTATACGCCGTTTTTCTATAGCTATTCCTATACATTTTAATGTTTCATCATATATACGTATCATTGTTCTTTGAAGCTCAAACATTTTAGAAGGTTTAGTGCTTAAGAATCAAATTAAAACAAAATTAAGTTTTGACGGTTATAAGGCGAACGCACCATAACCAAAAAAGGAGGTACAGCCAACGCCACAGCCGTTTCCAAGAACTAAAAGTGTAACTCTGATAAATATGGCCAACGACCGATAACAGCGATAATGCCGACACTACTAGCAAGACGCTAAAATCCGCGGTGATCATATATATCATAAGCCAGTAGATCGATCCTAATAATGTCATTCCACTTTAGCTGGCGGTTGACATGCTCAGTGGAACGTATCTTTTTCTTACAGGAGCTGGCATCTTATCAAAATAAGCGGTTACGCTCTCAGAGGATGGTATACACACAACTTGCATGGTAGAACATATGTTAGTGCAGGGTGACACGTCTCCTTGAGGACGACGACGACTGTCATCGCCCTGCTTGCACTTCCCTTTCCTTTGCTTTTATTCTCTCAAATCAAACGAGCCATTCAGAATATATGATCACTGCTACATAAGAAAGCTGATAGTAATCCTGCAACGGCTCGAAAAGCTTTAAAAGCCATGATTTGTGTCTATGAACTATTGGTTTTTCCTTGTTTTGCTCATGACATATAATCGTCTTTTATCTCTTTGCTATGGATATTTGTCATTGGTGCTTCAAAATGTAGGTTTTGTCACGCTTTCAATAGTGTGTGATACTGTATTTCTGGGAAAGTGCAGACAATTTGATATGTTGTCGATTAACGTCAATTTTAAAAATAAAAGAGGGGCCGGTTCCTTGGCGCCATTAACAAATAAGAGGACGGAAAATCGTCAACCTGCGGAATGGAAGACACGTGCAGTGTAGTGCAGCACTGAAAAAAATGGCGCTCTATCTATGATATTGAATGTGCAAGACATGTGGCATGTTTTGTTTAGACATTACCAAACATTTGTGTACACGAACCCATCATCCATCGAGGAAATGGTGTCTTGTACGTTTGATGTATATAAATCGCCAAATTGATACTGGCCTGAAGTAGCCGATGGATTTTTCTTATTAGAAAGCGCAATACAAAAGGTCGCAATAAGATGCTGTACAAACTTACTTTTACTTTGGTGTTGATACAAAGCAAATGTGTTGTGCTCTTTAAATCAATATCAGTATATGCACTGCATAGCCTAGTACGGCAAACCTTCGGAACGCGGTCCGTACTCATCGGGAGAACTGTAGTCGAAAACGGCGTTGAAAAAAAAATCCGCATGTGCGCTTAGCATAGAGCTCTATGGTAATTTAAACAGAGATCCGTATGAGAAGTTAGCATAGAGCCCAAAGTCTACAACGCAGCATGTTGTGTGTTTGGAAAGTGGCTGTACAACCGTCAAAACAGCCAAGAACTGATCAACTATGTATATAAAACAACAGAAGTTATATGAATTAGTAGTAATAAAGATCATGGTGACGGGCTTCTGTCAAAAGCTTGCTTCCCACGTTTTCAGGCTGTACCCTTCTCTTCCTTCTGCCATTCACCAACCGCAATGACTTGAGACTTCTGTTGTCGTTTGCAATGCTAGATTCAGTAATGTTAACTTTGACATTGTTCGTTATAAAAACTACTTTATATATGTGCAGCAAAGAAAGAATAATACTCACACGGCAACAAGAGCACCTTTTTTCGAGTGACGGACCCGCTTTATACACAAAGAGAGGGCATAAAGAGCTTGCTACCGTTCAGGTCGTACCTGTCCGTTCATTCCACCATTCACCAACCGCAATTGTTTGAGATTTGTGTTGCCCTACAGTGTACAATTCCGATTGCAATAAAGTTAACTTTGACATTGCCTTTGACATTGTTCGTTGTAAAATATACTTTATATGTGCAACAAAAATAAATTACATACACTTTCGCTGACACCGCGACTCGATCAGCTGCAAAGATTGTTGTACGCAATGCATGAATTGCGTACTGCCACCCACGTTGAGTGTCTGTAAGAGCACCTTTTTTCCAGTTACAGAACCGCTTTATACAAAACCACAGGCGATCAAATTATACTTTATGCCGCAAACTCGATGTCCGTGCGCACACATATTATTCTGCTTGCTATACTAGCCATGTAAAACAAATTTCGCTCCAAAGGCACAGCACTGTAGAAATCTAGAAAAAGTATAAAGCACGTCATGACTTTTCTGTTGCCGGCATTAGTACCTTCCCATAAAGAATTCGGCGGCAGTCTTTTTTTTTATGATCAAATATGTATGTTTGTAAAAGAAATGTAATATGAAGCATACTTTCCGTGAAACCAACCCAAACCATTGTATGCTGCCTTGAGGAGATCGACGGCGCCCGTTTTCTATGATCAACTATGTATATAAAATCAGAAAGTACCATCAGTGACTAAGAGTAATAGCAATCAATAGTACTAAGAACTATAATGCACTCTCCCTCGACCGTATGGTTGAAGATGTCACCCAAACCACAACATATTACCTTGAGGGCGTAATCGCCGGCTGATTACGTCATCGTCACCTACATACATCGAAGAAAAGAAGGTCATATCGAGTATCAATAGTATTGCTGGGTACGCTTCACATATAAAAAATCATCATGATCCCCAGGTTTCATACTCTTTTTATATCGCCGGTTCTTTGTTCCATTAAAGCGCACAGACCCGTCGCCGACAATTGTTGGATCAGAGCGGAGCACGGCAAGCGGAGCCGCATAGTGAAACAAACATATACGCACCATAAGAAAAAGACACTAGCATGACAGTCGTCAGACTACAACGATAATTATCATCAAGGCACTTCTTCACATTGCTGCAGTTCACTGGCTCCTTAGGGCAGTAGTGACAACAAAATTTCTAAGCTCCGTCATTTTGTTTATCGGGCTCATAAAGAAAAAGAATCGACTGCGCGTTTTGCCCTTTATTCTTTTCTTTAGTCTTCATATTCATCTTTGTACATTTGCAGTGTTTCTTTCATTATCACTTTTTACCTTTCTTTTTTTTTTTTCATCCCGCTCGAGTGTCCCTGTGGGTGTGCATAGTTGAAGGGAGCTAGTCGTGCACGACTGGCTCTTGCTCATCTTTTGTACATTTGCAAAGTTCTTTGTTTCATCTTGGTTTTTTATCTTCCTCAAAAACTGAAAGCGAGAGTGTGTGCAAAGAGGTACGTATATGTTCGCCGCTGACAGACCTTTGTGCTATCATATTTCTTTTATTTGTAGGAACTGTGGAGGAGTAGGTTCTGTCGGGAACTGAGGCTTGTGGACAAGAAAGGAAGAGGTGTAGGTTCTGCCGGGAACTGAGGCTTGCGGAAAACAAGGGAGGGCAACCTCCCTTGTGGGTACGTATATGTTCGCCGCTGACAGATGTTTGTGCTATCATATTTCTTTTATTTGTAGGAACTGTGGAGGAGTAGGTTCTGTCGGGAACTGAGGCTTGTGGACAAGAAAGGGAAAGGTGTAGGTTCTGCCGGGAACTGAGGCTTGCGGAAAACAAGGGAGGGCAACCTCCCTTGTGGGTACGTATATGTTCGCCGCTGACAGACGTTTGTGCTATCATATTTCTTTTATTTGTAGGAACTGTGGAGGAGTAGGTTCTGTCGGGAACTGAGGCTTGTGGACAAGAAAGGGAGAGGTGTAGGTTCTGCCGGGAACTGAGGCTTGCGGAAAACAAGGGAGGGCAACCTCCCTTGTGGGTACGTATATGTTCGCCGCTGACAGACCTTTGTGCTATCATATTTCTTTTATTTGTAGGAACTGTGGAGGAGTAGGTTCTGTCGGGAACTGAGGCTTGTGGACAAGAAAGGGAAAGGTGTAGGTTCTGCCGGGAACTGAGGCTTGCGGAAAACAAGGGAGGGCAACCTCCCTTGTGGGTACGTATATGTTCGCCGCTGACAGACCTTTGTGCTATCATATTTCTTTTATTTGTAGGAACTGTGGAGGAGTAGGTTCTGTCGGGAACTGAGGCTTGTGGACAAGAAAGGGAAAGGTGTAGGTTCTGCCGGGAACTGAGGCTTGCGGAAAACAAGGGAGGGCAACCTCCCTTGAGGAACGAAGGATTCATAAAAGTCGGTCGACTTGTCAGGCAACATCAAATAAACTTGGTTTCTTATTGTACTTTCTTAAATAATGTAATTGTAACTATTGGGCAGATCGAGTGACGATTGTAATAAACGCGATCTTTATTTTTACATCTTCCTACTGCCATTGCGCTTGGTACTTGTTGGTGCTTTCTCTGGAGCAGTTATGTAGTTGCAAATGAGCCTTTTTGTGCTTGAGTCGTCGAGAAAACCGTAGGCTGTGCATTCGCATGTGTGCTCTCAAAAACAATACAGCTGGTTTACCTTCACGACTATACCAACAATGATTGCAAATTGCTGGTGGCAAAATAAAAAACCGTATCGCAAAGCAAACAGACCATCCCCATATTCACATATACACGAACCAGATCGCCAACCCAAGCTAAATGATGTTTGCCTTGATTTCTTTGCAGTATAAAAGGCCCAATACATAAGCTCATTAGGGAAGTTACATAATCCAACTTGTTGGGTCTTGCCACCAATCTCTCATGCTACTGTCTCTCAACATTACTGCTACTGATACACGTATACTAGTAATACTCATAGATAGATTGAATATGGAATGTATCATCACTGCTTAAGATTATAACAAGTTATCCCGTCAAGTTATTGATGTTTCTTATCTACAATAGCTTTCAACGGCGCCAAACTTGCCAAGTTTTTAGAAGCGCATTGTTTTGTGCTGCTAATGATGAGTCAAAATAATAATGTTGTGCTTAACTTTTATCTATTACATTTCAAGTAAAAGCCATTTCAGTTTACCCCCTTCCCTAGCAGCGAAGGAGCTGATAGCCGCGCGAAGCGAGGAGCAGTCGCTAGTTACGAAAAAACAATAGATAGACATGTCCGAAAAATACATATTTCTCATACAGGCCACTACTTTTTCTCCGCGTACCGCCACCTTTCTATCAGCCATGTCAAACATGAAATAACTAGAAATGAAAATGTTCAAACAGCTCCTACTTTGGTCTATATTCAGAAAAAAAATGTTTCAATTTTTATGTATCTTGATTACATTTGAAATGCGGAGGAATTAACCAGAGGGTGAAGTGATGTCTCGCTGTAATCACAATAAAGCATCTTAAATATAGTAAGCCTTAATTTCATCTAGCAAGAATAGCACTCTTTATTTTTCAAAATGAAGGCACCTCATCTTACAGTATTTCTATTATGTTTAGTCTAGCATATACAATAGTCCAAAAGTTCTGAATCTGATATATATCATATCACATTTGATATTTTTTATTGAATATTATGGTTAAGTACGGACGTTATGGATCATGAAACATGACACAGAAAAGTATGATCTGGATTTAATAAAGTCACTGGTCGCAAGTAAAATACTGTAACGTCCTTCAAGGTGTTTTTTATCGTAGCGCAGCCGTTAGGAATGATGGTAATGCTGCGTCCGAATATATAGTTACTACGGAAAAGAACAAATTCGTGCAACTGAATCAGTCCTGACGAAGGAAGTTTTACAGAAAATCACAGTTAGAACTGATTTTCAAGCAAGTAGTGTTAGCCGGTCACTGATTAGGTCTTCATATAGAATTTACATACATGAACCAAGAAAACAGAGATAACTAAAGGATTACATAAATATATTCATGCGGGTAGAGCTAAAGTTTCGGCAAATTTCCAAACAAGCGATAATCGCTGCTATCAAGATCCATAGATAGTGAACCAGTTTAAGATCACAAAAATGTCCATAAATTTTTCGTTTTTACTACCAAAGATTGTTTGCCTCTCCCCCTACAAAAAATGAAGAAAGTGAAGAAGGATGCATTGTTGAAAAAAAAAAGGTAACTCAGAATACAATTGTGCTGCTGCTTTCTGCAGATTATGTATTATGTATTTATTGTTGACAACTTGATAAGCAAAGCATCCTTTGCTTTATTAAAAGAATACGAAACATATCACACACTTTCCGCACACCTATGAGAGTATGTTATTCAGCGAAAACGAAATGCTCAAAGGGAATGCGATGATCACCAAATATTGCTGTTTACATGCATGAAGCACAGTCCAGATAGACATAAAATATGTAGTAACTGCAATTATGCAAAACAACGTATCATAATGTGACGACGGTTTAAGGGAATTATTATTTCTCTACCTTGGGGGGAGGGGTGAGAAGGAGGCAGAATGAAAGAAAAAAGGAGGTTGAATAGAAGGATGAGTAAAGCAGTGCGAAAGATGTATGCATTAAGTAATAATGCCATGCAGGAGCGATAGAGATCTTATTGAATAAGTTAGATGGTAAGTCTCCAAAAGGTCTATCATATCATGCTATTGTTGCTACATATGACACACATCATGAGGTTACCGATAGTACATATCAGGCTGTTGCTGCTATAGGATATATCAAAGTATGCTTGTGCATTACTTTATGTTAATACATAGCATGTATTGTCGTCGTTTTCATTTCATTCCTAATAACGTGGTTGGTAGCAACCTTTCATCTAGATGCTTGATATGCTGTCGTATCGTTCTTCACTCTCTTGTCAGGTAGAATTCGGTAAATTACGGATAGTATGATACGCAAAGAAAGGATAAAAGTTGGGGACCCTTGATTTCCGATAAAAGCCATTCTTGCGAAGTATAAAGAACGCCGCTTATTAGTATTCTTTTTTAAGTAACGTTCTTTGCATGATGAAAATGGAACATTGATAACATATTGGGAAAGCCGATCAATACACGATCTTAAAAAAGACAAGTTACGAAGAACGTTATGCATAGTATCACGATGCTTTGTTATACTAATGACAAGAAGAGACACTAGTTACTTGGTAGTGTCGTAGAATAAAAGGCAAGCCAATCACAGTTTAGTAAGCCATCATCGCTCGACGAATCGTTGATATCCTTAAATGTAAAATAACCAGCGCACGGACCAGTTGAGGTTTTTATGATCTACAAGAAATGTTATGTTTGTATTTACATAACATACTCTTTTGTAGCGTATATCAGCAATTGTTAATGTGAAAAGCCAAGGCAGTTTACTGTTGCCTTTTTATTAGCGCGCCAGCATGTGTCATTGATACCGATAGGAAAATTGCTCAAAGAGCTAAAATGCATGATCCCTTTTCTTATGTCTTCAACCTTAGCACCTCCTCTTCGATTACCGTAATTATTCCCCTTCCCCACATATCCCAAGCGAACCTTGCCATTAATGCTAAAGTTTCTAGAGTACTCGAAATATCTGACGTTTATACTCGAAGGCTCGTTATATTGGTGTCGTGCTTTAAACGGTTCGTTAAATATAGAGGATAAAAGAATGGCGGGGGAAAAGGAAAAACAATTTTCATGCAGATTACACAAAGACCAAGTTTTCCGTTTATGCGCTGCACTCTAAATGGCAGGATTGACCCATCCGGTACATCTCAAACTTTTAGTGTAACCCGAATTCGTCCTTTTTTTTATTGCAGTGGTAACTTACTATGATGTTAGGCCGATTAGTAGATCCTGTTAACTCTTCTTGTTGTCTCTCTTTCAATACTAATGCCAGTGTATCCCGACCGTAGCTCACTACTATTCTTTGGTAGATGTTTGGTTTGTATTGGGTGGGTTTCTGATGGTATATTACGCTATAGCACGATCAGGTACCCTGGCCTCCCTTTTCTCTCCCCCCCCGCTTCTTTGTTGCTCTTAGCATGTCTGATGTGTGTTATGCGATTGCATTACATATGTAACAATTAGCTCTTTTGGTGGTTAATACTGAGTTCTATTAAACTTTTGTTCTCTAGACTTTTGTTCTTGTACATAAAAATCAAGAAACAGACCGGATTTGGTTCATGTAGTAAGAACCATGCACAATGCAGAAGGATTATGCATTCCAAAGATTGAACTTTTTAATGGGGGGAAGAAGGGAGGAAGAAGAAGAAGAAGCTGAAAAGAAAATGGAAGGCGAGGCTATCGTCACCGCGAACGACAGTCTCACAGAGAGAGAGAGAGAGAGAGAGAGAGAGAGAGAGAGAGAGAGAGAGAGAGAGAGAGAGAGAGAGAGAGAGAGAGAGAGAGAGAGAGAGAGAGACAGCGAAACGATAGCCAGACCAAAAAAAAACTCCATATAGTCGACTAATATAAACGTGGACCATACAAAACGCACCGTGTTTTTGATTATTGATAGGGCAACACAAAGGTAACGCAGAAACGAGCTTAAACTATGACACGAGGGCAAGGGTAGATGTGTTTAAATTTGTTATTGTTTCAATTCTCCCTTTTGATTTCGATGATCATTCTGTGATGAAGTTAAAAGGTGTAGTGAAGCGCAAAACGAGCTGCAGGGCTCAACCAATGACTCGTACAGAGAGTAGACGATTAAGCGGGTTTGGCGTCAAGTGTAAGAGAGTTAGAGAGGGCCCAAAAGCTCGGGCTACACCGGAGTTTGGGGAAAGCACATACATTCAACACATAATAACACATAGTAACATAGCACAAGCGTATAAACGCGCTGTTTGTTGATGCACCATCCCGCGAACCCAAAAAAAGCCCTAAACTGCCAAAACATACCGCGTTCACAATAATTTGCACTGCCATTAGTATAGCAGATGGAGATACACAGAGAGCAAAGTCACAATTTGTGCAATGATCCCACCCACCCATCACCCGCCCACTTATACACAGGACATAACAGACCATAGCACAACAACAACACGCTAAGCTTTATTATCTGTTCGCTCCTTGCGCGATGTGATGTGTGCTATGTATGTGCTATGTGCAACTTGAAGTATAACATGAGCTCATTTGCTTTCGTCTTTAACAAAACAGAAATAAAAAGGAATTTAGAGTAACAAGAAGTTGTCTCTTCTAAAACGCGTGTTGGATTATCTGTGCCTTAGCTAGTATTCTTTGCAAAGTGTGTGAGAATGGGAGGGACTATGCGTCATAGTTGCTATTAAGCGACGGCGCCTAGACATACACACTCACACTGCACTCACACAAAAAGAAGAAAAAACCGAACTTTGCCGGTCCTAACAATCTCCCCTCATGGCTCATCTGGAATAATATGCCGCTGGCTGAACTGAAGTGGGAGGAGCACATCCTCTCTTTTTTTGCGCTCTGTCCTTTTTTTTCTCTCTCTTTCACTCTCTTTCACTCTCGCTCTTTTCTGTTGCGTCCCCTTCCTCGTGGTTTTTCTTCTTTTCACAGACTTTACTGCTGACGGCTCTTTCGACGGCAAAGGTTTCATCCACGTACGATGAATACCTTCTCTTCTTCTTCGTCTGCCGCAACTCACTCGCCGCAACCTGCGGATCTGGACCCCTTGGCATTCTCAACTGCTTCCAGTATGCAACAACCACCTTCTGTGTCCCCATGCCCATCGTCGTCCCTGCACGCTGGTCATCATGTCTCTTTACAACAACCTTCGGAAACTTATGATCACGATTCAGCAAACACCAATTCGAATGTATCCATCACTGCAATCAATACTTCCAACACCAACACTAGCGCAAATACTACCTCCAGTAAGAACGCCCTCACGCGCATATCAAGTAATCCTGTTGTTGCGACCACGAGCACAGTTGTGACAACCACGACCGTTGTGCCGCCCATGTTGCACGATTACTGGCATGGTCAAACACCCCTTCTACTCCATAACGACCCATTGCGCGGTGATTTGGACAGTGTTGAAGTCAACCATTCAGAGCGCGGGATTGCAGGTTTCGTGTCAAAATTATATCAGTACGTCGTCGTCGTCTTTTCTCTTTCTTTTGCTAGGTTATCATCAATACTATCCCGACGCCTTTCATCGTTGATGTATTTAATGTATAATTATGGTCTTTTCCCTTGATTCTATCCATGCTTTTCATAGGAGTTTGCAGGCCCCTGACGATGGCCAAAAGTACGCACGCTGGTGCAAACACGACGGCAAAGACATGTTTATTATCGAATGTATTCCTAGTAAGTGTTCCCTTTTCCCTTTTTCTCTCTTTCGGATCTCTCACTCTCGTTTATACCCTTTGCCCCACACAAAAAGCCATTTTTGCACCTTTTTTCCATCCCCTCTTTTCTTTTCATACTTCAACTCCCCACCCCCAAGCCGCATCAAAAAATAAACTTCCCCAACCCCCACACCACGGCAGCTTTCGCATATTGTGCTTATACGTACGCAAATATACAAACCCACTATCGCTTTCACCCCCTTTTCGCTTTCCTACGTTCCTTCTTTACTTTGATATCTGACATTGAGCATCTCCTGCTTTTTTATAACAGAATTTACCGAGGTTGTACTGCCGCGGTTGTTCAAGCACTGCAAGTTTGCTTCGTTTGTACGTCAGCTCAATGTAAGTACGGATTGCTCTCTAATGCATGACATACAAAAGGACTTGTGTGTGTGTGTTAATTAACTCTAACTTTTGTTCGGTCTCTTTCTCTTTCTCTTCTTCTCCCCACCTTATCATCCTCCTCCTCATATTCTTGTGAGTAGATATACGGCTTTCAGCGTGACACAGACGCTCGAAAAACCAAAGACACCAAAGACAAAGAGTCGTGCCGTTGGCATCATCAGTACTTTCGGCCAGGCCGGCGTGATCTTTTCCATCTGATCCGACGCAAGGCCGCGCGCTATCCAAGACGAAAACGAGTCAAAATCGACGAAGATCCAGCAACAATCGTCAACGTAGGATCTGGTGACGACGATTCGGATATCGACATGAATATTACCTGCGTGCTTGACGACCGTCGTCGATCTTCGTCTGTTTCGTCGGTATCCCAGCAACCACAAGATAGCTATAGCAACCATCACCATGACAACCACCATTCTCAACAACCACAACAACAGCAGCAAGACAGTACATCTTTTCAAATGATGTATGAAGGGTTACCAGACCTCTCTGTCGGTACCACTGGTGTTGGTGCTGCTGCTGCTCCGCAATCAATTCCAGTACAGGAGCCAAATCAGCAGCAACATGCAGCAGCACCAGCAGTACCAGCACCAGCACCAGCACCAGCACCGCCACCACCACCGCCACAAAAATACCAGCAGCAACAAACGCCATCGCCTTGTAATCCTCCTGGAGAGGTTGAAACGTCCGAGGTGTACAATATCACGCCTGTAACTGAGGCGCCGCATCAACATCGACAGCAGCAAGTGGACTGGGTCTCACAACATCAACAACATCAACAACAACAACAACAACAACAGCAGCAGCAGCATAAGCATCATCAGCATCATCAGCATCAACACCAACAGAATAACGAACCGCTGGATCACCGGTTATTACAAGAGCAAGATTTACGCGCCCAGGTAACACGGCTGAGCCAATTATGTCAGGGCATGCGTCGGTCCTTTGACATGCAAATGAAGAAAGCCTACAAGCTTATCGAGGACCAGGGACGGCGTATTCAGATGCTCGAAAGTGACTCGTTCAGGGGCTCAAATCAAAACTCTTTACAGCAACAGCAACAGCAATCACAACATCAGCAACAGCATCAACAGAGATCATCCGATATGGGTTATATGATGAGCACGCCGTTTTCAAATCATAATCATCACCACCATTCTCCGCACAATGACGATTTGTATACCCAGTTTTTCCCAAGCAACACAAATGTACGGATAAAAACTGAAATTGGCGCTGCAGCAGCTGCAGCCGTAGCCGCTACTGCTGCTGGTGGATTCAATAATGGCGGAGGTACTGGTGACCGCACTGACTATGAGAATCTGTATGGACTCAAACTGGAGGCGGCAACAACGGCAGCAACAGCATCAACAGCACCATCACCTCATCATCATCAACAACATCAGCATCATCATCATCCTCACTCTCAAATACAGCAACAACAACAACAACAACAAGCAAGGCCATCCATGATGAAACCATCTGATCCTATAAATCAGCAACAACAGCAACAACCATCATGGATGCCCATGTTTGCTGCTGTTGCTGCTAATAGTAATGCGTCTGCGACGGATACGCCTAATTCAATACATTTCCATTCAAATCCACCTGCTCGTTCTGGTGCGGCTGCATCGATTGCTGCAGCGGCTGCGGTGGCCGCAGCTGCTGTGGCAGGTGAACCTTCAAACAATAATAATGCTCCTGGAGATATAGCAGCAACAGCGGCCGCCTATGGTCATCCTGGTCTGCCAAAATACCATCATCACCCTAATCGTGGAATATAATAACAAATCTTTTTTCTCTCTTTTTTAATTTCCCCTCCATTGATTTTGTCATTACAAGCAAATTAACCCATATACACATTACTATTCTCCCACAAACAACGAAGCAAACATACACACTACTACAACAAATTCTTACCCCACCACACACACTCCACATCACATAACACTCTAACTCAATCAACGCAATCAATCGCACAAAGGTAGAATAAACATGTACTTTAAGTATAAACAGGTAGCATTTTGCATCACCCATAACAGTAACAAGTACTCCTTCATCCTCCCTCCCCTCTTTTTCCTTTGCTCCATACTCAAAAGACTATGTCACCGCGTGGAATATACGATACTTTCATAGCACCAGTATGGCATTTCCCTAATTACCGAACACACAAACAAACTAATACTTTTGCCACTCATCTTTAATTTTGTTTTTCCTGTCACTTCACGGCCTAGCGTATCCATTACAATACAGTATTACCAGGCTGTTAGAACACTTTAGCATATATACGAACTGTACATAGTCGTGACAAGCATAATGAGCCAAAGAATACAGTACATTGGATGTCCACTTATTAGAACAAGTAAAAAAAATTCATCCTTTGATAACCCGCGCTGATAAGTGAGAAATTAAGCGAGGGGATAACTAACAAACAAAAAAAGAAAAGCAAGAGTAAGCATGTACAATTAGTTTGTTATATCCTCTCAGTTAACCTTTTCTTCGCTGCAAAAAAAAGTTTCTCTTTTACAATCCTTTTCATTATTTCGGTTTCTGATTCAAAACTAATAACTTGGAAGTGAGTCTAACACACGTATAACAACAACAATACACGTGTCTTTGACAGAAAAACGAACTGAATCAAAAACCGTTTTGGACTCTGAAGATATGGAAACAGCGAGTCAAGTGCCTGTATTGGTCGACAAGAATGCACCAAGCAGCGAAATCACCATCGCCACTGACACTTTTGGTATTTATTAAAAAAAGAGAAATAGATGGAATAGAGCCGTCAAGTTAAAAAAAAAAACTTATCATTCGTTTGAAAATAACAGATTACGTTTCGAGCTATGCACCGTATCAAGTTGGAAATAACAGCAGCACTGAAAGCACGACAACGACATTGACGACGAACAGTGATGGTGGAGCAACAGCAGCAGCTACTAGCGGAGGATCGGGTGAAATAATCATGCCACAACACAATCTGCGACGCGTTGTTCAATTTCATCCACACCAAGGCATTTGCGGCAATACAATGTCAGTGACGATCGAGCAAAGGATGACATCCAGTGTACCACGAATGAAGCTCGTCTTTGGCATGCAACCAGTGGAAACCACCCAGCAGCATCAACTTGTCCCGTCGTCATCATCGACATCTGATTTGAATGACACTGAGCGTGCTAGCGGTGGTGATAATGAGATCGCTAACGGTGGCGATTGTGATGATGATGCAAAAGTGTGGATCACACTGATTGCTCGCATTCCACCACAGCAGACCCATACGATTGTGGATGCCAACCAAGTTCCATTATCCATTTGTGTCTATGAAAATGAGCGCGTCGATCAATGGGCATTTGGTACATTTACCTATGAGGCGTCAATGCAGCAGCAACAACAAGAACAGCACTTTCATCCACAGCAGATCAAGCAAGAAGGGCAGCAACAGCAATCGGATTACACCACCTCCGCTACACCAGAAACAACAGGAGGAGATCCAGGATTGACAGGTGAAATATATTTTCTGATACTTCAGCATCATAACTTCTCAATAGCTGTCTCATTAACAAGCTTTAATGTCATGAAACAATTTCAGATATATCTGAAAGTTATCAGTTATTACAATTGCTAGCTCCATACGAAGATCCAGCGCTCAAACAGCCTGACCCTATTGATCAACTAAACGGTCCAACACCAACCCAAGCAACCGACTTGTTAGCACAGATCCAGAATCAGCAGCAGTTTGAGTTTCATCTTCGACAGCAACAGCAACAACAGCAACAGCAGTATACACCTGTCACCACACCAAGTACTACTTCTACAGCAACGACTACACATTATTATTATACTAGCAGCAACAATAACAACAACAGTAACAGTAACAGCGATTTTTATAATTATTACACCCAAAGCAACAACAGTCCTTATCGCTGTTACTCACAAACACCACCATCTAACCTAACAACAACGACAACATCGCCATGCTCTCCTATGGTTATCCACCCTTTCGGTGGTGTCTTGAACAAAGCCCATTTGAAGATTTGCGGTGATTTGAATGAAATGACAATCAATTGGACACCACAAGAATGGCAAGCCGGTCGACGTTTGGTGCAATTCACACGGAACACAGATGGCAAAACAACTGACGGTCATGCACAGATCGAATGTTCGTTTCAGCCTATGGATCAACAAGAACATCAACAACAACGGATGCGAGAAAACATGGCGGCGGCGGCAGCCGCAGCGGCAGTTGCAGCAGCTGCAGCAGCTGGTCACCATCATCCTCACCATCATCATCATCCAACACAATCACGACCTTCCAAAACCTCATCATCACTTGTTGTATCCTGTATCTACTGGCGCGAACGAAACGATTACTATATCACATCTGTTGATTGTATCTATCTGTTGGAAGGATTGATAGGCGTTCAATTTACGGTTGAGGAAAAGAATCGTATTCGTCGTAATCTCGAAGGATTCAGACCGCTCACAGTAAGCAAATGTAAGCCGGATTGTGCAGATTTTTTCAAGTTGATCATGGGATTCCCTAACCCAAAGCCAAGAAATATCGAAAAAGACGTAAGTTTTATAGTTTGCATGAAATTTCTCTAATTTCGTACCACCCCACCCCACCCCCCCACAAAAGAGCCGAAAGAGTCAGTGCTCATAATGAAGAGTTGATTTAGGTCAAGGTGTTTGCTTGGAAGACGCTACCACATGCACTGCGAAAGATCATTCGAAAGTATACGCCGAGTTATAGTAGTACGATGGGTCTTGGTCAGCAACAAAGACAGCAGTCTATGGGAACACAGCAATCATATCAGCAACAACAACAACAACAACAATATCAGCAACAGCAACAGCGACAGCAACAGCAACAACAACAACAATATCAGCAGCAACAACAGCAACAGCAGCATTTGATGTCGTCATCATCGTCAGCCGCAACAGGACCGAATGTTTCAAGTTATCTTACTTAGTAAACATTGATAATTGCAATAAAAATGGCTTATTTATCATTTATTCTGTGCTCTTTTCTAAAAAAAACAGTGTGTGTGTGTGGAGAGAGTGTGTGCAGAAAGGGTGCTGTCGTGTATTACTTTGCTGGTAGGAAAAAGGGGACGGGTACAGAGACAGAGACAGAAAGTGAAGGGGGAACAATAGGGTGAATGTGTGGATGATATGCAAAAAGAAGAGAGTAAAGAGGTTATAAGAAACATGCGATTATTGGTTTTTTTTTTGTTTTAGTGGTAAAAGAGATTAGAAATGAGACATGGAAATGCCTGCAGTTTCAAAGTATTTCGGTAGGAATTGGCTGGCTTCGGATGGCATGGCAGACTTGACGATACCTCGCTTTTCTGGAGACATAGCAACAAGCTGTTGTGCAAGGTAAATTTGGCATGGAGGCAACGATGCTACTGGATCTTCTCGTACGGGTGCGGCCGTCGACAGCTTGGCAAACGATGTCTGGTAGCCTGCAGTTTCTTCGCTGATATCCAGGGTGTACAAATCATCGGGTCCGTCGTCGTTTGCAGTAGGTGGCAATTCAAGCATACGCAGCAAGGCGGTAAAAATTTGAGGCCATACTTGACCTGCATACGGTTGTTGGATCATCAGATCGCTATGGGTCAACAGTCGAACCATGCCGACACCGCAGATCTTGTAATCGATAGGATCACGCAGTGCGTTCAAGTCTTCGGTGACAAAGAGTGTGATAATTTGGCCAAACAAACTACATTCATTTTCACAAATGTTAGATACTTATTTTAAGAAATAGAGGTTCCTCGCATTCATACACCAGGACTACCCGTTAGTACATACCCTGGCTGCATGTTATCAAAGACACGAATCAACACGTCGGGTCCGCCCAACTTTTCCAAGACAAAGAATAGACACACCCAAAGGGTAAAGTTTCGTGTAAATCGATCAAAAACGGTACGGTCGTTGCGTCTTTTGGTCTGCAGACGTGTCAACACAGATGTGACGAGAACAGGGAGGTAACGTGACAATATTTCACTGTGATATAACGTGTATGTCATGAGCCTTTCAAATGAACACAAAACCTATCTTGGTAACAAGAAACTTACATTGGTACATTCTTGGTCACCGCAATCAAAAGAGCCAGAGCATAATGATCATTTTGACGCGAATTGATAAGCTTTTGTTGGAAGATACCAAGGATGGGCTCCAGCTTATTGTTTGCAACAATTGTGTTGATACCCTTGGCCAAATAGACTTCGAGCAATCGAACAAGTGCTGGGATATTGCCTTGTTCCCAGAGCGGTGGGTTCAATAAAGGGGTCAAAAGAGCAATGTAAGCTTCGGACAGTTCTTGGCCCTGGTGATGATCCAGCAGCTGGGCCAGCAATTGGAATACATAAGGTGTGAATTCTGAATTGATCTGTTAGCAAGCTGTTTAGGTTTCATGTAAACTCTAGTATACCCTGCTATTAATGTATATTTGCTTTTGAAATCTTACCCTGGATATCTTGGCCCAAGATGGTTTGGAAAGGACCAAACAGCATATTCTCAAATTCTGCCACGGCGCCGTCGTTTACAGGGCAAATGAAACGGATCAATGCACCAATGCTTTCAAAAATATAGTGGTTAAATCGTGGGTTGCTTGGATTGGCACTCACAATACCCAAGATGGTCGTCAGCTTGCCCATAATGACATTCACATAATTCACCATGTGCTGACGGCAGGTGATGATGACACGCATCACAGCACGCATGAGATAATCGTTCTCGGACAACTTCTCGGGTGTTTGACCAGCTTCAATAAGGCGGAAAAGTTGTACGAGGAGTGTTTCTGCATATTGGGCAATGTCTTCGGCCGAGAACCTAACAGGTTGCAACAACATGTATCAAAGTTAATTTTTATTCTCTTTTGGTATAAACACACGCACACACACTCTCTCGTTTTTAATTACTCAGCTTTGGTTTCAAAGGTAGCACGAGAAATCATATATTACTTACAGCATGGCCTTTCCTTGACGGAGGAAAAGTATACGCTCAATCGCAATAGCAGAGTAGGTATGTACGACATAATTGCTTGATTCCAAGTGTTTGACCAGATATGGGAAAACAGTCAGCAATTGCTCTTTGGTAAGCTAGATAATGAAATAAATGGCAAGTTAGCTTTTCGACCGAATCAAAATAAAACAAAGATGTTCTGTTGATATGTGTGTACCTGACTACGGAAGGTGTACAAGAACTTGATAGCATCCACCTTGAGAATGGGTGAGCCAGCGTTGACATCTGTTTCTAGATCGCCAAGGATATGTTTGGTAAAGAAATCGACAACATCCACCAAATTGTTGGTTTGAGTAACACCAAGCTATAATAATCAATAGGATGTTAGCGTTTCGATCTTTGAATAACAAACATCATCAATCCATCCTATTATTACCTGTGCAGTCGAGGTTCGGCTAGCAATAGCGACGAGCAAGAAAATGGCAGTGTTCTTGTCTTTCCAGTTTCCTTGAGGGTTTGCACCGTATCGCTATATATATATGTATACCCCGCCCCCGAGAAACGGTGTATCGTGTAAGTCGCTCCGAGAAAATCATACATGTAGCTTTTGACAACTCGTATTTCATCATGCTTTTTACCTCCAAGAAATGAGTTATATACTGGTTGACGATCTGCGTGGTTTGCGATTCATAGCGCTCCATCAAGCCACGGATGAAATCAGCAGCAGCACGACGACGCGTATCCGTGTCTAAAAACCACATTATCAGTGAGAACCCTCTTTTTTAATAGAACGACCATATCTTACATATACTGTACCTGAGCCTTCCAAATCACGTCGAATATACTCAATAGGGTTATCCTCAAATAGTTCCTCATCGACCTCTGCAAACATTATAAAAATACACAACACATATTGTTAGCCAACACACGGACACATTTTTAGGATTATTCTTCCACTTATCAATAAATATATAAAGTTTACCTCTCATGGCAATGTTCGACAATGCAATCTTTTCACACATTTGAGCCATAGTATCACCCGACGTAACGGCACCTGACATACGCTCCAGCTTCACCATACAGGTAAGCAACGAAAGGGCCTTGCAAACCAGCTATATAATCGATCCACCACAAAAAATAAGAATCCGTGACACCAATTGACACATAAAAAAGACGGAGAGAGCCTTTTTCTTCCCAACATACCGTATCGTATTTGGCCTCTTGTCCCAGCGACATCAGCAACTGCACCGTAATACTGAAAAACCCATCCATATGACGGAAATCCTCCTCGTATTTCTGGGTATACAATTCCAAAATTTCGCAGATACCGGTCTTGATACGTTCGAGAGGACCTGCTTCTTCGTCGTCATCGATCTGCAAATATTGGTTGTTGTAGACAAGATAGTATTGGAAGAATTCCATAAACTTGTCCATGTTATCTTCAAAAAATTCGGGTAAATCTTGACAGTTCAGGTCGTAAAAGATCTTGATCAACAGAATCAAAGATTGCGACAATGGTTTCAAGGCTTCCGCGTTGGCGACATTGTCCTTGATCAGCTTGTCCGTGATCTGTGCCATAATTTAACCAACCCCACCCGCGGTTCAGTAAGTATTGATCATATAAATTCGCGTGTACGTATCGTTGTAAAACAATGAAATAGCTGTACCTGGAAAAGCTGCAAGTAAGGTTCACAGAACTTGTCAAGAACATACTTGATATCCAAAAACAAGTTATCCGAAGCAAATTGAGATCGCCACCTTATACGCAATAGCTTAGATCAATATGTGGAACAAGCATAATCCCTTCTTTTCAATTGTTGTCGACCCTCCCCCACCCTTTTCTCCGTTTTCCGACACGCGTACCTTTTGAAAATCGAATGAGCGATTTGCAGGATACCGTTGTTGACATTATAGTCACTAGGGCTCAATCGACCGATTAATTGCTACAAGCATGTTTTAGTAGAGCTTCTACAAGTATCAAGAAATACCCATTCGACTATTTTTTTTTTGCTACGTACGTCAAGCAAATTATCCCACTTGTCGGGAAAGTCTTCGTCTGCCATGATTGCCAGAGCATCACTGATCTGAAGCTGGATCTTTTCGGGTACACTAATCAACAAATCCACAATTTGTGCTTTAATCGTTTGGCGATCCTGAGGGGCGATCTTGTCTGCGTTTTCATTGTCCTGAAGTTTAGATTAAAGTAACCGGGAAAGGCCATACGAGTGATTTTTGTTTTCGTGTATATAGTGAGGGGAAGAAAGAGAAAGTACAAAGAGAAAGGAAGAGTCAGTCAAGAACAAAGAACCATAAACGACGCGTATGTTGTATGGTTGTTTCTCGAAACTTTTGATTTTTTTTTCATGTAAAAAAAGAAAAAAACCTTACCGGCACCCAATGACGTTTGATATAGTTTTTAAAGTACAAAGAGCCGGCAAATCGAAGTGTCATGTCGGCTCCATTGTCGCTAATCAATTTTAATAAAAGCAAGGGGAAACCTTGTTGTACTTCGACTTCGCCCAACTGACGTTCCGCTGCAACAGGTTTTGTTTTTTTTTTTATAAAAAAAAGAGTATAAATTGACTAGTTCCAAAGGACCAATGATTAAACGGAAATATAAGTAAGAAGTATTTACCTTCTTTTTGGGAAGCTGGATTGAGGGTTTGTTGTAAGTACTGCTGGAGCGCAGTGTACGTCTGATCGTTGATCTCCATGAGAAAGTGTGGCGAGGCGCGTCGTGCGTTCAAGAAGGAGAAAGAAAAGCAGATAATACTGCTGCGAGAGCACGGTGATGGTTTATTGGCTACATGCAATGTTTGTAACTCCGCCGAGCACACTGCTAACTTGACATTATTCCAGCCTCAGGCCTGAAGGCCCTATGCCCATTTGACAACATGGCATTACTTAATATTTTGGCTCCAAATATTAGTTTCTTTACTTTATTTTCTCATATATTCCTACACATCAGCCGTTCGTCTCCATCCTCACACATTCAACGATACAGCCACATTGCCAACAAGCAATATATGAAAATGACGATCAACAACGTTATCGCTTCTTCATAGCTACTTGGCTTTCTTTCTGTTGCTTCAGCAACTTGCTTCCTCCCATTTAAAACGTCATCCTGATCAACATGATTTACAAGGCCCATTTTCGTCTCGTGATGCAGTACCTCAACTTGGCCCTTGAAGGCGTTATAATATAAAGTTTGTTGTGTATCCTCACTTTTCATATGCCCAAACACGAGCCATATTCTTGTTAAAGAATACGCCAGTAGTGTTGTTTCAAAAAGGAAAGAGCAGAAGAGAAGGCGTATGCTTGTCAAGGCAAGGACATGCTCATACAATGTTATCGCGCATTGCTAGCTCAAAGCTGATATATCCTCCAAACTGTTGCCCCATAGCACACTGATCTTATCGTCGACACACCGTACATTCTTTTTGGTACAGTAGTATATACTTACTTTAATTGCTTATTTTGATACTGTAATGATAATGACAACCGGCATTTGTCACGATTTTCATGCATGGCAAGTACGCTAACAGCTGTTATTGATTTGGATCTGTAAGAGATGATACAACGGTAAATTAGATAGCTATTTCCTGAGACTCTATATTCACAGAATGTATACATGGCTAGCCCTAATGATAAGCAACCAAACCACTGCAGCCAGGTTGGCACCGTAAAACATTGATTAAAATGACTCTCTTCATCTGCTCTAAGAAACAGACGTAGTGCCATAATTGCTTTTTCTTCTACAAATTTCAATAGGAAGCAGACTATTTCGCTTGTTTGGCCAATATGTTCAAGCTCTTCTTTTATTTGGCGTTTCTTCTTTATTGCTTCCCACTAGCTCCCATCATTGTCCAACACTTTGATATGCACCGTAATTGAATTTCTGTCACTACATCAGGATCCGCAGGCGAGCCGCTGCGAGCACGATATTAAACAAATCAGAGTCCGCCGATACCCAAGGGAAGGTCGCAGTGGTCGCAGCAACTCTAAACCGCCCCGCTACTACACCAACACCAGCACTTGAAGAAAAGAAATAATGCCAAAGATTGTATCCTCATCGATCGTTTCTTCATCCGATCACACAGGCCAACTCGAAGATCAGCGTCATTTATTACACGTGTACTATTGCTTATGCTCAGAATTCTTACTCGTCATTGACGCCGATTTACGAAAATTACCGCGACGACGTACAGACAATGCAATCATTGTGTCAAACACACGAAGGACGTATAAATTCACAGCTGAAAGCGATGGCTGCACTATTGTCAAACGGTAAACTATTGGCATCAGATTCCTTTCAGTAGTTGTGCCTTTTGGTGGTGAAGCCTTGAGAAAGCGGGGATCTGGAACTCAAGAGTTATCCAACTCTCGACGACACAATATGGATACTAAAAGCTTCTCATTTTTATCTTGCTGTTAATCCAATCGAACAATAGACGAGAAGGTTTCGAGAAACAATACCGGTATCATTGCCCAAGTAAAGTTCAATAATTCCCTTTATTTACATATCCATCTAGCTTACCATGGACACAAAATTGCTTCTCTCCTTAAATAATTTTTGTCACTCAATTTGCATCAAACACACTTTATGTAGGATGCCGGTTACTGGTGGCCTATGAAATGAATGAAAATAAGAAATCTGGACCCTATACGTACATAGTGGACAGCGCATTGACTGAAAAACAAGGCAGCGCTCCGCCTAATGCTATCCAAGATATCCCTACGCCAGCATAAACTATCAAGCTCCCACATGTAAATCAGTATCACGGACCTATACACACAAAAAAGAAAAAAAGTCGACGTCGTCGTCGTGTCTCTCCCCTCGCACAACCCCCTTTCAAACCTCCTTTTCAAAAGATGATATGAAATCTTACAAGATAAAAGAAATGTCTACATGACTGCATACGGGATACAGCGTTGCGTCGCGTTTTTCGAAAATCATTCATTTTATTACATGCACATCCATCATTCATATATATCACGAGACAATTGCACTTCTAGTCGTATATATCGCACATGAGGGCAAGTAGGCAAGATACAATGCCAATCTATAGTAATGGAGAAAGAAAGTGTGTGTGTGTGTGCGAGAGCGAAAGAGATTGAAAGGGGTGAGCATGAAGAGATGCTACGTATGTTCGTCTGTCTTTGTAATAGCTAAAGGAAATAAGGGGATCATCAAAAGAAGGATACAGTAAAAAAAGCTTCGACCATCATCAGCTGTAATTGCCCATGCAGCAATGCTTTAACACGCCTATTTTTGGCTTTGAACACGATGGATCTACTGGTTTTCCTATAGTCTACAGCACTCACTCCCCGTTTCTTTTTTTTTTTTGTCGACGATTCATTCTTTTTCCGATCCCTGATACTTTCTTCTTCTTCTTCTCTCTTTCTCTTCCTTTTTTTCCTTTGTCAAAAGATATCCTTTAGTTAATGGCACTGCGATCTATACTCGATCCTTTATTGCCCGGGCAAGAAACTGATCCTATGGACAGCATCAACAGTAGCCCACCGCCAGAACAACATCATGAACCATCGTCACCAGCACCTAACGACAGCCATCCACCTCCTCCTCCTCCATCATCTCCTCCAGAGCCTCAGCCTTCTAGCAACAACGACCCTAAGAGTCCACCATCGCCAGCACCATCGTCCAACAACAACAACCATGACACCAATAGCAATGTAAAACCTTCTCACTAGCTATTACGAGATTTTTTCTTTTCAAAGTGAAAAGATACTCCCACAGTCGTGTCAGATCCAACATTCCATATGTGTGTGCCTCACTCACTCTCTCTCTCTCTCTCTTTCATTCATTCCTATTCTAGGGTCCAGACAAAACTGTGCCAACCGACCATCCATCCCCGGGTGCAGCAACAAGTCCTGCTGCTAAAGATGATACTCCTACTAAAAGTAAGGATGAGAAAAAACCCACACCAGCTGTATCTACCACTACTACATCTCCTTCATCATCCAACCATAATCATTCAAAACATCATCATGACCCAACAACTCCTTCATCCTCCTCCAAAGATCATAATAACAACAGCAACAGCTCTGCTGCTGCTGCCACTGCTCCTCCTTCGGGCCAGCCAACCGAAAAAGCGGCTCATCATCCTCCGAACAGCAAGACTGTCACCACGTCAAGTGCAACTAAAGTGATCGCCGTCAGCACTTCTGCCGATGGAAGTGTGCATACCTATACATCCACGTCATATACGCCTTACTCGACTGTCATAGCTGACTCGGGCAACGACAAAGGCGATGGTGGTAATAGTTCTGCGTCTGCAATTGCGGGAGGTGTTATTGGAGCGACAGTATTGGCTGCATTGCTTGGTATGTAATTAAGAATTCGTTTCGCTTTTTATATATGTATAAATTATCCATATAAGCGTCCTTCTTTCTCCTCTTCCTTCTCCTCCCCCACCTTATCAAGTCTTCTTTTTTCAGAAAGGAATTAAATGATTAACTCAAACCTACTACTACTACTACCACGACACACAACATCAAATGCATCTCTCTCTAAATTAATATGCTTCCGAAAATAGGCGCACTAGCATTTATCTGTATGCGACGGAAACGACAAAGACGACAGCAAGCCTTCGCGGCAAAGGGCGACAGCACCGATCATACCGACGCAGATGAACTCATGTACTACCGATCGCCTGCAACGACTGCCACGACTGCAACTGTGCCACCGCAACAAGATCCTGTAGCCATGGCCGAGCAACAGCATGGCATCAATAGCACACCACCCATGGCCGTCATGAACAGCTTGCCACCTCCACCAGCGAACAACGGGGTATCTCCTGCACGACCCTTTATCGCGCCTTACGCTACTACGACTCCAGCAGCCTATTCTGAGGACGGAAGCGAATATGGTTCTGCCTACATGCCTCCAGTGAGTAGTGGAGGCCAACAAGGAGCGTCTACTGGTAACTACCATCAAGCATCACAATCGGCTGGCTACTATTATCCGACCCAACAAGCCGATCTCAATGCAGGCTATGCGCCAACAACAACCCATGATGGTCGGATGTTGACAGCAGCTTATATGGAGCCAGGTCAACAGCAACAACAACAACAGCAGCAGCAAACAACCGTTTATCGTACCCCCTCGCATGCTGGTCAACAATACCATTATCAGCAAGAACAACAACCACAGCAGCAGCCGATGTATATGCCTCAACATGAAGTTGATTACAGTTATTATCAACAACAACAACCAATGCAACAGCACCATCCTCCTCCTGTTGGCTATGCTACCGATGGATACTACTCACCGCAGATTGTGCAAATGGATGTACCTCACACTAAAGATTAAACTGGCTTTCTTTCCCCTATATACATCTCTCTTTCTCTTTTTCTGAATCCATAACTAATACTAATATAATCATGTTGTTGTTTTTTGCTGCTTATGATATGTATTGCTGTGCCAAAATCGAATAATGGGAGATACAGTAATGTGAACCTTAATTCATACCAACACTATCATCATTTCTGGATGATCACTTTTTTACATTCTCTATGTACAGTAAATCCAAGTGCACACCTTATAGAATGGAAATATGCAGTATGGATAACTTTATTTATAAATAATTTATCCTCTTGATGAAGTGAGCATCTTGATGACCAAAAATCCAATACAGATCCATAAGAGTAAATTGGCAGAACCACGTTGTTGTTGCTGCTGGGACGAGGCACCGCTAAAGACACCAATTTGGCCCAATTCACCGATCTTGCCTAGATCACTTCCTGGTGGTAAGCTAGTATAAGATGGTGTTGCTGCGTTTGTGTCGACAGGTTGTTGCTTAGGTGGTGCGCGGTTATTAGGTGGCAGTGGTGGCATGCCTTTGTCTGCGGGAGGTGGCGGCGGCGGCAATGCCTTGTCAGTGGGCTTGCTAGTAGAACCCTTTGTTGTTGTTGTTGTTGCTGCTGTTGTAGGAGGGAGTTTCTTCTTGTCGGTCGCTTTTGGCGGTGGTGGAGCTCCTGGAGGCGGATTCTTTCCAGGTGGAGGACCTGGGTTTTTACCAGGCGGTGGATGATTATTGCCCGGTGGACCTGGAGGAGGAGGGTTATTACCAGGTGGACCAGGAGGACCAGGTGGTGGTTGACCAGGAGGACCAGGTGGAGGACCTGGAGGTGGTGGAGGTGGTGGAGGTGGTGGAGGCGGTGGAGGCGGTGGTGGCGCAGCTTGAGCTTCCAATGCATCGGTAACAGAAGATGGTGGTGGTCGCTTTGGCTTAGGATCATCAAAGTCCTTCATCCAATGCTCAGGGTCTCTCAATCGCTCGTCGTCGTCATCACTATGAGGCGGCTTGTGTGCTGCTTTGACAGGATCCACTCCTGGTGGCACATTATCCATTTCCTTCTTTGACGCTGGTTGTTCTTCTGGGTGATGTTGCTGTTGCTGTTCAGGACGCTGTTGTCTATCCATGGAAGAGGGTGTATGTCCAGGTCGTTCCTCTTTTGGATAGAGCTGCATCGACGATTCTTTACCCGTATCGGATGGTGGACCCATTGTACGATCCTTTTGATGATGGCGACCAGCGGATTGTTGCTCGTGTTTTTCGTTGCCATGCGGCACCGGTGGTGGCGATGGTGATGCTTCCATGGTGGATTAACCCCAAATCCAACAATGAAGAGAAAAAAAAAGAAATCCATTCGTTCTCTTTTTTTTTTTACTGCTTAAAGCAAATCACATTCCTGGTCTATACTACAACATTTACAAAAAAAAATATACCGAGTATGCGCGTTGGTATTAAATTTAACGAGAGGGAAGGTTTGTACAAGGATTGGTTATCAATTCTTCTCTGTAGTTGTAGTTTTCTCTTCTTCATCAGGGCGCCAGTGCTTCATGCGATGATCCAGCATCCTTTCAACTGCCTTTTGGTTACCAAACAACTGAGCCTCCGTCCTAGCCTTCTTCAAGTCCTCGATGGTCCGTAAATGATGACGGTCAGCCGCCGTTTTGCGCGACGAATGCGAGTCAATGATATTGACAAACTGCAATACGCCCAACGAGACCGAGACAGCGGCCACAATCGATATAAACACCGAGTTTTTCACAAACCGAGGCTTGTCATGAGACGACCAGGGACCTTCTTTGTAATGGATATCGTCGTGTGAAGCCCAATAGGCGTTCGTATACGACGCCGGTCTATTGCCAGGACCCCAGGGATCACCCGCTGACGTAGCAGAGGGAAATGCCAGATCGCCCCATCCTATGCCAGTCTGAATGTAGTTTTTTCGACGGACGGGATCAGAGAGGAGTTCATATGCCTTAACGACTTGATGGAATTCGTCGACATTGCCAGTAGGGGTATCGGGATGCAGGGTCTTGGCAAGTTCATAGTACCGTTTCTTTATGTCTTGCGTGGAAGCATGCGTGCCAAGCGACAGGATTTCAAAAGGGTCTTTTAGTTTGGCTGAGGAAGTTTTTTTGTTCTTGGCAGCAAAGGTTGCGTAGCACCTCTTAAACATGGGGAAAGCATGAAAAATCAAGTATAGAACAGTGTTTTTTTTTTTTTTTATGGAGGAGGATCCCCAAGTGAGAGTTTATTTTTCTCTGCAGTCACGCGTGCCGCAATTTGGACAGAGGCGTGCTGCGTGCGAAACTGGTCGCTATTACGAACATTGTATCTTAGAGTTGTGGCACATGCGAGGAACATACAAAGGGATAGTTACAAGTAGTAGGGGGGGGAGATTCTATGAATATAAGCATTTTTTTGTTTGTGTTTTTTTTTTTTTTTTTTTTTTTTTTGTTTTGTTTAATGATAGGAAAGAAAATTAGAGAGGGTCACGGGGGCGAAAACGCTCTAAAAGGACCAAAGCCCTAGATATGACGGCAGACGGAATAAAAGGCTGGTCATGGAAGATGAGTTGCCAATATGCCGCCCATATTGCGTGGAGGGTACATGCGACAGCGATGTTGTAAGATGGAAACGATGTACTGGAAGTCGGTGTTGTTGGTGGGAGCTTGAGTGATTTGATGAACGTAGAAAGATGTCGGGGGTGTGGATCAGCGAAGAAGAGATGACTCCAAACGGCGTTCCACACAGACAACCTGACAGGACAGAAGACAAGAAAATGGTCGAGGTCGTCCACAGCAGAGGTGCATAACCGGCACATAGGCGACTCGAGATGGCCAATGTTAATATCGAAAAGACGGAGAGCTGTAGGTATAGTACCATGAATGGCACGGAACCAAATGTTACGGGCAGTATGCTCCATATCCCATCGCCAGAAGGAAGACCAGTCTCGGGACGATATGGTGGGAATGGTGGCAGTCGGCGGCGAACATAGGCGCCGGTAGTCTTGGGTACGCCATAACGGGAGTGAAGAGGAGAGACGGCGAAAGAGAGGTGAAGCGTCAATCGTGTCGAGGCGACTGGAGTGACCTCCACCAGGGTGATCACCTGGCAGGCAAAGGCGGGCGAAACCCGCAAGTAAATATATACGTCCGGAACCCAAGTCATTGAAGAAACGCGTTGTGAGAATAGGTCGAAAGATTCCGTCAGTAGAAAACCGACGCCGAATGTAGCCCAGGTGGTGGTCGAAGACAAAGAGATCAGCGACCTGTAAAGTACGAAATCCAGGGCGACGTAGGTTGGCATTGCCCAGTGTGGGCGCCCAGATGCAGTTCAGGGGTAAGTGTAGTAGTGTAGCAGCAGACAATTCAGCCGAAAGCCAGGTGACAGGCAGTCGGTCAGTAGCTTTGTAGAGAAGATAGGCGACTTGGTTTGGTTCCGGTGAGCGAGGGCGTGCGTCAGGAAAAACTAATGCGAAGCGTGGATCCACATAAGATGCGGACGCTACCATGATATGGTGACAGAGGCAAGCGGTGATATACGACGGTTCTGCGGGCAACCGAAAGAGGGGTTCAAGCCATCGCAGTTGGAGGGTCTGTTGTTGGAGAAGGGGATCAAGTACGCCAAGACCTCCACAATGTCGTGGTTGACACAATTTGTCATAGCTGACTCGAGGAAACATGCGTGTCATCATGAACTTGCCGCAGATGGACCGTAGTTTGCCGAAGAATGTGGACGGAGCAGCCCCAACCAAGCGGAGTACGTGCCATGTGCGTGACAGGATCAAGGAGTTCAACACCGTGGCTCGGCCGCGGATGGATAGTTGCCGGGAAGCATGAATTTGACAAGAAGTTTGAATAGTGGTGAGTAATGCGTCTAAAAACACTTTCAATTGACGAGAAGAGGAGGCGAGGGGGAAAACCAAGGTAGATTACCGGGCTCGGGTGGCTCCTATCGTGCGGAGGCGGAAAGCCAGCATCCAGTAAGTGGCCCTCCCAGTGTGGCACCGGTGCACCGGAAAGCGAGATGGCTTGAGACTTGTGTGTATTCAGTCGAGCATTAGAAGCTGCTTGGTATTGGTCCAGGTGAAATTGTAGTCGTTGCAGGTCCGAGGGGGAACGGAGAAACACAAAAACATCGTCCGCATATGCCAGAACTTTGAGGGGAGCTGGGGGAGGCACGCGACTATAAGATGAGACATATTGGGGCTGGATGCCTTCAAAGGACTCATCTTGCATGATGCTGCGCAACAGAGGTTCGATTGCAAGATTGAAAAGCACTGGGGACAATGGATCTCCTTGGCGAAGCCCGCGGCGCTGTTGTATTGGAGCTGTTAGGTTACCATTGATGTTGAGTGTGATGTTGGTTGTGAAAAAGAGGGTGACGATTGATGAGACCAGACTAGGTGGAAAGCCAAAATGCAGCAAGGTACGTTCAAGATAAACCGGATGGATACGGTCATAGGCTTTCTCCTGATCTAGTAAAAGCCCCAGTCCAGATGGTGCTGTATTATTGCGTTCTTGTTCCATGATAAGTTTAACCAACATACCATTGTCGGCTATGAATCGGCCAGGCATGAAACCCGCCTGGAACGGGTTGATGAGCTTGTCTGCCGCTTGTATGAGCGCGAATTCAATAGCCGAGTGAAGATCTTAGCATCGGTGTTAATCAAGGCAATCGGACGCCAGTTACGCAGGGAGGTTAAGTCTCCTTTCTTGGGCAACAGCGCGACACACGTTGCGGTCCACGATGGAGGGAAACAGGAGCCTTGAAGGGCGGCATTGTATACCTCACACGCAAGAACCTTGTACTGGGGGTGTTGGAGGACCAAATACCAGAGTTCGTAGGGGAGGCCATCGAGACCAGGGCTGCTTTTCGCTGGGGCACGTTTCGCACCAAGTTGCAGGTCTTCGATACCGAATTCCTCTAGCAGCATGTCACAAGAGGCAGCAGAGACTCGACAAGAGGAAGGAATCGATGCTAAGAGGCTATCATGTGCGCGTAAGTCCATCGGTGCGGCGGAATACAGGTCCTGATAAAAGAAACGAGCAGCTTCTTGAATGTCGGATGGTTCTTGTAGTAATACGTTAGTTTGCGGGTGCTGAATGGACAGAAGAAGGCGTTGAGTCTGTCTGGTAGTAGCAGTGCGTTTCAGGTATCCAGCAGATACTTCCCCTTGCTCTCGCCAACGTAAATTAGACTTGAGCGCCGCATTGTCAACAATTTCTTTTTGGATGAGGTCAAGCTGAAGTTCGACTCGGGCAAGGTGAGCTGCCAATATGCTGGGCGGAGGGTTGGACCGGATAAGCTTGTTTCGTTTCCTTTGTAAGGCTTTATGCTGCTGCTTCCGCCAATCCTCGCGCTGGCGGCCAAAACGCTGCATAAATTTGCGAAGTTCCCCTTTTAGGAAGTCCCATTGTGCTTGGGGTGATCCATGTGAAGACAGTAAGGGGAACACTTGGGAGAGCCAGGAGGCCAGCTCTTGCCGAAATTGTTTGATGTGGGTAAAATTGGGATTGCCGCGCCAGTAACTTTTGCCTCTATTGCAGTCACCTAGGTGAATGTGCGCGGAAAGGAGAGCATGGTCTGACCATTCTAAGGGTAAGCGTTGTACTTCAGCTTTAGACAGTTGCGGACGTAGCTCAGGGGAGGAAAATATGAAATCTAGCGTAGAATAATACAGATCACCTCGGCGGAATGTAGGAAGGGGCAGGCCCTCGCCCAATTCCGTGATACAATCGACGTAGTGGGTGTGAAGCATGGCTTGCCAGGATGCTGGGACACGGTGGCGGTGAGCGGCAAGATGGTAGTTGTAGTTAAAATCCCCAGCGATGATAAGTCGGTCAGGGATGTCAGAGAAAATTGTTGAATTGCTTAAAGCGGTGTAAAAAGTGTGTCGCGCTCGAATAGAGGAAGTCGCGGGTCCATAGACTACGAGAATATAGAAGTCGAGGAAAGATGATGTCGCGGATTGAATTTTGGCATAAATGATGCGGGAAGTGTTGGCGCCAAGATCAATAGGGATGGTTGTGATGATGATGTCGGGCGAGAAGGCTACGAGTCCACAGTGTTGAGTCCACGAGCTGGAGGAGACGAGGAGTTGTTGGTCGAAAGATTGCTGAATTGATGTTGAGCCAGCTCCGGTTTCTTGGAGAGCGAGAAGATGTGGGTGTTGGTGACGCAGATAGCGCATGAGCGACGATCGAGCGCCAGGTTGTTGGTTTTTCGAAGACTGTTACAGTTGAGAGAGCATAATTTCAGAATATTATTGGGTATCATAATATATTGATGGATACGTAATTTTGCGGGTCGTCTCTTCAATGAGATGACGACCCGGTGTTACCACTGAGAGCTTTCGGAGACGGCTTCACGAGGCGGCCGCTCTTTGTGCGGTAGCTTGGTGTTTTTGGATCTGAATCTGAAGTGTCGAAGGCGGGCGACGGACGGAGCGGAGTGTCGCCAGTTGCTGCTCTCTGTGTTGCTACATGGTGCGCAATCGTCCTTCGAGGAGGGCCGCCAGCACTTGTTGGTCGGCTACTTCCAAAGTCGTAGTAATGGAATGCCGGGTGGTAGCAGTCATCATGGGGAATGTTTGGCTCCAAAAGTCTGTGGCTAGTTGTCGGTTCGCAAAGGCGGTTTTCATCGTTTCGTACATGGCGGGTTTGTTGGTGCGTTCTTCGAGAAATTCTTCATAGGCTTCTTGTATGGCCTCCGCGTCCACAGGGGCTGGGGCTGCGCTTTCTTCGTTTTCCAACTCTTCCACGACGGAGTCAGTGTCGGTCTCCATCGCGTCGGAGGATTCGTCGTCGCCACTAGCGTCGTCTCGAGCTGGTTCTGGTCTGGGAAGTCAACTCGTCATGGTTGTCGAGTGTTGTGTGTGTTTCCTCTGGGGTACGATTGTGGTCCAATGGCTCGGTGGTTGGTGAGACGTTTGGTGCTGTCGAGGGACTCGTCGGGTTGTTCGTTTTTCTACGCTTCTTGTTAGTGGCGCCACGAGTTGCACGACCGGAGATCTTTTTGTTGTGACACAGGTACGACAAGTGGCCAATTTCACCGCAAGACCAACAGGCGCGGTGATTGCGGGGATTCTGAGGGCAGTTATTGACATGATGTCCTTCCTTATGGCAGCGAGCGCAGTGTAATGCCATGGCCGCCCAAGTGGCATAAAAGCTGTCTTTGCTGGTGCACCAAGGGATGACATGCGTAATGGGACTAAAAGTCTGTTCGTCTGCGATAGGTTGGCGGTCCAGCACAGCGAAGCCTGTACCCATATAGAGACCAGACTGAGCATCGCGGTAGATGCCGCAATCCAAGACTCGCCCGTAAAGGCTGAGGCTTTGGAGAATTCCGTGAACCAACTTGTCTGGGCTCCTGTAAGGTAGCTGCGAGAGGCGCACTTTGGTGATTTGGGCATCAGATGATAGTGCGCGGCAAGGTTTGATGATGATGTTGTTTGAAAAGCTGATGCCTTCATCGAGGGCGTGCTGAAGGTCTGCGGCGTCTTCAAAAAAAAGTTCAACAAGGACTCTAGGGCCTTCACGAACTGGTTGGCCACCGCAGTTGTTGGGGAAGTGCTGGGCGATACGTTTCAACAACTTGGCTAAGGGCTCAGTACGGCTACTGAGGTCAAAGAAGACACTGTTTGCCGAAGCAGGGGAACCTCCCACTCGGTAGATGTTGGAGGTAATAATGCGAGTAGTTTTTTGTGCGTCTGAATCGTCCGGCGTAAGGCGGGTTTCGCTCTCAATTTTCATCAAAGACTGGCGGTGCCTTTGAACAATGCGAGCATATGAAAGTCGAGGGACTTCAAGCGGTTTTGTTGGTGGGTTGTTGCCTGGGCCATTGCCAGGTGGCGGATCAATATCGGGAAGAGCCATGAGTATAGAACAGTGTGAACTATAGAAGGATAAATGCTAGAGCGGGGAACACAATTATTTAACGCAGGATCCCAGGATCGCACAAGAGACAAGCGGACCACACTTTTTTAAAACACTAAAGAGTTTCGGCCTTTGTTTCTTTCTTTCTTTTCTCTTCCCCCCACCCCTCGTTACTCTTTGTCCTTGCTCCAATTGCCAACCAAAAATAAAGGCGGTTCTTTTCTCGACATACAATCGATCGACGCTATTTATTCTTTATATTTTTTTTTCTTTCGAAACACACGCAATGCCTCCCAACAGCGTCCGATGCCAACCTGCGTCAAACGACAGCGGCCATGCGATCTCGGCTGATGATTCGCTTGATCAGCTTATCGAAGCAACACCCTATATCGACTATGAGGTGTCAAGCGGTGAGCTATTTGCAGGGGCATTTAAAATTGTATCCACAGTGTTCCCTTCGTGGGACGAACACGATATAAAGTTTGTTCAGTGTAAAGACGGTATAACAAATCAGTGTAAGTATTACCAGTTTCTTTTTATTTTTGAAACATGGCAAGATCCCAGAATATATACTTAGATGCATATTATGTAGTGGTTAGAGTGACACATCGACCCACCGATTTCTCGGTCTTGGTACGAGCATTTGGTCGTAAATCGGAAATCCTTATCGATCGCAAACAAGAGATTATCGTAAGTGTTTTGGTTGGGACGAGCGAGTGGTTTACAAAGGATTATTTTCTGGAGGGGGATGATGGTTATCATGTTCTCGGGAGAGCAATGAAGATCGAAAGGAGTTGGATGGATGCCAATTTCCCAGCTATTGATATATAACGGATAGAATCTGGTGACCTTGTCCGCTCGAGGGCTATGCCCACCCTTGTATGCTCGATTCAGAAACGGGTTAATGTATGGATTCATTAATGGTCGTGTGTCCACTGTAGAGGAACTGGGTCAACCAAAGACGGCTGCGTGGATTGCGAATAAGGCCGCAAAGTGGCACAAGGTCTTGTTGCCACAGGATCAAACGACGTCGGGAAAGCCGGCAGCACCAAAACAAACATTGTGGAGTACCATGCGACGTTGGTTAGCTGATGGTAACTAACTGCAATCCCATAGGGGATACCAAAAGCTGGATTGTTAGATTAACAATCAATACTTTTGCTTTGTCCTTTTTTTTTTTAGTGCCAACGCAATACGATGATCCCGAACAGCAAAAGAAATTCAATGCTCGATTTGACGTTCAAAAGCTCTCTGAAGAGGTATAGAGTAACACAAGCTTCTCTCCATCTTTTCGGACACGTGAGGGTATGAGATAGAAAACGGTTATCACTTACCCCTTATGTTTTATGTAGTTTGAGAATCTTGCAAAGGTACTTGAAACACTCGATTCACCAGTCGTATTTTCCCATAATGACTTGTTATATGGCAACGTTATCTATGATGATGAGAAAGGTACGTGGAAATTGGGGATATACGAGAAATGTGACTCCACGTGGGGACCAGAAGTATCACACTGACACGTGTGTTCTGCGTAATGTAGAGGAAGCATCGTTTATCGACTACGAGTATGGCGGATATGCATTTAGAGGATTCGATATCGGCAACCATTTCAACGAGTTTGCTGGGTTCGAGTGTGACTATTCGCGGTATCCAGACAAGCCGTTCCAAATGCAATGGTTTGAGTGGTACCTGACTGAATTCAATGGAGGTAAGTAACCGCTTGCTATCTTGATAGGAGTGCCTTTGAACTAACGAGGATCATTGATAGTGGCGCCAACACACGAAGAGTTGGAGCATCTGTATAAAGAAGTGGAAGGATTTTCATTGGCATCTCACTATTATTGGGGTCTCTGGGCACTCATTCAGGCAAAGATCTCGACGATCGAATTTGATTACATGAGCTATGCCGCGTTGCGCTTTGATGAATACGAGCGCCGCAAACGTACTGTATTCCCCTCCTCATTGTAATATCATTCTTATACACACCCCATTTCTCTTATTATATATACACACACACACACATATATATAATTGCAGTATCTATCTTATATATACATTGTTCTCTGCTTACTTGAGACATCTTTGATCCTTTTTCCTTCTTTATATTATCCCATCCATCCATCAATTATCATTACCACCACGACACCTGTTAAAAACCCATGCAAAGAACCTGAGTGAAAAGAGCACAAGAACAGTGTATTCTTTGTTTTGAGTTATTGGTATTTTATCAAGGAAAATTGAAGAATCACAAAAAGTAAATTAAAAGAGAAACAAACTGATAAAACAGCAGAAAAAAAAAGATTGCGAGGGGATTGGGAGATGTTGTATGCGTGCTTTGAAATGCATGTGGACTGTTTATAGGAATGTGATTAAGAGAGGAGGAGTGCACAGAGAGCGAAAGTGATTTACATGCCCTTAATGTATTCAGGGTGGGCCTGGAAGACAGCATTGATGATGGAAATGATGTTCTCCAGAGCAGCCAACCAAGTCTTCATCAATTCCAAAGCAGCATCCGTCAAGACGCCGATCTTTTCGTAAAAGTCCTTGCGGTAAGGGCAGGCCTTCATGGCAAGCTAGAAAAGACATGATCAGCGTAAGAAGTACTTTAACATCCTCCGCGCCACAACGACCCTTCTGTTCTGTTTCACTCTAACGAGTTCTTTGATGCACTCCTAATTCCCTCCCCCCACCCCTTGTCCTAACTTACGCCAAAAACGGGTCGAACCACAAAGCTGTGATGCTTCTTCAAGGTGTTCTCGTATGACTTGGTGAACGAGATATTGAGTTCCTCGGCAGAATTGTCAATGCTGCGGCGGAGGGCTTGAGCAGTGAAATCAAGACCACTTTAGAGATATATAGAGTCAGCATTACATGTATCTTTTCGATAATGGACCCCACCATCTTGCACTTTACCGAGTCAGCCACAAGAGACCTTCGGTGGCAACACGCTTCTTTTCAGGGGCCTCTGTTTCCATGAGACCCTGCAACGTAGCGTTGGCAGTAGGGTTGCTCAACAACTTGTCACGGATTTTCTAAGAGAAATAAAAATCAATGTCAGTCCCACACACATACTCTCTCTGTCTCTCGCCCTCTTGCCAGATACTTTTCTTTTTTTTTTTGTACCTTAATGTTACCGTTCATGTCATTCTGAACAACCGAGAAAGCAGATGAGCCGAGCTTGTCTAGAAATAAAACAAGATGTCATCATGAGGATGGATTAGCTCATCTACTAAAGAAAAAGCCGTAAGTCCTGCATCCCCCTTTTCTTTCGTGCTTTACCAAACAAGTTGACAACGCCTTCGGTAGCTTCGAGGAACTGAGTAGTGTCAATGCCATTGGCAATGTCAACGTCAGTGTAGGAACGCTTGATGGTTTCAAAGTAGGTGGTGGCAGCCATGATGAAGTATGAAAACAAAAAAAAGTAACGAGCTGAAGGGGGGGGGCGAGGCCCAGTTGCTTTCGCGTTCTTTTATATATAGAGACGGGTAGGATTTTGAGGAGCCGACGACATAGGTCGTTTGTGGGCAGCACCCAATGAAAAATAACCCGCAAAGAGCTAAATAACTACTTTCCCCCCCCCCCATTAACGTCAAATGTGTGCAATAAGTTTGTGTAAATAGATACGTCTATTTTTCCTTTGACGGCTGTTTTGACACCTGTTTAGTACACTCCGCACTTTATATGCTCTGCTACTTTATAAGAGGGTTGATATACTTACCGGTAAGCATGGAGAGAAGTCTCGCCTTTCACATATGGATTCATTTGCTGTCCAAAGCAATCCATCCATCAGAGTGAACTTGTATTCACGGATGATAGGGATATGTCAATAGATGAAGGTGGGGAACAATGCAGCCCTGGCTGTCGGGTGTCACACACAGGCCCTTACAAAGTTAGCAGCCTCGTGTAAGCTCAATGGAACATGCGTAATATGATGATGATGGGGCTCGGACACTACTAGTAGGCGTTTTGTTTGTCAAAGGAAAACCAGAAATTTACATGCTCATCCATTGGGCTGCAGTGTCAAGACATAATATATCCGGACGAACATTCATGCGTGGGGGTAGCACCACTCTCTTTTCTCTTTTCTACTTTTTCTTCTTTTACACTCATATATTACTATACTCTACATACACCTACATCACATACACAATGAACTACATAGAATCAGCAACATCTACTATACAACTATACACATACTACGACACATCGTTCTGGATCGGCATTGGCATCTCACTCATTACCAACCTTATACAATCGTTTGCCATGGCCTTTCAACGGAAATCACATATCTTAAACGACCAGATATACCCACGAGAACGACGCAAGCATGCGTTCAAAAGGCCGTTGTGGGTAGTTAGCTTTGGCACCTATCTCACGGCAAACATCATTGGTTCTGTGTTTTCGATCGGGTATTTACCAGTCGTCATACTGGCACCCATCGGGGCCATGAACCTCGTATTCAACGCCATTGCAGCACGACTTGTACTGGGTGATCCGTTCACGCGACTCAGCCTATGGGGTAAATGATCATAGCTACCCTTTTGTGTTTCACATTGTCTGCTCTTTCCAACTTGGCACCACGATGGTTTTTTTTCCTGAGATCATGACACATTAAATGAATGCTTGTGTGTGTGTGTGTGTGATCATAGGAACACTGCTGATCAGTATCGGTGCACTGCTGGTTGGCATGTTTGGAGCCATCCAGGAACCCAACCATAGCCTGGAAGATTTGATCGAGCTATACAGAAAGCCAGCATTCATTGTCTATTTTAGCATCCTCGAGGCATTCATTCTGATCACCATGATCTCGACACACTATCTCGAGTATCGGTACAACAAGATCGAGCAAGAGCAGGAAGAAATGGCTCCTGCTGATCGAAAACTCCTTGGACAATGGGTTAATATGGCCGATTTGAAAACATATATTGGAATAAGGTAAAGTCTTTTTTTTTTCTCTTTCTCTTTTTCAATTTCTTTTGTTCATTATAAAGAACTTAAATTTTGTTGATCTTGGCATTCTATGCCGTGATATCAGTTTTTGTGTGTCTCTCCCTTCAAGTCTTTGTGTGTGTGTGTGTGTGTGTGTAGAGAGAAGTCTCTTTGTCATGTAATGTGATGTGCCTTACGTGCGTGTATCCTCATAGGTGTACAAAAGAATATACTCCTTAATAATGGGCCTTGCTGTTGATGCAAAACACGTGTTCTCCTTTATTGTTATCAACCATCATACACGTTTTTTTTTTCTTATATGTTATAAAGCTACGGCGTCTTGGGAGGCAACATTAGCAGCCAAAGTCTGCTGTTTGCCAAAAGCGGCCTCGAGCTATTTATCCTGACCATCATCTATGGCCAAGACCAGTTACACCATGTCTGGACATGGTTACTCGTCGTCATGACTGTTCTGACAGCCATCCTCCAGGTAAATCTTTATTGTGTATACAAAGTCCAATTACTCATCTTTTTCCATAACAGTTATATTACCTCAACAAAGGACTGCGACTATGTGACACGGTTATCCTGATCCCACTCTCCTTTTGCGCTTTCAATGTTTCCTGCCTGTTCAACGGCCTTGTTTATTACGATCAGTGGGATCGTCTTCAATGGTGGCAACTGCTGTGCGTCATGGTGGGTGTTGCCATTACGATTGGTGGCGTTATCTGCTTGTCCTGGAGACGCGGTGGTTCTGCGGGTACTACACAAGAAGAAACCGTGGTGGCCAGCAGTGAAGGTTACGCAGTCCTGAGCCAGGACGACAACGACAACGTAGGAGAGGAGGACCAGGATAAAACAAGACAGCAGGAACAGCGAAACGAAGCGAATGAAACGACACCATTTTTGTCACAGCAGCAGGCTCAATACAACTCCGCATCGTAGACGCTCGTAGTAGAAAAGAGTTTTTTTATAAGTAGCTGCAACCAATTAGAAAATCCCAGTTCTTTCGCTCTTCTTTTATTTTTTCTTTCGTGACATTTACAAGTGACAATTAAAAGGAGGGAGCAAAAAAATAAAAGGATTCCATCTCGACCTACACACACACACACATACACACATACACACAAAACGTAAATAACCATTCCTTATTGCTTTTTCTTTTTTTGCTTGCTTGCTGAAAAAGCTAACACGTCCTCCTCTCGTACAACTCTTTGTTTTGATTGTTTTCTCACAAACTGCCAGAATTAAATGACTTCACACGGATCACGCTCCATGACAGGTGGATCATCAGAACCATCTGATTTGAAAAAGCTCAAGTCGAAATACTCCTCACAGCTTTCTACCCTCAGGGAGCTATTCACAGAATGGACAGACGATGATCTTTTGTTTGCCATTCAAGAGGCCGACGGGGATCTCGAAGTCGCAGTAGACCGAATCAGTGAAGGTAACGAAAGAAGAAAACCTTTTGTTCTATAGTTCTTTTGTTTCTTGGCTTTTTTTAACACCTTTTTTCAAAACACACGCAGGCCATGTCTTTCAATGGGGTGAAGTGAAAAGCAAAAAGTCAAAAAAGGAAGCAGCAGCACAAAAGGCCAAAGCCGCGGCAGCCACCAATCCTTCACCACCAGCAGCAGCAGCAGCAGCACAACAAACATATTCACACCGTTCGGAACGGCCACAGTCGTCATACAGAGGCAATAATGATCGATCTAGAAGAGGTATGTAACGACAAGAAAAATAGTAGTGTTGTCTATTTTTACTACCTATTTTTCTTCTGGCTTTATATCTGAGCTGACGCGTTCTTTTTATTCTCTCGCCTTCTACACACTCCTTGTCCACTCTTTTTTTTTTTTTTTTTTGGGGGAAAATAATCAGGCGGTCGTGGTGGACACGGTTCGCGAGGCCCAAGACAAGCAAACAACCATGCGGCATCGACAGCACCTGCTGCTGCCACCTGGGGAACGGCCCCTCCGACAAAGTCATCGTTCCAGCCCGATGGTGACTCGTGGGCCGCAATCGCCTCTAGCAAAACGAATGCAACCGCCGATGACAGCTGGGTTGGCGGCAGTGGTCAACAAGCAGACACCGCAAACGGCAGCGGCAGTGGATGGGATGCTTCCTCGAATACACCTGGAGGCTGTGATGATACTAACAACAATGCTACAACTACCGCTACCACTACGACATCTACTACGACAGCAGCACCCGAAGCAGAATCAGAAAACAAAGCATCTACTACTACGTCATCTGAACCGAAAACATGGGCTAGCCTACTCAAGTAAGTAATTTACTCGTTTTCATTGTTCATCGTAAGAGAGAGAGAGAGTTAGAGTTAGAGAGACTGCCGGATTTTTATATTGTCGTGGGAGGGTCTATGATATCGCGTCGCGTATTAACAGAACATTTAACAATGAACCAATAAAACAGGTCACAACCCAAGCCTGAACCTGAACCGCAATCAAAGAAAGAACCTGAAAGCGCTAGTGGATGGGATGTTCCTACAACAACGAATGATTCGTGGAACAGCAACGACAATGAACCTGTCCAGGACTTTAATGATGAGCCAAAGAAGGAAGCGTCGTGGGATGAACCAGCAGCAGCAGCAACAAGTGATGAATGGAACGCGCCTTCTACCACTACCACCGATGGCTGGGGAGCACCTACCGAAGAGACATCCGCTACTACTACGACTACTACCGAAAAGGAACCTGAAACCACCACCACTACTACTACTACTCCTATTACCACAGAAACACACGAAGAAAAACCCGCCGAAATTGAACCTGCCAACGAACAGCAACAACAACAATTGCCACAAGAAGAAGTACCCGTTACCCGAAAGCAATCCACCAATAGCCGTCGTTTGAAGCAAGATGCTCCTGTCGTCTTGCCCAACAACAGTGCCTCATTGAGCTCCATTGGTGTTAAATTTGGCAGCTTGAATCTCGATGACAACTCTACTGAGACCGTTGACATTCAAAAGACCACTTTGCAATCAGAGCCCAGCCGGTAAGCCTATAGTGACAACGCGTTATATAGTTGTGTGGTGTTGGTCATGGGGCAAAAAAAGAGAAGAGGAAGGTTGTTGGAACAATTCGAACGTAGGATGAGTGAGTGAGCAGTGAAGAACAAAGAGAAAATTGGGTTGGTGATATTCGCTAAATCGATTTTGGTGGGGGGGGGGGGTTCTAGGGACCAAGAAGAAGCTATTGTCGAGAATCAATATGGTGCTGCCGATGCTTTTGGAAGCGCACCTTTGAAGCAACAACAACAAGCTGTAGAGCAGCAGCAACAACAGCAGCAGCCACAGCAGGAGACCCTTCCTCAACAGACACAGCCACAACAACAGGCACACCTTCAGCAGCAGCAGCAGCAAGCCCATCAGGCTCACCAACAGCAGCAGCAGCTCTTTGGCGTCGACCAGCTTCCTTCGGGCTACAGTTCTTATCTGCCCAACCAGCCACCAGCCAACTTGTCTGGTTTTGGTGTCAGCCCCATGGGCTCGCTTCCTGAATACGGTGTCTATGGCACTGAGGCACACCGTGCCGCTGCTGCTATGGTAAGTTTTGCATAATAGTAGCAAATGCCTGTGCTTGTACTAACGCATCTATTGTCATTGTTTTTCAATGTAGGGCTACTATGATCCCTCTGCTTACAGCCAATCTCCCTCAGTCACCTCTGCTGGCACGTACCAGGGCCGTGACAAACACAACCAAGATGGCGTGGGCTCGATGCCTCAGCACTCGGGTGCGCAGACCCCGGGCGCTGCTCAGCAAATGTACCCAGCCAATATGCCTTACTACCCATACTACTACATGCCCAACCAGTTTGGCTACCAGCAATCCTATGGCCAACCGTTTTTGAACAAGAACATGTACCCAAACATGTACCAGCATTCCGTGGGTAAGCCCAGCACTGGGTCCGCTGCTTCGCCCTATGGTGCTGCCTCTGGCTCGCCATACTCGCAGCAAACCATGTATGGCCAGTCCGTCACTGGCGGTGCTGCTGCAGCAGCAGCAGGAGCAGGAGCAGGTAGCGGTGTAGTAGGCTATGACGACATGTCGGGTCTCCAGCACCATTTGGGTGGCATGAGTCTCCATGACTATCAAAAGCCGTACCAACAACAGTTGCCCGGATTCCTCGGCAGTACCGGTGCGGGTGGTCAACAGCCTCAACAGGCGATGCAGCAGCAGCAGCAACAGCAGGCAGTACCTAGCCAGCAACAGTCGAACAAGAACGAAGTGGCAGGCGGTCCATTGAACAAGTCGGCCACCAACGCTGCCGGTGGAAGCAACGGTCATCACCTCCACCAGCAGCAACAGCAGCAACAGCAGCAGCATCAACAGCAGCAGCAGCAGCAGAGCTATCAGCAGGCAATGAACCCTGGCAATTACTTTGGTCATTCGGGCTTCCCTTACCAGCAGCAGTACCCGCAGCAGCACTTTGCTCACTTCCAGCAACAACAGCCTGGCCAACAGCAGCAGCAACAACAACAACAGCAAGCACCTTCTGCTCAGCAACCATCTCCCATGGGTCGCCAGCAGCCTTACTGGAGCCAGTAAAAGGAACAAAAAAAACAATCTCCAAAAGTAAAAAAGATAGGAAAGGGACACAATTTGCTTTTTTTTTTTTCTCTCTCTCTCCCATCGCATCCCCTCCACCGTTCATCCGATCCAACCATGCACAAACACACACATACACACCCTGCCTTCCCCACACATAATCTGTATTTAATTTTTTTTTTCTCTTTTGTCATGACCTGTTTCTTTTTTTCTCCAGCCACCTTTGCTTTTCTCTCTCACTCTCTCTCTCCCTTCGCTCGCTGTTTTTCTCCCTTTAAAAAAGAACGCATCCTCTCGCTTACCCTCCATATTTCGTAGTAGTAGTAGTATGGAGCTTGATGGAACAAAAAATATATATTTTGGCTTCTTGGAAGTTGTCACTTGTATAAAAGTAAAGGGCTTAATTGGGTAAAGGGGATATACAAATACCACAGGCTTTTGGCAAATTATTCGTGGTTACGAAACTGTTCTGATAATGGTAACATGTGCGTTATTTCGTAATCATGAAGCCTTGGAGAGGGGGATCACAGAAGCAAACCATTTACAAGATCGTCATACCGGTACCTGCTCGCTCGCCATAGGCCTTTCAATATCTACCTCAGGTTGCCTCTGTTTTTTGTTGGTTTATAAAAGACTAGAATTTTATTCTTGGTTTCGTAGCAATATACTTTAGGTGAGAGAGAGTGTGTGTATAAATGTAATAAGGGTAGAACTTTTTGTTAGGAAAAGGCAAAATGGGAAAAAAGGGTAGAGGGAGGATGAGAGGGTCTCTTTCTTTTGATCAGAACCCAATTGAAAAGTGTGTATTTAACTATTTACAATACGATGCGTACGGATTTCTTTGGTTTCTTTTCATCCGCTGTATGGGAGGTTGGGGAGGAGGATGATGATGTTGTTGTGGTTGTATATATATCTTGGCATTTACAGGTTGTTCCCGGTTGTTCAGGAGATTGATTACTATGTGCAGTGTTATTGTTGTGGTTGTTGATGGTATTGTTATCCTTCATGTCGCCGTTGTCATTGTCCTTGATATTTTCTTCAAATTGACATGCGCAGTATTCACGATCTTGCTCCAGCATGCTGTCCAGCACCTTGTGATCTTCAATAGACGTGTGACCCGCGTCAATCACTGTATCGCTGTCGCTGCTGATCTCCCTATCATCGTCACCATTGTGCTGATGATGATGATGATGATGATGGTCGTCGTCTTCAATATCGTGGGCAAACACAGCACCGTCAAAGACACTGTCATCGTCATCGTCGTCGTCACTGTCATCATCCTCTTCGTCTTCTTCATCTTCGTCAAGCCATTGAGCAAAGGATTTCGTGACACCGCGCAGTCGACATGCAACATGACCCTCCTCATCTTCAACGACTACGACCGAGTGCCACCAACGGGTGATTGCTTCGCCATCCACAATGTCATACTTGTATAGCATGATCAACAGTCTGTGAAAGTTATCAACGATGGCAGCAGCGCCACTGGGTTGTTCTTGCTTGGTGTCCAAAATCCGTTCGGCTTCATTCAAAAACTGGCACTGGTCATCCTCGTCATGGACATGTTTTTCCAGAATGGCTTTCCAAAAGTTCAAAAATCCTTCAGTGACAGCATGGGTCAGCGACTTGACTGCGCTATCGTTACTGGATGACACGACATTGTTGACCCAGACAACAAAGGAGGTGGCAAGCATCCGCAAGACGACGGCAGGCGAAGGATCGTATTTCAGCATGAGATCATCGAGTTCCAGATTGGCTCGTGCGGAGGTGAGTTTGGATAGGATGGCTTGGTGTAAATAGGATGTGGCTAATTGTTCGAATTTCTCGTCGTCGGTCGTTGTTGTTTTCGGATATGGCCCAGAGGATCTATATCCATTGTGGTCATGTTCTACAGTGTTGTTGTCGTCGTCGTCGTCGTCAAAGTGCTCAAACGCTTCGTCATCGTCCTCGTCGTCTTCACTCGAATCGCCTCGCTGTCTATCCAATGTTGCAAGTGGATCCGGCGTGGCTGACTCGCCCATGACAGGTTGGCAAAACAACGCGTCGTCGTCGTCGTCATCAAAATCAAAACATCCCCAACGTGAAAATGAACTTGATCTGGACAAGGCGGGGGTGGTCACGTTGTTGTTGTTGCAGGCATCGACAGTGGGAGAGGATGCTGCTTCTAATACCGCAATCCGTTCTTTCAAGTCTGCAATCTCACTGTCCTTGTCCATGACATCGAGCTCTAGTTCGACTTGTCTATCGGAAGACTCCGTATAGTATTTTTGGTGGCATCGTTCGGATATTTGACGGGATTCTCGTTCAAAGCGTAAGTCTTGCTTGATGGTGTCCACCATTTGGCATAAGCCGTCGTTCTCGGCTCGTAAGCGGCGGATTTCTCGTAAAAGCAAGTGGTAGGCCCGTCGTTTGCTGCCATTGCTAATTCTGCTGCTGTTATTGCTGCTCTGGCTGTGGTGGCTACCAATGTTGTTCTTTAAATCGTGGTGGTGGTGGTGATGATGTTTGTGCTGCGGCGAGCAAGAACACGTTTCGGAATCAGTAGTGGTGGTTGTAGTATTGGTGGTAAATGAGTCTAGCGATGAGGAAGTGTTGCTGGCACTGTCCTCCATGAGGGTCGTGGGTTCGTAGAGCATCTTGATTAACTCGTGCGGTGCAAGTCGTTTTTGTCTTGTCCCCCCAAAGAGAGCAAGGTGCTGCGGTTGTGGGTAATACGGTTGCCAAGGAAAACTTGCCATTGCTGTTGTTTCTGTGGATGAATAATATCGATAAAAGTAATGACGTTGATAGGAGTGTTGTAACAGCTAATGTTCATTGGGGGAATTGGTCTGTTGTTGTTGTTGTTGTTGCTGTTGTTGAAGTGTAGAGGAATAAAAGAAGAAAAATTCTTTGTGGGAAAGGAAGAGGAGTTGGGTGGCAAAATAGATGGGTTGCAGTAGTAAAAAATAAATTTCTTACAAGTAAAAAGAAAAGCTCATATTATTAGTAAGAAAAAATGGAGGACGAGAAGGCAAAGGAGCAGATAGTATGTAGGGTCCTTTCCACTATTGAACTCCCTTTCTTTCTCCCCCGTCTCACACTCAACGCCGTTTCAAAAGCTATGAGTCAGAATTCAAGTGACGTCGTTATGTGTTTTTCTCTCTCTGTCTTCGAGCGAATGGACCCCTCCCGTCTCTGCAATTGGTCGAGGACGTCCCTCCTTGTTCCGATCCATCCCCCCACCCACCCAAATCCTGTTAAAATGGAGCAATCGACTCATACGGGAAAGCAGGGGGATGGACAAGGCCAAGATGATCATTCATATTACCACTTTCTCCCCCTTTTCCACTTTTGCACATTTTCCAAAAGCAAAGAATGACAAATCAGCCTGATTTCTATCAATCAATCACACGACTATTTTTATCTTTTTTTTCTTTATACCGGCTCGAGCTTTAATAGAAAGAAAGAAAAGAAAAAAAGCCGTTCCAAGCCGGATGAATTGAAACAAATGAGGTAGCGCCTTTTTGTGTGTTTTCTCGGCAAATCATGTGATTCGTCTCGCCACATTCAAAGAACACGGATAACTAATACATCCTACCTAGAGCAAGTGCTATTGGTCAGCAACCACCAAAAGAAGATTACTCCTTTGGTTGTTATGCATTATGTGCATGATATCAACTTGCTTTGTTTGCAAATCGCTCCCTTCTATTATATAACTAGTATTGTCTGTGTGAACTGTGAAGTAACCCTTGAAGATTGATGTCACTTTTACCTAGCAAAAGGGACTTTTCATATTACTTGGGCGATCGTCTTCTTGATGCCATAATTGCGTTGCTCCTCCACAGATTCTCGAATTAACGCATTAAGCCTTCTTTGATGATAGTGTCAACGACATAGTGACAGTGGCTGTTGGTCTCATGATACACATCCTCATGAGTGACACCACTTGTGGAATCAACATTCGACCACATCGATCGATGGCATACTATCGCTTGCTGTTGTTGAGTAGTGGTCGTAGTGACCCAACCAATGGTAATTTTATATGATAAGTTGTCGTGCGTTATTAGTAGTTACTACATTACTAGTGTAAAGGAATGTTAATACATCAGACCATCTTATACACGTTAGTTGCTGAACGTTGTACATACTATATTTCATTAAAAAAAAGATTTATGTTTGTTACAAGATTCTAGTAGTAGGCCATAGATTTTTTTGTTTTGAGAGGAAAACGATTGTTCCATAAAGTTCTGAGCAGGAAAATCTCAATTACTTGTGTCACTACGGTAACCATAATGCACGAGCCTTTTACACTATTAATCACGAAAATTAAAAGGCCGTGCCGCAATGCATCAAAAGCCAAGTATAGAAAATAGGTCGAGCGACCATGCATGGTATGTAGTTATTCACTGAATCTCGTTTCAATTCAAAGCTTAGCAGTCCATTGTACGATGAGTATGAGAGAATGCAAACATGTGCATCTTTTGTTGAGAACTACAATTCGCAGAGTCTAACTTTTTGTATCATGTACACCTGGTTGAAGAGTGGACGTCTATTTTCTCCCAAATCAAAAGGAAAAGTTGCAGCTATGAATGAACCGTGAGAAGTCTCTATATAGTATTGCGCTTTACACAACAAAAAAAAGAATTGTACATGCGTACAGCAATGCATTTCATGAGTCATGTTTACTCAGCACTCGAAGACATGAAAAAATCTCTTCCAATCCGGGCATCTTTATGCTTTACGAATATAATTCAGTCGAAGAAGGAGATAGTTTGTTACATAATAGAAATAACACTGGCTGTGATGCGTGTTTTATGTCAGTGCTATAATATACATCTTCCACCGATTATCCTGCTGTATGGTGGAGGTACAACATGAAAAGCATACAGGAGTAATTTTGATTTAGATGTGCCATAAAGAGATTGTTGGGATGTAAACGGAGTATATGGTGGGAGGCAGATGTATTGCAGCCGCGGGGCTCATATACAACTTTGAGTACTACTTACGGTAAAGCTCATCGCGCTTCGCTAGTAAACGATCAAGTACAATGCGATGCATGAAAACAATTGTTACTGTTATATGCTGAAATTTAGTATGAAAGCGGCACACATTGAAAATGATGAAGAAAGCTTGTTATATGCTTACGGAGTGTAATGGGAAGGAAGGATAGTAGCAAAAATTTAAACCTTGATCTATCATGCGATCGAAGAACTACGGGAAACGCAAAAGGTATTTTTCTTTTGTACATAACATTTAGAATGCAGTGTGATATTTGCGCTGATCCGAAATGGCGAGGTATGATATGTATGGCGAAGTTGTCTAAGAGAAAATGAATGCAGGCCGTCAATGGGTCGTGCGATGTACAGGTTACTTAATGCTGACTGTAACAGTACCACCTTATTCTGTACCGGTTTCTTCCTTAATATACTGTTAGTACACACGTTTGAATACAAGTTTATCTCCCAAATGAGTGCTCCCAGAATCACCTTGATAGCTGCTGCAGAAATGATGCTCCGGAATCATGTACTAATTGATCCTTGAACCCAATGGCCACCTCATATAATATGCGAGCCTCGTCCGACGTTGTCGCGAAAAATAGGGATGTCAATACTATGCCCTTTTGGCTTTTGGTCAAATGTCGACCTTGTCGAACAGCGTATGGCTTTGGATACAAATTAACCTGCAATGTGTTATCGCTATGCTTTAATAGGCGCATTATTACCGGTGAGTGCTCGTCCGCACCTTATTAAAAGCATGTAGCAGCTGCTCCGCCTGTTTTCCGTCTAGTTGATCGGGCCAATGCGAGGCTAAAAAAACATATATTCACAAAGAAACCAATAAATATAATATGACGGGTGGACTCATTACTGTACCTCGTTCAATTTCTTTCTAACTTGCTTCTTCTTCTTCTTCTTCTTCTGTCGTCTGCTATTGTCTACGTCCTGGATAAAATCGAATACGTTTCCTTCTACGTTTCATTAAATCAAAAAAGAACAATGTGCGGTACTCGAGTGAAAATAGTATGCTAAGGAACATGTATTTGATATAAAAAGAAGGTGAAGGTAGAAGCTGTTTGGAGAAAATGGATCGATAATAAGTGTATATGCGGTGGTGCCAGCCCTGGCTTATATGCATATTAATGGAGAAGCAATATGGTTTGCTTGACGAGGATAGTTGTTGCTCCCGACTGTGCATTGAAGCAGTAATAATGGGCTCTTTTGTTGGTTATCCGTTGTTTATAAATTTGCCAGAAGAAGCAGGGAGATTTTAACGAGTGAGTTACCATATGTACAGGCCTTCTTTCCCCTTTGTTATTTTGACATACAGTAACTCATTACAAAATGGGGATACGACTTATATACACACGTATGCATACTGTACTGATCATGGTTGCTTTTGATTTTTAAGAATTCACGTGCCAAAAGAGTATATGTTCAAACACACGTGCTGGTGGACTTCCAAGATTGATATATCACAAACAGACTAGCATAATATTGCTGTTTGCTTAGTTCTCTTTTCCTTGCTGTTTTATTTTTGGTTCGGCCCCCTTCACAAAATCCCAACAAGCACCATGACCAACAACAATGCAATATCCATACTGATGATAGCAACGACACTGACGGCAGTGTTTATTACTATGGCTACTGCCGACAAAGATAGTAGCAACAGCAACCACAACCTCGCCGATGATGCCCTGGATTCGGTCGTGTCACTCTTGTTATCCACCTTTTCGTCTGTGCGCAGCTTGTTTTCTAAGGGCACCTATCTTGCACTCTCACCAGCCCGCTTGACCTACAAGAGTATGACCTGGCTGATTCACCAAAGCATTGTCGGCATGACCCACTTGACATCGTACCCTGTCGTGTCATTCCTACTTGCTGCCATTGCCTGTGGCGTAATCATTGGCGGTTGTGCTGGATTCGCGGTGGAAGCTTTTTCTTCTATGCTCCTGTCGGCAACTTGGGGAAAACCTCAACTCGCTACCACCACAACATGCGATACTGACGACGACAAAGAACAAGAAGAACAACAAGTAGAAGAAGAAGAAATCGTGGTGACCGAGTTGGGTGCTCGACGACGGCAACGACAGCAGCAGCAGCAGCAGCAACGGCTTATTTACAAGAACAAGAATTACCGAGTCGACAATGACAGCGAAGAAGACGACAACAACTATTCTGATATTAACAACGACAATGGCAACGACGACGACGAAAAGACAGACCTTATGCATGATATATTAAAGCGTCATTTGGCCGCTGTATCTCACGAACAGCAACAGCAAGGCAACTTGAGGCGGCGAATGGCTGCTGCTTCTTAAAAAACTTTCATGTGCAATTGATAAACTCGCTCTCTCGCAAATTGCTGTGCACGAGCCACACATCGCGCCTTCAGGAATGCCACCAATAGCACCAACACATACATGCATGAAAACCTTACTCATATTATACTTTGATGCAATATACCTTTATAATCACATATTATTTATACATTGTAGCAGTATGGCCTGGTATTCATACATAGTTAATACTGCACAAACACGTTGTCTCCTCCTCTATGTACATCCTCGTCAACCTTTTACCAATTTATATTTCGCCATTCTCCCAATTTTGAAAATTCAGACTTAGCAGTATATATTTACAAACGAAAGAAACGAGGATAGTAACTGAAAAATGAGAAACTCTGGTATTGTGTGGGTGATTGATTTCCGTAAAGGAAATAGTAGACGGGAAAAGCCGGGGGTGATACTAGCGATAGTAGTAGCTGTAGTAAAAATAAAGGAGGTGGCTATGATGAAAGTGAGTGAGCGAGTGAAAGAGAAGGGCACATAGTAGGAAAGAAAGATAGGAAGAAAGAAACAGACAGGAAGATAGGTGACAATATTGTGGTGTGTAATGTGTGTATATGATTGTGGGTAGTAATAGTAGTAATAGTGTATATATATATATATGAGATGATGATATGGCAATGATGATGAATGAATGAATAATGCATACATTACACATCCACGAAATAACCTTTTCCTCTGTTTGTAGCTCAATCGATCAAAAGAGGTTCTGATGATAGGCACACATGAAATGATAGACCAATCCCACTAGACTTGCAAGCAACAAGATCCGAAACAGTCTCCAGATATATTCAGAGATCAGCCATCGACGATTATTATTACTGCTTGCAATGGCTGCCGTAAAACGATTGGTAGCACTACCGCCAAGGTGATGGGTATCGCTGCCATTGTTGGTAATGGTGGTGGTCGTAGTATTCCCATCCTCGTCGACCTCGTATTCAGCAGGCTGCAACACGGCATCTGGCGGCTCCTTCAACAAGCTCGGCGCAAAGACGTTTTGTTTCGATCGTCTCCTCCGTTGCTCCTCTTCTTCTTCGTGGGATTCAGCCAACTTTTCAATCACATCCTGGCTACGCAATTGTTCAGAGATGACTTCGGCCACAAGCGGTGCTCCCGTTTTGGCAATCAATGCTTCCACCACTTCATAAATCACACCTTTTCGTTCGTCTTCCAAAGTCGCTTCTTCCAATGCGGCCTGCGCAAGTTCAATAAATCGATCCTTGTTGCCATCCCCGAAATCATCGCGATCACTGTTTTCGTGTAAGCTTTCATGCGGTCGGTAGGGTCGACGTCGTTCAAGTACCATTGCAAAACTTTCCGATGCAGGCGCTTCTTCAAAATAATCGTCGTCGTCGTCTTTGTCGAGGTCGTAAAAATACTCGGGTCGATGTTGAAGTGAAAGCTGTTCCTGTTGCTGTTCTTGCTGTCCTTGGTTTTTTCGTGACTTGGCGAGAGCTGGTTGGGCGGCAATCATGTTGAATGATTTGTGGTTTTTTTCTTTTTTTTTATTTCAATTTCCTTTTTTCAAGGAGAATTTTGAAAAAAAACAAGTAATCAGAAGAATATTGGAAAATGAAGAGTGAAAGAGAAAAGAAAGAGGAAAGAAAAAGAGAAATAGAAGGTTATATCGCTTCCCCGGATTCTGTTGAGGAAAGGAGGAGGCGGTACTAAAAGAGAGAGGTTTTCAGGCAACAGCACGCACACCCGGACTAACGAATAAAAAACTCTTTTGTAAATATATTTATTTGGAACCACACACGCTTTTCGTGGGGACCACACACGCGCACACTCTTGTTGTTGCAGCGGCTTTGTTATTCACTCGAAAACGAAAATAAGATAGGTTCGTTTCCGATCTTGACAGCAATCCAAAAGCTGCAGATAGCATTTTAAACACTAAGCATGATACACAATCAAGAATCACAATATCATACATCGGCGACGACACAAAGAGGAGAAGACTTAAGAACACTCTGTAGATCAAGATAACCGATCACTGCTTTATGGATGTCTATGTCAATGGAGTAGCTGCTAGTACTTTGTATGATTTAGTGTTGCTGCGGTGGAGGATAGGAGAGAATGATCAACCGGCTTGTTAGTTTATTAATAAGTCTTTATAAACCACTCTTCAAGACGCACGTCACGTATTAAATTCGAGATAATATGTTCTCTTCTGTTGTCCAACATTGAGGAATGAGGGACACCAACGCTCAATATTCGCGGGCTTGGCTGTTGGACTCGGATGATGAAAACCTGCTGGGTCTGCTGATGGCGACTATGATGAGGATGATGACGCATGCTGTTGTGTTTTTGTTTTAAGGCATTACTGTATGTGCTACTGCTGCTGTGCATATATACTATGGTGTCAACATAGTAAATTCATAATGTGTACTTTAACTACATGTTATTACTATCAGAACGGTATACTTACTATTATAACTATCAGGTCTTATGCGCAGGTATGCTAGCAAGTGCTAGTAGCCTCTGTTTGTATAGCCATATGTTCCATTCGGAGTGTGAGTATGTAAATCAGTATAAACTACAAAGAATGACGAGGGACGTGCCAGTGGACATACCCCAGCAACTCACAGTACTGCAAAGGTAGATCCTGGGTATCACATGTTATACTTATAAGACATCTGGCTATGGAGGGAAGTATGTTTGTATGTATGCACAGGCCTGCATTGGCAGGAACGAGCACATATCATGCATGGTAACAGTACACAACAGACACAGACACTTCATCACACAAAGTATGTTATTTTCGTACTTCTTTTCTTCCAAGAAGAGCTTCTTTGTCTCTCGCGGGGCTTACTGGCATGAGCGGAATACACATCATAAAGTGCTGAGTCGGGCATAATAGAACATAGTGAGTTGGAAAGAGAGAAGATCGCATGATGTACTTTCTCTCTCTCTCTGTCTCTCTGTCAAAAGATCAGGTACGACGGTGCACAACAGTAGACTCTTAACCTTTTTTAAGCTTCTTACAGCTAAAGAAACTCAGCGTTTCTTCTCTTGCTCTTCCGTTACAGTTTTGGGAGATGTTGTTGCTATTATTGTTTGTGAAATTAAAAGGATGCAGCATAGTATAGATCATGTCTGCACATGCACAGAGGATAGGACTGTTCGATCAGCAGCGTACATTCCACTTGTCAGTATCATAGATGAATCCACAAAGCTGCAAAGGCAAAGACATTGTGTTTATGATCAAGGTCAATAAGTACACAGACCTTGGTAGTGACCTGGCAGCTAGTGAACCCTTCTTGATCGTTGTTATTACTGGGAAAGATGTTTGTAATCATTGGTATAATAATAAGGTTAGACAAAGAGAGAGAGTGAGAGAGAGAGAGTGTGTGTGTGTGTGTGTATGTTTACGTGAAGGGCTGAAACTATGTCATTGTTTCAGGAAACATGAGCCTTGTGGATGCTGCTGGCGTGGATGATTTTTCTTTTCTGTTTTTAAGGTGTGGTAAGCAAGCGTTACTTTTTTAATTCTTTTCTCTCTCTCTGCTTTTTTCTTCTTCTTCTTCCACAGCTTCCCCTTTCTCTCTCTTTCTCTCTCTCTCTCTCTCTGTTCCCTCCACCCCTTTCTTTTTCTTCTTTCTCTTTTCCTTTTTGTACATTTTGCAAACACAACAACAATCTCAAGTTGCCTTGTTAATGGAAGAAAGATTTGTTTCGAGGCGAACCCGAGGATTACGCGAAGCCGTCGCTGTCTTCCATCTTATCTTTATGGTAATCCCCTTTTTTTTCTCTTTTATTATCGCACGCGTTATATCTCATTACCCATTAAGGACAAGGGCATTGACATGAATTCTCTTTTTAAAACTTAAACAGGTTGCAGGACTTGCTATTCTGTCGTTAGGTATGAGGGAAAGAGCGGGTTTTGCGGAAGGGGGAGGAGGACGCCAAGTTTGCTTGGCCCTATGAAATACTCAGATTTTTGTGGTCGACGGTTTTTACCGTTTATGGGCAGGAATCAAAAGAGAGGGCGGGGGTGTGGGGGAGAGGGGTTGGGTTAAGGAAGTGTAAAGAAGTGCGTATTTCACACGCACCCACAAACTAAGACTACCGTTGGAAAAAAAAACACACAAATAGGCGCATATACAATCAACTCATCGCTCAGCAGGACACTATCGATTGCACTCCTGACCATCGGCGGCGCCTTGACCATCGTATCATTTATCGCCTACTTTGGAGCCCATATCGAACATGCCGGCTTTCTAAAAACATACAGCAGCACAGTCGCATTGCTGCTGATACTCGAAATAGGTACAGTATTCTTTTGGGAGGGCATTTTCACAACTCTCTTTCTATTTCTCACACGGTCCCTTTTCGCCTTCTCTTTCGATAGTGCTTGTCGCGCTTGTTTATGCCCACAGAAAAGAAGTAAGTAGAGAGATAAAGGACGCCGTCATGCTTAATTTGTGTGTGTATACTAAATTGGAAATTAGCTGGACGATTACGGCAGTTGGGCATGGGATTTCTTCCAGCAGAACGACGGGCCACTCTTGAGCCAAATTGAGGATTCGTAAGTTCGTTTTGGAATAGCTAACTCTGTGTGAATAATAATGTGGAAATGGGTCACTCAACAAGAACAACACTCAGACTTTATTGCTGTGGATACGATTCACCTCACGATCGACTTGTGCCTTCATCAACATGCAAAGAGCCATTACCAGACACAAGCGGATGCAAGAGTGCGTTTACAGCTTCCTTCATCGAATGGCGAGACTGGATTCTAGCAGCTGTGCTGATCATCGTTGGACTTGAGGTAAAAAGACTTGTTGCTAATGGGGCGAGGTGAAGTGTACATCACGAGCGAATGCCAACATTTTGTGTCACCCACCCAACTCACACACAAACCCTATTTCTCTCAACAACAACAAACAACAAAACAGCTCACTGCATTGCTCACGTCCGTGGTGCTCACGGTCATGGTGGAACGTGATTCGGAGGAAGAACAAGCATACATGACACTGCTATCCGCACAAAGCAATACGCATGGATGGTTTGATGTGAGCAACAGCGGCGGCTCTTTAGCGAGCGGCAGTGGCGGCGGCGGTGGTGGCCATGGTAATGTGGGAAGCGGCAACGGAAGCAGTAGCCCAGTGTTTGGACGACATCCTTTGTCATCCTACTCTTCAGCCGGCAGTCGTTCCGGCTTCTTCTATACCCCTCGTCCTCCTTCGTACCATCAGCAACCACACCGCGTCCCTCGTTATGGCAGCACTCTCTCCACCTCTTCGCACAAGTGATCCATACACCTACAACACCACCATAGCCAATCTCACGACAACCATCGTTGAACACAAACACACACACACACACACACACTTATATATACATATATAACTTCGCTCAATTCACAACTGTCAACCAAATCACCCAATTCACTATATCACCTTTTATAACTCATACATACACACCCAACTCCTTTTACCGCCTCTTTTGCATACCGTTTGTATATCTCTTTTTTTTTCAGTGTTTTCTTTTTCCCAGCATTCCTTCTATTAGTACATTTCCAGAATCTTTTTATATATATAATTTGCAACAACCGTCCATTTAATGCCTAGAAACCTCAATTACAGTAGTACTCAAGAAAGCCCCTTTACAGCGGTAGTGGTTATGTTTACTGAACAACCCTTTCAGATGTGAGATAGATCCACTATGCAATTGCTTTTTTGCTACAGTATAACAATGTACAGCATTTTATTAAAGCTGGTAAAAGAAGATCTAGTCGTAAATGTGTAACTACATGGTACATTTAAGCACTGTAGGAAAATACAAAGATTATAGAATTTCCCTCGGGTTCTTTTAACGTCATCTGGATCCTGTGCTACGTAAACGGATGTGGGCTAAAAGGTGATATCAAGGTTAGGTGAGGGCGACGAGGATCAGCTTATAGACTGTTAATCATACATACATGGCTGGCACCAAATCCTACAGGAGTGCCGCATGTCTGCAAGATCATGTTGGTCTGATTGACAGATCCCTAATGGAATATTCCGTCTTTTGTCAGATAGAACAATCTCATCAACTGTTTGAAACCTTGACACCATCCACTGTCTCGAATACAGAGACTGAAAACTGAAAGTTTGTAGTGGTCGATGGGGTTGTGAAACGACTGATTTCTGTCACTCGATAAAGACCGTTGTATACCTTCTGCGACAGCTCGTCAGATGGAGGAAAGTCTCAGATTAATGTGCCTTGGCGACGACTGACTTGCGTTACTTTATGAAGAGACTTGACACGTCGGCTCTACGGACCAACCAACATTATATACAAATCATATATCAGTGAGCTAAAAACATTTCTCACTGCGTGTTGGTGGATGCTTGATCATCGTCGTCGTTATGGTACTCGCCCTGCTCTTCCTGTGAACATAATTAAGAAGACTGATATGATATAGGGATCTTGGTCTTTTCAAGTATGACGTTAGCAAGATACTCTATCCCTAAAGCTTCGCCAAACAGTCTTGCTTCTTTGGTGTAAACTTTGGCGACGCCATAAAAGCAATCGAAGCCCCGCAGCTTTGACACGGAGCGAAGGGGAAGGGCTCAAGACCGGAGGAGGTGCGAAGGTGACAGATGATAATGGTTTTCTGTCACAAAAGACGAAATGTCTAGTTGTCTTTATGGATGCTATGGAATTGTCAAATGCTCATACAAGCCGAAATGTAACAGGTCTTTCAAAAGTCCCTTCAATGACGACAAGAAAGCGGCAAATTTTACTCTCAAAAAGCTAAGCTCCAGCAAAGCTGTATACCATCAGATGTCCGTTTGATATAAACAACACTCTTTTGCAGTCTCGTCCCGCATCTATTCCTCTCTTTGCTTTAAAAAGTATGATGTATCAATGCTTTCGTGATCGATGCTGAAAAGGAGAGTATGTTATACATTTTGTATCGATGTATGTGAAGCGGGTACCGTGTCGTGGAAGAAGTCTGCGCGTTAAACTGCGACTGTAAATCGCTGCGCAGTTGCATGATACAGTAGCCGGTTTTCCACTTTTCATTGTCTCCCGCGCAGCTTTCCCCCCTTTCAAACAGCACACACTCGTACATACGCATAAAAAGGGATCTCGCTTCATCAAAATACGAAAGTCTATCTTCGATTCTTGTAAACAGCATGTCATTCAAGAATCTGTCAAGTTGAGAGACCACAGAGCACACTCGGCCGTCTACCCCGAACCAAGCTACTTTATCATATACGTGACATAAAACAGCAACTAAGCGATTCTCATAGGTCATCAATGACGACGTTGATGACTCGTACTGGACAGATCTAGACCTTGACTGCGCGCAGGTATAGCATTTATTCTTTTTGCAATAAAATACAGTATACTGGTCGATTAATTCGAGACATTTTCACAGCTCGTATTTCGAGTTTAAGAGGTCAAAATGAAGTTGATTCGAGAAAAAAGCCGTCGACGAACTATACATGAAAAAAACGACTATGGCGGTAAAGTATTTACAAAACAGGGAAGAGGCCGAAGTTGACGACAAGAAATCAGTTTCACTAGTAATCGGGAAAGTCCCTTTTTCTACCTCAGCTGTCACTAGTGACAACATCTCTTGGGTTCTTTTGCTTATTATATCACAATATACCATCATGAAAGAAGAAGAAATATCAGATAAAACTGCTACTATAAAGTACTATAAAGACATTCCCGCCTATGGCCATTTCCTCCAACACCACCTGTTACCCAACATACCCGCACTCTTTGGCCCAGCTCTGACTGAATCGTGGAAAGCACGGCGTGAGTGGGTTGAGCAAAGCAGCAACAACAACAATAACAATAACAGTTGTCATGATGAGCAACAAGATCATTCGGAAATACCTGCTATGCAACCACGTTTCGATTACTTGAAGAATGAGTTTGGATCGGCTCAAGTGGGTGTGGCTGACTGTATTGAACGCGATTTTACGGATCAAAAACGATCCGAAATGTCATTTGATGAATTTGTAAAAGTTTGGCCGGCCGGACGATATTATCTTAAAGATTGGCATTTTGTTCGGTCATTTCCCGAGTACAATGCCTACAAGGTGCCGCATGTATTTGAAGGTATAGTATTGCTAAATAAATTTTGTGCGTAATGAAAGAAGGTCATAGTTACTAATAAGGAATAATGAAAAAGACGATTGGATGAATGAATATTGGTTAAAGGATAACAAGGATGACTACCGGTTTGTTTATATGGGGGGCGATGGTACGTTTACCCCGCTTCATGCCGATGTCTACAGGTATCTTCTATCAAAAAGAGGAAAGGGACCGACAGCTATAGTAGTAATAATGCATAGATACATACATACTTCAATAATAGGTCATACTCATGGTCAAGCAATATTTGTGGCATCAAAAAATGGACACTGTTTCCTCCAGGAGAAGAACGCCTTTTAAAAGACAAGCTAGGCAATCTAGCCTACGACTTGCGATCCATCGACCCAGTCCAATTCCCCTGTACCAAGCAAGCCAAACGGATTGTAGTCTACCAACGGGATGGCGAGACCCTGTTTGTGCCCAGCGGATGGTTCCACCAAGTGGAGAATATCGGACTGACAATCTCAATCAACCACAACTGGTCCAATGCGTGCAACCTCGGCATGACATTCCGATCGCTTGCCTCGGATTTAGACGATGTGGAACGATCCATCGATGACGTACGCGAGTCCATGGCACCACTGGAATTTGTCCAAACCTGTCAGCACCTGTTGCTTCTGCACAGTGGATGGGACTGGTGCATCTTTTTAAAGATGTTGCACTGTATTGCGCGCAGGCTGTCATTGTCATCGCATCAGCAGCAACTGCAAAAGGAAGAAAAGACGATATCGCCGCCACATGAATTACTACGACTACAACACCACCAGCCGGACCTAGCATGGCAGGCGCAGCAGATTTTAGATGTGATAGAAGCATGGAATAAGAAGACACCAGAGAAACTGTTGATGGATGAGTACTTGGAGCAACAAGGTCTGCGCACATATGTCCAGGAAATCAAAGAGTTACTACAGGATATACTTGACATTAACAAGTGTTTATCACCTAATAAGTTGAACATATAAGCTGTATTGATACTAATAGTGTCTTGAGATCATTACCTGCCACTAATTTGAATAATGTCGAAGACACGTTCGTTGTTCTAAACTTTTCGACAGACTTGTTGGGCGTTGTGTTTGGAGGAGTGGTGGTCATATATGACTTACAGTTTATCGTTTAATTGCTTGACTGCATATATTTTAAGTGAAGGGTTAGTAAGAAGCTATCTTGAAGCCATGATAATGCCGAACTTCATGGCTGCAAGCAAACGCACGAAGTATGTTGTCTGTGTGTTCTCCTTTTATATTTAAACCTATCACAAGCACAGATGATGGTGATGAGGATGTTTGAAGACAGCGTTAAACTTTGAAGACAAGCGAAGGCAATGCCTGATACCTTGGAGGAATAAGCACGTTGGTGGGCAGTCCAAGGTAAACCGACTGAGTACCTATTATCTATAACATATTATACGGTGCTAATGAGATCTATAGGACTTGAGTGTACGTTATGTCTCAATTAGATGCGAATATACAAGCCAATGTACCAAGTGATGGAGATCGGACCTGTCCGTGCTTCACGCATTTGGTCTCATCTGATCAAAGTCGAGAACGACAAAAATGCAAAGAGTTTTTATATTTTCAAATCAACTGTATGCGTAGAAAACTGACCGCTATAATATTAGTAAGGCTGAACTGCAAGCCAACATTTCGATTTTAGCAAGCGGCTGGAGGGTAGGGTACAGTCTGAAAGCGTGGGAAGTAAGCTTAAACCTTTCGTTTTCTTTGGTACCTGCTGTGGCGTATCTAATTATTGCCCTATAATATACAGGCAATCGTCCAGCTCACCGGGAAAGAAGTCGAAGCACACCACACCTTGTTTTAGAGTGGTCAGGATGACTATCATACTTATAGAAAGCCGTCTTGTAAAGCATATTTCCAAAGCGATGTTTATCCATGTGCTCATTTGTTCATATGTTGCCATTACTATATATTTACTTTGTCATAGTTTGCTTGCGGAGACGCAACAGTTTCCGCTAGTCCTTTGATTGAATATGATATATAGAAGAAGCTTTTAATTGTAATGATACAAAACACACTATTTTTTATATCGTCTGAAAATAAAAGAAACTGCCCGGAGATTGTGGAACTTGTGACCACGGAATGTGTTTCCTTCCAAGTAAATACGCAGAACTTCGTTGGTGACGGCATCATCCAGTCATTGTTGCTTATCCTATTTACTGTAACAGCAGACACACAAAACGGCAATGGTCCTGTCCTAACTTTCCTTGAAATAATACTGTATCATTGTTAGTATTTTTTACTAACTATCCAAAGTTTATTTAACAATGGTATATTGCATATCACAAAGATCATTCAAGTACCATCAATATATGCTCACGAAAATGAGTAAACCAGAAGAAGCATATCTGTGGAGCAAGGCTTTACAGCCGACGAACACCCGGCGGGCTTTTGATTGTGTCGAGCGGGAATTTATCGGAAAGAAGGATGACTCAATATCATTATGGTTCATTTTCGCTAAGCGTGCTATCCGACACTATCTTTGTCCGAAAAAACATAAATAGGCGCGTGAATATGTTCGTAATTGACATTCTATAACCAAGAAAAAAGGTGGTACAGCCAACGCTACAGCCATTTCCAAGGACTACAAGCGCAATTCCGATAAAATGTCAACGACCGATAACAACGATAATACCGACGCTACTGCCAAGACGCTGAAGTCCATGGAGATCATAGGCAAGAATTTCGGTGAAATGCAAAGAGAGCTCGAACGCGTGAACAAGGAAAAAGTTGACGATGATACTCTGATGGATATCTCAGTGTATACCGCGTTATACTTTAACTATTGCACGGCAGATCCAGAATCTAAATGTACCAATGTTGGTTTCAAAGCTTTTCTCAAACATATGCTTTGCACACACGATGAAACCATTACCAAGTACAAAGGATACGTCTGTTCTAAAGAGTAGATGCTGCACCCTTCCTATAGTGTACTAGTAGCATGATATCACTGTAATTCAGTTGTATCGCTGTAATACTTTTTTAACAATGTGTAGTCATAATTATATTTTGTGCATCTATGTATGTTAATCTTTTTATATATACGTGTATTGTTCTAAGCGAATATTAGCTGAGCCCGTAGAAACTTATACATGAGGATCGCGTGAGATCAGACATGCAACATGAAATTATTGTGTATTTGGTATGATCATGGCCTAAATTAATACTGATAATCTGAAATAAAGGAATTGCTTATATATTCATAAATACTCACAATCGACGTTATGCACCATCCTGACATGTCTTTGCCACTTCGATTTTAGCGGCTGGTTCGTACTCAGTTAAAATAGCGGATCCCTCGCCCGGACGTCTTCATATGGCATGCTTCATATCTTGTTGATAAATGGCACTGCTGCAACGATATTGAAATGCATGGATAGGGGAATTTGATGATACGAGGACACTGTATGTATCATACCATTGGTTAAGAAATCAAAACGAAACTCAAGACCACATATTATCATGTATGTAGCAATATGATGTGTAGATTTAATAATTTCAATTTTCTTGATTCAAATTTATCATCACTTACAGCTCGCCAGGTGGAGGAAGTCCCTCAGATTCATATGCCTTGGCGACGACTGACTTGCGATATTTTATATAAAGACTTGACAGGTCGGTTCCACGGACCAACCAATAATATATACAAATCATATATCAACAAGCTAAAAGCATTTTTACTACGTGTTGTATTATTTGATTAATCCCACGTTGTCAGCATCAGCAGGCAACGCGTATTCTTCAAGTACCTCTCCAGTCATATAGTTATACAACCGGATTGGGTTTTTTGCGGGCCGACGCCGATTCGCCAGAAGAGGGTATAAACAGCAATAATAAAATATACAAAGCAAAGATATTTATATCATATGATTAAATGCAAGGAAGAAGATGAAGCTTTCAACGACTTCCTCAGGTCCAGGTTAAAGCAAAAAGCTCACGCAACCGTCGAGATGGATGGATAGCTCTTGACCACAGTCGATGGACTACTTGACAGGCCAGCTTTTAGCAGCGGCAGTGATGTGGAGCGGGATGACAGTAGAGCATCATTCTTGACCAGCATGGAGGTGTCTGTACACTATCGCCAATCCGAGAAACAAAAGAGACGAACAGATACTGGGAAACTGTTGAACCACACACACACACAAGATTCTATCGTGTCACACTTACCCATACTTTACGATGAGGCACAGGAAAGCCGAACACCCGGCCAGATCAGAGAATCGCAGCCAAGACAAAAACACTTCATCTAGCTGGAAAAAAGAAAGATCAATACTTAAAACCGGTTGGTTACCCTCTTTTCACTCACCACCATAAAACATACATTCTCCAATCTATTCTAATCCATTCCAGTGATACTCACATTAAATAGCCTCGGTTTAGAGACGTAGATGAGGAGGAAGAAGAGCGGCATGATTGCTGTGGTCGCGCGGTTATATAGTAGTAACGAACACACATTTCATTCTATCCAGTCAGATTGCTCTCTCACGTTTATGACGCGCCGGGGTGTGTGGTTCCTCCAGGTCAGATACTTAACTTTACAGTGATTGTATGAGATTGTGAGTAGACGGGTATCGCATCGAGGAAAAGCTCAAGGGTATAACCGTCACTAACACGATATGAGGCTCACTTCAAAACCTTCATCATCTGAGAAGTGTCATCGCTTTGAACAAGCTGAATACAAGTATCAACGTATTCACTATGTATACAGGAGTATCCAAACTCTCAATGAGACATGACGATCCCGCACTTGCCGGTGTTCCATTTGGTGGAAAAACCATGGTCTTTGGTGGTGACTTTCGCCAGGTATTCAACATTGTATCCTCTCTTCTACTTTGAATTCTTTTACTATGAGCGGTACAGTAAAGTATCTGCAACATCCTGATAATCGGTCCTTCCTGTGATAAAAAATGCATCGCGCTCGCAAATTGTACAGCACTGCTTACTCATCGGTTTGGCCCAGCGTCATCATCCGCCACCTTGAAACCAACATACGCGTCCAACAAGCTGCAAAGACCAATGACGCAAACAAGCTTGGCCAGTCTATGCAATGTTTACTTCGCAATTGTGATGGTGCTGAGCTGTTGGTGCCAACCTCTGATGACAGAGTCCGGCTACCAGATCGGATGCTCATACCGCATTACAACACATACGAGCTCATGGAAGCCAATTACGGCAACCTCAACGCACCACACGTGGATCGTGATTACCTCATTAATCGCTCTACCACGACTCCATGAATGTCGACGTTACAGCAATCAACGATTTGGTACTCGGTCATTTTCCAGGTACCATACATGAATACCAGAGCGCTGATACATTGGATGATGCAGAAGATCAAATCACATACCCACCAGAGCTTCTAAATATAATGTATCTATCTGACCTTCCACCGCACTCGCTGAAACTCAAAGTCGGTTGCCCAATCATGCTTTTGAGAACTTGCACACCCAAATTGGTCTCTGCAATGGGACACGGCTGATCGTACGCTCTTTTCAACGATATGTACTTGAAGCTGGAAATAACCAGTGTTGGGTTATTCACCGTGAATACTCGGAGAGCTAATAATCACGCCGTGAATAAGTGAAAAATGTACGTGAATATTCCAGCGTGAATAAACCTTCTTTATTTGGAAATGCTTAAGGGAGAGCAAGAGAGGGAGAAACCAAAGACTCCAGAGTCCATTTATAGCGCCTATCATTGGCAGGGTGGGGGTCTGACTCGTCCAGCATATCTTCCAGGCTCTCCAGGCCCGTCTCATCGTGCTCATCATTCAGCATGTCCATCCACTCGTTTGCGAGTGCCATCCACTCACCGTGCAACATCTCCGTCGAGTCCTCGCTGCTGTTGCATAATATGAGTCTATATAGGAAGGTTTATTCACGCGTGAAAATTAATTCGGCATGTATTATTCACGCGTGAAAATGTACATTTTCACTGTCCGTGAAAAATGGTCAACGTGACTATTGCCAACACTGCCGGCAACATCGTCTTAATCCCTCGCATAACACTAACACCATCACAAACACGCTCCCCCATTTAATGTAAACGTACGCAATTCCCTGTCGCCTGGCATTTGCAAGGACCATCAATAAGGCACAGGTCAAACTTTCAACACTGTTGGCCTCTACTTGCCTGAACCTCCTTTCACGCATGGTCTACTCTATGTAGCCAAGTCGCGCATCCGCACCCCTTCACCCATTAGAATGGTGTTAGATCCTGTTGACTCAAGGGACTCGGGTCAGCAAGGCAAAACACCCGAAATGTTGTTTTCCATGAAGTTCTTCTATTGATCGTCTAATCCCTTTTACCTTCTTATCAATATCACTACATCATCTTTTTCAACACTTCTTTTCGCATACCATTTTAAATTAAAGATGGTGAAGTATCGAACTTTGACGACATCCTATCATAGACTATTCACTGCACAATGATCTTGCTTTTGTTTTTGAAAACAGACAATAAGCATTTAATAGCGAAATACTGATCCAACCTCGCTCCACCGGGGGGCAACCCCCCTTGCGATGCGTTTCCGTTGTATGACACGGAGCGAAGCGGAAGGACTCAATCATCCGAGCGTATAAAGTGTGAAATATAAAGATCTGCACCACGTATAAACCTTTTCTTAACACTCGTCTCGAGAAAGGCGCAAATTATTTGGTTCCGGTTCCTATAAAGAGTCGATATCATGTGGCCTTTATGTCATTGGTCGAGGGTTACTCAAAAAGAAGGCTGTGTGTGAGAGTATACATGATACAACAGCACCCATGTGGAAAGAGAGAGGGCCGCAATGGTGAAGATGAGTGCAACTACTTGATAGAGCCAGAGACCAACTTTCCACACTAATAAAAAGTTGGCTGTTCCAGCGCCACTCAGCTGGGCAGCCAGAGCACGCACCCGCAGATTATCACTTTGCCCTCTCTCTTACACACACTCACTCACTCACTCTCTCACTCTCTCTCTCTCTCTCGTTCGCCCCTTCTTAACTTTCTCTCTCTCTCTTTCTCAGCAACCCCTCTCCCGCCGCCTCCCTCTATTTTGTGCGTGTGTGTGTTTGCTGCTTTCCCTCTCACTGCACCCACTCACCCCCACATATACACACACCACACACACCACACACACCACACACACAAACTGTATATCGGCACATATACACACAACCCATTCGAACAATGTCCAACGGCAGCAGCAATAATAGCAACAGCAACGACATTAGCGATGATAATGCCATTCTACCTTACCATTTTGACACACGCTCAATGTACACTGCTCATCCAGCAGTGACCCATTCCCATGGATTCACTGCACCCTCCCATGTTTCCCCTGTTACCACCACAACCACAACCAGTACCACTACCGCTTCACCGCGCTGGCCTGAATCGTCCACTTCTCTTTCTTTGTCGTCATCTTCGTCCGATACCACTATTCCACCTCATCATTCTCTAACTGTTGCCGAATGGGCAGGCACAAAACAAGCGTCGTGTAGTAAGTTATATTTGCAAAATTTCTTTGTTTCTCTTGTTATTATGATACACAATATCTTTGTATTCATTAAACCTCTTTTATTCTGTTCCCTCTTTCCACATATTCCAACAACAACAACAACAACAAAATACGACAAAACAGGTTGCGCTTCTGCCGAATATCCTAGTGTACCTACACAAGAATGTGGGGACTGGCGAGACGTACATCGTAACATCAAGCGCATGGACCAACTCTATGATGCGACCTTTTATACATGGCTCAAATCTGAAGATAACGTTCTTGTCACTGCCATGTATCTGCATCGTATCGCGAACGAGTATCCCTTGGAACGCATTGCCAATGCACTGAAATGGCTTGTATCCGATTGGCGTTGGGAAAGCACCAGTATCTTGGTCCGCCATGTGACCGTGGACTGGTGTGATAAGGATGGTAGTGTATACATACAAATCAAGGACGCATCGTGTCATCCCAATTTTTTTTAATACGAATAACCAACACGATTATTTCTATATACACATACACACAAATCACAGGCGATCTAAAGCGAGCATATCTATTACGACATTTGACGCAAAACTGGGCTACGCAGTACACAGCAACACTTATTACGACAATTCTAGCAACGCCACCTTACTTGTCAGCCGATAATGCCCAGCGGGAACGGTTTTTACGTGCATTTACAGAGGAATGGGACTTTTCAAAACTTTCTGAATTCTTCATGTACTTACAAAGCCGGGCGAATGTGGATTATAAGCTCAAATGCGTCATGCTGCAGGAAGCAGCAAGGCGTGAGCGTGAAACGCTTAGTGCCAAACTGAACAATCGAAAAAAGCGAAACAAGAGTCGACAGGATAGTAAACAGCAGCAGCAGCACCAACAACATGATGTAACAGATACATCAGAAGCAGCAGTAACAACAACAACATCACCAGCAGCAGTAGCGACAGAAGCTCAAAGCCACAATAATGACGATACTAACATGAAAATCGACAGCAATAGGCATAGCACCGACAATAGTATGCGTGAGCAATCCGGAACAATAAACATTGATAACAGCGAAAATCAGCAGCAACAGCAACAACAACAGCAAACGGTACCCATGATTGTGGAAGAAGGCGATAGCGATCCAGCTACGAGTATTTGCGATCGCAACACCACTACTGCTACAGGCATCACCAGCTCACAAAATGATCATGTCAGTAGCGCACGTAGCGACGATTCGTGCTTGGACCTATCCGCACCGGTACTACCCAATGGAGGAGGAGAGAATGGAAGCGAAAGGGGAAGTGGAGAAGGACGAGGAGTAGCACCTGCATCGTGCTCCTCATCTTCATTTCCACCATCATCATCTGCAACAACGAACGATACTTCTACCACTGCGACAGCAGTAATACCGGTAGCAACAACATCTTCATCGTCAGCTTCTTCTTCTTCTTCCTCCGCGTCCTGGCGACATCATCATCGTCGAACATCCAGCAACGATGCAGCGGATATGAATAAACGATTTCGATTATCACAATCTGAGCTGGAAGAGGAAAAGCCAGAAGACAGCGTGGTGGTTGTACCATCATCAGCAACGATTCCGTCGTCATCCGCAAGTGTCGGTTGCATATCAAGTGCTGCCTCACCAGACCCATCACCATCCACATCTGCCACAACTACTTCTGGTACCAATCCATCATCATGCTCTCCTAGTATCCTTTCATCGTCGTCCACTATCACCACTCCTACAGCGACCAGACGCGCAGCCACTCCCGACCATTCGTACCACCACCACATCCGTTGTGCTACTACAGCAACTTCGTCGTCCGCTTCTTTAGCCAGCAGTGCGGCGGTCCCGAGCAATAGCGACAACAGTAGTAGTCATGGAAACATGATGAATAACAATAACCATGCCGGGAATCCCAACAGTTGCTGTTGCTCCTGCTGCTGTAACTATTGCTGTAGCAGTAACAGCAGTGGTAATGGCAACAGCAGTGGTGGTAGCAGTAATAACAGCATTGGTTGCGGTGATACCAGTGCTCGCCACCACTATGCTGCATCTGCTGCTGCTTCTCCGAACGATTGCGTTAGCGCGAGTAGCATTGGTAGCGATTTGTCCCATCTGCATCTGTCTCGTGTCACAACAGCAACAACAACAACAGCTACTGCTGCTGCATCCTCCCTCCATCATCACAATCATCATAGTCATCATCACAGTCACTCAAATCATATCCATAGCCACCACCACCAGCACCACCACCATCATCACCACAGTCACCATCACCATCACCACCACCATCATGCTTCTTCAAACACATCCATAAATCCTACTGCCACCACCAGCACCACCACAACGTCCGCTTCTTCGAATCCACCTGCCGTCGTCGATGTATTCACTCGATGCTATCAATCCACTGCTAGTGCTGCTGCAACGTCGCATTTACAAGTGCACAACTTTCGACTGCACCGACGATCTAGCTCGAGTTCATCTACAACTTCAACAGGATCAGCAGGCTCTTCAGTGTCGCAAATGGAGGATGATGGCTCTTCCAGTGGTGGCGGGAATATGAAGAAAAGGACTACAACGCCTGTGAACAACCAGGATAATAATACCACCTTTTATCGATAAGAAGAGAGTGAGGAAAATATTTTCCCTCCCACACAAAAAATAAAAATAAAAAGCCCACAACCAAAAAAAAAAGAAACAGCACAAAACGCAATGTAATCCAAAGACTTGTTTTATTATCCCTCTGTGGCATGTATGTAAAGTTTATATACAATGTATGTGTGTGCGTGTGCATGTGTGTGTACAGTGAGCGTCTTGCATTTTTAGAACGTTTAAAAATCACCCGTCTTTTCCTTGTTCAAGGTCTCGATGTTTCGGTCGATTATCCATAGTATATCCCATTGACGCTTGTAACGAATCTCTCCGTAATTGCTCATTACTCTTACGTCGGTCAGCTGTAGCCATCTCCTCTGCGTCCTACAATAGTTTCGAGCTTGTTAGGTGTTTATAAACAAGATTGAGGTATAACTAACTTTTAAGACGGACCATGGTGGCAAATTCTGTAGGATCAATTTCTCCGCTCAACACACGTTGACTTAGTGGGTTTTGTCTATCCTTGAGATTTAAGATATGTGACCGTATCGACTCCTTGTAACCATCGTTCACTTGACCATTTTGTATTTCATAGATGGCGTTCTCGATCGATTCAGCTAGTGAATTTAGATCATCGTCTATTGATGTACAACGTATATAAGCTATACATACATATAGACAGGCTTTAAATTAAGAACAGAATGTTAGACTCACCTGTTGCTGTGCTAGAGTCTTGGTTCTTGTAGCTTTCGACAAGTGCCTTTAGCAACAAGTCTTGACCTAGTAAGCTTTGATGGTGAGAAACAAAAAAGGGTCTTCGTCTACTCTCCTTTTTTTTAATAAGAATCTCTAATTGTGTATGCTAAATTACTTTTTCGTCGTATTGGCTCCATGGGATATCTTAGCCTCGTTGAGAGCGTACAGTAACTGTTGAAATGGAAAAAATTACAACGACGAGTTTCGGTTGTTTTGTTGCTTCAATTATATACTTCCTCCTCCTATTCTGAGACCGGATCCCACTATGAAGTAATTGTCCGCGTTATGTACGTTCGTACTTGTTTGTTTACTTTGTGAAAGTTCATCCGTAATTCAAGGCGTCAAATCAATATTTGCGAAACACACACACAGACGGAGTAAACATTAAGATATTTAAACAGAACACTGCCTATGTATTATATATATCTATATCTATATCTATATATATCAAATGATTAATTAACCACACGAAAGAAGATAATTAATAGCGAGGGCAAAGCAGCATGTAATAAATAATATGTATGTTCCAGTAATAATACCAGCAAAGATGGAATAACGAAGAAGAATGGCGGTAAGAACAAAGTGGTTGTAGGGTGACATGTCGGTTATGTTAGCTAGTAGGGTAAGGAAGTATCGAATGGGCGATAGAAAGAAAGAAAGGAGCTAGTGCTTCTCTCTCACTTTCTTTAAACTGGATGATATATAAATAGAGACACAAAAAGAGGAGATATGGATAAGACGCTTGGAAGAAACTTTGATGCTGTAAATAGTGTCTATTGTTATACCACATCAGCGCCTTCAAAATCGATAGGTGGGATTCTGTTGGAGTTTGAGAGTGGATCGATCAACTTGAGCTCTTCTTTAATCGCGTTTCGAGCCACCGCATCCAGCTCTTTAGTGACAAGTGTGAAGATTTTCTAGTTTGCACCAAATGTTACAATTGACTTCCCTTTCTCTTTCTGTTTTCTTCATGAGGAGACCTTGCAAGTCATTTATATACCTTAAATTTGCTATCGCACTTGAGTACCAGCTCAAAGTATGCTTGATTACATCCTTCGGATCCAATAAGTAACTTTTGGTATGCTTCCACTAGAATATCCGTCAGAGTGTAAAACGTCTCAAAATAATCCAGATCAAATGGCTAATGCAGCATGTATTTAGTTTTCTTCTGTCATCATCATCGCCATCCATATGTCCCTCATTCTATTGATCAATCCGTATTGTTTTTCTTACCACGTGCGGTAGCATCAAGTGTGTATACTCTCCACCTTCACTATATCCTGCGTCATCCTTTCCTCGCGCTTTGCGAAATATATTTTTCTAAAATTAACAGTTAAAAGATCAACCCTCCATAATCAAAAAAGTTACTACACGTATAAAAGATACTAACCATTTTCTGTTTTGAGTGATCGTTTGTATGGTACTCGTATTCGTTCAATAGTTGTCCGAGTGCTTTAAGGTAATCAGCCGTATTCATTATATCCAGAATGGTTCCTAACGAGACGCCCAACATGTAAAAGTTACAAGACCTTTGATTTGTTTCCGGCACAATTCAAAATTGGTTTAGTGATGCTCTTCCACTAAAATTGAGATTCACAATCACTCGTCTTTGTAATAACTTTACCTCCGTTGCATTTTGACGTTAGGGTAGATGGATGTTAGGTCATTTTTGGTGAGTAGAATAGTATTGAACCAATGGGTGTTGCCTTCATGAGCGCGCCGGAGATACTTGATGGTCGCAACTCGTTTTGACACCAGCTCGGAAAGGTATTCAAATAAACTTGGCTGTTGTTGTAATTGTTGATTCAGTTGTGATGATTGTTGCGTTGTTGTGGGTTGTGCGATGGAAGCTGAATGGTATACGGACGAGCTCACAGACATTGTTTGCTAGTAAATAGTTATTAAAAGGGACAGCACACACAAAAAAAAGGCGGTTCTGGAAACGCTCCCTCTCTTTCTATTCTCTTTCCCTCCTTTTTTTGGTTGGTTTAACGCTGCCAACAATAATGCCACCTAAACCAGCGAAATGTTACACAAATTCAATCGCTGACAAGAAGATCCCTCTTCTCGTCATATGATCCCCCCATGCATACACTAAAATGTATGCATAGTAATTAGATATAATTTTTTCCTGTTGTGTATCAACAGTTTTTACCCTATTTTCATAAATATGCAGTTGATGTAGTAGCTACACTGTTGTATAACGCCACTCACAACAACACATGTGCACACTGACAAGTACATCCATTTGTATGGATCAGAAATGACTGGGGTGTTATGACAAGGGGAACTAGTAACTCCATGCTTAAAGAACGAATGATTGATAAACTCATGGTTTCATTGACCTATTTTAATAAGTTTTAGAAAAGGGCAACAATTGCATTTTTAAGCTCTCTATCAGCATGCTAGCAAGAGCTATTATTATAAAATCACAAAATGGATTCTTCTATTGTTTTATGAAGTAAACATATAGAAGAAAAAGATGATATCATGCTCAGTATAGAAACGCTTACACTTGCTGCCATGATTTTTAGATTTCCAGGGGTTATGGGTATGAATATTATCTATAACATTGGAGATTCTGATATCATAACCATTAATATTCTAGCATACTTTGATAAAATGTCATGGCTTTATGCAGGCAACCGAGACCGTTGTCAATCTAATAAACAAATTACAAAAAGCTGTGGCGAAGTGATTTGTCTGACAACTTCTTCTTATTCACTTTTATATTGAGCATATATTATCATGTTGATAAGTAAAGTACTGATGACCATCGCCACGGTGGGCGGTGCAACCATCGTCTCTGGACAGCTTGTCGGATCTACGATCCTTCAAATCCTCAACACCACACAATTATCACCAGCTACAAAGTTTGTGGATTTACTTACTTCGTCGCCTGAATACCGTCCCATCTTGAAGCTCTTGTCAAGTCCTGGTAATCACACGATCTTTGTTCCATCCGACAAGGTCTGGGAAGAAATGCAGCAACAACAACAACAACAGCAAAACTCTACTACTGAGGGAGGAGCCGGTGGTGGTGGCAGCAGTGCTTCAACTTCATCAGATGCTATGATGCCCACCGACGGCACATCACCAAACGATCAAGAGCCTGGTGGTAGCGGTAGTGAGCCTCCATCTGGTAGTGGAACTGGAGGCGGACAACAACCAGAAGGTGGTAACGGCCAACAACCTGGAACCGATGAACAGCCTGGCTTGTACCAAATTCCAGGTGGGCCCGGCATCGATCTGAACGGCGAATGGCTGAAAAACGCGCGAATTCTCCAGCAGCAGCAGCAACCTCCATCCGGTCAAGAGTCGACAACACAGCCAACATTTGGCAGTGGCGGTGGCGGTGGCAGTCAAACGCATCCTGCTGTTAGTCAGACAAATCCCGCTGGCAGCCAACCGACCACGACATCGCCATCTTCTTCGCAACAACAAAACGAATCAAACAACCCATTTGCACAAGGTCCATTACAGAACTTTACCGTCGACGATGTTATTCGCTATCATATCATCAATGGCACCTATTTACTCAACCACCTGTCTAAAAATGAAACGATGATTCTGTCAACCCTCTTAACCAACCACACCGTGGACAAAATCGGCAAGGGCTTGCCACTGGTTGTCACTTCGTTGAACGAGACCGATAGCAGCACCAGCAATGACACCCAAGATGGCGGTGCTGGTGGTGGCTCATCACAAGAAACCACTGCAATTGATGGTTCGGCGAGCGATACGTCGGTTGAGCCAACCCCAGCTGCTACTGACTCAATGCCTACTGGTGCGGGTGGCGCTGAGCCAACGGATCAAGGGCAACAACCAGATCAGCAGCAACCCGACCAGCAGCAGCCAGATCAAGGTCAACAACCCAACCAGCAGCAGCCCGATCAGCAACAACCTGGACAACAGGAATCACCAAACGATCAAAATCAAGGCCAAGGCAATCCTGGAACTTGGTGGTTTACCAGACTCTTTTATAATTTGTCTCAAGGAAAGAATAAGAGGGCAGCCGACTCGTCTCAACAACATGAAGATGGCATGCACAACCAAACATTGAACTATACTGTCGGTAACGGTCTTCAATTTGCCAACGTGTCGCTTCACGACATTGTGGCATCCAACGGCGTTATCCATGTTATTGATAATGGTAAGCATTTTTTAAATCGATTTATCCTTGCATTAGATTGGCCATTAGAATACCAGGAACAAACATATAATAATTACATGGGATGCAACTTTCTTGCCATTGAACCACTATGTAGTGCTTATCCCACCTCAAGCGCCTTCTCAAGTCATTGAGAATGCGACCAATGTAACCTCATTCGGCCAATTGCTTGAACAAGTCAACATCAATAGACTTTCAAATGTAAGTTCTGTGCGCAAAATCTCTTGCTTTTTGAATGGTCTATGGTATTTCTGTAAAAGTTGGGTGCGAAATGGAGAGAATAGCTGCAACTAATTGTGTTATTATGATTTTGCTTTACAGATAACCGTTTTCGCACCTAGCGATGAGGCTATGCAAGCTTATGACACAAGCTCTCTGGACGAACAATCAGCTCGTCAATTGGTTGCAAGCCATATTGTTCAGAACGATGTTATTTATTCTACAAACGTAACACACTCCAATGAGCAACGGCATCAAGGTGGAGGTCAGCAACAAGGTGGAGGCCAGCAACAAGGTGGAGGCCAGCAACAAGGTGGAGGCCAGCAACAAGGTGGAGGTCAACAACAAGGTGGAGGCCAGCAACAAGGTGGAGGCCAGCAACAAGGTGGAGGTCAACAACAAGGTGGAGGCCAGCAACAAGGTGGAGGCCAGCAACAAGGTGGAGGTCAACAACAAGGTGGAGGTCAACAACAAGGTGGAGGTCAACAACAAGGTGGAGGTCAACAACAAGGTGGAGGTCAGCAACAAGGTGGAGGTCAGCAACAAGGTGGAGGCCAGCAGCCACAGCAACAATCGACTCCATTGACACAACAAGCCCAAAAACGACAACAGCAACAGAACCCCCCTCCAGCCTCTTCTGGAGGTAGCAATGGCGGCGGCGAGTCTCAACCACAGCAAGGTGGTTCAGGTAGCAATAACGGAGAAAGCAACGGTGGCAATGGTCAACAGCAGCAGCAACAAGGTCTGAATGTGCAATCGGCAGGTGGAGAGCAGCTTATGCTGCAGCCGGTGGACAACACAACATTCACTGGTAAGTCACTAATTTTCAGGCTTAAGTTATCAAAACTGATGAGCTTTTTTCTAAAAATGATTATCTATCGCCTAGTGAATGGAGCCCAGGTTGTCAAGCCCAATATCCTAATGGATAACGGTGTCATGCATGTTATTGACCAAGGTAAAGGGAAGAACGGCTTTGATTGTGGCGGCAGGAAAATTACTAAGTTTACCTACATGATACTAAACGTCATTGGTGTTAGTTCTCGGCTCGTCGCAGGGACAGCAACAGCAGCCTTCTTCTTCTGAAGGAGGTGGTAGCGCACAGCCTCAACAGAGTGACCAGCCATCCTCTTCTAATGGAGGAGGTTCAACAGGAAGCCAACCTCTATAGATAAGAATCTTCGCAAACCATAATCATCAAAAGCTTACATAATACTTTCTTTATTCTTTGTGTAATTAATATAATAGCAGTTATAATAAAATAGTGCAGTACACTATTAGATACATCTTCAACAATTTTTTATCTTAGAGCAATAGCCCAGTATTTCGTCCTTATTCATAATATAATGAAGAAAAAGAATAGATATAGCAAAGAAATTATCCATATGTAATCACAGCTTGGTTTTTTCTGTGCCACACCGTAACAAGCAATGACAACCCTATATTTTAAACTTGTAGCACGGTAGAATACTTTAAGTAATTTCTTTGTGTTTGTTCTATGCAGTGTGCTCATACAGTAGGGAGAGACAATTTTTTATTATTTCAGGAGTCGTAGACATATACTGTACTAAGTATACACATAAAGAAAAGAAAGAAAACGACTGATCTTTATTTAGTTGCATGATGATAATAGTTAGCCAAGAATGTGGTCATCACTATCGACAGATATCTATCGCCCACCCTAAGGACTAAAGACTACTGTATCAAATATTTATCGTCTGTTCATCTGTTCAAGGCTTCTTTACATAGCTTGAAGTAGCAAATGGTGGAACTAGTGGTTTGCACGACATTCTTCGAAGACATCAGCGTTAAAGTTGATCAATTATCAAATCGAGTAATCTTCTTGTACAAACCGCCTCCCTGTACCTGCGCTGTCGAAATGGATTTGTTTTCTTTTCCATCGATTACGTACCTGCATTATATTTCTTTGTGATATCATATACACCGGCGAACGTAAAAACATAGTCATGTTATGTTTAGCCTATATGTTCAAATTGGCACAGTCCCGAGCCTGCAATAATTGTACCGAGAAAAGTATAAAAGGCGGGTGAGAAACTTACTTTAATGAAAACATCTCCATAACAATCACAGTAACAGCATTGCATCAATTAAACTCTCTCATAAGTGTAAGGTAATAATAGTAAATATAGGGAACATTTTCTTTTTGTAAACTATAATACAGTTGTTTGGAATTTCTAGATGATTTGATATTTTCGTCATTAATGTATGTTTTGACATATGTGTAGGCAGCTCGGTTTACTATACTTTATATAACACAAACAACAGCAAAGATGGTTCAAGCTTCGATTAAATTCATTTTGGCACTCACCATTCTTGCCACCATCGCTGCTGCCCAGCCGACAAAAGCCCACCACGGTGATGAATCCCATCTCAAAGCTATCGATCATGCTAGTTCCGTCCTGCTACCTGGCCCCATTGCTTGCCACAAAAATTCGGATTGTCATTCACACAAGTTGAAGTGTATCGCCAATTATTGTCGATAACTTGATCAAGTGTGCTACAACTACTGTAGAAGTCTATATTTTGTATATCCAGTGATTGAGAAGCCATTTATCCATGATGTTAGATTTGTTTTAGAAATATTATCTTTTTCATTTGAAGAACATAACATATTTGTTATTATTTACATAATATGCGAAACGAAAAATTGTATGTTTTACCACCCCTGTTATGATATCATAGAGTCAAAAACGTGCCGGTGCTGAGGGAAAGAGTGGGGTAAAGAACTGAGTATTGAAGTTGCATGTGAGAGTCGAGGATAGTGCAGTATCGGAAATTATAATACAGCTAGTAGATGGAGCTGAAGAAAGACATTGACGGGCAATGCTAGCACGTAAGTGAAGGGTGAATTTGGGGATAAAGAGCAGGCGACGTCGTTGACAGCGGTAATGAATTGCATGCCCAAGGGAATGAAAAGAACGGTGGTGATTGTGCATAGTATGGTAGTAACAATTGATGGTGGCAGTGGCAGGTATGTATCGTAATTTCAGGCTCACTGACTTGTTCTTTTTCGTCTTTATCAACAAATCCGGAGCTGCAAGGGCAGGTTGAGCCGCGGCCTCGTAATCAAGTGCGTCTCCAGCAGCCAAGCAGTAATCCGTAAGACGACGCGATTGAAAAGACAACGACACCGGAGTGGATGATGATTGCGACACAGTTCACAGATACAAGGAAAACCTGAGCATAGACATCACCAAAGACGCAGGAAATCGGCTACGAGCCAGCTGGACGATGCTGGAGATGCCAAAGGCCGCATGCAGGGAGCGTGCACAATGCGGCACACAGAAGTTGAATGATGAGCGGGGACAACAGCAGGAAATACAGCAAGATCACGACTGCGGTAGACATGGTAACGGATAGAAACTCGTGAACGGGCTTGAGCACAAAAATTTTAAACCACAAAATCTGCCGGTTTCTATGCAGTGTGATGTGTTGAGATACGCTTTAGTCTCGGTGCCGTGTATATTACTTGTAGGCACCGATAGGAAATGGATACAAATATGAGAAGTATGATATATAATATACATTGGCTGCGCTTGCCAAATGTAAAAGCTGGAACTCTGATAGCGAGGATTATGACCATTTATCTATGTACTCTTGCCAACACCTGCGGACGATTAACGTTTTCTGCGAGGACCAATAGCGTCCGCTTAGACCATTCGCATTTGTGTGAGGTTTGTATCAACTGATGCGTGTACCGCTACCACCGCCTATTCAGCCTATCCGGAACGACCGCCTGCGTGTTTCGCCAGTAAATATTGTCCCGTACAGTCAAAAACTATGATCTATTATCTATGCGATTGTTTTAAAACGTATCTTTTCATATGTGTCTAATGCGTGTTATTGAATGCGAGATTATATGGAGGAGAAGCGAAAGAATCAAATTTAAACTAATGTTGAACTTCTAGTAGGATTTCATAGGTATGATAGCAGAATACATACTGTAACACAAACTGCTTGTTCATTCGTGATAACGGGTTCTTTGTAGCAGTATGTTTGCATCCAAAGCCAGCACAGAAAACAGTTCCTATAATAACGACATCCAGTACATCCAAAAGGCCAGGCTATTCGTCGAAAATAATGAAAAGCCGAAGCGATTCCGTTCATGCACATCAGCCTACCGGGACCTGCCAGGGGTAAGTTGTACGTAGATTAAGTAGTTTTTCATACAGATGTATTCAAGTCCATTACTAACAATGCAGCATAATTTAGATGAAGTGGTACCGACATGACGACAACGTTCGCCACATGCGGTGTATTAATCTGTGCCCTACTGGTTGCTGCAGTTGAAGTTGCTGTTCGTAAAGTTGGTCTCAGAGCGCATTCCTTGGGTGTACAGTACCTTTATGAAGGTAGCACTAAAGTGATCTTTCTTCTATATTTCGCAAGTAGCTCTTTTGTTCTAGGAAGAAGATGGCGATGATGGCAAAAAGGATTTAAAAAAACATGTTTAATTTATATGGTAGTATAAGCTTCTAGTAGTAAAATTATATTTAAAGAATCGTGCATTCCTACAAATGTTAGTAAGCTTTTGTCCGTGGTAACGATAGCCCTCTGATTTTTTTCTCTCTTTTTTTTTTCTTCTATAATTTTTTCTTCAACTACATAATATTCTGATTTGTGGGATTCGTCTGTGGCAGTAGTTACGGTCTTTTTCGTCTTGATAATTGTCGTCTTCAGTAGCCTGAGGTGCGTGATATCTGTGTGATTTGCTTGTTGATATGATATCTTCGGTCATTTTTGAATGTGTTATCATGTCGTGCTATTTTTGCGTTCGAGTATGTATGTCGATCTGTTTTCTTTTTTCTTTTTTTCTTTTTTTTTTTTTTTCGCGCAGCCTTCGCTAAATGCTCTGTTGTCTTGAGCTCGACGCGAATGATATGGAGGCCGTTGAAGGCGATAATAGACTGAGCTTGTGACTTTGTATCGATGATGATCCTCAGCGCTGTATTTTGTCTCTAAATATCAATAAGCCTTTCACGTTAGTTATCAATGTCTTCATCTAAAGTGAATCCGTGTGACTTATTTGTACTTACTGCTGATAATTTACACCATATAATTGCCCCAGTCTTGCTTTTCAGTCTGGTAGTGGAATAGACTGCAATTTGATATCGCTTGGTTTGTTTTGTATGTGATGCTGTGTGTCTTGTGTAGACTTCATCTTTTCTTCGCTGATTTCTTTCCAAAAGATTGTCTTGTATAAATCGCTGCTGTTGTTGTATGTGTTAGCTTTTGATGCGATGTTGATCGGGTATGTAGTGCCGTTGTAAGCAAACTTGCTTAGGGTGATAAGACAGCCACCGACTTGTTGACGTTTTCTTGGTGCCGTATTGTACGAAAGGCAGTGGTGATTTTTTTTCTTGACATATGTTTCTGTCTTTTTGTTGCCTTGAATTTCGCTACTTTTGCTTTCCGTCGTCACAGACCGCGTGATGCTTGGTGTTGTTTTTACATTCTCTCTAGTCTACTACTAATCTAATTCCTGATTTTCTTTTCCTTTCTTTTTTCTTTTTTTTTTACTCGTATTTTGGGGGGCTATCGTTACCTGGACCGTAACTTACCAACGCTTTGTCAGAAGAGATTTCCTGGGTAGAATATGTCGAATTTTCGTTGCATGAATAGCGGCCTTCACTAATGATATGATTGTAGCAAAGTCACAATGAGCAAATAATTTTACGAAAGCATGAATAGTCAATTGTTTCTCTTGGTTTTGCTTCTTACCATGATACAGCAATGTATGCTTCTTCTGTTTCGATTTCCGAGGTAATGTACTATTGACTGTCCTAGTAGCTAACGCTTGATATAGAAGAAATGACAGAAAGCCTCCCTTGTTTGCTGCGTGCCATCCATTTTGTCATGGATACACATGCACGATGCCTTCCTTAAGGTAGTATCATCGAGTAGTCATGTCGCCCACCGCTTTTACTAAAAGATTAATCGATCTAAATGAGTACGTATAATACATACACCAGTGCTAATCGCCTCATATTCCGCTCCAAATTCATACCATGTAAATTCAAATTACCTCAAAAGTTCTCTCCTATCAACGGTCAAACTGCTGCCATAAACAATATGTGTGTGCGAATGTCAATAATGAGTAGTTCTTGAATATATGTCCCGTGCGACAGGAACCATTGACCGATTCTCTCGTCGAGTAGCGTTTATCGGTTGTGCGATCAGTGTCTTCAACGTGAGCTCGCCAGCATGCATTCGAAAGTCGGATACGGATAGTGCCGCCATTATTGCGTCTACGCAATGCCGTCGGATCCCTCTGGTAATAATGTGCCCCTTGTTGATAGTGGCCTTTAGACGCAGTGTTTTGCTTGATGCGTCTTGGACAGGTGTGCTTCTCGTCCCTTCTTTTGTCCCCATTGCTGCTTCACTACTAAAGCAGAAATGAAACCGCCACGATAATATGATACTGCTCCATCCAATAGCCGTGTCCCGTGTGCATCGTTGTCCCTGATATTCTTTGCCCGGCCATGCCGATGACTTGCTCGTTGTTTTCATGCGCAATTTTCAGATTGTTCGCCACCTTTTCCCCCCTAAGAAGAAATTGAATGTAAGAATCACATTTTGTCCGACTTGATATTGTTAAGAACTTACTATAGGCTCTGCATCCATCTAAATGGGCGTTTGAGATGTTGTTAATAAATATGTCTCCTCGTATCTTGTCGCCAATTCTTCCCGTGGTGCAGCTTGGATCGTGTTGCCACCATAATAGAAGTCGCCAGTCTTTCTGCTTTGGTGCCGTCTGATAGAAATGATGAAGAGGCATTTGAATAGCCGTCCATTGCCCGATGTTGTCCCCATATTGAAAGCTGACAATGCCAATGTCGTCTTTTTGTCGCCATGCTGCTGTCTCCACAAGTCTCCTCGTCGTAAACCGAGATAGATGAGGATTGTTTTCATCTCCTTGACTTGACGTTGGCTGATTTGAATAGTTGTAATGAGTATTACCGTCACATTACACCTTGTGATTCTGAACGGATTGAACTGTCGTATGCATTGTTGCAGTTTTTGTCGCTGAAGTATCTTGCTCCATGTGGCCATCATAGGTAGCGATGGACACTGTTGGTCGATACGATGTTTGCCGCTGCTCCTTTGTTGCCGCTTTCTCTTTGTGTTTTCACCACAAAAGTGGGGATGGTAAATGATGATGATGATGATCGTGCCGTTGATGTGAAACCATCCCACATATTTGCCCGCATGCTTAATGACTTGATCCGTCTACGGCCACACACCTTGAACTTTTTGATCAGCTTGCATATTCCTCGTAAAGATGTGCCATAAGTGATTCATTGCTGCTGCGGTTGAGTATGACTCGCCCATAAATTACATGTCGCCTTTTCCGCCTGTCACTTTTTCGTCCGCTGAAAACAGTAGATGCCAAAGGCTGTCCACCACGACTTGCACTTGGTCCGCCTATGCACGTGTTAAATGCATGCAATTTTCCGCCCAGAAGGGGAAGTGTCATATTGGATCACTTGAGAACAGATATCCGCACCCGCTTGAAGAGTCCTTGTCGCCATAGCATCACCAGTAGTCAATAAACTTGCTCCTTCCACACTGGGAATATTCAAATCCGAGTTAGAACGTCGAATGTAGTTGTTGCCTGGACCAACGGGAAGAAAACCAGAGGATGCCAACGATTGAATAATGCTTATCGATCTTGATAGTCTATCGCCAAAAGACTGGTCAAGCCAAAGACGGGATTCTGCCAATCCTCGAATCGACATCAAGTAAAAGAGATTGTTTTTACTTGGCTAGCCTGGAAATACGACGCCACCTGTAGCAGCATAACCATCATGGATCATCCACCAAGACCACACGAGACGATGTGATCAAGCCAAAGACGGGATTCTCACAACACCCCGAATTTTTACTCGGCTAGCCTGGAAAGCTGACGCTCTCCATCGCGGCGTACCACCCACACCGCTGGCCTGACACCCCAACCCGGACACCCCAGCTTCACGGAATCCGGAGGCAAAGGTGAAGGCTGAGGCTGGACTAACATGGCTGTGGCACTGACTACAACCGGTGGAGGATCCAGGGTATGGAAAGGGCGAGGACAACTCCGGTTGAGCTTTCGGTGGCAGGGATTGGGTGAGCAACATTGCTCCGGTTGGCCAGGGCTTACGCAGGAACACCATCCACATGAGCTGGAACTGACTGGGATGACAACGTTTGAAAGGAATAAATTCCTAATACTGGGCCCCTCTTCGCCTTCTCCACACCACATCCGTGTCGAATGCGATACGAAGAAGGGAAGAAGGAAAGGAAAAAGGATATATCAGTTAGCAAGCCTCTTCTTATCAATATGGCCGTAGGTATCAAAGAAAGCATAGTACGTACCGTAATCATACAAGCTTGGCGCCTTGTGTTGTCATTTGCTGTCAAGAACCGCCGCTGTACATGTGGATTCCTGCTGCCTACACAACCAGAGCGTTGCTCACCTCCCCACCACCGGCTCAACCGGAGTTGTCCCCACGTGCCCCTCCAACCCCTTCACCCCGGTGGCTGCAGCCAGTGCCGGCGCCAATGCCAGCCCCAACCGCCTTTACCTCAAGAAACCATCCACTGAGATGTCCGGGCCGCACCCCATCGCCTGACGAAGGCGGATACCGCCAGACACACCGAAAACACGCCGCATGCGCTCTATTTGAAATAAAAACAGTAAACTCATTAGCATCAGTACTTTATGCATCTCGCTCAAGCAAAACTGCTGAGACACTTACCCCAACCAAGCGCACACGCGCAACCACAAACATCGCCTGACGCAGGCGTACGCGACAACGCCAAGCACGGCACCAGAGGAAAAGAAAAAAAACATGCGGAAAAGAGGAGACAGCGACACAAACAGGCGGATTCAAAGTGGGCGACACCAGGAAAGGGAAAGGGGAGAGACCAAAGGAACGGAGAGAAACAAGCACACAGACAGAACAAATGCCTAGAGAAGGCCATCTAAAAAGGACATTGCAATTAGCATCAATCTGGGGCAATACGAAAGCACTCGATAGCGAAATAAAAGAGGATGTAGCCACTTACACGCCGACAAGACCTGCTCCATCTCGGAGACTCGGTCGATGTCTCCACGAGCAGCCTGCAGCAGGCCAGCAAAGAGCGCCTCATCGTCGCCAGTCTCTAGGAGACGCTGCAACTCCTCATACTCGTCCAACGTGACACCCAAGTGTGCTGCCATCACTGCAGCAAACTGTGCACCTTCTTCATCATCTTCTCCTTCTTCTTCTTCGTCGTCACCTTCTTCGTCGTCGTCGTCGTCTTCTTCTTCTTCGTCTTCTTCGTCATCTTCTTCCATGCTCTCCGGGCCGCAAACGACAGGAACGTGAGCCATTGGCTCCGGCGCGACGACGGACATGGGGGTGTTTGCGGAGGCGAAAGTGGTGGATGCAGCGATAGGGCAGGAAGAGACGGAAGGGAAGAATAGCTGCAAGGTGTTGCGCTGGCGGATGTGGCGGTGGTGGCGGCGACGGGTGGAGCTGAGGAGGTGCGCAGAAGGATAGGGACGGGAACGGACTTGTTGATGAGGACGGTGGTGGCGGTGGGTTGAAGGAGCGACTGTGGGGACGAACGGAACGGAAGGAGCGAACAGCGGCAAGTAGTGGTGGTGACGGTGACGGTGGCGGATTTCACGGTGGCGGGTGTGATGACGAGGTGCGCGGAAGGATGCAAGGACTGTGTGGTTGCGGCGGTGATGGTGGTGGTGTCGATGATGGGGGTGTTGTTGGCGGCGGCGTTGATGGCGGTGGTGTTGACGAGAAGAAGAAACAGGAACAGGAACAGGAGCAGAAGGAACGGACGGGGCAACGAGCGGCAAGTAATGGTGACGGTGGTGGCGGATTTGATGATCCCGGTGGTAATGGTGGTGGTGGTGTGAGGAGCGCGGAACGAAGAAGAAACCGGGTGTTGGCGACGGAGGTGTTGATGATGGCGGTGACGGGGCTGGCGGCGAACGGAGCGCACAGAAACAACAGGCACAAGGCCTCTTCGTCAAGCAAGACAACCACACCATGGTCCTCAGCAGCAAAATCACCTGCTACTGGCAGCTGCGATGGGAGCTGGTCCAAGGACGAGGAAGAAGGCAACGTCACTGGGGACGGATTACGCACAACTTGGTCAATGGGAGCCTCATCGACAACTGCAAATGAGGGGACGTCGATGCCGTTAGGCACAGCAGGGAGGATATCGACCGCAGGTGGCAACGAAGGCGAGACTGGAAGGCTGGCGTCAGCACCCGAAGGCTGGGCATCATTCTTACGAAGAGCCATTGACTGCACACTCAACTCATCCAGCTGCACAACGTGCACGGGAGCAGGAACAACCACTGCAGGAGCCGCCACTACAGCAAGCTCTCGAGCGCCGGCCTCATTCAGGCCCATGGCGGGACGCGTCTCACGGCAACGGTATTCGCCCAAAGGCAGAAACAAACTGAATGTCGCGGGCAGCAACAACGACAGGAAACCGGACGACGCAGACAACGACGGCAGCAGCAGGAAAGAAAAAAAGGGAAATGTCGTGGCAATTAGCCAACGACAGGCGATATACGCTAAGGCGATCGGGTACATCAGCAGTGCACACAGGGCATAAGACAAGGGCTTATCGGTTTCTGACATTTTGGAATGTAGATGCTGGTAAAGAAGAAAAAAGGAGAGCTGGAAACTACTTCTTTGTTATTGTCAAAAAAATTTCAAAGGCCGTGACGTCACGCGTTTTTTTTTCTTTTTACCGCACACAGTGCGTTCTCTGTAAGCATGTGAGAGCAGTAAAGCACACTAGTAGTAACGCGTTGGAAGATGCTATGATAGCCTCTTTTTTTTGCTGCGACGTCGCTATGGTTGCGTGCTGTTTCCATGGCTGCATATATGTTTCACATTTGCGCTGCTCCGCTTGTACGTTCCAGGCACACCCGTGTCAATTTCTTTTTTCGCCATGGCCAGTGCGTCTACAGCAAAGTGACTCAATATCGGGTGATTATCAAAGAACAATTTTTGATGATACTAGCTTTTGATTACAGTGACTAGACTCCTTAACGACTCAATGTTTATTGGATTATAAAAAACATATAATCACTGAAGTATCATGCATACCATATTTCAGAAAATTCAAGGATAATAGCAACACAAGTGAAGCTCTTATCAATTGCCCATGAACTGCATAAGTAGATATACTCCTCTGATTTTTTCAGAAAAGTTTCTCGAATTGCTTCGCAAGTGTAAATGAAATATAGTAAGTAGGAGGAAAGGAAGATTACCAATCTGCAGTGTTCTTGCTGGCTATTTCTACAAAAAGTTTTTCAAAAGATCATGCTCTGGATTTTTGCCTCCCTCTACCCATTACGATGCGCCAAAGGTGGCACATAACTAGCTAAGACTTTTATGGGTTGAATATAAGCTTCTTGTTTGTAACTGTGGGTGTATAAATAATGCGGATCGCTGAACACTACTCGATGATGATTGGGTCATTACTCGTCAATGCAACAACGCCGAACTGCTTCAGTGCTTGTGATCGTATGTGAAATATAGCCGATAGACTGAATAGCTACTGCTATTGCTCATAAGCGGCTTTCCATGAAGGCTTACATATTATGTATACACTGCTTAATGTTCATTTGCAGTTTGGTGCTGTCTGCCCATATTATCTGCTCTTTTCCTCATAAACAGCAGCTGTTGCTCCTGGTAATCCATATCACATTGCTTTCCCGCCATATCATAGACTGCACTAATGCACTAATCGAGGATAAATATGTAGAAAAGCTAGATGAAGTTCTAACTAACTGGTGCGTTTGTCCTTTGCCCACAGCACCATAACATACGTACAAAAGTAGATGCTGTGATCTCTATTGAATAAATCATTGTTTTCTTTTATGTACATTACTTTTAGGAAATATTAACAATGGTACGGTTAGAGGAGCAGCTATAATTTTTGCTACATACCAATTCTTAAGGCATATGCAGCTTGCAGATTTTGCGGGTATGTAATATACAAAAACGATCTTTTACATGAATTTCAATTAGAATAGCTACTTCATCATGATCCCTATACTTCTCGCTCAATTAACCCACTTAACCTTTACATAACTGTTTCTTTTCCTGGTCGTCATGCTATTGTGGTATTGCAGAGTAACGGCTGGACTCTGAATACGCGGAAATGAAGTGTGAATAAAAAGGAAGTAGGCGATTTACGGGCCTTAGATATGCTATTACAGCTATTCTGATGAAAAATGGAAAGTGGGAGTTCAAAGAATCGGGAATGTTACGTCCGAAAGACCACTTGAGAGATTTCTTTATTATGAAGAAATATTGTAAAAGAAAAGGATAAGATATGAACTGAAGTGATATTGAATGAAAAGAGAAAGGCTATTTATACTAATCAATGCTCTTGCGTCTCTAGCTAAGGGATTATTGGGTTACTGATGCTATTGCGTTGAGAGCTTTTGCTAATGCGACAGAAGCATTTGCTAATACGATAGAAGCATTTGCTAATACAGTGAAAGCATTTGTCGTGCGGCATTGGTGGCTAATCCAATAAGAGTGGGAGAGAGATTGAGTATGGAGACACAAACATTATGAGGATATGAAATTGCACTACACTATATACCTAAAAATACTGCTACAGCTTTAGAACCGGCATTCACGGCCATCTTCGCGTCACTGGTTCTTCATGATTTCAACTGATAAATACCATCATGCAGTTTGCGTCATCATATGTCTTGCCAGTGCCGTACAGTACTCGTACTCAAGCCGTCGAAGCTATCATTGTCTTTGAGTAATAGTACAATTGCAAGCTAAAGCAATGACGTTTGAGAAAAATTCACCCTCTGTTTAACAAGCTCTGCCCAATAAAGATGAAAGCACGATCGCAGATAGAATTGCTCTTTGTATGGCTACAATGACGCAGTGGAAAAGGCAAAGCTTTGGATGTCTAAGTAAGCTGAATGTAATCGTCGCCAGTGACAATGACAGTAAATCGTTGAGCAACTGAGCCGTTGAACCAGCTTTTCGCAGCACACTGACATACGCGGTGGCGGAGCATATCACTTTAAAAAAAGCAGAGAATGTATCTACTGCTGCTGTTCTTTATTGTTATCGCCACCATTACTGTATTGGTTATCATTGTTGGTATTACAATGTTGTTATCGCATAGTAGTGCGCTTGTTGAAATTGAAGACAGCTTGGTCTAGTCACAAGCACTGTGCCAGATCCACACAGAAAAACCACGCTCTTCCAAGCCATCCAAACAGTTCGTGAAGCAACAGTACAGCGAATAAGTAGGCGGTAAACATGGGATGCATATTCGTAATCGCTATATATAAGCTATGTGTACAATATACTACTGTATATAGGCTTATTAGGATAAAGATACGCGCTAGTACGAGGAAAGTGACTAACCTGTTACCTCGGGGAAGGGAAAGCTCTTGATACTATAGTATCACAATTCCTCAGATATCATAGTTGCCCATCTACGCGCATTGCCTTGAGCCAGCGGACGATCCCTCGCCGATAGCCCCGAACTAGCTTAAAGTTGCTTGTGCACTGTAGCGAACGAATAGTATTCGTCTTGAAGGAGTTAGCTTGCTGCCCAGTTCAACCAATGTAGCACTGGTCGATACGCGAAAAATGACATGGCGGTAATACTGTAAATATTCCAAAGACTTCACGCTTTGTCATCGACATTGCGATGTTGTGAGTTGACAGTAAGGATAATGATGGAGTTGACTTCAGTACAGTAGCGTAAATGGGGACCTTCGCCTTCGTCATCTACAACAGTTGTGATGGTTCTCGTTTCTGTTTTTTGGTATCTATCAATCGTAACTAAAGCTTTTATGTACAGTTGAAAAAGATGAGAGCAAAAAAAAAGAGAATAAATAATTTCTGAGCAGCTAAGAAACATATATATGACTTCTTTTGCAACCCACGAATACAAAAGCTCAAGTCATGGATGCACGATATTGTACGACTACGATTCCTCATAACAATGTATAAATGCAGATGGTCGTGTCGTCATACGATGGTGTTATGATATCTTGTATGCTCGCTTGTTATTAATCCGCAAAGAGCATTCATATACCAACTAGACAGCTCCCAGACTTTCTACAAATCACCATGAAATTCCACATTGTTTGTTATTTCTGGAAACGGTTGGTTTTGTACTTTTTTGCTCAGGATGTTTCTACTACTCATACATATGAATTAAATTTAGAGTATGAAGCAATGTTTAACGAACTTAAACATGTGCAGTATGTAAAACGTTTTTTGTGCATCTTATCGTATAGAGGCTACAGACAGTCATATGTAGTGATCCATGAAGGGGTTGTTGTTCCGGACACTGGAAAGTATTTCTATTACTGTCGTGAATATTATGACTGGCGATTCACTCCTCTATAATTCAGCTTCAAGCGAAGACAGCTGCGCACCAGGACTGATGTCATGTCTGAATTGCTGAAGCGTTGAACAATAAGGGTGCTGTTTGAGGACACTTCATTGATCAACACCAGAACAGCAATATATACCCGCCTACTGCGTCACGATTAAAAGTATCGTGGCTGCGGATGGATCACATAAAGTTTGTACACTTTACAGTAGTGCGCCGCAGCTTTCCATCATTGCCACGGTATTTTTGTACATTGTGTTTTTGGCTCGTGGCAGTGCGGGCATGTCTTCTAGATTGAAACTCGCCAGTACAGTAATGCACAAATGACTGGTTTTCGGCACGTCCAGTTCTTGCTTTAAGTTGTTGCTTGCACCTTGTTTCCGGGCCGCCACAAACCAAAAAATGTAAGGTGGGTTTGATTTCAAAAAGACATCAAGCCGAAGCCAAATAACTGTGGCATACTTTATGACGCAATTCACGCGTGCGACCTTTCTCGCACCGTCTAAATGTCTGCATTGCCATTACACTTGATTTTTACATCTCGCGTCGTTTTTGGTGATTTGTCGCAAATGTCGCAGAGCTCGCCTTCTTCCAAGTGCCGAATATTATGGTTTGGGTAAGGGTATTGGCAGCGATGATATCGATGATGGCTGTTGTATGTTTTGTTCGCTGTCTTATTTTTCCGTAGCTGCTGCGGTTGCTGCTGATGGTGATAACGCAGGTAATGAAGGAGATGGCGGCAGCGGTGCAACCAATCCATTAATGCAATTTGTCTGTCCGTTTGCAAGAAGGTCACTGTCCTCCTGTCATACACCTGAACAGATACAGAAGGCTCTTAGAGCAACAGAAAAATACTCAAGCTTGATCATGGAAGTGAAACAAAGTACACTATTTTGTATTTGGTACTTTGGGAATATCAGCACCAATGTAATATACATAGCCTCTCCTCACCAAACAACTTAATCCGGCTTGACTTTTTTCCTCTCTAGCAAGGGGTGTTTCGGTTAAAGCACCACCTCCTACTATTTATTTTTTTATTCTTCTCAATCACCGCACCGCAAGGAAGCGACAAGAATTCTATAAGCGTATCGTCACTAGCCTTCAAATAAATGTAAACTTCAAACTAATATGATATTACGTAAAAGTAGTATTGAGTAATCGGTAGAAGAAGCACTAAACTAATCAGTAAACAGTAGTGCTGGTATTATACGAGGAAGCATCTACTAATCGCAGGGAGGGACTAGGAAGTTCACCCCAGCGTCAACACAGGCCAGTTTGATGGCCGAATCTCAAAGTTCAAAAGTTGTGTTTTTTAAAAAACTTTACTAACAAACACAATGTCTTGGGCGAATATATATGCTCAAAACAGATTGAAGGAGCGTGTTAAATTGGAAACATCGTGAATTGACACAGGGATAAAGGTTCTTTATACTGCGTTCCTTTTGCGTTTATCAGGTCATAAACATATCATATTATGTATATGGGGCATCTACAGAACAAACATGTTTGCTTCTACTCGGTGTTAGAACTAGCGCTTATTAATGGTATCCGCAGCTCCTGTATTTTACATAGCGTCGATTTGGGTTAGTATACATACAACTTTCAGGCACGGAACACCTGTAGATCCTTTTTTCCTTGCTTCTATTTTTGTCGCTGATTTCTGCGGCGGCAGTTCAGGTACTATATCTGCCACAAAAGTAAGCGGAGCTGCCTTGCAGTTGTGAAACATTCATGCACTGCTTGGAAATGGCACCCTAGACGATGACAGGCAACTTCTTTACGTTCGAAACTTCTTTCTCTATAGCTCTTTTGATTAAAGGTGCACAGTAGCAATATCATAAGAGATTAGATGACGTCACAGCGGGGCCGAATTTTTGTGACGAGTTTTTTAGCGCGTATTTTCCAGTGTTTGCTCTTCTGCTCTGCACCAACTCAACATCTCACAAAGTGTACAGGACAGCAATCAACAGTTGTAGCCCGCAAAACGACAACAAGTATGTATAAAGAGATCTCGAAGCTTAAACACTTGTTAGCACTTTTGAAATAGAAACAAACGTTAATTATTAGGGCATTTACTTTCATTTTCAAGCATTTACAAGTGGCTTTCTTGCAAAAGAAGCCCGGTTTGCTCGAAACATTGCCACTGAGCTTTGCTTCACACAAGAGCCTTCCGAAAGTCTGGGGTACGACTCAAACTGCCCCTGATTAACGGTAAAAAACGTTTGGTAAGAGACACAGAACACTTTTGAATGGTTGTTTTCTCTTCAATCTTAATCTTTGGTACATTCTGATTACATGTTCTTAAAAATATTTTTTTTCTTTCTTTTTCATAATTGCAGGCACACGATGCTGCTTGGGATCACTTCTTCCCTCCCTTTTAATTTTTCTTTTAGGGCATCTCATGTCAGCGGACTGCCCAAAGTGTGCAGCGAGTGTGCGGGTTTGAGGGTTGGCCGCCTTTGGATCTGCTGTGCATGGCGGGCTGATATGAGCATGCCTAGTGGTCCTAAACCGTAACCGGCACCAAGTATATGCCCTCTGCGAGTATTCAGAGTAAGCGAGGACGAATCCCTACTTGTCCGGCGACCAGTGGCTGCGAAGCTTTTCTTTATATCTATTTTCCAAGAGCTCCAAGCGTAGTTAGTCCTGTATCTCTGACCGTGGCTGGCTGCTCCTGGGGCATTCTTACACCATCAAGGGAACCTTCTGCTGTTTGAGTCATTCGCGTAGTTGTGTACTCCCAAGTGGGTTTGTGGACGCTGGGGAAGGGCTCGCCTCTCAGTTAGAAACTCTCTCTGCGATCTTTATTTATTACATTCACCTTTTTTTTACACCCTCTTTTCTTCTTGAACGATGACGCGGTCCCGAGCAGCGGCGCGTCTTCAACTGCGAGGGCTGTTGTTTGGTGGACTTATCAACGAAGAGAGCAGGTATCATGGAAAACGGGGAGGGTGGATGGAGCGGGGTGATATGCTAATTAGACAAAAATTACGCTTGCGTGGTTTTCTCTTTTTCTTGTAGTAGCAGGAACCGCACCTTTCGACAAGTGTTACGTTTGGCTGGACAGCGAAAAGTTGATGTGTACTGGGCCGCCATGCTGGCGAACGCGGGGCTTACTAAATCCGTGTCGTTAAACTTAGCGTGTGTGCCGAGTAGTGGATGGGGTGCGGGGTAGTGGTGTTCCTCATTGTGAAATCAGAAGTGATTGTCTATTCATTGATAATGTAGGCGCTTGATACTTAATGCCTTCAACGTCGTCAAAAGATAAATGATGCTCTTTAAAATTTTTAAAAGCTGTGGAAAAGCCTTCAAAGTCTTCTGAAGGCTTTTATAAACAATAAATTACCGTTTTGGATTTTCATACGCGTGCTTGATATTTTACTCGGTCTAAGTCCCGATTGTCCTAGCTTTTACACGATACATTCATTTTGTTTATAATATGTATATTAAAGTGGTCGAATAGAACACATACATTAACAAACAGACATACTATCAGAACTTTCTGTTTCTTTAAAACATTGTAAAAGTGCAAAGTGAGCGATGGTGTCGATTAGGACAAATGTCTTAAACTCTTTTGAGCGTGGATATGTTATCCGGATTAATCTAGCTTTTCTGAAAGTGTCCAGCGTCATGGGAAGCGTGTATTCAAGCTATCGGTCCCTCTTGTCCTGGATGGGTTGCCCATATCTACTACTTAGTATCATATGAATCTACCTTTTGCTGTTAAGCATCAAACGCTGACACGAGAACTCTAGGGAGTAACGAAAAACGACTAGAGCAATCTATTGTTGGGTGGATTTTTATGTGCGGTTCTTAGCACCAATAGGACGATCTAATTGCAACCGACGTAGCAAAGCAGCTTTCAACAGCAGACCATTTATGTAATATTGAGGCCTTTAACCTCTTTACTATAAGTACTTTTCTTTGATTTATCTCGGAGTAAAGATTGTGCTTTATGCATAACACATACCCTGGAAATCTCGCTGCAGAATGTGACCAGGACGAAACTTTTTAATCTGGATCTAACAGTGCGACGGAACCAAGTTGTTGCACATGTGTATCCACAGTAAAGCCTCGGTGACTCAATCCTAAAAAATGCATCTTAATCTGCTATGATTATATGGCAACGAAAGCAGCAATGAACCTATATGCCTATAAATCTGTACGCAAGCAACACTTCCTGAGTTAATGATAGTGCGCCTTTTCGTACATTAAGAAGCATTCCTGCTTTGCGATTTTCATGCTCTTACATTAAAAGCTCAGCTGCATGCAAAACAAAATTGTCACACGATCTAGCCACATTCAACATATATGGGAAGTTGTTCGTATGCACATAGTGCGGGGTGATTTGTGTTTTTTAAAGTAAACCGTGAAGATCCGTTATTGTACATTTAATGTTTTTCCTATAAGTTTATAAACGGACAACTGATATTGTAGATCGATTCCAGACATCGTCAAATGAACAAAAAGAAGGTCATGTTGACTTTTGGTTCTCCAGGGCCCTTGGCTTGCCACATGAGATTTTTTTCTTTACAGTAATAAATATGTGGTCGGATCGGGGAAAAGCAGCGTCCCGTGGGAAAATATATTTCCTTGGTCTTTCTTTTTTTACTGCCCTTTGTTGTAGAAGTGAATTCTAGCACTAACAGAACTGTGTGATCTTCAGTTTACGATAGAAAAGAAGTGCAAATGCTGCCAACGATGATGCCTATTGTTGTGGCGTATCATTGATCCCATATTTGGTGGTTGTTAATACATATGATGCCGAAATGACTCACGACAGAATGAGCTGACGTTGTTGTAGCTGTTGTTATAGCTGCGACAGCAAACATCAACAAAGAAAATCCATGTTATTGTGGCACAAAATGTCCTCTCCCGTCACTTCGCCTGGCTACAGCAACAAATGGTAGCATATATGCAACAAGGTTCTCCACGAGAAAAATCAAAGGAGCGTGATTATTAAGAGAAAGGACAATAGTAACGAACAAAGTTCAATCTATCTTATTTCGGAACCAGGTCGCAAGACTACCTCCCTTCTCTCTTTGTTCATCATGCTTGATGTTATTCAAAAGGAAAGCGGAAATCAAGGAACTCTTTATTTTTATTATCATTAATTTGTCGCCGACAGCACGGACCATGCTATCATTGGTGTAGACGACACATCATCACACGCACCTTTGTCGTCTTAAATATATGCGAGATTAGCAGACACATTGCTGCCCCGACGAGCATCAGCAACCACACACAATATGCAAGTGCATAGATAAAAACCTTTTCCCGAAGCTTCGACTCTGCTGCTGCGGCCTCATGCCGGTGAATGACGGCGAGATTCCGCAGGTATTGATGATGTTTATAGCGACCGACACTACATAAATCTAGGGGTAGTACGTAAGGAAATTCGTTTTCTTCTTTCTCTTGCTGTATTTAGGGGATGATGGGCTGTCGGCTGTAGTGGTTTTCATGATCCCATAAGAGAATAAGGGGCGGCAATTGTAATGTTGACTCAGAACAGCGCAACCAACAAAGGATCCGTCAATTCTGAACTGGCAAGTCCAAACTTGCGCAAAGCACGTGCCCTGATGCTGCTCCATTTTTTTTTTTGCACACTTGCCTTAAATAAGGAACAGCCGCGCTATTTCTGGCTTGTTTTCCATTTCCTTCATTTCCACCCAGTCCATCCACATCCAACAAACTCCTTCTTTTCCTCTTTCTTTCTTTTGTATTCTCTCTTTGTCTAGATCGCCCTGCGAGAATAACAAGGCTGCAGCATGAATCAGGACGTGTTGTCGAAAAGCTACACGGACAGTCTCAACAGTTATCTGCTGTCCCACCATGATGATCTGAGCGACTGTGAAGCGGCAAATTCGTTACTATCTCACCGACGGCCATCGCACACAAACGCATCAATCCATTCAAATTTGAGCGCTGCTTGTAGCAGCAACATTCTATCACGCCATCCATCTACGACCGGATACTACCAATCCATGACCAACTCCTCCTCTGCAAACCACAACAACAGCAACAACAGCCCCTTGAACATGAGGCGTGGATCTATGAGTGAAGTACTACCAGAAAATGCGTATCTCTCTCGCACAAACACCATGACTACCACGACATCCACACAGCATGACGACGATGACGAAAACTACCATGACGCAGATGAACCAACACCGCTACCACAATTGCAGATGTTCATCATATGCACGATTCTTATCAGCGAACCGCTTACTTCGACTATTTTGCTTCCTTTCATTTACTTTATGGTAATCCAACTATTCATCCTCTGATCCTCATGCTGTAAGTTAGCTGATCATTTGTACATCTTTAACCCTATGAAGCTTAAAGACTTTCATCTATCAGATGATGAAAAAGAAATCGGTGCCTATGCAGGATGGATCAGTAAGTTATGCTTAAAAAGTGGAAAGGGGGTTATAGTTGTGATTTGTGACGGGATACTGGATGCATGTAGCCTAAAGTTCTTGACGTCGTTGGAAACTAAACCACTCCTTCTAAATGTGCCTCACTCCTTATTCTGTGTCGCTGCGCCGCCACCCACCCACCAACGAATTGATCTGCACGAAATACAAACACATCAGCTTCGATTTTCTTTTTAGCCCAATTTTGCACAGCCATGCAGTTCGGCAAGTACTCTGATAAGAATGGCAGACGACCGGTCTTGTTACTTGGATTGATCGGTAACTCGATTTCAGCTACTTCCTTTGGTTTGAGCAAAAGTATCTGGTGGGCCATGGGAACACGGGCATTTTGCGGAATTTTGAATGGTAACGTATCTATCAAGGCCTTATATCGTCATCATCATGTATGACAACAATGATGGGAAAAATATGTAAAGTACGTGGATAAACTGATCATATGCGATTCTTATATGCACATGCATCATGCAGGAAATTCTGGCGTGGCTAGAAGCATGCTTAGTGAAATCACCGACGAAACGAACCGCGCAACCGCGTTTTCATTGTTTGGCTTTTGCTGGGGCATGGGAATGATAGGTACGGTGTTGCTATTCGCGGTAAATTTTTTCGGGAGAAAAGAAGGACCCGCTTAATAGGTTGCAGGCTATTGATTTTGAGTATCTTTTTCTTTTATCATGTAGCTGGTAAGAAGAAGAACGACGATGTTATCGACTTGAAAAAGGGCAAGGTCACATATTAACTTGTTCAAAACTCTACTCTCTTAATGAAAAATATTCTACACTATTGCAGGCCCGGCATTAGGTAAGAAATGTCTTGTAATATCATGAAAAAGAGAAAAGAACTCAATATGATACAAACATTAAAGTCACTTCCAGGTGGATATCTTTGCAACCCTGTAGAAAGATTCCCTTATCTGTTTGGTGGAAATGCCTTCCTCAAAGAATACCCATACTTCTTACCATGTTTTGTCTCATCTTTGGGATCCCTTGTCGGATTCGCTCTCGGTTACTTTTATTTGGAAGAATCTAACCCTGCTGTTATTGCACGCAAGGAGGCCGAAAAGCAACAAGGCGAGCGTCAGGCACTGTTGGGATCACCCGAGACTGCTTATGCCGCCAATACTGAAGAAGATCTTGATGTCATTAAGCACAACCAGCAGCATGAACAGACAAAACTGACGTCCATCTCCAAGACATCGTATTTGGTTATTCTCGGCTATTCGTAAGTATATCATCAATTATGCTGTCTTTCTATGGAATAATGAAAGCATTAGGTAAATAGAGAAAACCTCGGGACAGACGATTAAAAAGTGTCGAACATTTTTCCAGAGTTTTCGCTTTTCATGCAATGGTGTTCGATGAGATCCTTCCGCTGTATTTCTCTGCTCCTCGTTACGCTGGTGGCCTTGGTACCGACACGACAGAGCTTGCCAAAGCCCTTTCGGTTGCTGGTGTGCAACAGCTATTTTGTCAATTCGTGCTGTACCCGAGAATCAACAGACACGTTTCAACACTTCCCATCACACGAATAGCACTCTGTCTATTCTTCCCCGTATATATTGTGTTTCCCGAATTGACGACGCTCCAAAATTGGCTCGGTACTGCAGTCTCTTCTGCAGCTGCTCAAATATGGCTGTTCCGCTGTGCTTACATGTCATTGCTTTTCGTACGCTACTTTGCCAGCTGTCTTGCGTTTACAAGTATGATGATTTTGGTCAGCAATTCAGCAGATCCGACGATCCTTGGAACAGTCAATGGGTAAGCTTTTAGTATATTGTTTTTTCTTTGGTGCGCATCAGACGGATTATTTGGCCTTAACAACAATGAAATTCACCAACCCCCTCTTTTGACTTTTAAATAGAATTTGCCAGTCATGTCTATCACTCGTTCGCGGCCTAGGTAAGATATCAAGCGCAAGGAAGCACGATATGCAGTAGTAGTTAACCGTTATAATGACATAATAGCTCCTACTATTGGTGGCACACTGTGGTCCATGTCATTAACAACGGGTAACCCGTTCCCCTTTGATCGTCACTTGATCTATTATATAATTGCAATTTTGACAGCGGTCGGATGGGTACAGAGCTATCAAATTCCCTCCTCACTTTCATCTGGAGGTAGAAGGAAGAGATAGGTTTTACAACGTGTATATAGCCTTGTGCATTTAGTTTGACAACAACAGACTATATGCAGTGCGAGAAAGAAGAGCAAAAAAGAAAGATAAGATAATGTCTTGTTAATATCGCTTGTTATGGTGCTGGCAAGGACGGAGAAAGAGAACAATAAATAAAAATATATATACCACTATACATATCATTTAGACCACTCATTTGAATATAAGAAATCGATTTTAAAGCTTCATGCTCAGAAGGAATGTAGCACTGGAATAGGGCTGTTGAACTGTGACATATGGAGGAGAAAAAAAAGTTTCCAATAGTTGAAATGTGTACATCGCCGCCTCCTACCATCCACCAGACTGTCAATGCGTGCAGGATACAGCTGGTCAGTGAGCTACGCTTCGATTTTTTTATATATTTACGCTGACATGTATTACAACACTTTTAATTGTAGAAGAGGTATTGATAACAAGGGAAAACAAGGGGAAAAAAGGAAAACAGAATATCAGAAGAGGAAGTGAGGAGGAGGCCACTTTGCTTCTGGTGACAAATTACATGAAAGAAAAACGAAACCGTTACAGCAGCATGAAAAGGAAAATATATACCAGATTTTCTATTTGACTTGTACAATAAACTCTCTAGTAGTAAATACGACATTGTTTCCAACGTACGCGGTTGTTCCTCCACGGATAGCACCCAGATACTGTAAATCAGCCGGATAGGCAGCCTCCTTCTTCAAAAAGCTGATGAACGGAAGGACGTCGCCATTAAACTTTTCAAGGTTTTCGCCGGCATTTTCACTTTTTGCAACAAAGCTAAAAACCTTTTGGACAGTATTGGTACCTGCATATACATCGTACTTGGTACCGTCTGTATCAACATAAGGAGAAGCAACAAGCTTATTGCCCAAAGGTTCTGCTCCTCCAGTAGCATCAAACCAAATTGCAATTTCACAATCGTAACCGCCGATCTTATCTGAATGTGGATACGTCCACAGATCCAACATGACGTTACTTTTGGGTTCCTCGCCCTCGCTGTCGCCACTGTCAGGAGCAGCGGTGTATTCCCAGTCCCACGCGAGCGGAATGCTTGTTATCTCGGAAATAGCCTTGGGCTCAAAATGATAGGCCGCATTCGCAAACGACTTTATGTAGTTTTCTTGTCCGGACCAGGTCCATGTTGTACGCCAGGAGATACCGTTGTCGCTGGCTGTTGAGAGAATTTCTGTGCATTGCTCGCCAGACTCGCTTCGTCCGACGAGATTATTGTGAACGTTGTAGTTGCCTGCTTGTTTGCTCGCTTCTGTGCCGCAGAACTTGTCCTGTTCAGCCCGCTTATTGATCAAAGGTGAGGCATCAGTGAAAGTGGTGGTAGAGGCAAGTAGGAAGGCAGAGAGTCCAATAAGTTGTCCGAGATGCATTTCGATGTGTAGCGTTTTTAGAAATGATCACTTATCTTTTTCATGGATATTTTCGGGTTTCACACTCTTTTTATACCTTCACCACAGCAATAACGTAAACTCAGACACCCAGGGGCGCCTTCAAGGGGTACAGTAGTAAGTGACAAAATAGAGGAAAGCGGAGCCCCTGCGACTGCTACTGCTTATATGTACTTTTTTTTGTAGGTACTGCTTATATGTACTGTACATGCAATAGAGTGGAATAATAAGAAGCCGACTCCCCATTTGTGTATCATAAGATGATGGACCACTTGCATACGGCGCAACCACACCGCTGTATCTAATATGGTACTTTGGTGAGAGCGAGAAAGATGTGTAAGCTCAGAATTAGCCGATATCCAGCGTAAATTATTTCACTGAGAACTATTACAGTATCAAGCTTGAAAGATCAAGGACGGCCTTAGGAACTCAATGTACTTACCATGGTATAAAGGTGACCGTTTCATCAAGATGACTCTTTGTTCCTTCTTCTAGGAAAAGCTCCATTTCGCTCTATAAATGTCTCTTGAAAATGTGCGCGCCTTCTTTTAATCATAAATAGTAAATGCTGGCGTTTTCTACCCGTTATAAGATCATCCTCAGGTAAAACAATCAAAGTTCAAATAGAATGCCCCCTTTAAAAACAGATTCTACATATTGAGGATCTACCTTACTTCTTCAACCCTCCATAATATCAGCAATCTGTGACCATTCTTTGTGGTTGACCTGCGTGACAAAACGTCAGCTGCAGTAGGCAAGTTTGAATTGTATGGTATAATAGTGTAGTTTATGATGACTAGTTGCTGTTATTGACTACAGTCGTAAGCCTATGCTGTTATATAAGCTACGCTATGTATCTTGTGCCCGCTGAGTCGTTATTCTCTTCAGATTTGTAACGACATCGTGCATGGGCTACACTGACTCAACAGCACAACAGCAACATTATCCGGGTGCCTGGTTGACCTAATTTATCGCTACCAGATACATCACTCGCACCATCATCTCAGCACTACTCTATGCGGACGATATGACACTGGTAGGGTCCCTAACCGTTAAGACGCACCTTCTTCGAATCTCAAACCGACACTGCACCGATCTTAAAATACATATTGATGACATCCCGACAAAAAGTGCCATCATCCGAGCGGCCAATAGCAACATATCGACTTAACAACACTCAATATCGAAAATCAATAACAAGTTTATATCTTGGTATGATATCCCATTCAAATACGAAAGGCATTGACTCCGTTTTGCTCGTAAGCCAACGAATCAATAAAAGCAGCAGGCGCCAAAGCAATACTTTGAGGTCTAATAGACATCCATCATATGGTACCGGTCTATGGCCAGCGTTATGCACTTACCGGACCTTAGTCCGACCAGTAGTACTTGAATGTGGTCTCGCTATTATCACAGCACTCTCAACCACACAAACTTCAGTAAGCGCAGCAGGGCTATCTTACCGACACCATATGCTGTACGACCTTATTATCCATGCAAGTCCGCACTTATACACTTCAACTAAGAATTTATCACCCGCCCCCTGCAATCACTTGTCCCAGTATCCACATTCTTGACAACCACTCCATTGAACTATCCTTTCTTTTTAAGAGAAAAGAAGGACGACCAATATTGGCGACATTTGACCTCAAACAATCCCCTTTAATTAACTTAACACCGAACTGAACCACGGTGCCAACTCTCTCCCAAAGACCCTGTTCAGGCGACCCTCTTTCTCAAAAGCGCAATGAAGAAATCGGCTTCTTCGTGGGGCAGCCGCATGGCCTTACCAGAATAATAGAACCTGTTTCTCTTTGCCTCTTTGCCGTTTCCTACCGGGACCGGACATCTTCCATAGTCAGATATTGTATGCATTGGGCTCCCAGCATTCTTTACCCACTCCAAAACTGCCATTGTTGACACATTACACCAACTGGCCAATCAAGAGAACACTTTTCTGAATGCCAAACATCTTTCACCCCATCCTTCAGGAACCCTTCAATGCTTTCCATATCACTCCCAAAGATTATCACCTGACGATGCGCAACCACTGGACTAAACCATCTACAGCGCTCTGATGACCAAACTCTTGTATGTAGCAGCTAGAAGAGAGTGACCTGGCCGACTCTGCTTCGTGTCCTGCGCGAAATAGACCGCCTCAGCCATCCCAGGTGTTGACTCTCTGATGCAACGAATTCAGAAGTTGCTCCAGAGAATGCCCTCCTCTAGACACACACCGACGTGCGTCTACTCTTCCTTACAGCATATCCTAAAGAGCCCTTCTGCTCGTTCCCGACGCTTGTTCATATTGGCTTTGTTTAGTTCCTTAGCTGATTTTCAACACTTACACCAAAGGTTGCATAATATGCAAATTCTTCTTGAATCCTACCTTTTTTTCATTGTGCCTATCATTTATAAATGATGTTCTCCTAATTGTATACCGGTGCGAAGCAATCAATTATACAAGATCACTAATAAATCTTGCATGAGAATAAAAATACACATTGATATCTATGTATCTTGTGACATATGTGATTCATTACCATATGGTACTGTCAGCGTTACTATGCTCTCACCGTCGTAACTATATTACTACTATCACAATTGACAATATATGTCGAAATTCGCTGCTTAAAAATGCATTATTTTGATCCATCTCCGAATGCGCTCTTAAATCCTGAGCACCGAAAGAGAGTTTTGTTCTCTGATGATACTGTCCGATGGCAGATTGTATATAGATACTTAATTGTAACTGAAAGTAAAAGAAGCATTTCCCAACAGGGTAGACCCTTAACAAATTGACGATGGGCTTGGGGAAGTATTTGAGCTCGACTCATTTGTAGGTGACACAAGATCACATCAAAATTGGGTATCTGATGATGAGTTTATGTATCTTCTACAGAGAAGCACGGTTCTTCTTTCCAGATGTTAATTTATGTGAATCAAAAGTCAAAATGGTCTACTCAAGAGACTATACGATAGAAACCTATTATACACTCTGTTTTGCTCCTATTTCAAGCTTCTTCGTATAAGAGTTGTAATAACACGACGATGTCATAATATAGACAAGAACAACATCTCATGTTTGAACAACCAAATTGTGATGGAGTACATACCTGCTGCAAGCCTGAATGAGTTACATATCTGTTGTGGGAACTAGCTACTGTAGAATGATACATGGTACCAAAGGAAGTTTTTGAGTGAAAACTTGCATGGCCATATGGTTATGGTTATGGATGTGGTACTAGAAGTTTGGGATGGTACTTTTTTATAAATAAGAATATGGATGAATGACACCAACTTCCACATGTCTGCATAAGTATTGTGCACAGTTGCATTACGCTATTTGTTTTGCATATGCTCGTAGATAGTCATAGCAATGTTATGTTTGTAGGTGGAATGTTCAAAGACAATTAAAAAATGTGAGTCACCAAGGCATCATCAGCTCAATCAAAATTGCTTGCTGTGTTACCCGAATTGATCCCCAGCTGCGGCCCTGGTGGGTTGTCACTTTTTTTTTAACCGGCTTCTCTCTTTTTTCTATCTTTCTTTTCCCTTTTTGCATACAACAGACACACACACACACACCTTAATAGTAACAACAACAATAATGGCATTGAACTTGAAACCAACACTCGAAGAAATTCAAGAAATGGTCCGAACGGACCAAGGCAACACCATTCCCATATACGCCGAATTGGATGCTGATTTCTTAACACCAGTGTCCGCGTACCTCAAAGTTGCGGACCGGTGCGATTATTCTTTTCTTTTTGAATCCGTTGCTGGTGGTGAGACCATTGGTCGATATTCCTTCATTGGTGCCGGTATGCTTTCTTTAAATCTTGTACAAGAAAATATGTCTTCTTTTTTTTTCTGTGCTTTTTAAAACTTTATTATTCACGCTGCTGACACTTGTGTATTATGACACCAAACGCAAAGATCCTTACAAATTAATCAAGGTGGGACCAAAAGAGGCCGTGCATGGTGATCCTTTGTTGGCTATTGAAAAAGAGCTCGAGCCGATCCGATACGTCAAAATACCCGGTCTCCCATCATTTACTGGTAAACAGCACGCATGATTTCATATATAGATTTTTGTCGTATATCGAGATTACCTTTGAAGAAAGTGTTGCCAATAAGTAGCAGTACGACACTAATGACAACAAACGATGATGGTGTGTAATAGGCGGTGCTGTTGGATATATTGGTTTTGACTGCTACCAATACTTTGAACCGACGATTGAAGGCGACTTGCCCGACCCGATTGGCATTCCGGATGCGATTTTTATGCTTTGCGACACATTAGTGATTTTCGACCGCGTTCGACACGTGGCCAACGTAGTCTCGCATTTCCGTAGCGACAGCAAGGATCCCGAAGCCGTCAAGCGCGAATACATGAAAGCCGCCGAAGAAATCGAATGTACCATGACCTTGCTGAACGAACCACAAGTGCCGACCGTGCCACAACCTCCGATCCAACTCAACGAGAAGGCTACGTCCAACGTGGGCAAGGAAGGTTACGAAGGTTTCGTGACCAACCTGAAGCACCACATTAAAGAAGGCGACATTTTCCAGGCCGTGCCCTCGCAACGTTTGGCAAGACCCACGACTCTGCACCCATTCAATGTATACAGACATTTGCGTTCGTTGAACCCGTCGCCATACATGTTTTATGTCAACCTGAAAGAGTTCACAGTTGTCGGTGCATCGCCGGAAATGTTGACTAAAGTACAAGACCGTGTCGCTTATACACATCCGATTGCCGGTACACGTAAGCGTGGCAAGACTTTGCAAGAAGACGAGGCGTTGGCAGGAGACTTGTTGGCCGATCCCAAGGAGCGTGCTGAGCATGTCATGTTGGTGGATTTGGGCCGTAATGATATCAACCGTGTGTGTAAGCCGGAAACGGTCTCGGTCGACAAGTTGATGCAGATTGAATACTACTCCCATGTGATGCATATCGTTTCAAACGTGTCTGGTACACTGCGTGACGATAAGACGCCTTTTGATGCTTTCCGTGCTATTTTCCCTGCCGGCACAGTCTCAGGTGCTCCCAAGATCCGTGCAGTTGAATTGATCCGTGGTTTGGAAAAGGAAAAGCGTGGCATTTATGCTGGGTGAGTTGTTGTTGCTGTTGTTCGGATAAGAAAAAAGGGATGTATTCACTCGGGAACTAATGGATCATCAAATTGGGTAATAGATCGGTGGGTCACTTTGATTACTCTGGTGATCTCGATACATGCATTGCCATTCGTACCATGGTCTTCAAGGATGGTGTGGCATATCTTCAAGGTAATCAATTAGTATTATCAGCTGAGGACAGTTCAGTTCGAGTGCAGTTTTACTAAAACAAAGGAATTCAAATGTAGCTGGTGGCGGTATTGTGCACGACTCGGTAGAAGAGGAAGAATATCAGGAGACGATGAACAAGATGGGATCCAACCTTGCTACGCTCGAACAATGTGAACGCAAAATTTACGAGAGGCAGCAACGACAACAGCAATAATTATTCTGTTTTCGTTCGATATCATACACCGCATATATACAAAACTTGATCTTTTACTTTGCTCATCGATATGATCGATATGATCGATTATTTCATTTATGATATTGTATAAACAACAAAGTACAAAAGGAGATAAAGAAAGTATGTGTGTTGTGCTATGTGACAAGGTTGGGAATGGATCTGCTTCTATACTGCAGCAGGTGACGTTCTTGATTGCTGTTGTGGGGTAGCGGGCGACAAAGAAGGTCGTGGTGAAGAAGATGTTTGTTGGTCTGAATAAGATGGCAGCGATCCACTATTACTATTATTATTGCTGCTAGTAGCGTTATTGTTGCCGCCAACGACCTGTTGCTTGATCTGGAACAGCTTGACATGAGTTCCGCTCCACGGACAATAGTCGGTGATGGAAGACACGTAAGCCTGACCCCACAACATGCTTCTGAACCAAATCACAAGCGCCTCGCCCCAACGGAACTTGCGGATAAAGATCGGCGGTGGTGGTGGCAAAATACCGACCAATGTCATACCACGCAAGAATTCGAGCACTTGAGCATCAGACGTCAATGATTGCGTGGAGCAAAGTGTTTGCACTTGCGGCACCAGGTGCTCTAACAAGACCAAAATCGTTTGCATCGGTAATTGTGAATGCCATTCCGTTACCCAGTCTTCGGTGGGCATGAAGCCATTCTTGGTGCCTGGCAACTGGACAGTGGCTGTGCTTGTGACCGATCCGATGGAAGACGTGCTGCCCTGTCGTTGGGGTGCAGCTGGATTTGACGTTGTTGTGGCAGGAGGGGCAGCTAAACCGTTGCTGCTGGTACTGCTGGAAGCGTTACCTTCAGCAGGCGATTCAGGTAATTTGCCACGGGCTTTTTCTGATAGACCATCTTGCTGTTGCTGTTGCTGTTGCTGTTGTTGTTGTTGTGATTGTTGCTCCTTATCTTGATCCTGCTGCTTATCTTCTTCCTGCTGTTGAGATGGATTGGTTTTGTTGTCTCCACCAACAATTGCGGGAGTAGTAGTAGTAGTAGTAGCAGCAGCTGGTGGTGTTTCACTGTTGACGCTCTTGCCATCATCAGATGCAGACACGCGAGGTACTTGTTGACTGTTGCGACGCAATTTTTCTTCCTTGATTTGACGTACACGTTCAATCTCTGCAATCGCCTTTTCCAAGGAAAAGTCTCGTAATTTTTCAAATTTGACGTTGCTTCGGACGAGAGCATATAGCAAGTTTGGGTTATCTGATATGTGCCGTTCAATTTAGAAAAAGTTAACATCCGAAAGATTTGCCTATAACTTCGTATAAAAACCACGTTCTTTGTACCTGAAAATTGATATTGAATGGTGTTGTTGAATGCTTCGAGCAAGTAACCAACGAGACGGTGGTTGGACTCGTCGGCAAGCAAAAAGCCTGGAGCTGACATGGAACCAAACAGTGCCATCAACTTGCTCGCGGTTGTGACGGAAAGATTCTTAAGGTAAGGCGAAATGTTGGTGACGGTAAGGATGAGTGCTGGATAGAGTGTGGAGAGGGATCCACGAGAGGTGGCGATCAATGTGAAAATAGACTAAGCATGGTTTGGCAGAAGAAAATTAAAAAGTCAATAAAAATTACGCTCTTTGCGTCAGCGATCTTCAGAACCAAGACCCCCCCTTATGATTTTTCTGCTTACGATGATAAGGAAATCAGCATAGGTTCCATGGAACGCGGGTATCCGAACAACAGCAGGTAAGGACGAATGGCCGTCAAATGGACGATTCAACTTGACTCCAAAAGTGCGGTCAGACGAAAGCGTTTGCAAGATAAAAGCACACATGCGAACCAATCCAACTTGGGCTAATTTGCAAGGCTTCTTAATCAGTACACATACACACACACACACACACACACACAAAGAGAAACGCAGGGACGGGGGGGGGAGGTCTTTTCAACCTTGTAACTTACCTGGATCCAGTTTGTTTTCCATGGCGTAATAGACCAAAACAACCATCAAATCCAGTGCGCGCTCGGTTTCCATCAGATAGCTGCGGAATCGCTACACACACACAATTAAAAAGGTAATCTATTAGCGGACATGGTCTCCTCTCTATGCGCCGCCCCATAAGCTCCATGCTCGCACAGAGAAAGATGGTTACCTGATTCGTCTCCAACAGTTTCCAGCAGAGCATCATCATCTCGACATGGCACCGGACACGTTTGGTAGATCCGGGCAAATACGTGTTGTTGGCTTGCATTGGGTTGCTCAGGATACGATAAATGCCATCGATCAAAAACTGGAAATCCTGGGCACGATGCAGCTTGGAAAGATAGTGTCGGAACGAGTTGTCGCTATTCTCATCCAAATCAAACTCTGAAGCAGTACCATCCGTGGTGGAGGATCCACCCGCAGCAGTGGCAGCTTTCAATTCGGCCGCTTGCTTTTCAGCCAAAGCCCGCTTCTCGGGATCCTGAATCAAGAGATCTGCGCCCGAAACAATTTCAGCAGGCGGCGTCGTGACACGCTGGTCAATCTGGCGCATTGTGTGGGCCACGCGCGGCGAATGGTAGTCCAGAATCACCAGCAATACGCGTATACACATGACTACGAGCTGCTCGCGTGTATCGGTAAACACGACGTGGTTGTAGGGCACGCCCCAGCCCAATGGGTTGTACTTGCAGGCTGTGTTCAGCAGGCTGCACAGCAGGGCCAAGACCACTTTGCGTTCCGTTTTAGCGACAATGTAATGGAGCCATCGGTCTTCCTTTGACAGGACTTGCGACGGCGATACGTACATGGAGCGCGAGAGGAGGACGATCAATAAACGCAGGACTTCGATGCGGTGCATGTCGTTTTCGCGTGACGCGCCGATCGGTGTGCTGGAGCCTACGCCCGATTCCCAAATAACGTGATTGACTTTCCCACCTTCAGCCGTTACCATGGTCGGTGGCAGTGTGAAACCCGCCAAGAATAAGCATTGGAGCGTCACTGCAAGTGTTGTTCAATAGTTGATTAATAATCTTCAAACCTGCTCCCCTTCACCCCTCTTTCATCCGTCCCGCCCGATCGATAATTACAATTCATCAGCACTTCTCCTCGTGGTGGCAGTGTATCGTATTGCGGCTGCGATTTCTACTCGAGAATAACAAGTCATTAGAATGCTCCCTTTTGCTATTACAAGATTGGAGAATAAAGTACCGGCTGTTCACTAGTGTCTCCACTGCCATTGCCTTCTTCCTGTGCTGCATTGGCCGTGCCTGCTGATGCTGGTGGCTCAGGAATACGTTCGACAGACCGTGGAACCCAGAACATCTTATCCTCCCATTCTGAGCACTCGGGGTTCTCAAAAATATAGGGTATCAGTCGTGACAAGACACGAAAACAGTTGAGCAGTTGTGGAATGCTCGTGGTTGTTGCTGGAAAGTTGGGTGCAGAGACAATCGCAATCATTTGATTCAACAACTAGAATAAGAAAATGACCACGGTTTTCAAATTAGCTTTTTCTTTTTATGGTGCTAGTCTTGTAAACGTTATTTCTTCTCTCTCTCTCTCTCTTTACCTTATCAATGAGCGTTTCCAGGTTCTCTCGACTTGAATCTCGTGCGCGACGAATGTCGCTGGCGCCAATAAGCGAATAAACGTCATCCACGGATTCCGGCAAACTCCAAAACTACAAGAAAGAGAAAGCAGAAGGTCGCGATTAGTTTCCCATCGAGTCGAATGGTTTGAATACATAAAATTGTGTTTGCTCTTTACCAAGGACCAGTAGTCATCAGCCGTATATGGAATGTTCTATTGTTGCAGGAATGTTTGAGAATATAAGCTCTTTGTTCGGGTCAAAGGACAAAAGCGAGAATGACTAAAAACAAGTGAGGCAATAGAAGCAAAGACTTTACATGTTCTTCAAAAAGTCGAAACACGCCTTTTCGGAAGGCTAGCTTACTATCTGTCGCACCCATATGCTAAAGTGTATCGAGGAAAAGAAAGAGCGGAAGAAACGGATCACGTATCCGCCAAGGCCGGTCGCGCTTAGCCGTGTGAGCGGGGCTTCACCCGCTTCTCAAAAGTTCACTTTACCAAACAAGGTGCCTGACGCCCTCCCCCCCTTGTTTGCTTGTTGATATCATCGTCGTCGTCGTCGTCGTCGATGTCTTCAACATACTACAATTCAATGTTTTTGATTGACATCATTCCATTGACCGTCAATCTCCTTAGATAAGACTTTACTCAACAGATGAAGCCAAGTAATGAAAGAGACTTGGTATGTAAGGTATACTGCGACAGTAGCAGGCTGGATGATCTGTTCTAGCATCTTCAAAAAAGGGATGTTGTTTATATATCTATATAAAGCGTTCGCCTGGTCATCCATCCTTATGGTTATTATAAGTATCAATATGATGCTTCTTCAATTAGTAGGTCTTAGTATATGAGAAGGGTCGTTAGGACAAATGCGTGTATGCTGTAAGATATGATATGAAAAGTCAGTGCACACAACGAATTGAGTGATATTATGCAGTGTTTCAGGTTCAAGCATAGGGGGCTCACGCCAATCGTTTTTCTGCTTGGCAATCCCCGTCGAAAAAAATTTTCATCCAAAAGAGGTTGAAAGGGGGAAGCAGAGCCCCGTGACCGAAGAAAATGCATGAAAAATGAATCGTCATTGAGGTATTGTGCAGCTCTCTCAGAGTGATGTCGCCTTTCTCGTCACGGTTTCAGTTTCTGCGAAATGACTTTCTTTAGACTAGACTTCTTTCTAGAAGACGCCAGACAGGCACATAGCAACCACAAGTCGGCCAGTCACATGTCAACGATCGAAACACAGCGCTGACTTTGCAAGCCATGAGTTCGGTACTCATTTAAGGGCATCTATTGTAGCTGCTCGTTCTAGACTTTGACCACTTGTTTGCAGCTCTATCATTGTCCCCAAGACCAACATGTTTTAAAAGATATGACCAAAGTCTGTAAAACAAAAGAATGAACGCATGATTGCTTGTTTCATTTCTCTTGTTTTATGGTATCCCCCAATGTAGAGCGGGAGCTTTGGAACATTGTTTCTCAAAGAAGAAGAATACATTGACATGATCAATCGATTGTTTCGCATCAAATTTATCAGTCAGAATGACAAAACGCAAGACGAACGTTACGTCTACGTTATCGATGCGTGCATAGAGAGTAAATGACAAAATAGCTCCCAAGCAGTTATTGGGAAGGGAAAAAGTAAAAGAGAGTACAAGGCTTCGGTTTTTTCTTTCTTTCTTTCTTTTTACCTCGTTTTGCATTTTCTCTCACTTTCATTCTTTCTTTCTTTTTCGCGCCGCCTTTTCCAACAAACAATGCAACAGCAGCAAAACCAGGCGCAATCGATAATGGGGATCCAGTCATCGTCGTCCTCAGTACCGCAGCAGCACATGTATCAGCTATACGAGCATCAACAGCAGCAGCAGCATAATTATCAGTCTCCGCCGCCAGACATCAATCTGTCAACTCGAGCACGACGACGATCACGTACCACGCCTGCTCAGATAGCCATTTTGGAGAGTTACTTTCAGAATGTGACAAACAAGCCGACAAGGGAAATCTGTAGAGACGAGCTGGCACCGCTGGTCAACATTTCTCCCGAAAGTGTTTACTTTTGGTAAGTCTATTATAGTAGTAGTAGTAGTAGTAGTAGTACTAGCAGAAGCAAAGGTTATTTGGCAGCAGTGAATGGCACCACACCCTCTTTTTCTCCAAACCCCCATCCACCAAGTAATTATCTTACTACTACTATTACTACAGCTATTATAGCTTTCACTGTTATGGTGATGGCGGTGATCATCCGCCGTCTTCGTCATCATGACTTCTTGTTCCATGCCTGCTTTCTTTCTACCTCAAATGTTGTTTACTGGATCTATCCCATTGTTTCAAAGAGTTGCTACTGTACTTTTTGCTTAATATCGCATTACTTTGTCCCTCTTTTTCTTCTTCTTTCCTCTTTTTCTCTCTCCCTTTTACCATTATTGACTTATTTTTTTGAAACTTATTATATCACGTTTTCTCTTTTTTTTTTCTTTCACATACAAAAAATCTAGGTTCCAGAACCGTCGTTCTAAAATGTCTCGAGAGCAACGATTGACACGACGTGGTCGTTCAGAGTCGCCTCAACGTCGACCGAATCCATCGATTGTTCGCTCTGTTAGCAGTACTACTGCTACTATTACCAGTGCTACTACTACTGCGACTACAGCTACGACGGGTACTACTTTTGTTGCTGCTGCTGCTGCTGCACCAACATCAACAACAACAACAACGACGACTGCCAATCCAGGAGCACCGATTCTGCATCACCAACAGCAACAGCAACAACAACAACAACAGGAGCAAGATGATCCATCGGAAAATTTACCGAACGATCTCATCGAGGGAAAAGAGCCAACGTCAGCGTTAGCAAGCGAAGAAGCTGGACGCACTGTTGATACGACTCATTCAACAACTGTTCACTCCAGCAGCCCTTCATCCACAATGCCACCGTATCATCAACAACTACAGGGTACCACACGACTGCCATCCTTGTCAAGTTTGATACACACCGGTTCTTCTGCTTTTAGCACCACTGGATCTGCTTTTACTCCAACGGGCGGTACGACGGGCACAGCAGCAGCAACAACAAGTACAGGAGGATTAGTAGGAGGTAATGTTGGTACAAGAGGATATCGGCCGACGTCGTCATCGTCGTCATACTTTCATTCATCATCATCTCAAGTGCATGCACCGCCGCCGCAGCAGCAGCAGCAGCAGCACCAACGACAAGACCAACACCATGATACTAACAAACAATTACCACCAGTGTACATTCAAGCACCAGGTACTGCTAATCTGCCACCCGTAGCATTCTACTTTCACCACAGCGAGTTTGGTACAGAAGCCAGTATGCTTCATTTGCTTCAACAACGTGAAAATCAGCGCCAACAATATCTTCATCAACAACACCAACAACAGAGCCAGCTACACCAGTAAATTACAGTTTGACTCTCCACTTTTACCTTATTATTGCTTACACAACCGCAAAGGCGACTCAAGATCACAAAACACTGGAAATAGCTTACACACTTATCGCTTCTTCGCCAGTCCATACCTTCTACAACTATTATTATCCCATATCCCTTTTGTATTTCCCCTTTCTCCCAAACAACCATGGTCTTTTTCTCCATTTGCTTAATATTGTTTTCTTTTTTGTAAAGAAAACTTGTTTTTATGTTGAATAAATACTTTCTTTGCTTGCGTAACAACTGGATTGTTAGCTGACAACTAAGGTGATTCAAAGTAAGAGAGAGAGAGAGAGAGGGGGGGGTGATTACCCCAAGTATATACGCTAGATGCACGATGGAACTTCATGTCGGCGTGGCATGGCTTATACATAGTTAACCATATAACATGTATCGGATAAAACTACAATCATGAGCTGCACAATGGACAACGATGGGTTATCCATGGAAACTGTTGTTAGTAAAGCAAGAGAGCAGACTCTGGTGTATCCCGGGACGACGTGTTATATTATTTGTGTACCTGCAGCTGTTGAAATGCTTTTATGCATGTATACTGGTACAACACACGTAATTGATTTCTCCTAGATGGGTCTAGACTGTTAAAAAAATAAACAAAATGTGTGGTGGTGTATGATCAAACGAAATATACTAGATTTCGTTGTGTTTTTTTTGACAAAGAGGGGGAAATTAAATAGAAGAAACGTCTTTTGTAAAGTACATCATCATCGCAAATAACCGACGTTCCCAAAATATACATATTTACGTTTACAACTATGACTAGTACACTACTCTATACAACTTATATTTAGTGCTAGAAGCTTTGACGCTTCTCGTTCCCAGTCGGCTCTACATCGTCATGATTCTGCAGTGTCACAATATCGGGCTGCTGCTGCTGCTGCTGCTGTTGTTGATGGAAATCGCCACTGGCAACGGAACTACGATGCGAATAAATGTTGCTACTAGCACTACCATTTGCAAAAGCTGCTGTAGCAGCGGTGGTAGCGCTACTACTGGTACTAGCTCTTCTAGTGGTAGACTGATTGGGGTATTTACTAGTACCATAGCCGCCTCCTTCTTCTTCTTCCTCCTCACCACCTTGTAGGCCAGCCGTGCCCATGACAACCCATCTCGTAGTGCCGTGTCGTAGCGCGCTACAGTAGTCGGACGGAAAGTGGTCATTGAGGAAAAATGGAAAGACGAATCGGAACAAAATACGGATCGTGTTCTCGTGCACCATCCGACGTATTACATAGCGATTCAATACACCTGATAAATGAAGAAATGAAATCCGGCGTATAGGTACTGGACGACCGGTAAGTGGATCAGGCGGGTACAATGTAATGTCGTAATCGGAGCTGATATATACGAGTGTGCCCGGAGGAGTGCTATGATTTAAAAAGGAGCGATTTAGCAAAGAAATCTGACCGTCTTTATAAAGAGATATCAATAATTACTCGTAAGGAGCCCAGAGTGGTATCCGAGTTACAACATCTAGAATTTAATTTTCCAAAAGTTTTATTATGACAACCGTTGTTTTTTTTTCAGTTTTGTTGCATGCATCATATCTCGGAAGTATCCCATCTTCCCTTTCAATTTCTCTCCGTTAAACAATAACCACAAACAGAATAACTTACCGTTATTGTATGCATGATGAAAAATCTTGTTCGACATGTGCGTATCAAACGACCGTGCAAAGTCCGCATCACCTATTTTGGGTTGCCCGAACGTATACAATCCTCCAAAATGCTCCAAGCATGGGCTCTTGGATTGTACCATTTTTGCCAGAAAGACTGTATGATTTATTTGATGGCAACACATGTTTAGGAGTCAGCTCACTAAGCTCACATGCATTGAGAGAGACAAAACTTAACTGGTTCCAAGAGCACCACCAAGCGAATGACCCGTGATAAATAGCCGTCGAGCAGGAAGATGATGTTTTGTAGTATCGTCATCATCAACCTCCTTTCTATGATTATGCTTCGTCATCAAGTCCAAGATATGCTTCTCAGCTTGGGCAAACATGGTATTGGTTCTAACATCCACGTCGGGACCTGTCCAACTGGTATCCACTGGGTCAGAGACATAATGAAACAGATTCAGAGTCAAGAACTGTAGGACCTGAACAACTGCATGGACTGCAGAAGCAATGGTGCGATACAGTGACGTGTTGTTGAGCACAATTTGGACGCGGGAATCAGAAGAAGATGCTTCGGTGGGATTGGAACCACCGTTATTGTTATTGTTGTTGTTGCCATGGGATTCTATGTGTTGTGGATGGTGCACTTGTCGTACAGGCGGGTCGCCCATGGCTTTCCAAAACCCTTTGTGTACTTTGCCCATATTTGATCCGCTCCGTCCTCGTACGTCACACAAACCAGTGTTGACGTTGGTGATGTAATTTTGAATATTTAGTGGATTGGTCCTAATTTCATTCGTTAGCTTGCTGTCAGATTTATAAGAAATTTGTTTCTGTCTAGTATTCATATCCATATATACACTAGTTACCCTCGAAACACAAGCAAGATGTCGTTATCCTTTTCGACAATAAACGCGCAAATATTCTAGTAGGATCGATTGGCGGAAAGAAACCGTCAGCGCATACACACAAAAAAGGCAGCATTACATCATGATTTCCTAAAACATACCTGATAGGCGATCGGCCGAAATGATTTGACTACATCAAATCCAGCTCTTTCCAGCTCGTATCGAATGACCGCAACATCCTCATAAACCAATTTGGATGCTACACACAAGGTATAAGCCAAGGGAAGCGAATAACGAGGACGTTGAAATAAGCGACCGGCGCCTGCTTCCGATTTACGACGTTGAAACAACTTGCTGTCCTGTAAATCCTTAGTCGCCGGAATGGTTTCGTCAAACAGGTCAAAGGATGTATTCATTGCATTAATGACCGAAAAGTTATGGCCGCTTGCATGACGGTTCACAAACAGACGCAGGACCCAGCGAATCCCGTGGTCGCTCATGAGAAGGACCATGAACCATATGAAAAAGGTGGATCGAATACAGGCCGAAATGACGGGGCCCACGATCCGGGTCCTTGAAAGTCCCCTGGCAACAGGCCAGAGTATGCTGTTCAATCCATTCAGTACTCTCGAGACAATGGGTGCGCCATGCTTGATTGTCTTGTAGCCAACAAATAAGAGTGTCGATATGCCCATGCATATAATGGACAGTGCAATCAACACGACGCTCCATGTCGTTCGATCGTTTGCCATGCAGTAGATCCCTGCCCAGGCTGGTATTGACGAGACGAGAAAAGAAATTCCAAAGTAGATCCGATTTCGCCCATGTCCCATAGTGGCATGTTTTTTTTTAAAAAAGGAAAGGAGAAGGGTAAAGGGAAAGAATTTATACAAAAAAGAAAAATTCATGCGGGCCCAGTTTTTTTTGTTACCTTTACGACAAGTGGAATTTTGGGGTTGACCACAAAATCCCATGCACTAACTCATCTCATTGGATGGTTAAATAAAATGCCGTGCTAGGCAGCAACTTTTGTGAGATTTATCGTCATCCAACGAAATGCCCCTGCCAACCAATATTCATGACAACCTCTCACTTTACGATCGAAGAATGTGTTACTATCGACTGCAACTACCAAAGAGTAGTCTTATTAGGCTGACGCTCATCTTTTATATATATATATATATATATATAACTCAAATTATGGCTCAAGAGTCATTTACATATGCAATGTTCACCATCACCACTGCACACGAAGAAATCAAGTAGGACACATACATACTATTTACTATGACAGAGAAATTGTGTGCAATCAAGACACTGCTTTCGTGATTAAGGCTAATGGCTCATAATAATGACAATCAAAAATTTGATAGGCTATGAAAGAAGAGTAATTCTAACATGTTTCCAGCATAGCGATAAACATCAAGTATGATCGTCCCAAAAGCAGCCATAGTGTTATGCCACTTACACAGAACTACATTGTCGGCTGATGTTCTTCTTCCTTGCGCGGGGCTCAAGGGGGCGGGAAAGCGGTTACACAATCGTTACCGGAATTATAAAAGAAAATGTGCCGTTATCAGATCGTTTTCGGCATACCTGTTTACGTTTTTTTTCCTCTTCTTCCCACCCCTTACTCTTTGTATTTAACGCTACATAAACAAAACGACAATGGTTCGCTATTGGCTCTTTGCATTATTTCTTCTTTGCTCTGTTTATACAGTCAATGCAAGAAGTGACGATGGTGGTGACGTCAACTTACAACAACAACAACAACCACTACTACAGCCATCTTCCGTTACGTTTTCCATTATTGACCACCACCATCAACAACAAGTTTACAACAGCAATGTCGACAAAGACGACGATTTTGCTCACGTAACTTATTGGGGCATTATGTTTTTCTCCCCGCCTTGGTTAATAAACACGACGCTGTTGTGGGTGACCGGTATCATCTCGGCGATTGTATGGTGCTCGGGATACACGATTGAATGTTTACTCGACCGGCAGGAACGACTCGCCATGGAACTGGGCAAACAGAAACAACAAGTGTCATCATACGGTGCCCTGGAAGCATAGCGTGTTTTTTTTGTAAAAATGGATGGGCGCCAGCAATCTTACTACTAGAAATGAGTAACTAGAAAAAGAGGCCCTCCTTAAGCTTGGAATGTGATCACAATCTCAGGGGAGGGGCTCATGTTCTTTTTGTAATATTTTTTTGTGACACTCTTTGTTTTTGAACACGATACCTTACTTTAGATCACGTCTTAAGATGGATGTATATACCCTTGCTTTCTGTACATATGTAATCAAATACTAGCAATAAAAATATACTTTTTTTTTCCATGTAAAGACACGACCAACTATAACAGCTGTATCAAAGAAACCAGATTTGCTTATAGAATTTTTATTTGCTAGTAAACTGATTAGTAGTACCTCTGGATACATCGCTGCTTATCAGTAGTAGGCTTATCTCGGTATCAGCACATAGCAAATAGATGTTGGATAATCGCCAACAACGAATACGAACATCAGTTCTTTGCATACGTCAAGTAACGAGGTTTTGGGGAGGGGCCGCATATTTTAGAGTAAGAGTGACGGGAAAGACACTATAGCATACATATGCGGGCAAATAGGATTGTGCGTCAGACGGTCACTCTTGATTCTGGGGTATCCTGTCACTTTTGTCTTTCTTTTTTTTATGGAGATTAGCGTCATGCAGCACTCGACGGTGCTGTACTGTAGAGATGTATCATAGAAGGGTCCATGCTGGCAAGATTGAACAACGGGCAAATAAAAAACAGTCTGTCCTATTAACAAGTTTTTTCTTCCGTATCAGACACACACACAAAATGTGTTAAAAAATATGGGGTAACATATCAAAGAAGAAGATACATCTTAATGACTCAGACCTTCCAACTGGCAGCAAGTTCTTTTTATCTTGACGCTCGGTCAGTTGTAAAGCTGACACATTAGCAACATTGCCATATGATTGATATCAATGACAGCTGAAATTACACAACCACTTCATCATCCGCACCATCACGATCATGGTCGTCTTCATTCAAAGTTTCGAGAGATGCATCCTTATGTTGTTGTCAGAAGAATAATGGTTTTATCGTTTGCTACTGTATGTAAGAAAATTTTTCATTGGATTTACATGGAGGAAAAGTAAACACATGTGCGGATTAATTCGAGAATACTGTATTCACCAGCCAAACCCTGGCTTAGTGGTCATTTTCCTTGTATCATAACTTATTCTGTATGTTTTTCCTCATGATGTTTACAAACAACAAACCGCTACTACATAGTCTACAGCAACCATGACCTTAAATAGAAAAAAAATGCTAATTAAAACTAGATAAATGAACTATAATGCACGCTCCAACAACGTAATGAAAAACAAAAACTAAAAAATGTGCTGCTGTTTGCTTTGGCAGAAAAACAAAAGCAGGTAAGATATTACAAGTCCATATGTTCAGCGTCTCAAAATTCACGCACATATACAGTGATTCCAAGAAGCAATGTAGCAGGCAGTCAAAAATTGATGTCGCTGGTGGATCAGCATTGATTTCGCATTTTCAGAAACGGAAGTCGTGTTTTTAGAAACCAAGTCGTCGCTTGGCTTGTGAAAATGATGTCGTGTCACAAATGATGATTTCTTGGCCCTCAAAAAACAATATAAAGAGGAGCCTTCTCATTGTTACGTTTTTCAAATTTTATTTTAATATGAGCACAAGATTTTTATTTGAAGATGGACATGGAAATGTCGTTGATGAGAATGGCGGTCCTGAGCACATGGAGTACATTGTTGATCAGGATGAGTTTGTTGTTGAGGCGATTGCGACTCATATTGAGTACTTGGAACATGCGCACTCTAGTGAATCTTTGCAAGCTTGCCCAATGCTTGTAGAAAAGCCAAAGGATAAAGACATTCGAATGAAAGAGGCGAATGTACAACGGGAGTATGTGCGTTATACCGTCAAGGATAAGGTTAGAAAAGTGTATGAGCGCGTCAGCTGCAGCGAAACAGGTGGGCATTCACATTCGGACCGCACAGAGATAGGTTAAGCAATACAACATGTGCCCTGATAAATGTATCTTGAGTGAAGAGCATAAAACGGCTGTTGTCGAATTCATTGGTGCTAATCCGTCTGCTGCTGTAGTTGAGGTAACAGAGCATTTATTGAAACGGTTCAATGATCTCAAAGTTTCATGTAGCACTGTTTATAATTTCATGAGAAAGGAGTGCAACCTTTCGTTGAAGAAAGCCGAATTTCACTCTCTTGAAAGAAACAGTCCAGTGAAGATTGAGGAGCGTTACGATTAGGTTCGTAAATGGGAAAGTACAGACATGAACTTCCTGACGAATTGTGTGTTTCTTGACGAATCTGCCATTGATATAAATATGAAACGCTCTTGAGCTTGGTCTAAACAATGCACTCCTGCTATTGTCACTAGGCCTACAACGAGAGCAAACTCAACGTCCATATTGGGTGCCATCTCTGCTGCAGGCTTGATTGCAGTTGGCGTAAAAAAACCAAGACCTTTAAGAAGAGAAAGGCGGAAGGATATGTAAGTTCAGGGACGGTAGCAGGCCACTATATCAGCTTCTTGAAAATGACTCTCGATAAAATGGACAAGCATCCGCATATGAAAGGACATTATGTAGTCATGGATAATGCACCCATTCACACGCATGAAAACATCAAGAAATACATTGAATATCGAGGGTATAAATGCGTGTACCTTCGTACTTATTCACCTGAGCTAAACTCCATCATAGAACAATTCTGGGCAGTGGCAAAGAGCAAGGTCAAGCGACATAGGTTTTTGCAGCCAGACACACTATCAACAAGAATCACGGAAGCCTGCAACGGTCATTTTTGAGTTTTGTTTCCTATTCTTACAAGTGTTGGGGTAAATGTCGAAACAGGGAAGCCATACTGTATAATGTTCACTGAATTAAGAGAGTCATGGTGAGTGTGAAGAGAGTGAAGAAGGAAGACTCATTGCACGCAACATATCGCCCACACGTGGAGATCGATTTAAAAAGCAGTTACTGTAACAGGATGGTATTATAAGTGGTTGGGGAATAGGGGAGGAGGGGAGGTCAATGGAAGTTCATAGATAAGACTAATTGTAAAAAGGAATATAACATAACTGAGACCACAAAGACAAGATCAAACTCCAATACCGTCCATATTTCACCAGTTACAGCACCAAAAGGCCACCACCCCAGAGAGCACGAATTCGCTTTTTGTCACTTCGGTGAACTAAAAGAAAAGAAAAAAAAGTAGAGTTGATAGATTTTTCTACATTCACTTACATATTCACTTCCAAAAACATACACTAGTCATCTACCTTTGAGATCCAGAGCGATAACAGCGTACGCAGCCTTTAAGGATGATCAAAGCCAATACTACTTAGAGCCAAGTTATCGAGACCAGCAGTAGACCGAAACAACGTACTGGAAGCAACCATGCTTAGATTATCTTGCTTCTATCAACCCGTTCACTTGATGTTTGACTTAAAGACCAGAGTATGTAGACGCAAAAAGAAAAACTGACGATAGGATAATTCATGAGTAGTTGACATACCAGCCTATAGTAGCATAACTTGACTGTGTTCCAAGCTGACAATGACTTGCGCAAAAGAGACACTGGTAAGCACCATTAGTCTTTTCACTTGAAACCAAATCATCGAGACGCTTTGTACCGACATTGGTGTTGTGGACGACGAATGCCGGATTCCCTTGTCATTGTCAGCCAGAACAATAAAATCAAGAGAGGCGAGAAAAATTTCCTTTAAATTGGTGACGAATTGACGGAGTGTAAATATAATTTTTGCCGTCATACGGTACAGTCGCACACAAAATCAACTAGTACAACTTCAGTTACTGATGTCTGAAATTCACACAAACTTTCTACCTCAAGTACCAAACATGATAGAGGTCTCAAACTTGGTCTAGAAGTAGAAAGTACAATACACTTTTATATAGACAAGTTTAATATTTTGTATGCCTGCCACGAGCCTTTACAACGTAGTAACATATTTTGAGGAGGTTACTGCAAACAAGCTTCATTCTCAACTTCAATGGCGAATTGGCTCTATCCTTATTGCAAAGCTGCTTCCAACTATTCACAGTTGGATACTCCTTCTCAAGAAGCTTTCATATAATGTTCTAATCTTCTTAAAAATGCTCAAAGGATTTAGATCAGGGCTTTGGGTTGGTTAGTATCCAAAGCCCTTGGCTGTATGCTTTGACTTCTACCAAGCTAGATATGAGCCTATATAGCAGGCTATGACATCATATTGAAAAAAGAAGTCTCTATTATCAGGTTCATTGAGGTTTGTAGACCACGAAAGTCTTTTTTGCTCAAGCAGCCGACAATCGTTCTCCTCTAGATTTTCTTGGATGTACGAGTTAATTCTGTTGTGAGGCGAAAATAGCCTCGTGAGGTAGACAATGCAGTGTTCTGCCTGCCCATAAGTGACACTTTCTCCCTCAACACAATAAACAAGAGAGTTCTTTCCCTTTTTCTTTGGAGTTTTCGAGATTTTCTAGTGGTGATTAGAGGGTCTTTTGGACTGAAATAACCCGCTTGTCATCATATCTCCCTGGTTCTAGAGAAGCTACATCAATCTAACCCCCTCTACTTGGATATATCTGTCCTTTTCGTTTGTTCTTTTTTTTTTGTATATGGAGGGTTTTACCCTCAGATTTTATTTGCAGATACCCGTTCAACAGAAGAGAGGTAACAGTGGCCTCGAAAGTGTAATACTGTAAGCAGAAGAAAAATAAATTACAAGAAATTATAAAACATATCGAAAGATTGCCTTGACTGCTATGGCAGCAGTCTTAGCAGGAAGAAAGGGTGTGTTGTCGAAAATAAAAGCCCAGTGGGCTAACCAGATAGCCAAAAGAGTATAAGCGATAATGAGGAGAAGTTGCGTGTGAGTGAAAGAGGAGTACAGGGGGTCCCCAGTAGAGATGAAATGAAGAAAAGCAGATGGGCGCGGGTCATGGTGGCAGATGCGGTTCCAGACTCGTTGCCATACATCAAATTTGCGTGGACGTAGAAAAGAAAGTGAGCTAGCGTTTCGTTGGGACAACCACAAAGCCGACATTCCGGAGAGGGAAGGAAGGTAGCATTCACACGGAACAGTCGTTCTGCATTAGGTATGGCTGTATGATAGATGCGAAAGAGGACATTTCTAGCAGCATGGTCCATGGGGGTGGCCCAAAAGACATGCCAGTGTTTGGTGGAAACTGGGGAAGCGGGTATTCTTGGAGTGAGTTTTCGTCGGCACGCCTTGGTTTGCCACGAGGTGAACGCT